AAATTGAATACCATGCAACTCAAATATCAAGACTATGGCAAGAGTAAATCATCCAGCAGGCTACGTTACTGCATGGCGAGAGTAATTTACAGAAGTTGGTTTAGAAAAGATTTTTATACTTGAAGAAGAATTGTACATAAAGTGTGTAGACTTTGATACAGGTACAGTTACTTTCCTTTTTTAACGTTAGTGAAATAGCTTTATTCCCATGGATATCCCAAAGCGGGATATCATAAAAATAACTTTAAGGCCGGGCCCTTTCCGTTATACGGTTAAAATGGCCAGGCAGTTCCTGTTGAAATTCAGTACAGACAGATTACTGCATGGGAGTGTTTCAAGCGTGTTTCACGAACTCTGCATTCGAGTATATTATTATTATTACATCTGCCTGGCACAAGAAATACATTTTCACCGCTATATCCTCTATTTCAATTCAAAATATGACCGTTTTGACCAGCTCAGTCGCTTAAATGAAAGCACCCTAAGATTAAAGCTATAGGACGATGAAAGGGAGACGGCATGCAAGGACACACATACAGCTTTAGGTAAAAGGTTTCAAACGGTTTCACAATTTTGAATCTTATGAATGTATAATACAATTTCATTAGGCGAAAATCGGGAGTTTAGTTTCACTTTTTAGTTAGAAAGGTTGAACTGCTTTATTTGATATCATTTTTGCAGTTTTGTAAAGCGGGCTGTGCAAACTTGAGGAGAGGAGATTATGTAGTTCTCCGTTGTAAAACTGACCCATATGCGAACTTCCTCTCAAGCTTCTTGTGGCCTTTCAATAATTCATTTCTCTCCCTTTTTTTTATGAAATTTTCAATCTATTTTCAGGCGTTATTCCCTGTTTTGAAAGTAAAATCCCCGAGTTTCAAATACAGTAATTTATCTGACGATAGAAAGTAAAAGAAACTTCGTGACGTTGTGATGAAATGATCATTTATATATTCTACTTTCTAACCTGCGGGGATTAAATGTGCATATTTTCAATTCCCCTGACAATGATGTTTACATTGTCAACGTCTGTTTCTAAATCCCCCTAATTTCCTTACGTTTTATGCAAATGTAATGCATGGCGACGTTGTGAAGCCATAGACTCATCGATATATGGTGATAATTTCAATTATTTCATGTCTAGAATTCACAAATATAATCCATGATTCTAATCCTTAAGTTAAAGATTAGGCTCAGGTTTAGGATTAAAATTTAGGATTATATTCGTGGATTCTGGACATGAAATATTACCATAGAGTTGTTACTCATAATACGCTAATAAACTCGACACAAATTTTTTTTTTTTAAATACAAATTTTATTAAATATTTTTCTTTTCTCTTACACGTACTATATTATTACCTTGGATATCTAATTGTCAAGTTCATGCAAAGTTCATTTCAATATATTTTATGAAAATTTTTGAAATTATTTAATTTTTTTATCATTATGGTCAACTTATAAAGTTTACTTTCTAAACATTGCAAATATGCAATGACAAACCATGCAATTACGTATGATAGTATAATTCACTTATGTTCATTTATGAGCTTGCTGAAATTGCTTTTTTTAGTTCCTTCATCTTAACTTGATAGAAGTGAGCAGAAAAAAGTAATTCGTTTCTTAAACACTTCAGTAAACCAACAACTCTATTTCCTAGGCTGGTTTTCAAGGCAGTTTGGTAAAATGGCAGAATCGTCTTTGTCTGGCTGGAGTTTGATGCGTCGTAATGCAAGTGACTTTCCTGTTGAAAGTAAGAACAGTTGTTTAGCGAAATGTGTTTAAACCATTAATAAATTCGTTAGTTTCTAAATAGTTTTATCAGTTTTAAACTTTTCTTTCTAGAGACCCAGTAAAGGCTAGTTTCCACTTTCCACTCAGGAAAATTCTTCTTTGGATCGGACAGGACAGGAAAGTTTCCTTTGTATGAATGCCGCCTGAGAACTCACCGACAAAGGAAATTTTCCTGTTCGTTCCGATCCAAAGGAGATTTTTCCTGAGTGGAAACTAGCCTTAAGGATCATCTCTTATTGATCCAGTGTTACTACAGGAGGAAACCTAAACTAAACTAACTATATTTATACTGGATAGTTCTATCAGTTTTAAACTGTTCTTCCTAGAGGTCCAGTAAGCATCATCTCTTATTGATCCAGTGTTACTGTAGGGTATTGGAAGATGGAGGACAGGAAATAAGTTATTATTATACTTACGACATATTTTATCGTCAAAATCATATCCACAACTTTGTAACCAACTAACTGTATATCGCTCAGAGGAAACGGGCTGGATTGGTTTTTAAGATCTGCAATTACTTTGTCCAATGGCTTTGTGAATGCTGTTAGCGTCTTTTTATTCTGGATTAAGTCGTCTTTTTCCTGAAAATAAACGTCAATATACGATTTTACCATTGCCAAGAACACAGTATGACATAAGACAATACTGATAACGACTTTAATTAAGAGGCCAAGTTAACCAACTCTCATTGAAAGGACAAAAAAACGCAACTTACTGTGAAATGCTTGTTGTGTTTGTAACCGTATGTAACGTTACAAACGAGTTCTGCTCTCATCCTGGGATCGTTGTAACCAAACACTGGATTGTTTCTCTGCAAAATAAATTAAGCTTTAATGTAATTTACTTCATATATATCAGATATGTACAGTGAGTTGTCTTAATCAATTTATCCTTTGGCAAATTGGACAATGCAGGAGAGAAGGGGTTATCAAACTTACTATATCTTCCTCTGTGTCGTAAGCAAGTTTATGCGCAAAAATGCTTGTTTTGAAGAGGTTTTGATAATGGTACAACTTGGAGCTATCGTTTAGTTGCCTTCCCATAGTTTTTTGAAGCATAACATTCATGAGTATGAACAAACAAGCCACGCTCAACGGCTTTAGTGTATCTAAAAACAAAAGTTGATAAGTATAATGTTTGGGGTCTCAAGTTTATTGATTTCATATTAGTTAAGCTATATATATATATCCAGTGTTGAATCGAGGTCAGTTTCCACGCGCGTAGAAGAAAAGTGGCATGGCCTGGCTCTAGGGAATTTCCCTGTATATCATTATTCATTTAATATATTCAAAAGAGCTATACGTGTTAACTTGGTTTTCCCCCAATCCACGTGAGTGCATGAATCCTAGAAACGTTTCAGCCCATGAGAAACTCAAAACTCTAAACTACTTTTAAGTCGATTTTTTTCAAACTTTTTACCGTCTTCCTCTTCAAAAATAAAAAGTTGATTTTTTACTTGAAACTATAGCGAAGTAAATTATCCAAAAAAATAAGACTGACGATGGTTTAATGGTTTAATGTTTTAATATTCAGCTTCGTTGGGGACCTTCCCAAGCACGCGAAAACCGATTTGGGAGCGTCCGCCTACTATTCTTATCTGTATATCTCCTTAAAATCTCAAACTTAAGTGGAGATTATTAACTAAAACCTTTTTATTAATACGTCTAGTTAATTGACCACTCAAAAATTAAATAAATATTTTTCAGTTTTCAAAGTCAGAGTTTTGAAACCACTCAAAACGGTATAGATTAATGCAAGAGAAAGATTACAAGGTACTTGGGTAGGTATAGAAGAATTAGATCAAGTGAGACCATAACTACTGTGAGATCCCAGTTATACACGATACTGGATTACTTTCCATATCAGATAGGCGTCAGTTGCTGGTACACAAAGATCGGTTCGAAAACTAATACGGTATCGCGTAACTGGGGGCTAACTTTGCCAATCTATGTTTAGCCTTTGTCGTGCTGCATAAAATATTATCACCATCCTTTAGATCTAACTCTTTTATAATATGCTGCTACTGAGAGAACAACTTTACTCGTTTACTATAGTAAACTATAAACTGACTTACATTAGTATAAAGCAACTAATATATAACTTTATAATATTTTCTTATACACATTCTCTAGAAAGCTCTCTATCTCTCTCAGTCTCTAATTGTTACATCCGCAGAAATTCGACAGACTTTATATTTGGAGTGAAAACGCGCAGTAATTATAGCCAAGATTCTTATAATATACACCCTTAAAAATGATTTCTCTATATAGCATAAAGTTCTCGTTTAAACATACCCATGATATTCATTTTATTATTCCTGAGTGTCTTGTATGCTTCGAAGTCTTGTCAGCTGTGGTCCAAATGATGAACTGATGCATTTCTATCAAAACGGGACTCTTTTTATAGCCATGTACTTTCGCTGCATATTTACCGGATGTTTTTCACATATATATGAATATATAATAGATCACCTAAATATAGGCTATTTTGAAATATATTTGCTTTATATTAGACTGAACAATGGTAAATTGCTTGTAAATATACCAAAAGCAAACAAACTTGAAGTTTTAAAAGTTTCCCCTGTGCCAAATAAAGTCTGTTTGTTTGCAGTGTTTTTGTTTCCATTTTTGAAGCAAATCCTGTAAGTTGATGGATACCATCATCAAAATATTCCTAATTCTTACAGTATTTCAGATCAGATCATTCTCTAGTCCTTCTCAAAAAATTCTGGGAATACGTTGTCCCACAAGTATCGTGTTACAGTATTCCTACTATGGGACTGTTCCTTATTTAACTTATCAACTAGTTCCTATCGACACTGTGTCAGGAATGTCTTAGAAATTGCTTTAAAAATAATTTCTAAGTTAGTGTATCAGTTTTGTTAGCTCAAAGTATATATTTTTTCTTTTAAAAATAATCAGAAGTTTTTATGTGAAACATTTTGTAGTAGACTAATATGTTTGTTGTTTGCAAACAAGGAAAGCGTAAGAAATAAGGTAATTTCTAACAACCGCGAGTGTATTTGTTTTGTAAAACATCTTCAAATATAAGTTGTTGGAAATTCTTCAGCTATACTTCCACCTTTTCATTTTTAATTCAATAATAAACTATACAGATGTTCGTACCCATGATTGACATGCAGAATAAGTCATTCTGTATAATTGTTCGTTGATTTTTGATATTTTTTTCTACATGTTTGAAGGGAATTTGAGTGATGATTTCAAAAACGATGCGAAGGATTGTGAAATCTTTCCAGGAGATGAAGCTGTTCTATCAATGCCAGGTATTCTTCAGGTATTCTTCTTTTAGTATCATAAAATACGCACCCTGGGAATCCGAAATAATCATAGAAAATAAGAATAGCAATTTTGCAACAATACTGAAACATTTTGCAACTAAAGATTTCCGGATGAAGCCACCACGCGGACATATACACCGGTAGTCCTGCGTTGTATGTGGCCTTATTTTAGCAACCTTGCAAGGATGATATTTTTACGAAAACTTTCAGGCAGTGACATTAGCTTTCTGCAGGTTCCCGCGAAAGCGAAAGGAAACGACCAAAACTGTATTTGCATATTGGTTTTCCCCTGTCCAGCCCTCCTGTGCAAAACCCGGTTCTAAAACGTCATAAGTTTAATGTAAATATTACGTGGGCGATGTTCTATGAAGTGTCTCAAAAGTCTAAACAAAGATTTCATTTTTTCAACTAGATTCTGCTTTGGTTCCTTCCAATGGTTATCATCAGAAATTATCCTCCGAAGTTATAAACTCATCATACGGGATTTGCTCAAAGGTAATGGTGCGATATTAACAATTTATGTGTTGCTAGACTTGATTAGATACAGTCATTATTATTCTATGTCTCTCCATTAGTTCAACCATGCATGCATCACAATACGAGAATCTCATCCCAAAATTTTGGGTTATACGAAGCTTTTACAACTCATGATTTTGTTTTGAATGCTTTCTGGTCTTCTGGATGCGCGACAGATTAGCCGCGGCAATCTGAATTGCCTGGTACTTTTTTATTAGGCAATTAATAAGTAGTCTGTTTGTGGGCAGACAATTCAATTGCATGAGGTGTGTACAACAAAACTACCCACGTTTACGATTGTCTTTAAGATTATGTACTTTCCCTGGGAGATCTAAACCATTTTTGAACAGCAATGAATTCTTCAGAGCGTCAGGTTATTTTAGGGTGTGTTCCAACGTACATGTTCTAAGCGACACAGAAATGAATTCAACAGATCATATGGTATATAACATGCGCTGTTTCTTTACGCCAAAACCTTGCCAATACAATATACCAACTCTTCAGTGATTATTATACATCATACTTTTTGGAAACACTTTATTATTGTATTAACGTGATACAAATTATAACAATCAAGTTTATATGACTTCCAGCTACAACCCAAGTTAATCTATAATTTTATCCAATTTACGGCTAAATATTACATATTTATGAGATATTTATTTGATGCACAGCATCTACTTTGTGAAATTCACGAGAAAAACATTCATATTATTATCCATGCCGGAAGGTTTATTTCGATTTATTGGGACACTTTGGAATGACACAAGAACTACTTTGAAAATAGCCTTGCATATCCGCAACATCATGGTTTAAATTCACCAATATTTGTACGCGGACGTAGTACCAGTCTTTCTTCGACGTCGCGCCAGTTGTGGTGAGCTTGGCTGGCTTGCTACTCTGGGTGACAGTTGAAAAACCAAGATCTTTTTGCTGGAAAATGAATGAGTATAATAATCTGATTGCCAACTCTACATTTATACAAGGTAGCTCTGACTATAACACTTCCAGAAAATGCTCTTCTTTGAGCGTTTTCCCTGTTAGTTCTCTGCATGATCTAGCTGGAGTTTTTGCCAAAATAAAGTTGGACGTTTTTTAACAAGAATCTCGAAAGTATAACTGAAAGTTGCTGAATTGTCGAGTACAGTTGAGTTTCTAAAATGTTGAAGTTTTTTAACTGCATGAGGTGTTGAAATGAATGATAATTCGCCCTTACTATTTTGTTCATCCATAATTTTATCAAGGTCAGCTGCGGACCCAGTAATCTGCTTTTGTTCTGGCATTTTCCGCTCTGGAAATGGCGTGTGATTTCATAATTGTGAACTTGATGTCTGATGATTCTTTTCAAAATCTCTTGCAAGAAATCTTCAATCTAAAAGCATTAAGATGTGCGAGAAAAAATAAGCAAACTTAGTTGAATCATCAGTTGTAGTATTTCGTTCCACCCAGACATCTTCTCTCTCAATCCTACCTTCAAACGTCTATCAATCCTTGTGGTATTGTATCCAGGAATGGTCCTCTTTGGCGGGCTCGTGCAGTCTTTCTTCCCTGAAAGAGCTGTCTTTATGCACTAAATGAGAGAATATTTACCTCTAAGAAGCCATGCAGCCAATAAAGAATAAGTTTATTCAGAAACTGATACAGCTATTCTGTATAAATAAAGTTCGTTGAAACTCACATCCGCAATAAGACATTGTCGTAGATCTTTCATCAGTGTTTGTAACTTGCTCAAGTCTTTGTCAACATTTTCACATAATGCTTTATTATCTTTCAGACATTGTGCAAAGCTGTGTCCACACATGGCGAAACTTATCAGGACTGTGACAAGGAAGGAAGCTCCTAAAAAGTGGCAAAAGATTTGAGCGTAAATCTTGGAATAAACTATACGCTAACTACGCCATGCAATGGTAAGTGATTGAGTTGCAATAAGCAAAACTGACAACGATACAGCTGCCGTACGATATTGTTCAATTAAATACATCATATACCTGGTGTTTTCTTGCTGACGAAAGCCATGAAATCTTTTTAAACAGTCTTTTTTTCCAGTCTTGTTGTACTTGTATCGAGTTTTCAAACGAATGCATCTCACATTTAGCTCTCCTCCTTTTATACCATGGTTAAAAACACTGCCGCCGTTGTAAAAATCCATTTTGGTAAAAAATTACCCCAGGAGGACTTCCCAATGCAGGTCCAGCTCCAAAACGATACAAGTGACGTTTTTATTCTTCAGCTTCCCATGCATTGATGGAGGTAATTTTCATTGTGTTTCGCCAGGACCCGAAACCTATTAAAGCTGAAATTACTAAAAAATTAAAAATTGTCGAATTCCGCGAGTTTGTTTTGCTCAGTTGGATACTGGAGAAATATTTCAGACCAGCAAGTGAAACCATTCAAGATTGGCTGGTTTTTACCCTTGTTTGATAGTTTGAATGCTCGTTTTTATAACGTTTGAAACATGTTAAGATTTCAAGTCTTCAACTCGTTTCTTGTGGGAGAATTTCAGATTTCTCATCGTGAAATGTTTGCATCAAGTTTGGTCTTATCTAAAGACAATTATTATCATCAATATTCAATCATTTCGTTAAAATAGTCTATGAATATAGTAGCTTTGGAAACTAATTTTTCCCTTTCCTAAATCTTCCGACGTTGATATATAAGTTTTGAGCATCGATTTGGTGGTCAAAAGCTTCAAATCAGAACTTGATAATTAGTTCATCAACTGCCTAAAATATATACAGCCGCCACAGGAACACTGGTTTCCGTCTTACCCTAGGGGTTTACGTTTTAAGAGAGTTGCTGTGAAAGGTACTCTCTTTCGATGAATACCCGAAAGTCTTGTTAAAGTCTTGTGTTTGCTGCATTTCTCAGCACTAATGGGATTTAGGCTCTATATGCCAAGTGCATGCAGACATGTTTAAGAGTTAACAGTATAACATTTGTTTCGCTTTATCTCTGCTCCCCAGGGACTCTCATGCAGAGCCGAGGCGAGGGCAAAAAGAGCAATTTGCCCAAGTCTTGGGGGTGAAATGATGGGAGTATGTATTGTAATAGAAATAAGTGGGAAGGAAGCTGTACTCAAATTATTTTTCTGCAGGTTTCTGAGCGCCATTTAGCGGGGGTCTATATTTGTGACATTAGTAAATACAAGAACGGTAACTTGCATGATATAAGCTAAGAGTTTTTGATTATTTCGTAGGTTGTCTGGCCCGATTACGACAAGCAATTAACGATAGATCTGACAGGGATCTTATAGCGATAATCCACTGTTTTTTTTTCATATTTCGACAAAGCTATTTCAGTTGATTACTTAGGAAAACCTCTCCGTATTGACGCAGTGTTTAATGTTAATGCTGGGGTGCAATGAACAGTTTTAAGCTGTCTGATCTTTCCTGCGACATCAGCTAGTAATTATAACAATGTTCATTTAAACAGAGGATTGTAACTAGCTCTCCTAACTATAATCTTTGCCAGCTGGTTTCAGAAAAAATAGAGCCAGGACCTCTTTGGGTGGGGAAGGGAGAAAAAGGGTGGCACAAGCAAGGGTCACCCCTGTCTGCCTCAACCTTAACTGTTCACAAAGGCCAAACTCAGAGTGTGGTCAGTGCAGGCCGTATGATTTTCTTGCATGAATTCTGTTTGTGATGACGAAAAGTACATCAAAAACATGCACAATCTTCCCATGTGTCATTCTTGCATCTTCAGACATTTTATACATCATAGTTATCTTGCAAATACTTTATTTTTTCAAACTTATAATGCTACATTTTACAAATTACAATTATAACAATTAATTACTACTTAATTAACAATTAATTAACAATTATAACAATTAATTAAGATGACGACTTCTAACTACAGTCATCGTAGTTTAGTAAAATATCAACTAAACATTTAATGTATGAGATTTTTACTTGATGCATGGCATCTACTTTATGAAATTCACAAGAAAAATTATTTAATTTTATTTAATTTGATTTCCATTTCCAGGTGGATTTATTTGGATGTCGTGGAACACTTTGGGATGATGCAGTGACGCTTGTTGAAATATCCTTGTATATCCGCAATATCGTGATTCAAATTGATCAGCATTTGTACACGCACGTAGTACCAGTCTTTCTTCGATTTCGCGCCAGTCGAGGTGAGTTTTGGCGGGCTGCTAATTTGTGTGGCAGTTGAAAAACCAAGTCCTTTTTGCTGGATAAAAAATAAATTAGTTTATTAGTCCTAAGGGAAACCTACAGGAGAAAACTCACTTTATTTATACTGGATAGCTCTATCACTTCTAAACTGTTCTTCCTAGAGGTCCAGTAAGAATCATCTCTTATTGATCCAGTGTCATTACAGGAGGAAAACTAAACTAAACTAACTTTATTTATACTGGATAGCTCTATCAGTTCTAAACTGTTCTTCCTAGTATACACTGAATGATAATCATTTCTTACTATAATGTTCATCCATGTCATCATCAGGTTAAGCTGAGGACCAACTAATTTGGTTTTTGCGTAGCATTTCACGGTTTTAAAATGACGTCTGATCTTGTGGTTGTAAATTTGATGGACGACGATCCTCTTCAAAATTTCTTGCAAAAAATCTTCAATCTAAAATCATTACATGTCCCTTTATGAATGCAATCGAAAATAACCAAAATATTAAATGAACAAATGTATCTTTCAGTCATTGTGTCCTTTCCTACCTTCAAACTTTTGTCAAGTCTTGTTGCATTATATCCAGAAATGTTTTTCTTAGGCGGGTACGTGCAGTCATAATTGCTTGATAAAGATGTGTCTTTGCACTAAAAGAGAGAAATTAATCGTTGACATGGTCATACAAGAGAAGAGTATTTGATTGAAGAGTATTTCAGTTCATTCTATAAACACCACTTTTCCCTCCGCCGAAATATTTAAAATTTGTATATTTAATCCTCTATAGAGCTATCTGTACATTATCCAGTATTTTACAATCTGTTTAGTGGTTTTATCCCGTAGTGACACTGGATCAATAGGAGATGATCCTTGATGTAAACGTAAGGAAGAAGAGTTTACTGGCAAATGATAAAGCTAACCAATGTAAAGTTAGTTTAGTTATGAAACTTACCTCATCAATAAGGCATTGCAATAGGTCTTTTATCAACACCTGGCACTTGTTCAAGTCGTTTTTAATATTCTCACACAATGCTTTCTGGTTTTTATCTTTAAAACATTGTGCGAAGCCGTTGCCACACAGCGCAAAACATATCAAAATTGCCAGAAAGCCTGAAATATAGTAAAATAAAATAAATGATAACGATAAATAGGCTTTCTTTTTTAATAATATCTGAAGCTACTGCCGTGAATGTATTGTGAAAATAGAATGCAATGTACCTGAAGTTTTCGTTGCAAATGCAGTAGCCATGAAATCTTTTGAAACAGTTTATTTTTTCCCTGTCTTGTTGTACTTGTATTGACTTTTCGAACGAATGCCTCTCACATTTGGTTTTCCTCATTTTATACCACGATTTATGAACACTGCTGCGATTGTAAAAATCCATTTTGGTCAAAAAAAAACCCTATAGGTGAACTTCCCAACGCTGGTTCAACTCCCAAACGATGCAAGTGACGTTTCTATTCTATTTGTATTTGTTTTTATTATTATTACAGCTTCCCATGCAATGATGCAGATAATTTTCATTGTTTTTCCTAAGGTGCGAAACTTATTCAAACTTAAATTGAAAAAAAAATTAAATTGTTGAATTCCGTTAGTTTGTTTAGCTCAGTTGGATACTGAAGAAGAATTTTATATCACCAAGTGAAACCTCGGAATATTTGCTGCTCTTGACCCTCGTCTGCTGATTTTTTTGGCTGTTTTTATAAAGATTGACACTTGGTAAGATTTAGGGTTAAGATTCTGGGTTTTTTCAAGAGGAATTTAAAATTAATTTCGTAAAATAGCTATATGCATCAGGGTTTGTTTTTTTAACTAAAGATGTAGTTATTGTTATCAATATTCAATCATTTCGTTAAAATAGCTTTGAATATAGCGAACGTTAGAAACTTATTTTTCCCCTTCCCACACTTCAGTCATTGATTATTTATCCTTATTACTTTAGATTTTCAATCCAGCCTGCAGTTAACCTGCCAATGTTGCGGTAGCTATGAATGGTGGTTTGAAATGTTGAATACAAATAACCCGACGCGGAGTATTTTATATTTAGTCGGATGCTATCCACGACAGGCAAGTGTCATAATCTTCAAATAACTGGGATAACGTTTTATACTGATAAACTGCCTAAAATATATACAAACACTTCTTAATCTATAGGGGTTCGTCAAATGCTGTACTATGAAGGATAATACGAGACTTTCGATCGATATGAAAACAACTATATATAATTATATATGAATTAAGTTCGTCCCGGCAGCCATGCAATCATAGCGAGATGTTTCATCTACATACATGGTAAGATCGATTTAAACTTGCCAAAATAAAATGTTATTTGTGCCTAAAATTTCTTCCAATTTCTACCATTTTTTGTCGCTGTCATGTCGACTACAATCGGGCTTGATGTATATCGATTTTTTAGGCAATATTTGGTATGCGGTTTTAACGAAACTCTCTGCAAAACATTACATTGGCACCATTAAGTAGGATTTTCATGGTGAGTTCTTTCGAATTTTTAATATGTATAGATATTAATATATAGAACATGAGAGAAATGGTTTGCCATGCCCCGTCTTTATTTGTCTATACGAATCTGAATTCTCTAGATACGGTTGTTTGCTGTGCATGATCACAGCAATCGCCTCTCACCTGCATGCATTTGTTGAATTTCACCACTGTTTGGTATATGTTTGCGTATTACTGCATGAATGTTTACAATTTGATTAATGATACTGAAATATATATATAAAGGTGCATGTTTGTAGCTGCATACGACTAAATAAATATTTATGTAGAAGCTAGGTATAAGGTGATATTAAAGTATATTATATGTTAATATTTAGACATTAAACCTGGTTTCCGTTCTGTCGTGATTGGCGTGAACAAGTCATTTTTTACGTATGAGAAAATAGCGCTTTGGGGCCTTAAGTTATGACGGAATGATGACAGAATTAAGACGAATTATGTTATATGAAAACCAGCCTTAAATACTTGAATTAGTTGTAAAAAAGTTTAGTTGAATGCGACCAAGGAGTCCCGTTCTAAATTTGTCTTAATTTCTGTATTCAAATTCATTATTGCCATGATTGTACATGCATACATAGAAATACTATATCGCATCAGCCACCTTGATATGTTCACGACAAGTACGACGAAACCTAAATCTTTATCTCATTATTGTCTAAATTGCATTCGACTCGATCCGACCAAAATACGACGTATAAACTACCCCTTATCCAAGGTATACGATGCTTCTGGCAAAGTCACTGAGTCTTGGCCAGTTAGGGCTAGAATCTGTTCTGTGTTTTCTTCAGCTTGTCTGGGTTCATATTCCCTAGGCTCGTGGTTCAAATCTTCCGCATTACCATTGGTACTTTTTTTTCTTTTTCTGTGCCAACACAATCCCAAACCAACGATGATTGTCACAAGCGACAGAACGCCAATTGAAATACCAATAGCTACACCAATTTTGTTACTGCTCGATGACGTGCCCTCTAAAGTATGACCAACAAATGTCAGTTTAACAGTTTTGTTATCACCATTTACTCGATAATGGTGATGTATTTTGGCGCTAATTACTCGTGATCATTATGAGTGATTTAAGAGTAACAAATCACACGGTCTGATCATAATTAACCTTATTTTTTACCGATTTTTTGCTGTCGATAGCAAATCGTCTGCGCGTGCGTGCGTGCGTGCGTGCGTGCGTGCGTGCGTGCGTGCGTGCGTGCGTGCGTGCGTGCGTGCGTGCACGTATAAAATGACGTAAAGGAATTAGGGAAAAAACCTCCGTATGGCCATGTGTCAGCGAATTGGGAGATTCCCTTCGAAAACTATGAATTTAAACGCCGAAAATCTCATTTAATCTTGAAACATTCAGCCATAGAAATTTTATTTTACATATATAGACTATGGACATATACCACGTAATTTATTTGCCATTTTAACGTCCTCTTTGACGTTCAAGTCCTCATGTTAAATCTGCATAATACTGATGCCATTTGAAAGCACTTCTATACTGTCAGGGTTTGAATATCTTTAAATACAGAAAATCAGAAACTTACCTACCATTATTGATGATGACACATTTCTCTTCGCAGGCCCCCTGGTCAAAACCTTCGTTCCCGCAGTTGATGCTTGGGTTCTCAGGACAGTTTGAACAATCGTCGGTAAAACTTGATCGGAACTGATTTTTAGAGCAATCATTTGTGAACACTCTCGTTGTTAATATATGAATCACCAAAAGTTTCAGAATTATTTCTGCGGTTTTTTTGTGATACATTTCAAAGATCGAAAGATGCACCACCATTAGACTAAGGAACGATTCTGTCCCTATGACCTAATGTTCTGAATGTTATATCTATTTTAACTCTTTTGTTATGTTAATCATACATAAAGTCATAAACAAATTATCCAATAAAATCTTTATGACGAACATTTGGTCGAATAAACCTTGTGGTAAGGTTAGGAAAAGGGTTAGAAAAGACAGACGAAAATTATGTGAAAAAATTTCGAATAAGAGACGAGAATTACGCTAATGACGCCTTACAAGCGGCTCAGCAACTCAGGCATGAGTGAACTTGGCTATAAGAAGTTATGAGATCATCGTGGTGACGTGTGGATTTAATTTTAATAATTAAGATTTTCAATAAACATTCTTTATTTGGGACGTTTCAGACAATGTTTGCTGTCTAAAGAATGTGGTAAAAAAATAAAAAATAACCCCTGGTTGAAGCTAGAAGTATACTTTTTAACAAAAATTAATTCTTTAATTCATGTACAACGCAGTGGTACAAAGGTACAATTAGAATTTGTAAAATGACGTATTGCGTTAAATCAAATATGGCCGCGAATTTTTTATGTTCGAAGTACTGTATATAACTGCAACTAATTCTTCAATAATGCATCCTAGAAACAAATATTTCAATAATCCTGCAGACTTTGGAAAACTAGGAGAAAAATATTCTAAATTTCGCAAGTATTTAGTGCGAACATCGAGTGGATATACAATAAATTTCAAAGATCCAAAAGCTTTGCGTGAACTAACAGTTTGTCTTCTTCATCATGATTTTGGATTGACGGTTGAGTTGCCTCTTGATAGACTTATACCAACTATCACATTAAGATTGAACTATATTCATTGGATTGAAGATTTACTTCAAATGTTACCAAAGAATGATCAGACACAGATTACAGGAATTGACATTGGTAAGTTTAATATTGGTAGTACCTTATAACCAGGGAGCAGCGTGGTTTGCGTGGTAGTGCCTTCAAACAACTTCGCATCAAATGTGGTATATTTTAGGCAATTTTTATACCACATTTGATGCTAAAACATCACTTATATTAATTGTTTTATTCAAATGCTTATTGAAACATCATACCTTTAATCAGAATATGATGAGTCTTACAAATTTTTTGTAATTAAAATATATTATATTTCCATAAAAAAATAATTTCCTAATTAATCATAAATAGCTGTAGCTTACAATAAATTTTGTTAGTGCAATATCACATATGCTCATATAATCAGATGGTAGTCATCGCACAGGTTAGACGTCATCTGCGTCATCTAGTGTTTCAACTTTGTCAATGGCAGTATTAACTCCTTCACTTGTTAAGCGGGACCTGACATTGGGTTGACATTCAGTTGCATCATTGTGTTCTGTGGCAATATTTGAAACAATTGGATGTGTGACGTTGACTGTTGAAGAGACAAGTGTGCTTGTTGTGAAAAATCTCCTCCATATTTGTTTTGAAAAAACTACTGATATTATTAATAGGATGCTAACAGGCACAATAACGCATAGCCATATTGCCCAGGTTGGAAAGCCTTTGTTTGCTGACGAGTCTTCATTGAAGTCTAAAATAAATCACATTCGAGACATTTTAATTTTAAAATAGATAGATTTGTTTTATTGGAGTTTTAAATTAATTTCTGCAGCCTAAGGCTATCGTACATACCTTTGTGTGATATATGTTCACTGGTAGACTCTGTAAGTGTAGTTGGGTCAGTCAAGTTGGCTGTAAAATAACAATATTTACCTAATTTATACTGTTGATAGGATTTTCATTACGGAATCTCTTTGTCACATTCAGGGAATTTTTCTTTAAAATACAGAGTTATTTCTAATAGATTAATTTCTGCATCCTAAGGGTTATGGTACATACCTTCATATGATATATTTTTACTGGGAGTGGAAGATGCTGTAATAGTCTTAGTGTTGAGGTTAGCTGTAAAAGAACAAAATTTGCTTTATTTATACCGTTGATGGGATCTGTGGAGGTTTAATGTGAATATAAACAATCTGGTGTAGCAGATACCTAATTAGGTAACCAGTAAAAGGAACACTGAGGCATGTTGGTTTTACTGGTATATGGTGGAGTTGACAGTTATGTATGTATATTTATAGTTATGGTAAAGAGCAGAGAACCAAACGCAGTGGCTATAGAGCTTGTTAAAAGGGGAGAGGGGGGGTCAAAATATTCGCAAACAATTAGATTATGAAAGTTTTGGTGAATAAGTCTGCCACGCTGAAGCCTCACTTGGATTAATGCCAGGTCAAAACGTCAATACATTATGACGTCAAACGTGGAAAGACTTATTAAATCGGACTTTGACCATTTTACCTCATGAAAAAATTGCTTTGCTAATCAAAAATTTGTGCTTTCTGATAATCACGAAAAACATTTTACAATTTTTGTTCTTTTTCGTATTTACGTAAATGCGAATGAACATTTGAACGAATAAACGAGGGAATAAATATATACCTTTACTCAAGTTCATTATATCTCTTAAATTACCTTAGCGGCCGTCTATACTGTGTGGTAAATTACACTTCGTAAATAAATGACATAAACGTTTATCAACTCACCACATTTTAGACAACTGAGATAAGCATCTGTGTACAAAGATTTGAGATTTCCACAACCCAGTTTAGTTTTAGGGCAAGGTATGCATGGAGGTAAATCAGACGAATACGTCGGAAATTCCTCACTACTACAGACAACACGAGCTTGAATACGGTGATTCAATAAAAGAACTGCAAAAAAGCACCACGTAACTCGCCTTGACATTACGCAAACTTAATTAAAACTAAACCTCGCTCTAACGAAGCTCTTCCTTGTTTGAAGAACAAGCGCTAATGGAAAATGACGAATGAAAACGTGTTTTCCGTTCGATCATTAAGCCATTAGGGGAAGCCCCCAAAGGGGAAACCCCCATGACCTTGACCCCTTTCTTCATTGAACAATTTAACAGAGTCGATTCACAGAGAATTCCGAATGAAATAACTTAAGCACGCAAAAATATGTTATTTAAAACCAGACGGAGGTTGAAACTGTTTTTTTTTTACTTGTTTTAAAGTCGTCTTTAGACTGAATATCGGTTTAGTTTGGCATATATCAATGCTAGTGATCAGGTTTCTAGCCAGAGGCAGAATTTTATAGGTGTGTGACATTGCATCAGATTGCTGATTGCTAGGGGTGTACTCTTTCAAGCTCGTACCCAGGTTTGTCCCTCCTGGGAAAGAGGCTGGTACTCTTCAAGGCGGGCAAAGCTGCCTTGCGGGCGTGACTTCGTGACCTTCGTTTTTTTTTAAAAATTCCTGAATTCTTATTTGAATCGTCAAGTCACACTGGTTTTTGACAAAACGGTCTGTAAATAGCGTGAATAGTTTTATTTTTAGCGTGTTGACGGAATCATCCGTCCAAAAAATCTCCGGAATGAAAATCTCCTGAATCTTCCTTATCTATGACAGACAGGTACGTTATCTCCTGGATAAATTGTTGATGAAGTTGCTGAATATGCTGAATATCACTGATGTACAGATGCTGAATATCACTGATGTACAGATTTCAACTTTATAATAATTAAGAAAAAGTATACAAAATTATGCAGAGAAATTATATTACTATTTATCTGCTTCCACAAAAACGAGTGTTCAAGCATGTCGTCTGGTAAAGCTATGTTTAGTTGAATTAAGGCCAGCTTCCACTTGCACGTACTGTTCGTGCGCCAGATTTGGCGCATGATCAGGGATTCGAAACTGGTCGCTAATGCCGGCCGTCGCGGTTCATTTTTTGTACGTATGAGTGATTGTGTGTAGAACTCTAGAACTGCAGTCAACTTTCAAATTATTACTCTGACTCTACGTGTTTCAGTAATTCCTCTTGATCGCTGATATCTTCCGTTTTTCCTAAAGATTGAGGACATTCACCTAGGGTATTGTTGTCTCCTGAAGTGCCTGCTGCAGCTGGCTGTACCTCTATCTGTCCTGGAGGTGCTTCGCCTCTTTCCATTTCATCAATATTAGCTGTAAATAAAATTACATGGCTAGTAAGCTGTAGCCTGTAGTCGCAGAATATCACTAAAAACCATATGAGTATATGTATGTCTTTTTGATAATAACCATATGAGTATATGAGTATCCCCTTGTAATAACCTTATGAGTATATGTATATCCTTTTGATAATAACCATATGAGTATATGAGTATCCCCTTGTAATAACCTTATGAGTATATGTATGTCCTTTTAATAATAACCATATGAGTATATGAGTATCCCCTTGTAATAACCTTATGAGTATATGTATAACCCTGTTGTAATAACTTTATGAGTATATGTATATCCTTGTGATAATAACCATATGCGTATCCCCTGGATAAAAACAATAAAATAATAACCTGCACGTCGAGATTGGCGTCGAGCTCTATACAGCTTTATTAAAAGCAATATGAAGACAACTCCAACGACTGCGGGTACCGCAATTTCAACAAATTCTAAGGTGTCAAACGAGGAACCTGGAGATCTTGTTTGTAGAAAACCTACAAAAGAATCTTAGTTGAATTTCTTTACTATAACAACTTTCCGTAATGACTACAGTCATGTCAATATTGAACCACAATCAACAGATGTATTGCAGTAATCTAACGCTCCCGACAACAAAGGCCTTTAGGTCAAAATGTCATCAACTGTTTTGTCTGTGTGTTTATGCTCAGACACGCAGGTTTTACATGATTTGAACTTTTACATTGTTTTACATGGTTTTACATTGTTTTACATGGTTTTTAAACATCCGGATTTGAACCATTGATAATAAATGTCAAACTTTTCATCTATTGCTTTACGGAATTGGTGAATCCCAAAGCGAAACGAAAAACGTTGTTTTGTCCCATGCTGACTCAGAAATTAGAAATTCAAATTTCAGAATTTGAGGTAAAATACGGAATTTTGTAAACCCCCTTTCGTGAACTTCCTCTTTTGTCTAAGTATATGATCACTTTTTCTGGATAACCGGGTTTCAACTGGTTCTGGTAGTCACAACCACAGAGGGGAATACCGCGACTGACTCATTGCAAGTTGATATCAGTTCCTTTATAGACGGAAGATTATTTATAGCCAAATATTGATGAAAAATCACAAATAGTAAGAAAGGCAATATACTGATTTAACTTGTTATCTGGACTGATTTAAGCTTTGTATATCATAGCAAGTTGTTAGCAAACATTCTAAAGTGTTACAATAAACAGCGTTATTAAGGGGAAACCCTTGCTTGATCCCGTGGTCTTAAAGCTCAAGTCAGCAAAATTTTCTTGCGCACAATCTTTTAATAAACCCAGAAGTAAAAATTGAATTTCATCTGATGTCAAATCAGGACTGCAGGTCAAATATAAATCCTTTGAAGCTAATGAAACATGTACTGATTGTAACAGTTTCAATAACTGTTTTGTATTACGTAATTTAACTGTTTTATATAATTACGTAATTAATTATCGTTTTGGTGTAAGTCTGTCTGTGTCTGGATTGATTTTGTGTATGATATATTTTTCAAAGCTTTTTATTATTTATGTAATTTCCCTCTCTTTATTGCACCTACCGCAATCCCTTAGGCAGTTTTCATAGGCTATATCCATAAATCGTTTGAATGAATCACAACCAACTTTCGAGTTTGGGCAGGCAATGCAGGGAGGGTCGCCGTCTCCCGTTGGAAATTCATTCTTTCCACAACTCTGCGACATGATGTCTTGATGTGGCTTTCTTGATCCTCAGTCGGTCAACTTTCTTGATCCTCAGTTGGTCAACTTTGTTGATCCTCAGTCGGTCAACAATTTGTGCAACTTCACCTTTTATTTGCACCTTCACATGATCACATCTCGAATGAATGCAACAGTCAGCCAAAATATGGGTGGATAACCACCTGACACGTGGTATACGTCATCGGGAGATCACGTTTCATTACGTCACCAGGCTAAAATTGGCCTGATACGGGTAGGGTTAGTACAGGCTGCTTACTTAATTGTTGTGCGTATTTTAGGCACTGGTTCGTCCTGTGTTTATCCTCTTCTTGGAGCGAAGATTAATAATTGGAAATTCTGCGCTACGGAAGTTGATGAAATATCGTATCGTTTTGCAATCGAGAATGTGAAAAAAAATCATTTTGAGGAAACTATACGAGGTATTATTCTGTAAGTGGGATTGAGAATCTAACTGGTTGAACTGGTCATGACAAACAAGGTCATGACAAACAAGATGAACTGGTTAAACTGGTTGAAAAACCCAGTTTAGCGGGTTCAACTACTAGCAAAGTTTCTGTGTTTTTTCTCACACTATTCCCTCATGTTTCTAGTACATCTGGCGACACCAGACGTAATCTTGGTGGACTTGTTGAAGGAGGGCGAGCAGTATGATTTTACTATGTGCAATCCACCATTCTTCGCCGATAAGTCGGAAACAGTTGGGAGCTCGAGAACTGGCGATCGTCCCCGACCGAGCTCTGTGTGTACAGGTTCAGAGTCTGAGACGGTGACTTCGGGAGGAGAGGTGGCGTTTGTTGGAAGAATGATTGAAGACAGTTTAAGACTGGGGTCTAGAGTTAAGTAAGTGGGAACCATTTAATGAGTTTTACCTCAAAACACGGGGACTCTGAGGGAGACTTTTTACTAGCAAAGAACTTGACCACTCATTGAAGAGACAGAGGGATTTCCCTAGCCAAGCACATGATCATGGCCAAGTTCATTCAGGGAGGAACGTACTCAGTTTCGCTGACCTTGTCCTTCTTGCATTTTACATAGATGGTTTACGTCAATGTTAGGGAAAAAATCAAGTTTAGCTTCCGTTTTAACAAAGCTAAGACAAAATAAAGTAAGTGAACTAAACTAATTTATAATGGATAGCTCTATCAGTTTTAAACTGTTCTTATTCATCTCTTATTGATCCAGTGTTACTACAGGAGGAAACCTAAACCAAACTAACTTTATTTATCCGTTCTAAACTTCCTCGATGTCATGTAAGGTTATTTTTAGATTCAACAGGAGGTTTCACTTTGATATGTTTAGATTTCCAATATTATCACCACAGAGTTCTGTCAAGGCAAGACAATGAGATGGGGAGTTGCATGGACCTTTTTATCGGATGTTCCGACGCAGGATACGCCAAAAAAAAGACGTAAAAATAAACCACTGGAGTTTACATTTTCTTCGACGTCAGTTTGTTCAAAAGAGGCACTTTCTGGGATAATGAATATCAATCAATACATCAATAAAATTTCGAAAAGATTTAAAGAAATGCTTAACAATCTTCAGGTCAGAATAAGTTTGTATTTAGTCAGATTAGATTAATGCGATCATATAAAATCTTGATTAAAACAAATATATCGTTAGAGTTTCAAACAAGACTGTGTACCAAGACTGTGGATCTGAGCAATTTCTCTCCTAACTTATATAGGTACAGGTTTTGTCTGAAAGTTCATCAGATGAAAAAAAGATGAAGTTATCGAGACTTCACTGTTGTGCTACCCATAATACCTGGGCCAACCAGAGACGTAAACGACGTGAAGCGGCTGGGAAACTGAAAACTAGTAAACAACTTTCAACCAAAGGAACTTCAGAAGATGAGCAATCAAAAAATCCACCAAGAACGTCAGAGATTAGCCTTGAAGAATTAGTTACATCAGATCAAGATACAGTTTCCAAAGTTTCAACTGGAAATAAACGAAGACACTCGTCTTCTCCTGATATTACAAAACGCAAGTTCTTAAAATCAGACGATACGGAAGAGAGTAAACAAGTGTTGATTGAGTTCGCCTTGTCTCTTGGAACTAAATGCAATGATCTTGTGGAAGATAATGTTTTACCTGAAATGTTTTTACAAATGGAATGGATTGACGGGCAAGATCGGAATTGCATGTACCAGTTGTTTCAGTATTTTAAAAATCGTTTTAGCTCCTAAGACTTTTCAGAAAAGAGAGATTAGTCAGGTGAATTTTGACGTGAACTACAGGATTTTTAAAACACCCTTCCCTCTTATACTTGAACGAAATCACGAGACACGTAGACACACGTTTGTCCCCGAAGACATCACGCGTGGGTTCACGAGATACCCACGCGGCCACGCCCAAAATTGTACACCATTAATAAACGAAGTCAAGTGATATTTTTCATATGATTTTGCTTTAAAAACTAATTTCTTGTCATTTTTTCCACTTGAGAACGATTAAAAGCGTGACATCGAGTTTAGCATATTGTGCATTAGGATACTATTTATGAAAATTGTTGTTTATTCGTCGTTTAATTTGGATATTTTGCAATGAGTGAGAAAGTATCCGTCGCGGAACAGAATGCTGCCAAAGAATTCATCATTTCGTTTGTGGAGAAGTGTGGTGGTATAGTTTATGAAAGTGTTGAAAGTTTACCGAAACAGTCAACTTCACTGCATTGTTCAAAGGATGAAATCGAAGGGGAATGTCTGTACATCGCTTTGGAGTATCTACGAAACAGGTAATTAACGAAAGTGAAAGGCAGATCTGTGTGAAATAATTAAGCAAATGTCGTTAGTTTGGTGTATTTTTAATTACAAATTATGACTTTTATGTGCATTTATTATACTGCTTTTCGCATACACATGAGGTTCATGAACCGGATATTCTATAGTTTATTTATTATACCTATTTTCTAAGCGAAACTCGTTCATTTTAGCCCTTAGCAACCTGAAACTTAAAAAGTTGCTGAGTTGTGTAATATTTGTCACATTCCTTAGAATGAGTTAACAACAACAACATATTGCTAACCCATTTGTAGGCATGTGAGATTATCTGTTGTAAAACAGAATAAAATGTTAAAGTTTGTGGGCAAAAGAAGCAAATAACAGGCTTGAGGTGGAAATATGTTTAAAAGGTCTCAAAATTTGACTTAAATTGCAGCAAGACTATACTGATTTCTTTTGTTGTCTTGTTTGACAGTGGTGCTCCAGAAATAGTGGCAACAACAGCTGCACACCAGACTATTGTGAAACTACTAAAACAAGATCTTCAGTCATTCGAGGAAGAGATCTCTGTATTTGATAAAAAAACTGATTCGGACGAAGAAGATGAATCAAAAATCCCGAGAAAAAATATAAAAGGTTAGTTAATTCTCATGTTTATAGACGATAAGCATTCTATGAACCATACTTGTACTCCAGGCAAGTTTCTTTTACATGCAATTATAGTAAAATCTTTTAAATTTGCTTAGCTGTGAACTGTGGTAAATTGGCAATTGCAACTATCAATGCAGTTCATGATGTTTGTAAGATGTGGAAAGAGAGTATGCCAACACTGTATAAATCTAGAAATACATACGAGGTTTACAGTCATTCAACACAAAATACAAGAAGGAGAATGGAGGATAGACATATGGTTATCACTGAATTCAACAATCTTTTTGGTTTAAATGAGGTATAGTTTTTGAAGATCTATTCTGTTAGCCTTGGAGATCCTGTGCAAATTTAGCTTCAACACAACCTTTATTTCTAGGAGTTTCCTAGCCAGGCTTATTTTGCTGTGTTTGATGGTCATGGGGGTGTTGATTGTGCAAATTACACAGTTGCTCATTTTCATAACAACATTGCAAAGCAAGATGAGTTTACTACTGATCTGGATGAGGCTTTGTCCAAAGCCTTCCTTTCCACAGACAAACATTTCACAGAGAAAGCAAAAAATGAGGTAATGTTGTAATGAATAATAGGAGAAGCAATTTAGTCATGAATGTATATGCAGAAGTAACACCATAATAAAACAATTAATGTTGCCCTGCAGAACTACTAGATAAGGAACTTTTAATGTTGTCTATCAATTAATTTGTCATACTCTTTCAAATACGTTTTAGAACTTACGTGCTGGAACAACAGGTGTTGTAGCAATGTTGAAGGGTAACACACTAAACATAGGATGGTTGGGGGATTCTCAAATATCACTGTGCAAGCAAGGACAAGCAGTTGAATTGATGCAGCCGCATAAACCAAACAGAAAGGTAACAATTTGCCATGTTTCCCTCTAAAATCCTTAATTATGTAATTCTTAATTTTATAATTCCTAATTTTATAATTCTTAATTGTATAATTCATAATTTTATAATTCTTAATTGTATAATTCTTAATTGTATAATTCTTAATTGTATAATTCTTAATTGTATAATTCATAATTTTTGATTATATAATTTGTAATTCCTAATTGCATTATCTAATATGGCTATAAATATATCTGTTCAGGATGAACGAAAACGTATTGAAGATCTGGGTGGGTGTGTCATATGGATAGGAGATTGGCGTGTGAATGGAAATATTGCTGTATCAAGATCTATCGGAGATAAAGATCACAAACCATATGTTTCAGCTGATCCTGATACACGAGAATTTGATCTTGAAGGTAGCTCATGGCTTCAGTACCTAGCATACATCAGTATATCATCCTGTTTGTGCTGAATGATCCTCCTTCATTTAGGTGATGAGGAATACCTTATTTTGGGCTGTGATGGATTGTGGGATACAATCGCAGCTCCTGAGGTCATCAAAATGGTGCAAGATCATTTATCCAGTGGTGGCAGTCGTTCTTCTGTTGCTAAATTTCTTGTGGATCGCGCAATTGAACATGGCTCAACAGATAATGTTAGTGTAATAGTTGTATTCTTAGATTGTCATAGAACTGTCGGTGAAGAAGCCCCAAAGACCGCAGCAGCTGAGAGTGCTAGCGAAGGAACTGGGGAAAAGAAATCTGTGGAAACTCCTGGAGGCACAGAACAGGGGCATGGTGAAGAGAAAATGATAGAAAATTAGGTATCCTGCATTAAAATGTACATATATAAGATCTGCTCTGTGATAGACACAAGAGATCTTTCAGCCTTGATGTTATTCTAAGAAACATTTGTCATAATACGATTTGTTACAGATATGATCTGCCCTTGTGGCAATACAGACCATCTTCAGTAATCAAAACCAAAATTGAAAATAGATATTGATCTGTGCAGTGGATTTCAAGAGAGCATGAGGCTAACTGCAGGTGCATGATTCCTTTTCAATTTTGCTGTTGATTACCGGAGATGTTTGGAATGAGACTGGGAAAGGACACAATTTTGTAGTTTTGCATGGTGATGAAACAATATAAATATTTTTCTTAAACACACCATGTAAATAGTAAGTAATCTATGTGGTATATCCATTGACATTTGTTTTTAAAACATAGTTTCACTGAAATCTTTGGCTGCATATAAACTGGGAAAACTGATTGATAAGTGAGCTTGTGGTGTAGAATTGGAGGGGTCAGGTGTGGACTGTGGTGAAGTAAGGTGAAGGTATGAAGTGAGGTAAGGTGAAGTGAGGTGAGGTCAGGTGTAGTGAAGTAAGGTAGTTTGTGAAGTCAGGTCAGGTGTGTTGTGAAGTGAGGTGAGGTCAGGTGTGGTGAAGTAAGGTGAGTTTTGTGATGTTTATAGGTGAGGCTAACTCGGCTAACTGAGATAAGGTGAAATGAGGTGGAAGTACCACAGTGAAGGTTTGGGTTGTTTATATCAACTGGTTCACCAAGTGAGCAAAATGCAAGCGCATAACTTGCAACATTCAACAACATTCCTGCATTAAAATGTACATATATAGGTTCACGATGGTGGTGGAGCTCACTGAGCAAGACTAATAATATCTTTACCCTCGAACTTCACCATCGATGACACCCCAGTCACCACCCCCCCCCCTAGGGTCAAATTATGGTCTTTAAATACTCGCTCTAGTCCATGCGCGGTCAGTTCAAAATGGCGGATCACTTGAAGTAGTTGTTAGTTTCTCTATCACGTAATAAAACTCTGCAGGGTCTCGGCTTTGGCAAAATATTTTGAATCATGGATAAGAAGGAAGGCGTTAAGGTATTCTTTCTTTTTTTTACAAGGTGGACATCTAAAGTAGGTAAAATTTTGGAGAGGTTAGGCTTGAAAACCCAAAAAAGTTAGCCGAAGTATTGTTTATATATAAATAAGAGTTGTTTTTTCCACTTTAATTGTCAAACTCTAGTTTTAACAGTAAGTTAGTATAACCCATTTTAAGATCTATAATCCAGTATATCTTTTAATAATGTATAATATACAATTACGTTAAAGAGCAGAGAAGAATGGCTAGATTTTTCATCGTAATATTAAGCAGTTTAAGCTCAGACTATCACTAATATGTGTAATAAAAAGTACTATCAATATTTTCTCTGATAACATCATGTTTGACCACAATATATAGCAAAAGTAAAGTAAGATAATGCATTACGATCACATTTTATTAATATTCAAACAATTTAAATTGTCAGGTCCTCAGCGAAGTATTTCGATGCTTTCGCTGTTTCATTTGTATGGAGAAATTACAAGATGCTCGCATGTGCCCACATTGCTCTAAACTTTGTTGCTCGGCATGTATTCAGGTACTGTTTTATAATAGAAATCTAATAAAAAAGAGTCAACCAGAATCTTTACACTCACTCTTGGAGTGACAGGGTATGGATTGCAAGGGTCATTGATTCTTGATTATCCCCCCAAATTTCATTTATATCCTCTTATCCTTCTTCTCATAACAGAGGGGAATAACTGCCCCCTGATAGACGTAGTAAAAAAAACAACAACATTACTTCATCTTGGGTTGAAATATATATTTTTGTGCTTCAGAGATGGATGGCTGAAAGGTCAACTTGTCCACATTGTAGGTAGGTTAAAGTTCTAGGCTTTGTTTTATGATGGTATAAGATAAAAGGTAGATACAATAAATTACAATATAATTGGTTTATTATATTTGGATTTATTTCAACGAAAATTTTCACATAATTTCCACGGAAAACACTTGGTTATTTCAAACTTCGTCATATTTATTAGAGGAACACTACAGTTGTCAGAGATGGTTCATTGTCGTTGGGTGGAAGATATTACTCAGGTGCTGTTATCCAAGTTGTCACTGTATTGACAATAGTTTCGATATGTAATAATAGTATTGACAGAGTCATTTTCCAACAGAGGCTGACATCGCTTCAACAGCAAGCTCAGGCAAGACCAGCTGTTAAACAGGAGAAAGATTGGTAAAGATTGAACAAATAAAACAAATGAATAGTTGATTGAAATCAAACTAACTTGCAGCACCAATTTTATTTTTTAGGTGTAAAGAGCACAATGAAAAACTAAGTGTTTTCTGTTGCACTTGCAAGATTTGTATTTGTCATCAGTGTGCATTATGGGCAGGCCAGGTGAGTTGCATGACAGAACTCCTTGGAAATCATCACAAAATTACTCAGGGTGGAATACTTGAAATTTAATTGAAAAAATTTACAATTGAAATGGTATTATTCTGTAGCATTCTGGGCATAGTTTTAAACAGCTGGATGAAGTCTATGATCAACATGTTTCACTGGTCACTGATGAGGTAAAGACAGTAATTATTGTATTGGTAGCTCAGTCTGTTGATTCAAATCCATCTTAGCTTATTATGCCAAAATCAATAGCCAATCTAAGGAGGATGTTATTACAAATATTGTTGCCCATTAGGTGGCATCGTTAAGGCGACGACTCATGGAACTAATCAGCCTTGTTCAAGAAGTTGTAAGTTCACTTAATGATCATTTTTAATCAACTTTGTTGAAATACTGCAAAGCTTTTGGTCTGTTAACATGGACCTTCATTGCACTGTTTACTGAATGTTTAAATACTTTACAATAGGAAAGAAATGTTGAGAGTCTGAGGGAAGGCAAAGAAGAGGTACGAAATTGCTGCGAAATGAAAATTGTTCAAGAAAGAAAAGTTTTTAAAGTCTTTGTCATGTTTTAATTGACAGCGTGTTCGTGAAATTCACAATGCTGTTGAACTCATGATTGCAAGATTGGACTCACAGTTGAAGAGCAAACTGCTTGTTCTCATGGGTATATTTTATTTACAACATTCAACATTTTTGGATGTGAAGTCACATTTCTTGCATTTCTCCATTTAGACTAAAAAGTCTCTTATTTAACTTCAGGTCAAAAGAATTCTTTGATCCACGAAACAGAATTATTGGAGTCTCACCTACAAGAAGTTGAAGATCAGGTCAGATTAGACAATATTCTACATGTTGACTCACCATGCATGGACTTACATAATTTAGAAATTACACAATTTAGTGATTGCATGATACATATTTTTTATTCATATAGCTTCATTCCTGCTCTAAAAGCGAACTGATAACAAACACTGGTGATCTTCTTGTTAAATTCAATGAGGTTTGCTGTTATAACTTTCTATGTTTCCTGTTGCTTTTATATACTTAAGATTTCCTTGATAATTGTGGGACATTGTATATTTTAACTGTAGATCCATAAGAAACCAATTGGTTCATTTGTCAGTCCACCTATTCCAGCAGATTTCACAAGTGAAATTGTGCCACTCTTTGAAACAAGTACATTCTGTATCACAAACTTTAGGTAAAACCTTTAAAAAAAATTGGAGCATTAGGTTATGTTTGTAGTGAGTTGCACTTCAAGAAGTTCTAATAAAATATTTTCATTGTTAGACTGTTACAAGGCTGGAGCCTGTTTGGAAATAAATATGAAATATAAATTTGTTTTCTAGTTCTGTGAGGAGAAAAGCAGATCCTGTCTACAGCGACTGTTTGGAGGTGAATGGTTTGTGTTGGAGACTTAAAGTGTATCCTGTAAGTTTACCATTCTTGAAATCGGTATTTTATGTGAAACAAACAGAAAACAAGTCAGAAACTTATCTCGTTCTCATCGTAACCATACAATGAATTATCATATCATATCATACCAGTACATTGATTTATTTCTGATGGTGTTGAAAATACTTCAAAATGGTTTAAAATATCCTTTTTAGGATGGCAATGGTGTTGTGCGAGGAAACTATCTTTCTATATTTCTGGAGTTGTATGAAGGACTTCCAGATCCAGCGAAGTAAGTCATGATGCATAATTATCAGGCCTGTCTTAATATTATTGAGATATGACATCAGGTTAATACTGAGGAACGGTGATTCATTTTTTAGATATGAATATCGTATTGAACTAGTCCACCATTCGTCTCCTAATTCAAGCAAGAATATCATACGAGAGTTTGGTAAGAGAACGTGTAATATGCGAGTTAGCTTAACTGTGGGACTATTGACCAGTCAACTGATTGTATAAGACTTGTTTAAACTTCTCTGTATCAGTCGAAGAAGAGTTATAGGATATAAGGAGAACTGAGGTTGATATAGATGGATGTTGGTGGATAATGTTGTGAAAGGAGAGTCCCCATTTTAGTTGAAAACTCTCATGTTGATGTGAGTGAAGCTCGTGGGTACACAGGGGGATAATATTTTTGATTCTTTAAATTGCAGCATCAGAGTTTGAGGTGGGCGAGTGCTGGGGTTACAACAGGTTCTTCCGTCTTGATCTTCTGGTTAGTATAAAAACTGTTCTCTACGATTGCTCAGGCATGAGCTCGCCTAAGGAAATATCACGTATTCGAACCGTCTTTACCTAGTAGCTCAGTTAGAAGAGCATTTGACAATCCTAACTCGCGTGTTTTTCTTATATTAAAGTACTTTACATGACCTTTAGGCGGATGAAGGTTACCTCAATATGACCAACGACACTCTGATACTGAGATTTCACGTCAGAGCGCCAACATACTTTCAAAACAGCCAGGAGCAGAAATGGTATGAATGTTTTCAACAGAGCCTTAGCTGGTTTCAATTTTCACACCCAAACTCATATCTACAGACACGATGTTGATGGTCCCTGATCATTGAGATCCCAAAACTGCTCGATAAAGAGATCATTGAGATTTACTTTTACTTTTCAAACTGTATTTTCTAGGTATATACAGAAAGAAGCTGCTATAAAGAAACAACATCTTCAACAGATCGAAAGATTAAAAGAGGTGGTTTTATCACTTATATGTCCTATGATATTTTTGTCTATGATAGTTTGTCGTAAAAGAATAACACAAGATCTTCATTTGCCAATATTGTTTGTTTATCTTTGATCTTACAGCGTCTGATGGAAGAACTAGCAAAGAATAATACAAATCCATCACCTGCTCCTGGATTGCTGGGTACATTTCACTTTTTAATACATGTCAAAAGTGTGTTACATCGCCCTGGCATTTCTCCAAGGTGTGGCCAGGTATTGACTGTATTTTCTGAATTTTAGATTATAGTCATGGCTCGTTATTGGAACAGACATTTGAAGAGCCTGAAGCTGAGCCTACACCAAGCAAAATATTTCCATCGAAAGTAACCGCCTCTGGAAGACCTAAAACAACACAGTCGATTGCTATTGATGTTGAAAGTGCCACTGGTGAGTGTTTAAGAAATATTCGTCCGTGAGGCGTGGGACCTTGGTTACAGCGGGTACGAGGAACGTCATGTAGATGAAACTCTAGAGAGAGAGTAGTGATCTATGTCTTTAACGAGGTCTACGTGGCTTTCAGGTCAAATCTCTCAGACAAACGAGGGAGGTGAAGAAGAGTGTAGCGATCACTCCAGTGACGATAGTGAGGACAGCGAGGAAGATGAAGGGCCACTACTTGATCACACGAATGATGAGACTTTAGAGGAATCTGGTTTATTAGGAGACTCTGAACTTGCAGATGATAGCGAGGTACGTAATCAACGATAACTTGTTTTATTATTTATTGAAAATGAGTCAAGAGTTTTGATTGGCCAGCAGCTGTTGGCGAAATCGTCATATCCGCTCGGCAGCTGCCCAAATTTGGACAGTGACGTCACTTCGTCGGATATGAAAAAAATTATTGCACGTTTGACGTCACTTCGTCAGATATGAAAAAAATTGCACGGTATGACGTCACATATGTCTCCTTGTCTACAACGCAAGCGTTTAGTCTAAGCCCAAAATTTTTGCAAATAAATAATAAAACAATTATTGAATTCGGTTCTCGCAGGATATGAGGAATTATCAAGGCCTCGTTTAATATTGAATGATTTCTATGAAGATGACTATCCTCAGGTGGTGGAAACGTCATTCATCACACCGCCAACAACAACAGTCCTTCTCAGAGCTACACAAACATAGAGGATCAACATCTTTAATTATTTCTTTTTGCCTGAAATCCGCTGTCTTTATGTCGTCGAGTTTACAGAGGCGTGAACGAGTTTGTTTTTGTTCAGGTTCCTGAAGAAGATTGGGTGAATGAACAAGAAGAATGTGGAGCAAAAGATGAGAAGGAATCTGATGAAACAAAGAAAAAGGTTGAAAGAAATACGCCAAGTGGACCATCTGATGGATCACAAGTAATTTCATCAAATGAACAAAGTTATGGCGAGCACTGGCTGCGGACATTCTCAAAACCTGAAGCTCTAAGGTTATTTTATTAAATATAACAGCGCTGTTTAGATCTGACTCCCACTCCCGCTACCTTTGAGTCCCTTCCTGATGGTAATTCTAACGTTTCCGCAATCTGGGCTCTGGTAACTAACATACTTGTCTGTGTTCTTCCTATCAGTTTACGATGGGTCAGAGAGGCGACCGTTGAGAATCCCTGGGGTTGGACAAAGCCTGAGGCAGCAGATTTTCAGCTAAATCACATCGCTCTGGGAGCAACACCTCCGCCTCGTCTTCGGAATATCCCGGAATATGACGTCGATGCCGTGTTAAGTGCTGGGGAACTCGTGATTGACGAGGAAGAGCGTGCGTTGTTGGATAATTTAGGACTGGAAACCTGTGACTCGTCGAAACACACGAAGAAAAGTGCAGCGCAAAAAATGTCGCGTCAAAAGCGTGAGGAAAAGGAGGACCCGTTAACGAAACCTCTAAGCCCTGATGGTATGACTTTTGATACTTCTTTGACAGGGACGGTTTAACTGCGATATCGTTGCTCAACTGTAGTCTTTCATTCAACACAACGCTCTCTAAATCCAGTCAATCAACGATCAGTTGTTTCATGCGTGAATTCTATTTCTTCAGATCCATTTCTTCCATTCCTTCCTCCAAACATTCCAAGAAACAGCCGCTGGGCAAAAATCATGCGAAATAAGTGGGAGAGAGAGTTGAGAAAACGGCAAGTGCAACTATCAGAGCTTGCAGGAGGAAACCACTCAGGCTCGCAAGGTAAGCCAAGTGCATACGAGATGATTGCTAGATTTGACTTTAGCCTCACTCTCATTAGAAAGAGATTCCCCCTGTTTGATTCTAAGATCAGGGCCGTAGCAAGAAAGAAAGAGGGGAGGTAGTTAGAATGGAAGAAAAAAGGGGGGAGGGTGTCAAGTGGTGTAAGTTTTCACTCTATTGAGAATACAATAATGTTTGTCCTAAAATATCGTGACAACATTTTCAGGTCCTCGAAGATACGGAGTGTCCAAAAGCAGCGATGCAAGCAGCCCTACTAGCAGCGTTCAACCAACAAGCTCACCCACATCACTAAGTCGCTCTGGCTTTCCTTCTAGTCCTGATAGTCAGCCAACGAGTTCTTCTGTTGCTCAGACCAGCAGCAGTGAGACTGTGATGATGTCTGAGGCATTGCAAAATGCACAAGATAATCCTGACGTATACCAAGCCAAACCATTTCAATTGAAGAAACTAGTTGAGAATACGAGTTTGAGCGATACTCCTTCTTCTGCTTCGAGCAAAACTCGAGGAAAATCATCCAGTAAAAGACGATCTCATAAGACAAAGAATTTAACAAATAGAACTATTGATGACTTTTATGTCTCCAGGTAAGTGATGTGAGAGGTGTACAACAAAAATGGATTATGCAATCATCAAGTCTAATATTTTATACCCAACAGTTCTTCAGTTGATTCAAACACACAAGAGGAAACGTGTGCTGACAGCCTTGAACGGGAAGGTGGGTATTGTTAGTCAACCTGATAGAATCTTTGAAGAATAACAGCGATCAGTTATGGTGTTAAGTTATGTTAAAAACACCAAGAAATGGAGCCATTGATTGGAGAGATTGAGATGTGAAGAATGTTCATCCGTTTTCCTTCAGGTCTACAGCGGACATCGAAAGTTCTCGAGGAAATGAAAAGAACTCAGAATTATTCATTGAAGAACAAACTGAACGATAAAGAAGGTTGTATATGTCCAAGTATGAACTCGGCTTTGAGGTGCAGCAACAAAGCCTTGGGTCCACGATGCATCACCTTGGACAGAGACTACGCTAAAGCATTTGGAGATGATGACAGTGGTTGGTGAACTAAACTACCTTTATCTAGAAGCTTACAAATACGATGAACCTACAACGTCCATTGTGCAAACCTTCTTGTGTTCATTTTTTCTTGACAGATGCCCGTCGTAAGACGAAGTTCCAAAAACATCTGAGTCTCAGATGCCCAGACACAAGCGAGAGTGAGGATGATGAAGATCCACCGCAACACAACATCGCAACATCATCAAACACAACATCAAGACCAACACCGCCGCTACGAGAGTTCTTACAAAACCTTTCTGCCATGAGAATACAAGTTGAAAACCATCCTTTGGATGCAAGTAATACAGGTATTAATTACAATCTTTCCTCAAATCAGGTTAATAAGGAGCTAATGTAGTATTTTCTTCTTGAAAATTCAGAGATGACTCATCGTCTTAACGAGGAGAATGGAGCTAGTCCACAAAATGATGGGTGAGTAATTTTACTTTGACTTTAACAAACAGCATCCCATCTACTGGGATAATCCAACTATTCTCATTTCAGCCTCAAAACGAATATTACACTATTACAGACATTCATTTTCTTCTTCTGTCCCAGATCACAAGAAAATAACAACTCCGCAAGTGTGATCTGAGGAGAATTGATCATGTAGGTCATACTACAGAGGTGTGAATGATAAAACCATAGACTACCACTATTATAACTTAATATATTTCTGAAATAATTCTAAAAAGGTAGAAAAAAGTTTTTTGTTAAGAGTTGATGTAAATTTGTAAGTGCATGTAAATATTTTCTTCCCAATAGAATATGAAAATATTTAATATTGTATTATTTATATTATTGTATCAGGTGAGTTGTCAGGAAAGTTTGTTTCAATAAATTTGTCCATATCTGATATTTGCCATGATATAGGATAACTTTCGTTCGTTTCTCTGTCAAATGTCAGCCAATCAACGAAACTTTCAAACGTCCAGACATGATAGCATTGTTGAAGTTCATTAGAGCCAGAAATTACCTCGTTTGTTCCACTTGAACAGATGGAAAATCTAAAATAAGGTGAAAAAGATTGAATCAAGGTCTTTCTGTTATATTTTCTGAATACCTTTCTTATGTGAATGAAGTAGCAGACAGGTCTAGGTGAAGGAAGTGAAGAGAATTCACTAACACAAACCTTTCAAGGGTTTTAAATTTAACATTAATCTGAAAAGTTACTCCAAGTTTAGCTGCGTCTGCTCCAATATCTTTTGAGTCATCCCAAGGAGAATTACTCTCTATAAACGAAGATGTAATTTTTAATTGTGGCTCTTCGAATAAAATACAATTTTTTAAAGGTAGGAATGTGAATGACCTTCCATAACAGTTTGAAGTTTTGTTTTACTTCCAACAATTTCTTGGCCACAAACTCTTAGGATATGCTTATCTGAAGGATCTGCCTTTCCAAATATGGATTTAACACCTTCAAAGAATTTGTTAGTAAGTAAGAAATGAATCGATATATATATATCATAGTTGTTACTGTGGGCTTGAGTCATTCGATTCAATTTTTTACCTGTAATGTCAATTACTTTTGTTTCCTCCAATTCCTGGAAAAAATAGGCAGATATAATGAGGGCCCATCACAGAAAAAGTGGATGCTCAAGCAGACACCAAAATGATGAAAGTGAAAATAGAAAAGGAGGAAGATAGTTCTGCATTTTGAAAGGAGACTTTCTAATCAAACTTGCTTCCCTCGCACATACAAGGTTTAACTTTTGTTTGTTTTCTGACAAGGTAAAAAAAGCATTCTTGTAACACTGGCTGAGACGTGTGCCTGAAGAATGCAGAATGTTTTAAAATTAGCACAAATAAAACGAAAGAAAGTTAGAAAGATATAAATATTAGTTTTCTATTAGTCTTCACCCATCATTTCTTGAAGTCTTGTTACATCTTTGGTTGAGATTGCATTTGAAACAGCACCAACAGCAAGCTAAAATGAGCATATATATAAATAATTGGTAATCTATTTAACCATTGGCAAATTACATCTGAGAATGGATCTGTATACCTGTGTTCCTTTTAAGAATTCTTGCTTATTGAATGGTGCACTATAAAAACATTTTTAAATAAGATGTCCATCAGAATACAACTGCCTCGCATTTGATGAACAAGAAGAATAATCACATTTCTAACAGCCTGAGCAACTTGACCAGTTATCAATCGACAATCATATAACCATATAACTACCAGAGAACTCCACCAGAGTGCATTGATTGACGATTGTTAACCTTTATGCCAACCATAAATATCTGAGAGGCCTGTCAATGTTTGACTGAAACCAACAAAACATTTCAAACAACTTACTTGACATTATTAAGGATTTTATTCATAATGAAAAAGCCCAACAATTTGTGGAGAAATGGTGAGGGTTTCGTGTCATCTAAATAAAAGTATAAACATTCATGCAACTGCTGCAAGATCCTCCATAATTATGACTTCTCTATAGTCTAATTTCATACCATGCAAGTTTTGTATCCACGGAAATGGAAATATGCGATCATTTTTCTATGAATAAATGCCAATTTTGAATATGAAAAGTTAACATATTTTATAGGAAAGTACTTCTGATAACAGCCCACATATTCTCCAAATAGTATACTACTCAGCATTCGTGGACACCACGCGCCACGTCTTCATTCCTCTTCCAGGGTGTCTGATTATCTTTACAAGAACAGTTTACGAGAAAAACTTCCTTATACTTGCTCGAAATATGAAATCGAGAATATTGTCTAACGCAGATAACATTACAGCAAGTAATTTTCTCAAAATCTTCCTTCAAACTTATGATGTTTTTGTTTGTTCCCGCGTGTTTTAAAGTGGTCCTTCGTGTCAGCCACGAAGAGAGGTCTCAGAGATACAGAAATACTAATACGCAAAATGAGTCGCCGACGTTATGTTGTGGTCGATTTCTTTAAATAAATTCACTAATGGGTGAACTTAGAGCAGATTTTCTTGGGAAGACACTACTTCCTCTCTCTTTTCTCTTTCTTACGCGGTGTCTAACAGCAGGAATTGCGCTAAATCGAAGTAATTCTGAGCATGGTTTTCCGACATCAAAAGTGCTTCCTGCACAGCTGACGGAACCAAAAACACAAGATAAACCTCGTCCTACGGTAAAATCTCTTCTAGTTATGTGCTATTTATTTTAAGGATGTAAAACCAAGAATCCATATTTTTTATTTTAGTATTTCTAGGGGGAAACTGCTGCCTAAAATGTAGGGATGGGTTTTTAAAATTATTTGCTATATAAATAATTGGATACAATAATATATTTGCTTGTGTGTTGCGGTTTGTCAGTGATACAGCAAAACTAATTTAAAATTTGGAAAAGCAGTTTAATATGCTAGTGCAGTAAAGAAACATAGTCTAGTATTGAGAATAATCCAATGTTTTTCAAACAGGAAAATTGAGGGTTTTTTTAGCAAGCAGAAGACGGCAGCTTGTTTGCAAGTCACATTAATATTTAAGACACAAAATACGAAATTTAAATGTGGCTAACGCGTGTGTAATTTGGTCAAAACTTCGTGAAATATGAACTATTGTTGCAGCTAGTGTTTTGTATTGACATGATGTCAATCCTGAGAATTTTATGTGCGAACACAGCTAAAATTTGCTGTTAAAATTGACATGTATCCTGGCTAAAGTGATAATGATTGTTCATCACCTTGTGGGGATGAACCCAGGGAACCAATTTCCTGAATATTACACTCATATTGGCTCGGTTATATAACAGTTGTTATAAAGTGATTTTGACATTTTAGATTTCCTCTTATCCAACCAGACATATCAATAAAACTTGGAACTGTACTGACATTCATTTGAAGAATCAAAAGGTAGGACATTAGGCCACAACAGTGTGTACTTGTGATATTGAGTAGCAGCCTAATTTCTCTGTTTGTTTTATTTTAGAAGCATTATGCCAACACAAGTGTCTATGTATATTACACTGATAATGATGTAAGCATTTTAAAATAATAGTTCTTTGCAACAAGTGTAGAATAACTTGCTTTGAATTTTCTTAACTAAGAATATTGCATAACTCAATTTATGTGTCCAATTCCTTTAGCCATATGTTTGCCATTTAAATCCTTTGCATTGTAAAAGGCCAACCCAACTGCGTAATGAGTAAGTTCTTATGTTGATGGTTCAGTTTTGCACTTGTATATTTCATTAAATTGATGTTTGCATCATTCAGGAATAAGAAAATTTTGATTCAATTACCAAAATATGGTGATTATAGTTACCTTCCAATATCCCAGTGGATTCATTTACTACAGGTAAGTATTTTCACTAAAATATTGCTTGCAGAACACTGGGTTGAAAGCTCAATTCCTTGTTCACTGTATGTCATCATGTGAAAGCATTTCTTTCAATTTATTTTTCCAGCATGGAGCTGTGGTCTTTCTGTATCATCCATGCACAAGCAAGGAAAATATTGACAAACTGCGTAGCATTGCAAGAAAATGTATGTGGAAGCACATTGTCACACCATATGAGCATCTGAATATCAGCCAGGTTGGTATACCAGGTACCATCAAGATTTTCAAATATATTCAGGATCATATTTATTCTGTTTATTCTATCACTTGACTTCAGCCAATTGCAATGGTTGCCTGGGCATCATTCTATGCGGATTCAAAGGTGAATGAGACAGCAAGTGAAACTTGGATAAAGAATAATGCAATGAGAGCTCCTGCTAGTCACATGATACTTAATGGAGGATACATTTTTAATTTGCTACATCCAGCAAAATATGTATCAGATCCCCTGGACAGCAAACTATGTCCAAAAACGCGTAGCCAGGTAAATTAATTATTTTTATCATGATGTTAAAGAAATGCTAATTTTTCTAACAACGCGATCTTAAACACTCCCCCAAATAATTCCTAAACTCATTTGAATCTTTATTTTAATCCAAAAATTACTCTGACGGAACCGATTCTAATTGATAATTAATTAATATAATTAGAGCACTAATGAGGACGATATGGACATTCTAAATGAACATTATAACTCTGTGTATGACAATGGTCGGTCATCGAAGAAGCTGAAAAAACATTTAATACAAAAAATCAAACATGGTTTGCGGCCGGAGAAACGATCAATCAACCCGAACAACGCCGCGTGGGCAGTTGCGTCCCTTCTCTTTCTCTGCCTCGTTCTTGTGTTTGTCTTGGTGTATACCAAACCGTGGAACGAACGAGATTATTACTTGAAAGAGAAAATGGCGTCAAGAAACAATAATACTGGCTTCAGTTTGATTAAGAATCATTTCAACAGAGGAAATAGATCTTGGCGACAGCTGGCAGAACAACAGAGAAACGCCTCTGTTTCACGGAGGTTACTGGGACCGATACATGAGGAAGATGAGGACTTCATGGATCTTTGATGGATATCTTGGAGTATATCTAGTATCGAGAGGTATCTTGGGATAATTTTTTTGGATAGATGTAAGATAGTATTTAAATTATTCTCGGGCGAATTTTATGAAATCGTTTTTCGTCAAGGTGACTCAAGCACTGCATATCGAACTCCGTAATCTAAAGTCGTTTTGCTGTAAAAAAAATTTAAAATTTTCTAGAGATTATATCTGTGACCTAAAGAGTTAAAAACGTTTTTGGCAAAACGCTATATTGATCATTATCTCACAACTTGCAAAAATTGATTTCCTCTTTAATCTAACTTGGAACCCTCGTACTCTAAGACTCTGTTTATCCAGAGAGCGGCTGACTCAGATTTTCATCTCATTTCAATCATCTATAAATGTTGAATTTTGTAACTATTTATAATTCCAGAGCAATTAAGATTATATAAAATAAAACCTGCTTATATGTTTCAATTAATTTTATTATTGAAATTCGAATTAAATAGAAAATATATTACACTCGATATATATAAAATTTCATACATGTTTAAATAACACAATATTTAGATGATATATACAGTAAGATTAAAATAGCCTATTAAATATTTGTTATTATATAATAACGTAAAGAATTCAAGCAATTTCATTGGTCGAGAGCCATGATCTATAAGAGGACAGACGCACGGAATGACGTCACAGCAATTTTCTTGTTTTTAAATTGCAAACAAATAATTCAATTAATTTTGGATTTTTTTCAGTTTTATTATATAAAACAAATAGATTACAATGAACCGTTGTCTGTTCAGTTATAGATACACGGTATGACGCCATATGTGATAAGAACAAAAGAGTGACCACTCGCCCCGGCGGCTCGTGGCCACTTTTTTTGTTCTTATCACATATGACGTCATACCGTGTATCTATAACTGAACAGACAACGGTTCATTGTAATCTATTTGTTAATTAAAAAATAACTAAATATATATAAATATATACATCTCTTTCGCTATCTACTCGTTGGGCAATTGTGAAGATTCAGTTCCTGGATTGTTTTGTTCCAAAATCCCTCATTATCAACACCAGAAATCTCTGTAAATTTTTCAGTGTTGTCAAGGTTTCTAAGCGGTTATTAGCTGCTGAATTGATTTGTGTCGTTGTCTTTGAGATTTTAATATTGAAAGACCTCATCTATAATCGTGAGAAGTGAGGAAATTAGCGATTTTTCCCAGCTCTTAATTTGCATCAACTATTCGGGTCGGGCGAGCCGCACCCATGCACGTCTTTCAACGTTGCAGATTCCATAGGGATGATTGAACTCTATGAATATTGTTAAAAATCTGCCAAATCAAAATACTTACGAAGTAATGAAGCGAGTGTTTAAGACTTTCTAGTCTCAGCTGTATCATGGTTAAACCTATCAACAGATTTTCACTTTTGATTTTCAGTTCTACGCGTTTTGCGAGTTTGATACGATGAAGAAACGATCTTAATACATTCAACTGCCAATTTAATCCATCTTCCTCCTAAAACAATGGAACAGAACATAAATACATATTCAGAATGACCCAAAACTAGTACAAAAGTTCAGCTCCTGTGGCTACGAATCAACAAGTCGATCACTTAGAAAGTAAATAAGTTGATCTCTCAGAAAGAAAGAAAGAAAGTGAAATGCTTACATTTCGAGTTCCTGATTGAAATACGTTTCTCAATCTGTACATTCTGTTGTGTCGTATTTTCAAACCATGAGAAAGTTTGTTTTCCTGAATTTAAGAATAAAAATAAATATTTCCTATTCATGCATAGAATCCAGAATTTTGCTTCACAATAAACCTCCAGGTGCCTGAGTTATGTTGGTCTATTTCAATAATTCGTATTTCTTGGTATGACTTACCAGACTCTCTTTTGTTTCAAAAACCTTCATGGAAACATGTAATGCTGTCTGATAGAAATTACGATAGTATGCTTGTTGAGTGATCATCCTGATCTCCCTGTTTGTCCTCGCTCCTGCCAAGGCTACTTCCATCCCAGTGACGGTCAATAGAAATGCCATAATAATTTTCATTTTTGTAATTTATATAGCTGAAAAAAGAAAATAAATCGTTATATTCTGAATCCCACTTTGTGAAATCTAGTAGTACTGAATTATTATTTTTATAACGGTCTAGCAGGGGGATTAACCTTGTTCTGATCTCCATATTTGTCATATTTCGCACAGAATGCTGACGTGAACAATATTAACTAACCTGAAAAAGTAATGGTAATATATGGCCATATATACAAATAAAATGTCTAAATATCTGGAATGGTCAACTAATTTTATTACTAAAACGAGTTCCACTTACAGTTCAATTCTTGTAAGTTCTTTTGTGAATGCTTGATATTTTATTTCTGACATTCTGACTTTCAATTTCATCTTTTATACTCTCTCTACAAATGTGCAAAACCATTTTGCGCAGGCGCGATGTTCGTGGTGTTAAAAATAAATCATGGGTTATCCCCGTTTTTATTTTCCGCTTCCACAACTGTACAACTCTCTCCTTTCCAACTTCATTTATTTAATTTCAACCAAGTTTACTTCAAACAAATTAACCTTATTACATTAAAATGGCATTTGATTTGTTAAACAAAAGTGAGAGAATTAAGCTAAATTTTAATTAAAATATTCGTTTAAAAAATTGAAAAGATGGGTTAAAAGGCGCTTCAGATAGCGTCCAAGGCAGTATCAATGGAATTTTACACTGTTATTTCCCGGTAATCTGTCTGTATTGTGAGGTAGTTCCTGACGGAACCGGAACAAAGTAAAACACTCTCTAATTCTAATGATTTAAATTGCAGTCGTATAAAGTTCTCTTTTAGAGACTTCTATCGCTTGAGTAACTCTTCTTAATTGTTCACTCAGTGACTAAGAGTTAAGATCGCTTGGTTGAAGAATATTCAAGCCCTTTATATGGCAGTCAACCCTTTATGCGACAATCAACGAGGGAGAGGTTTGTTACTCGCGTCCAGTATAGATAGATCACGAACGATCATTTAGTGAACTTTAACTAAGAGTTTGCTGATCCGTGTTTCCAGTGGTTGCTAAAGAACTATCGCGATTGTCTGGAGTTTAATTATCTTATGTATATTTGGAGTGACACGCGCTAAACGCGTGCAATCTCATAACTCTGGCATTCAACTCCCACCTACGGCAACTAGTCATAACCTGAGCTATTTACTATGAAAACTATCGACGTGAGAAATTTAAGGTAACGTGAAAATACGCATTTTTTTACATGAAAGAAACGTTTGTGAGGTTTGATTGCGGACTTTGATTGCGGAGGTGTTCCGAAGGCACGGTGACCTCCAATCAAAGATCTGGACACTCAGCCATTTGAATTTTATCGTGGATTTCAATGATAGGTTGAGGTTGGTGCATGGTAATCTTTAAAAACAAGTGAATTGAAAAGAACTGTGATTCTCTCATTGTATACCAGACATTCCACTACATATTTAAAAGAAATGGTAATAAGTGAATTCCCGTATTTCCGTCGTATCCGCTATAGCGGAAAAAGAGGGGCTGCCTTGGTAGTTGCGTCAGACGCGTTACGATATTTTGGAACTAATGCATCATTGTAAACATTTCCAGTAGATTCGGAGGAGTGAATAATGTTTGTATGAGAATGATACAATTATGTAAAGTGAATATTGCTTCAGGGAGAATTTTCCTGCTTCAAGCTACGAATACAATCCCAAGTTTTCTAGAACATTTCAGTTGGCAATGGCTACTTCAGGTGTGTTGAAGAAGACCATCTCTCCAATATTCTTCTCTGTGAAAACAGATATCCTCATCTACAACTATGCCGGGTTAGTTTTCTCAGAAGAATGAAAGGGTAGTAAAAAATATTCAAAGTTTTGATCATTTGACTGGAAAAATTCAAAAACATCCATGTTTTGTTATTTTTGCAAAGTGTCGTCTTGCAAATTTTGTAATTATCCTCTCATCTCTGAACCCAATTTTGGAAATCATTTTGTGGAAAAATTCTAAATTTCCGTGATTTACGTGAAATATTGGTCACGAGTGCAATGTCACGAACAGAGAATGAATCAGAGAACTGGGGGTAAACGTGTGAGGAGAATATCAACTTGATCAGCATATTGCTTACTGTGAAACATCACCACGAATGATATTCTCCCAACGTGTTCATAACACGCGTGGATCATGACAGCAAGCCGATAGTCAGAACGACGAGGAGAAAACATCGAATGAAAATTGTATCTTTTTCTCCTTTATTTTTTTTTAAGGTCAATGAAACTCCTTTGTGATTGAATATATTTATAGTTTGGATAGTAAGTTATTTCGGAGGTGTATTTATTTGAAAGAAAGAGGAAAATAATGCTGGGGAATATGGCTTAATGGCCGGTGTAGTTCGAAGGACAAAGGCTAAACTAGATTATCAATGAGCAACTCGGCTAGCCCAAGAATGAAACGGGGAATGGCTAGTCGAGGCGGCCCTGGCAGGTAGGCAATACTTTTTCTGTTATCTAAAACCTTGAACTCTGTCCTAACTACAAATAAACCGTGATGTATTGTTTATTTTCGAACATAATTCACTGCTTTTATGTTGTTTTGGCTTTGTATATAAACCTGTCATCTGCTGTTTCGTCACTTCAATTCACTTTTGGACAGTTTAAAGCACAACCTGTGTATCTAGAGGCCGTCTTTGTTATTTTGACAAGTCGTTGTCTTACAGATTTATCAAGGATAATGTAATTTGGGGGTATAATATTGATTTTCGAAATCTAGAATCATATTATGAAATTAACTTTATCCACGTGCGTCTTTTAAAATGAGCGACGATTAAGTGAAGTTTGATTGTATTTTTTAGGGGAAGATATAAATCTCCTTCAGCTACAGGGTCGCAGCAAAGCCAGGTTTGTAAACTTTGCTTTAAAGTTTTGTTGTAGGAATTGAATTGTGGTGAAGTTGTTTGTGTGATCATTAATGTTATTAATTAACATAGATTAAAGTTGTTCTTGAAATTTTTAATTTTAGACCTTGGAAGGTCTCTATTTGAATGAAAGGCTTGTCAATGCAGTTACATCAGTTGTGGTAAGCGATGATATTATTTTCTACAAATATTTGTTAATATATTAGTCGGGTCAATCAACATTAATAATAATGGCTTGGAGTATTGTTTGGTAGGGGGCATCTGTCTGGGCAAAGAAATAGTTTTCAATGCCTGTTTAGAGCTGTTGTAGCTTATCGATCTAACATTTTCTGTTTCTTTTGTACATTAGAAAATAAAACATGTAGACTCAATGCTGCATAGGAACAAATAAACCGCTACAATGAGCTTACCAACTTAGTCGTAAACTTGAGTATGAAGTAAACTTGAGTGCATTTTTGGGGCCTTGTCAACCTGAACCAGGTTGAGAAACTTGCTTCATCTTGCAAATAAACTGTAGTTGCTGGTCTGATGGACTACAGCAAGTATTTCTTGACATTTGTTTGTTTGTTTTTTTGTCAAATGAACAAGAAGTCCCCAAGTTTTCAACCTGGCTTGTCAAACTTGCAAGCATTGTTCATTTGGAAGAATGATATGTCTTTATTTGTTAAGGCTTTATCATAATTATGTTCACATAATTTTTGATCAAATATTGACTCTATAGTATGATGTAAGTATTATAAGGTCAATTTTTTTATTATTTGTGACTTTCACACCAGGGTTGTACTGCAAAAGTGACAAGCAAAAATGGAAAACAGTTTGAAGGTGTCTTAAAAACTATTTCCCCAGAGGTAATACAGCTTTCAAAAACACTAAAGAGTTACTCAGCTTTAGAATATTAGAAATTATTTTGAGTACTGAAATATGTTCTTATCTTTCAATCAGGCTAGTTTAGTTCTTGCAAAGGCAAACCAGGTTGAGGAACAGAGGCAAAATGGTGTGGTTGTAAGTGTTTTAATGTTATCATTTGAATCTATGGATAAACAGAGATCAATATGAATATCTTTTCCATTTAAAACATCCGTACAATGTTCATCTGCTAGGATGAAGTCCTACAAAAAGGTGAAATCTTTGAGCAGTTGGTAATGCATCATAAAGACTGGGTTTTAGTTGAGTTTGAAAATGTTAATTTGGAGGAATGTTATAGAAAGGGTATGTTTGTTTGTTTCTTAGTCATAGGTTTATATAAAAAACCACAAGAGACCTGTTATTATATTGCCATCATTTTTAGATTCATTCAAAACAGATAATGCTATTAGCAGTAATAAAAGAATGAATGGACAGACTAGAAGAGAACTTGAGGTAACTCAATTTTAGAAAAGGATCCAATGTGGTTCTGTGGTGGTAGAGGGGGTATTAGAATGTATGTTTTCTCGTTCTTTCATCCTTTAGCCAGAGTTTCAAACAATTGTTGTAATATGATTTTGTTTGATAGAAATGGGAGCCTGATGGTGCTGAGCCATTAGAGTCAACTTTAGAAGGACATCGCATGGTAAGTCTGTACACTAGTCCCGAATGAAAAAATGAGCTTTTAGATTTTAAAATTTTTTTATTTATAGGAAAATGGCTGGAGTGCTGAGAAAATGTTTGAAAAGAATGAGAAAATGGTGAGCTATTGAAAACCTACATTGCATGTGCAAAATTTTAACACAGAGAAAAAATGAACTGATTTCTTTTTTCATTTTAGTATGGTGTAAAGTCGACATATAATGAAGAAATGGAGGAATATACGTAAGTGCTTCATCTTTTTCGGGTTAGAGTGAAACAACCTGAAAATAGGAAAGTAACGTTCAAAAATTAAATATTATTTCTGCAGAACTAAACTTGATAAAGATGACACACCAGAGTACAGAGAACGAGAAAGGTTTGCTGCACAAAAAGCTGAAGAAATCTTCAAGGTATTTATACACAAGTATTGTCATGTACTTCAAAACTGGTGTAATGACTTTTCTGCTTGTAATTCTAGGAAAGTCCATATGAACGAAACACACTTGACAGTGGTAGGTCAGAGGAGCAATTGTACAGTTCCGTTGTGAGAAGTAAAAATTTCGGGGACAGGTCATCGGCACCAAACTGGAGACAACCTCATGGTGATCGACCACCACCCGAACATGAACAGAGATCAGCGAGAATGCCACAAGAAGCTTTTGGATCGCCTGTAACTTCAAGGAAGGAACTAAGTACGTTTAAATTGGCTTTAAAATATTAAGAAAGCGTAGTTTGATTAACTTTTATTGTCTTTTTCCAGTGAAAACTCAACAGGTTGACGAGCCACCCACAGTTCAGGTATGCACACAGTAAGCATATAATATCCAGGTAATATATTGCATTTTTCATATAAAATTATGTTATTTGTAGGTCAAAAAGAATATTGAAAAGTCAATAGCAGAAATTTCTTTGGAATCAAAGCCAGCAGAGCAGAAACCAGAAGGTATAGTTTAAAATATTTAAGTCTGGAAATTTAGGCAATGCACAGTTTGTAAATGTGTTGTTTCTATGATTGTTAGCATTTACTGATGTTGTAAAAGCTGAAACAGTATCCACCCAGAGTCAACCAAAACCTCCACTAAACACCACTATCATCCCCGAGAACACTCCTGTGATCCCTCAAGTGTCAGCACAACTATCCAGTGAAGCACCCAATGATACTCCTAACATCCCAGAGGTGGCCCAAGTAAAAGAAAGAAGTCAAGATAATGTTATTGATGGTCTCAAAGAGTTTCATGAAAACTTCAAGGTGAAATGAAAATTTCTTCTCTATGACCAAACAGATGGTCTAGCTCTGTGGTAATTGTTACTCATTTTGACTGTCCTTTCTATTTTAGCTCCAGGAATCAAAGAAGAAAGGAAAAACGAAAAAAGTTTTGGAGGAAGAGGAAAAGACTCCAAATGAAACAACAGCTGAAGAAGTTAAGAATGAAGGTTTGTTTCATATGATTTTCAAAATACATATAAAAATTTCTATGATAATTAACAAAGGTGTTTTTCTTTTAGAGCCACAAACATTGGAAGATGCATCAACAGCTGAGTCAGATGCTGCTGACAAGAAAACAAAACTCAACCCAAATGCAACAGAGTTTCGTCCCAGAGTAAAACGAAATACTCCAAGCCCTGTAAGTCGCAGACGGCAGAATGTTTTCCAATTCATTGCATATATTGTGCAAGTATCAATGAAAATTTAATGTATTTCTCATAAAATTTTAAATATTTTTAGAGATCATCAAGCACAGCTTCAAGCAATGGTGCACCATCTCCTTTCCAGAATAATAGTTCTCCATTCCTTCCCAGTCATTCTCCTTATCCACCCAATAACATTTACATCAACTCAAGAAATGGACCCCGGGGCAGAGGTACAGTAGGACCTTCATCAATCACTATAGATTGTGTCTATAAGTGCGATCCGTAATTCTATGTTGTGGAGAGCTGTGTATGAGCTGTGTATCTCAAGAGAAATTTGGTTTCTAAATGTGTAATGAAATTATATTGCCGGCTTTGTTAGGCATAAGACAAGATTTCATGGACCCAACAACAGGATATGTGAACGCTTCAAATGCAGCAGGCCAACCATTATTTGCTCATCACATCCCTCCACAATTTATGCATCAAACATCACCTCATGGTATGGGGTATATGCCCCCTGGGGGTATCCGTCATCCAGGGATACAACACCCAGTGTTTATACAACAACACCCACACCAAGTGATGGTCCCTTTAACTCATGGTTATCCTGATAATGCAATGTATTATGGTATGTATACCTTGGGACAATTTTGATTTGAAGTTGATTGAGCTATCTTTAAACTAGTTTGGAAGAACAGTTAAGAACTGATGAAACTATCCAGTATAAACAAAGTTTGTTTAATTCCAATGGTGTGACTTGTGCAACTATTATTTCAGGTGCTGTGCCAATGATCCAGAGTCCTCCCCAGATCACTTCACCATCTTTACAACAGTCACAGTTCAACTTCCCTACACCATCTCTTCCCCAGCCAGTGCGTCCTGTTAACCAACCTCCAGCAGTTATGCCACCACAGCCTACTCCTCCCCCTGTGTTTCTTGTGAGGCCAGCAACCAATGAAATGCAACCCACTCAAATAATAAGTAAGTAATTTGGATGGTTCTTCTTTGTGCATTCAATTGGGTCTCTTTCTGGGAGAAAGGAGAAAATATTGGGCATTTAAATAAATGCAAAGAATTGGTGGAAAAACGAATGATGGTGGAAATGTTTGGCTGAGTTTTGGGTAGAATTTAGATCTGCACCATTCAAAAAAGAATTTTGTCCATCAATATGGAATGTCTGATTTGACTTTTAAATAATTGCAGTAGTTTAAATGTCCACTTCAGTCTTGAGTACTTAACAAGAAGTACTAATAATGATGGCTGCTTAAGAGATTTCATGCATGAGTTGAATGTATTCTGGAACTTGAAAATTGGTCTCCTCATGAAGAAATGTAATATTTTTAGATAGGCCATCTCAACCACAGCCATTTCAAGGAAATTAAGGTTGCTTCTCTTTCCAGAGGTAAGCTTTGGTGCCTAGTTCAGTGAGATGTTTGCGGTGAATAAAATACACTCCATTTTGAAATGATCATAACTTTCATTTTATTTCAGAATTTCTTGTAAGGAAATCAATAGACAAGAAGCCCAAAGTCTGAGAATAAACATTATAGTCCAAATGAAAAACGGCAAATAAATGTTATTTTCAAATGTTTTGAGTTTGTTTTGAACATAGTTATGTTTTGAACCATAGTCAGTAGGCTGTATGTACGAAGAAATAGTATTGAGTAAATTTTTTTATTTTCAAGTGGCTAGTTTGTACAAAATTGTATCTCGGAACGAACTATTTCGGGACTAGTGCTACTGGTCATGGCTACTGGTCATACCCATTGAAAAACTAGTTTTGCAATGATGGAAGTGATGGAACTAACTAGTTCTGGTCATAATCAACCACTCAACTAACCAGTACTGGTCATAACCATTCAACTAACCAGTACCAGTCAGTTCACTGGTACTAGTACATATACTGGTCATAACTACTGAGCGCAATGGTTTTCTGGACTTGTAACCTTATCTGGGAACGCCCCTTACTTCATCTTTCGACCAATCAGAGTGCTTCATTTTGCAGCGGCAGATATAAAATATAAATTCTGCCATATTGGATGTTGTGAAATGCTTCACGAACAAGCAAAGCTTGTATTTGGATTGTAAAAATTGTAACTAAAGCACTGGTTCTGTTTCAAAACGATTGCGATTTTGGTACAGAGTAAAAATCTTAAATTATGAGTTCAAAAGTAAGAGGTAAGGTTAAAAAATGTGAAATATTTTGACGTATACACAGACTTGTAAAGCTCAAATAGATTTTTGTAAACATACATGTACCTGAATAAAGTATTTCATTGTTCCTTATACCTTGATTCATATATTATTTATATAATTTAGAGTCTGGAAAGGAAGACAAAAACTCAGAAACCACTGGGAAGTGTGCAGGAAAGGTTAACATACTAATATACAAAACTACAAATGTCACTCATATGAGTCATATCCATGTTTGTTCATCAAAAAATGCGGGGAAATAGCTTTATTTGAGAAACCTTGTAATATTTAGTAGAGTCGAACGGGTTTAATAGCTATGGGAAAGAGCCAATTGCTGCTGTGAATTCCAAGGATATTGGGTAGCATGTTTTTTATTTATCCTTATATAGTCTCCATCAACAAGTATGGCATCCCCTCCAAGTAAATTATCTGCCATCGCTAAATTTCTTAAAAGTCCTCGTAAGCAAGTAAAGATAAACGAACAGAGTGAGAAAACAAAATCAAAAACAAGTAAATCTAATAAAAAAGGAAAAATGAAAAACATTAAAAGCCCTAGCAAAGGTAGTCCAGTTGTTGGAAGTAAACCCACAACCAGACAAGGTTCGACTCAAAAGCAGGCTACATTGGAGGAAAATAAGCAAACTTTGCATGAAGAAAAACGAGATTCCCTTGAAAAAAAACAAGGCAAGGGTTCTTCAAGTGATCTTGCTCAAGACGAGGCTCGGAGCATTCCCTGTAGCCCTGACATGTCAAAACACCAGGATGTTGTCAGTACTCCTGATCGCACCATTGGCAGTGGTAAAAAATCAATGGTTCAAACAAGTTTGTCAACAACAAAAGAATTTGTTGAACTTTTGTCAAGCCCAGAGCATCCTCCTGTTCACAAGAAAAAAGGACGAAAGACTAGGTAATGGTCACCTTATTCTCTGAAGCAAAATTAGTAGAGAAGTTCATTTCAGAAAATGTTTCACTTTGATAACACAAATTTAGATCCAAAAAAAAGGAGAAAGTGGATAAGAAACAAACAAGGATCACAAGTATTTTCCCATTGCGGAAAAGCACCAGAAAGACAAAGTCTCAACAAGAGGTAAGAGATGAGGGGTTTCTGGTCTAGTTACTGTTTAGAACACATAAAATAGTATATCTTGAATGTAAAATATAACCGTCCATTCACTTTGGTTTTAAGAAAGATGAGCAGGAAAGAATAACAAAGATAATTTTATCAAAAAAGTTTGAAGGCTTAGAGGTAAAGGTCCATGTTTTACTGACTATGTTTTCATTGTTGAAACTGCATATTAACCATCTTCATGTGTTTTAAAATGTAAATAATCATAATTTATTCTTTTTAAACCTAGGTGCGAACAACAAAAGGAAAGGGAAGAGGAGTGTTTGCAACCCATGATTTTGAAAGAAATGAGTTTGTATGTGAATACTCGGGAGAGTTGATAACTTACGATGAGGCAAAGAAGAGAGAGACAAGTTACAATGAAGATAAAAATATTGGTTGTTATATGTATTACTTAGAGTTCAACAATAAAAAATATTGGTGAGTTGAGTCAACATATGGTTTCTTTCCTCACTTGGGATTTGTAGGAATAGTGACACATTTGATGATTACTTTTATTTCCGATATTTTGCAGTATTGATGCTACAGCAGAAGATGGAACATTGGGCCGATTAATAAACCACAGCAGAAAAGGAAATTGTAAAACTAAAATTCACGACATTGATAATCTACCACATCTTATTTTTGTGACAATGCGTCGTATCAAGGCTGGGGAAGAATTGTTGTATGACTATGGTGAGAGAAATCGAGATATCATACAATCACATCCATGGCTTGAGAGTTGAAATCCTAAACACAATGGTCTTTAAAGATAAGTGAAAGATGAGTAACTGTTTCTTCATCTTGTTCCCCTCATCTTGTTTCTACAAGCTCAATTGACTTCATGTAGTGCTCATTGATGATAGTTTTGTTGACAAAAAGAAACAAGTGATCACAGAATTCATCTAAATGTGAGCAAGAGTTTGAAGTAATATAATATTGAAGTTTGTTGTATATAGTATTGAAGTTTGTTCAGAAAAAGTTTAATAAAAAATTTGTGTTTCTACTGTGTTTTCACTACTTTGGAGCTAACATGGAAATGTCACTAAAACTTGAAATGTATGGTGTGAGAACATATTGTTTCTAGATATCTTTCCGCCGCAAATCAACCAACTTAGAAATTTTATTCATTATGAACAATAAAACAAAAAAATTTGATCAGCATTCATAATATGAATGAATTTTCAGCGAATATTGAAAAACTGAATGCAAATTGTGCACTAGAATCTAACTCTTAAATACCCTAACAATTCTCACAATATTTTGCCTACACATTGGGCATTCTCTGAGTTTTCTCCCGCAATCAACACAAGTCAAAAGGTGGCCACATTCCAGAAATACGCAGTCAATCACATGATCCATGCATATCTTACACACTTCATTTTCTCCTCCTGGTGTTCCCAGGTTCTCACTTGAACTTGGGGTGGCTGAAGAAAAAGGAAAATACAATGATACATTGATATCCAAACTCTTACAGGTCATCCGTATTCATCACTGGTATTGCTTTTACCAAATGAAGTTGTGTTCCACTCACCATTTTGCTGCATTTTCTTCGATTCCCAAAGCATCGTCACACGTTGAACTAGTTCTTCTTTCTCAACGCAGCCTTTATAATCCACATAATTGTCATCTAAAAGAACTTTCAGTTCTTTTGCAGATAACTTTCTGATATCACTTCCATCATTGAAGCTCTCTAATGATATTTTGGATCGGCTCCCAACCTGGAAATATTTTGATGATTTTCATGTGAATTTTCATGGTAAAATATGCCTGGTTTCATGTACAATTTTCATATTTTACAACTTGAAATGTATAAGATGTACTTACTGGATTTGGGTTAACACAGGAAGGAGTGAAGTTTTCATTGGGTGTATATTGTTGATAGATTGGAATATCATGACTAGTTTCATTTCTATTGTGTATCTCGTGTTGGCTTGGTGGTCGCAAACCCATTGCTCCACTCTCGTCAAATTGAAACACTGATTCAACGAAACGATGAATTTCAGGATTAATGTGAATTCCGCTGAAGAAATCGTTTAAACCCTGAGATGAATTATGCGATTGTGTGCGAGCTTGTTGCTGACTGGATGAGGATGTTTGTGAATTAATTGGAGGTTGATTAAAACGAGTTGCATTAGGTTCATTTGTACCATGTTCGGTAACTGAGGGTTCATTAACTGAGGGTTCATTAACTGAGGGTTCATTAGGTGTTTCTAGTTCTACTTGTTGTCTTGCTTGATGATTAATCATGACATCAACTAAATCCTGTTTCTCTGTGCAACCAGCTGAAGAGACATTTCTCTGTTCCAAGAATGCTTTTAGTTCTTTCACTGACAACAGCATGAGTTCGGACCTTATAAACGGTTGTGAAGACAAAGCGTGGCATTTAAGACATTGCTTAATGTTCCTACGAGGAAGATTCTCCCCCTTTTTAAAGCATGGCGAACAATACTGAAGTCTGCATCTTATACAGCGATTCTAAAAACAAAACAAAAAAATATTTACGATTGAAAAATCGCAGGGAAGAATTACATTTCCGTGAACATGTCATATTATAATCTAAAAACGTACTGAAATAAACTTTTGACACTATTTTCGGCTGAATCAATATTTTCAGTACTCTATACTTAAACGTAATATACACGAAATTTCGCTGCATCATTCTAGATAAAGTAAGATGATTCTAAAACCTTTCAATCTATTAAACCACAACCAAATTTTTTTGTGTCTACTTACCTTTCGCTTGAAAAGAGTAAAATGCATTGAACAACCAACACAAAAAGCACCACTCATTCTCGTTGCTTTAATACAATATATCTTATCAGAAAAAATAAACAGTTAAAGCCAGATGATTCACAAATGAAGTAAAATATAAAGAATCCTTGTTATAATTTGGCAACCCAAGCTTGTAATAATTAAACTACAAAATGTTATTCTACCGGCGTTTCGTCATTATCGCCCTGGTGCATATAGTCACATATATAGGTCAGTGTCAATATGACAATATCTATGTTTCAATTTTCAAGCACCAACCTAATAAAATACTGCTTTAAAAATTTGTCGTATTTTATTACTAAAAAATTCTTCATCTCAATCACAAAGTTGTATCATTTAAAACAAACTATTTTCATCTATATTTTTATACGATCAGGTGATATTAATAACCAGTCGCTCTGCCAAATTTACGTGAATCAGAAACGGCATAAATTCTTCCTTGTCTGTCAATCGAGATGGCCTGCACAGTGCTGCTGTTAATTAGAAATTTGTATTTATGTCCTAGTTTCTTCAAGCCATTCAGAATTGTTTGTTTCATTCTGTATCTCTTTGTTTTTTCAAGACGAATATAAGTGGGTACCAATTGATGATGTAATCTTGGACGTTCCACAGATTCCTCAAGATCTAATCCAAACCATAAATGATTAAGAAAAACCTGAAAAATTAACGCAGAGCAGTTATTCTTCAGTGATTCGAATTTTCGATTCACCTTTCGTAAGTTTCGTTGCCTTTAAAATATCTGACTCCCCCTCATGTCATCTAGTCATATGAATCACATATGCTTCCTAATTGCTCTCTCGTTTTGAAATCTCACTGCTCAATTTCTGCAGCTCAAAACTCGGAGATTAACTGCAATTTGCTCCCTACTCACCAGTGCTGTCCCGGTTGTAATTCTTGTTCCTCCTGACGCTCCTAAGATAAATCTAGCGTTTCCTAAATCATCAACAGTCACACTAGGACTCATACTTGACATCATTCGTTTGCCTGCTTTGATGAAGTTCCTTGGCGAAGGTTCGACTCCAAATACGTTGACCAAACCAGGTGTGGAGAAATCGTCCATTTCGTTGTTATAAATGATTCCTAAAGTTGGTGACCTGATTTTAGAGCCAAAACTAAAGAGAAGGAAATAAGGTTTCAACTTCATGAAGGTACGTTCACCAGATACGTTCAGATAGAGTCAATCAACTTCTTTTCTTTGTTCGTGTTGCAAAAATTAGAAAGCCCGGGGCTATTTCTGTTGACTCTTGACCTTATCCAGGGCGTGGCGGTATGTTGCACCTTCCCACACCCCCTGGTAGCCACGCCCCTGATCTTACCTGGTATTTATTGTGGATGTCAAAGCCACAGCGTCCCCATTTTTGGACAACACTGAGAGATGAGTTGTTCCGTCATCATTCCAGTCTGAATAAAAGCCGCCGTAATACGAGACATTGTGAATCTTATTGTCATCAATCTTTTTACGAAGATCTTCCGTGAACGATGCATTTGTCATGTTGTTTACAGTCTAGAATATAATATGAATGCTACTTTGATGGGAACTATCTCGTACACTTGAGGATATATTTTACTTACATACCTCTCCGTTCCTTACATACCTCTTTTACTCCATCTTCATGATCAGGGTCCCCCAACAGAGCACGATAAGCGTAGGAAAATTTGAAAGCCTCGACAATACGATGATAGCTGCGGATCAAACTTTCATCGCCATCATTGTCCTCGCTGGAAAATTGAAATCCTGAAAGAATATAATCAAAAACAATTTATGAATTAAAATATAAATCCCATCGGGAGTTCTCCTTGGAGGATGTGCTGCCTGATCCAGTAGCATTCTTAAAACATTATTTTAACATTCCAGTTCTGTGGTTTCATCTTCAGAGCTGTTATGCTAAGGTCTTGGTTGCCAACTGATTCCAACAACTTGGTTCTTAGTTAGATATTCAAAGATTATCTTGATTATCTTTAGCAAAAAACTCCTGGTATATTCAATCTGCACGATTGATTTCGCTTGAAGATGTTTTTACCTTTTAATATCTGCAGTATCATTGCAAATACCGGTCCACTTGATGGCGGTTGAGATGTCCATATCGTGTGATTTTTGTCCAGATTAACCCTCAATGCGTTTGTTCTGGTAGCCTCGTAATTCTTCAAGTCATCACGTGTGATTATCCCTCCGGAACCCTGAATGTCACTTACAATTCCTTTCGCTATTGATCCCTGATAAAAGCTCATTGGATCTTCAGCGATGATCTCTAAGGTGTTTCCTAATTCAGGATTGATCAGGATTTCGTTCGTCTTAAGCATTGTACCGTCTTTCTTAAAAAGCAGTTTCCTGAAATGTATGGATTTTTAGCGCAGGTTGTTACAGTAGCGATGAATCAGAAACATATAAAATTTGAAGATTTAAAATTATTCAAAAGCACGTCTTTACCTAAACCCTGTGTCATTATATAAAATATCCTTTTTTGTCACCATTCGTCCATATAAGGCTTTGGAGAGGGGAAATCCATTCTTGCACAAATCTATAGCAGGCTGAACCAAATCTTTCCAAGGTAGTTTACCGTGTTCTTTCCAGGCTTTGTGCATCGCACTAACCTCTCCGGGAACACCAACTGCCAAAGCACCTACACAGAGGTAGAAAACCAGAACCAAACAGTTCTTTAATTAATCTCATGCCCGAGACCACTCAACAACCTCGTTCCCAGGGCCTTTTCCCAGCCCAGAATCAAGGTAAAAGGCCCCGGGAACGAGGTTGGGCCAGTCAAGACATATCTGTATCATGTCATGATTTTTCAATACCTTGTTTAGCAGCTAATGTGTTATTCACAAACATATCTCGGCTAGCATTGGATGGTGCCTTCTCACGACCGTTGTAAAACCATGCTCTTCTAGATTTTTTGACATACACCACCATGAATAATCCTCCTCCAATTCCGGAAGAATGTACGTTTGTAACGCCTTGACAAAATAAAGTTGCAATGGCAGAGTCAACGGCTGAACCATTTTGTTTGAGGATTTTTACTCCGATATCGGAACATTTTCCTACATCAGCTGCTACAGCACCATTCTTGTAGTACTTCTTGTCCGTTTCTTTCAATTCTTTGCTTTCCGAAAGTGTAAGAATGAGGACGACAGATATCAAAATTATCACGAGCAAGACTGTGATTGTCATAACTGGTAGAAGGATTTGTTTTCGTAAAATTCCCCAAACCATTGTTCTATGTAAAAAAATATATTGCTATCCACCTGCCCTCATAGCCTATGAGATAATGTAAGTTTTCTAATTGTAAAATTGTGATAGAAATACATATATTCAGGGTTGTGATTCTTGAAGCAAGCATTACGGCATTGAACGTAATTTAATCCCGCTTGAACGCAGTATGTGATAAATAGTTTGCGCGCGCGCTGAAAGTCTTCGCGCATTTAAAATTTTGTTATTTAAAAAGTACCTGGCGTGTTTCAGTACTTGAAGCTGATCAAGATTTGGTAATAATTTGTAAAACAAATATCCTCAAGCTTGTATTGATCTTGTGCTGATTTTGCAGGACTGATTGATGGGCCACAGATTTACTCGTTACATAACTGAGTGCTGACATTATTTCGTAATTTTGATTAGCTGCATGGAATGTTTTAGCTCTACGATAGAAATCTAACACCATGATTGCTACCCGTAGACCAAGCGTAATGTTCAGAAATATTCCTGCTTTAAAAGGTGAGCAAAATCTACATTTTCAGTACCAAACCACCGCACCAGGTTCTCTTCCATGAATAAAATTGTGAATGTATTAAAAGATCCTCAAAACTCTGAGTTGCCATGTTTGATTATTTGTACAATTATTTGTTGCTCATCTTTTGACATATTCAGCTTGTATCAATAATCTATGATCAACTGAGCGTGTTTCATGAAGAATGTGTACATTTAAATATAATTTCTATTACTTTTAATATAAATATTTGTTTGAGGAGGGAGGACAGACAGTCACAGTCACACGGCAAGTATAAAGCTCGTGCAAACGTGTGTTTATATGAGAGTCAATTCAGTTATCGACCGTCATGCAAGGCCAAGAAAATCTGATTACATTCAACTTAAGACACTCGGTGAATCAGATCTCGCAGATATGCAACAAAGCCAAACGATCGTTTATCTTCTATCCTTTGTTAGGATATGAGTCGTCCTTTGGGTCAAAGATATGAAATATTGAATCGTAGCACCAGTAATTTGAAACTGCAGGGGGAACAATAAAAACGCATCTCGCTTACACTCATTTCAAAAATTTAAAAATGAAAATTAAAGCACAGCAAATGACTTTCACACGAGACATAACAAATTGTTCACAACATCTTCAGAGCAATTCAACTTATTTACAAGGATGGGTTTTATATATACACAATTTTTTAAGAGACGGTAAATTCTACATTTTTTTAGGTCTTGTCTGAAAGTCATTTGCTGGGCTTTAATTTTCATTTTAAAATATTCCACATTTCTTCAGTTTTTAGCTATTAATATGAGTAACAGCATACCATGTCACGTCGATAGTACAAGCAACCATTATCGGTCTACCACAGATGATGATTCACTTGATTCGTCTCTTGAAGAAATATTGGCTACGAACGAACCAAATCCTGAATCCAGTCAATCCAGTGCCTCCGAAACATTGGCTGAGTTATTCATGAACCGCAGGCGCCTCAAAGAAGCAGAGACGCAAGTTTGTTCTCTCAGCTTGATATTGCAAAATAGCAGTTCGTGTGATGCCGGTTCAGGTATTGCGGATCATGCGGTGTTTCGGGAGAATAAGTCTTCTCTTGAAGATGAAGTGATAAAAATGAGACAGGAGATATGTGAAAAAGAGTTGTTTTTAAAACAACGAGATGCGGACTTATATTCAAACTATTTACGTTCTTTTGAGAATGACAACAACGAAGGAAGTAAAAATCATGGATTTGATGGAAAAACACAATTCGATGAAGATCTTGTTCATGATTTGGCTAAGCAAAGTTCTGGCGAACAAGAATTCAAAGACGAAGATGGAATAGATGATGCTGATTTCCCACTGAAAAACGCAGAATTCAACATCTCTGATTTTGGATTTCAAGAAGGCGAGTTTGATGACGAGCAACAATATTTTGAAAGCAGTCCTAATGAAGTTACAAAGCTTCGTAGAACACTGAATAAGACACGAAGGAAACATAAAGAAGAAAGAGATGCCATTATGAAACAGTTGAGAGCCTTGCAAATAACAACCGTAAACGGCGAAACAAACTGGCGATGTATCTTGAAGAAGAAACAAATAGAGATTGATGAACTTAGCAGGAAGAATGATGGACTGCAAGCTAGGAATAAAGAGCTTAACTTTGCCTTGAAAAATATCGAAAATTTGAAACACAAAGAAGCAAGAGAGAAAGAAAAAAGAGTTAAAAAAAATTCAAAAATTATTGCATCGTTGAGGAACCAGGTTTCAAGCAGCGATGAAAAGATTAATGAATTGTTGGAAGACGTCAAAAAAACGAGGAATATTAACCAAGAGTTGAATGGAAGAGTAGGACGGTTAGATGAACGAAATAAGGAATTAGAAAAATGTTTAGGTGAAAAGGATGAAGTGATTCAGAGCTTATCAAAAGAGATTCAAGACACGAACTGTTTGGTAAACAAGCTAATAATAGAAGTGAATTGCGTGAGCTTGGATAACGAGAGTTTGACGAAGCAAATTGAAGAACTTGAAACGGAGAATAAGGAAGGACTGGAAGACGTTGATGGTGTGAAACATGCTTCAAGCTCTCTCATTCATGTTGGATTGCAAACTGAAGAATGTTCATCTCCACTGCAAGATGAATTGAGCAAACTGCAGGGGGAACTAGCGTCAGAACGCAAAGCAAAGTCTGTATTATTTCAGCAAATTAATGAACAAAAGAAATATGTCGAGTGTTTGAGAGAAAGCGAAGTAAGATTTCAGAACGAATCAGAAAAATGGAAAAGCAAGTCGTTTCAAAACGAAAGGTACACGTATGCATTTGTCGTTGAAAATCTAACATTTCGTGTTAAGGCGAGACATTTAGGACCCATTTCAAGCTATAGTTTAAACAATTAAACTGCTTTAATTACCTTGCCTTGCCTTTAAGATAACTCAACATCTTCTTTTTCTAAGCATCGAAGCAACGCGTTCATTTTCGTTGATTTAGAACCATCCAAGAGCTCATTATTTCCCTCGGAAAAGCAACGACAGAAAATAAATCATTCTGTGAGAGAAATCTTGATAAACACGGAGAGGTGCTGAGTGAAGACAGAAAAAACCTTCCTCATTTCAAAATGCTTAAGGAGCTGAAGTATGTGTTCAAATCAATGAATGTTATGTTTACCTTTTCAGAAAAGGCAAAACTTGTCACGGCGTATTTCTAAAGTGTTAAATTTTCTCATAGATCAGAATTAAGTAATTTGCAAAAAGATATTTTCAAAAACAAAGAAAATCTTGATTCACTACGGAAAACGTGGAGGTGAAAATCTTTGTCTTTTTCCCTGCTTTCAACGCCAAGACAAGTGCTGATATATTTCTTCTCTTTTAGAAAATATGAAACTGAACTTAAAAGTGAACATTAATTCTGTTAAGACCATTGAAACAGAGAGAGGAGGAGATGTCCATTTTTTGTAATATTGTACAATGTTATAAATAAAACATAAAATATATAAGTTAAAAACGATACCTATGGATATTAATCATATTATGCATCATGATTAGTAACATGTTACATGTGGCTACAATTATTGATATTACATGACGTTCTCAGCTGGTAAGTCATGTGAGTCTTTAAATGAAAGTTCGATATTTTTGTGTGTGTTTTTACAATAAAATTGACATTTCAAAGATTTTGTCAGAAATAGTTATGTACCGTTGAAAACATGGAGGCAATGCTGCAAAATAGGTGATTATACCTTTCGGGTTTTTTTTGTTCAATGCTTATCTTTTAAATCAAATTTAGTCGTATTTACTATTTATATATGTCATAATATTTGAGGTATGTGAATTGTGAATACACGTATATAAACTATATACAATTTACCAATCTACTTTTAAAATCGAGTGTTAGTATCAAAGTTTCATATCCTTGCCGTATGCAGAGGATTCTCTCTTTCAATGCTTGTTTGCTCATCTGTGTACCAAACCAGCCTTGGATCAGAATTCACCCTACCTAGTTTGCATATATATCAAGTCTCAGATGATTCACCCTGAAGCTGACCTATATTTCTTATTTTTTTGTAGATTCGAAGGATCAATTTTCTTTGTCTATGATCGTCATTTCCTGCAAAAAGAAGAGGACCTCTTGGAGGATGCGATAATTTATTTTTATCCACATTCTGTATGTTATATTTTTTTCACAAAAGCCAGCCTTGGGCATGGTTAACTCAGTTCAGCCCCAATTCATGTGAATACAGAATGATTAGCAGCAACAATAACCTAGACTACCTCTTGCTTGGCTCCATTCGGAGCACTCCAGGCCTATAGGTATTTGCCCCCGCTACCCCCCCTTGCACTTCCCAGACTTGCATCAATCTCTGTAATAGACTGATGCCAGATTGATCCACCATAATTATATCAGGTTTTTACAAAGAAACTAGGTTCAGCACCCTAGGGGAAAACATTGACTAAAACTGGGCATTGCTGTGAACTTCATTGTGTGATCATACCCCAATACAGTTGTCTTTTGTGCTTTAGATGCCAATAGACAACCAGTGTAGATTATGTGGTCAGCTAATGGGTCTCGTTCAGTTCACTGATTCAGTGTTCGGTTCATGCCCAGCGTTATTTCGGTTCGACAATGAAAAAATTGCAGTCAAACATGTTGGAAAATATTCTTTAGTAAGAATTATATTTATTGTATCAATTGATCAAAATTATTTACATATCCAGGTACAGAATAATCGAGTATGAAAAATTGTGTCACATATTTCTCTAGGCATTGGCAGGGAATTCATTTGAACCAGATTCAGCTTTACTAGCCACTGTTGATAGATTATATTTCCTCTTTGCATTCTATCATGGATCTATTAACCAAGTTGAGTTGGTAAATATTACTGCTTCAATATTGATAGTATGCCTGAATTTTTGTCTTGGTGTGTGTCTTAATTTTGCTTATTTTGCTTATCTTTGCTGCCTAGGAATGCGACAATGACAGGGAAAAGTTTATCCCAGAAATTCATGTGATTTGGGAGCAATATTTAGCATTCATTCGCAATTATGGTGACAATCTTCCTTCAGTATTCAATCCTATTCCATACCTACCTTTGAAGAATGTAAGGAAATGTGAAAAAGGTTTTTTTATAAAATTTCATGGTATAAAACTGTCTCAATATCTTCTTTCCAGGATTTGAATTTTTACTTTTTAAAAGCATCACACATCTTGGAATCTTGTCAACGTCGACCACAGATTATTGCTGGAGCGATACTTTATAATAGATTGTATGTGATCTGATATGACTTTAATGTAATTGCTACAGATTAACTTTGTAATTTCCTGTATTTAAATTTCTAACCAATATATATTTTAGTATTCTGTGCAGTCATTTAACAGACCCGATAACAAGATGTCTCTTATTACTAAAACCAAATCAGGAACATGTAAGTTGACAAATGGTTATTCTTGCTCTGAATAATTTCAGCTCATTTATTTTTATTTGTTTTCTCAGCATCCAGCAATGCCAATTGAAACAGGTGGGTATTTCATCCAAGCCTTTTTTTAAAGAACAATGATCGTTTATTGATTATGATTGATTATATTGATTTGATTTCTTGCTAGTAGATAGATTTTTTGAAATAGAATTTGTAAACCCAGTCACTCAACTCTGTCAATTATACATCTAAATGGGTTGGAATTGTTCTCTAATTTTGTATACCCAGGTTACCAACTACCATTTGGTGTTCGGCTGTTCAATGTGTATTTGACAAGAAATGACTTGACAGAAATTCTGGTAAACAATGAAAACTCTCCTTATCAATCTCCATCTGAAGAACCATTTCGTTGTTGTTGCAGTGAAAATAAAACACCGAGGAGTAGAACTCCCAGAATGCATATCAGGAAAGTTGGTTCAACCACACCTCAACCTAAAGTTGAGTTAACCCAGAGTGAGAAAGATCCGCTCCATTCATCAGATAATTCCAGTTCGAAGCTGTGTAAAGCAATGTTGGAAGATTTATTATTAAAAGGTTTTAGATGTTGCAAGTGTATTGAAGAAACTGATGGAGAATTGGAAGAAGGGAGTTCGTTTGGTGATGAAAGTGTTTCTGAATGCAAGGAAAACAAGAGGAGTCAAGAAAATGCGTTGATACCTTCCACAGAAGATAGGAATTGTAACAATATAGAAGAGGCAATAGAAGAGTGTTCTAGGAACTCTGCTGATTCTAGCCAACCTCAGCTTTCTCAGAATTCTGTTGTGGAAGCTGAAAGTGGTATCGAGGTTACAGGGAGTGATTTTCACAGCAGCGCTGCAACCAATCTTGATCAACCGTCTGCTAGTTTCTCTTACGTGAAATATCAAGAGAAAAGTCGGAATTTTACCCTATGTTGTAAAACAGAGGAGACAGATAAGATTGCAAGTCATTTGGAGGGCAAACACGATATCAGGGGAGAGCAAAATGACCTGGAATATGCTGACAAGGAACCAACGAAACATTCGTCGAATAATGAGTTGACTAATCGCGATTATGATATCACTAATTTACCCCAGAACGAGCAGAAAGATGAGGATAATACCTCGTATGACTCGGACCATGTTACTGCTGGAGAAGAGGTGAGGGAAAGTTTTGGCAAAGCACATGCTAACGCAGATGATGTTAATCCAACTGTTTCAGAGGATGAGGAAACAGAACGTTTGAAATATGATCAGTTGAGCAAAGCTTGCAATACTGGCAAAGAAAACGACTTCATGGAACGGAGGAAATTGTCCAACAGTATTGATGTTGATTCTTCATTGAAGAACCATGTTTTAGGTGAAGAGCAAGATGGTGTTATAGAGAAACAATCAACGGACTGTATGCCTCGCGAGGTCACTAATCAAAGATTAAATGCTTTGACGCTTGAGGAACCATATCAGTTATCATCATCCGAAGATAGTTATAGAACGCCAGATGAAATATTGGATACTGAGGAACCTCTTGATGGATTGGATGGGATGTATGATACAGAGGAGGAGCTTTGCGAGGGACAGTGGATGAACAATGAGGATATAGACGCTCTTCTTGATGAAGACGAGGAGGGTCTGGTACATGTTTGTAAACTTGGGATGAATAGGGACATCGAGTGTCAGGATGTTGATGAAAGGCAAGATGAAGAATATAGCAACAAGTGTCAGCAGAACGAATGTCATGGACAGTTTTGTGAGGTAAGATCGACACACTCCATCATTATCTCTCGCTTAAAAACACATTAATTTTGAATCTTTTTTAAAGGTTGATGGATTGATTCACGCTAATCTGTTTGTTCAAGCGCATTCAGAAATAGTTCTAATTCTTCTCGCAAAATGTGACCTTTATCAGAATGAAGACACCGTGAAATCTTTGGTGAGTGTGGAAGAGTGTTTCACTCCATAATCAATAAGATTTTACCAATACAAGATCTCCAGAAAGAACAAATTCGAATCAATAAAGTAACGCAAGGTTGATAAATGACGATGATTAGTGGGAAGATTAGTTTAGAGCTGTTAGAATTATCCAGTGTAAAGTTTGCTTTGCATTTTCTCGTATATATTACCTGATAAATCCAGGCAAATGCGATATAAAGTTAACTGATATTCCTTAATACGTGTTTAGTGGAGTTCATCTCTATCACAGCTTGGTGAGCTCGACATTTTGATGAAGAATTCGGCAAAACATATTTATCAGGTTGGTAAATGTTTGCAAATCCTCAGTTTCATCTTCCATCAACATTCACTAACTTTTGTGTTTTGCTCTCATCAGGATGCCCAAGTGCCGTTCAATTTATTAATTTACGATAATTTTGAGAAAACCATGTCAGGTATTGTAATTTTTGTTGAAATACACGACCTAAATTCAATGTTGGAAATTTTCCCTCCGGCGTCGTTGACACAGACGTTTATCAACAGATGAGGTTTCTATCACGGCTGATGTTCTACAAAGCGACTGGGTTAAGATATAGACACTTGAGTAAAGTCATTTACATTCATATTTGATAATTTTTGTTTTCAGGTAATCTCCGAGAGCCCGTCTTTGCACCAGATCATGTGTTTTGCGAAGCAGCTAAAACTTTGCACAGCCATTTCAAGAATGCTCCGCAGCTAGGAGACGTTACTTTGAGGTAAGAGAACGTTACTCTGCATTGTGAAAAACCTTTCGACAAATATTTTAGAACAATCCAATCATAATTATCCATTTCCAGGAATTTCCTTTGTGGTATTTACGGTGAGCGAACGCTTTCACGAGAAACCTATTTTCAAGAATCTGTAAATAACTCTTCGTCAAATTGGGCACCGAATATTACTGGATATTTGGCTGAAAAAATGAGAGAATATATTGTGAAGGATGGTTTGCCGTTTGTTTAGTAGATGAGGAGATTTATCGGGACACAGATCACCGCTTTAAAAAATGGCGGTCAATTTCTTATGGGTAACAATTACGTTCCGCGCTGGTAAAAATGTGATATTTAATGTATATTATCAGTTTCATAAATGATAAAGTAAAATTCCTAAATATAAGAAAAGATTGTGTATTTTGTAGGGTTTTTCTTGCCCTGATAACTGTGAGTGTTGACCTAAGGTTTGTTATGTTTAGCCTGGAATCCAGGTAATCAAGTTAATCCAATTAATCAAGTAAATCCTGGTAATCAAACGAATGGCTGCGAATCCTGGTAATCCCGGTCCGCGAGGTCACAAAAATAACTTGATTACATGGATTTACTTGATTACTAGGATTTACCAGATTACTAGGGCTTTCCATAATACTGAGATTGTAAGATTAGTATAATAGTTTTAGATCTACATTGATGATGCATTGTAAGGTGACGAACCTTGATACTGCGTCACATGATGTCAGCGATCTCTGCGCTAAGACAAGAGAGGAGTCTGGGTCGAGCGACCAGCCCAGCTTCGTTTTCTAAATTCGGAAAAAATATTGACATTGAAAATATAATATTTTGAATGAATTGTATGTTGAAAATACTCGCTTCGGTTAATGTCTCCAAGCTTTGCTCACGGTAACAAGAAAAGTAAGTAAGAACAGTTTGTTTGAATTGTATTTAAAGCGCCATTAGCCTACTGAGAGAGAATAAACAGCCGTATTCCTGAAGTGCCATATTTTGGGAATACACAACCTTGTTTTATTCACAGATTCGCGTCGAAATTCGCACTCAAAGACGATTTGTTTAGTAACTGAGATGAAACTAAACATTCAAATAACTTTAAGTGCGAATTTCTGGCGATTTTTACTCTTAAAATTCCCTTTTAACTGTATAAAGTTTCTCAAAGGAAGTAAATTTTTATTGACATATTTATGTAGTCATTTCAAGCTTCGTAGAGCTCTGTTGCGTGGTTAATATTACCCTAGTTTAAAGCGTAAATACTTCAGTTTTTACTTAAAGATTTAGTTAATTAAAAAGACAGCTAGAAGCAAGTGAAAGTAGAATTCTCTATGACCGTTCATGATGTTTTAGACGAACAAAGCGACCTGTTTTTTAGAACCAGCTATTGTAGTGTGTTTCAAATGTATATTTTATAATCTTTTAAGCTTAAAACATGTTTTCCTTCGTGGCCTGACCTCTGTGACTCTCTCTCTCTCTCTATGTTAACAGATAATTACTGTTCATAATATATTGTGTGTACTTCATCTCCCAAAACTGTGTTTTAACAGTTCATCACCGTATTTACTTATCAATAATGATTTAAAAATTTTACAAAGAAAATTTGTTCATGCTAGTTTTTTGACATCTGCAATCGCATAGTCACGTTGTTTTTGTCCAAAGACAGCTTTTACAGACATTGTTTATTGTTCAGTTATGAGATAATAATTGGTCTGGGTTATAAGATAAATTATTAACTCGATATGTCTATTAAAATGTAAGATTTTGGCTTGTATATATCTAAGGTGCATCATTTTACCATTCATCATTAATTGTCATTGAGAAATATATAAAGTACCTATGAGATTCACAATCTTTGATCATACAATAATTCCTTATAAATATTTCAAAATGTTATATAATTTCCCAGAAACATTTTTTATATTGCAGTGTAATTTAGGTCTGGTATTATTTAGCCAAATAAGCCCTTCTAAATATGAGTAATGATTATTTTAGTTCTGATATGTTTCACAAATTTGTCTTGCATTAAAAAGCTATATTTAAAAGGTGTCTGGCTAATATTTACTAGTAATTTGAGTCAATATTCATAAGCCTAAGGATATTCTGGAAACATTTAAATGCTTCAAAGAGAATGGCTTACCTTTAATAGACTTGATGCTGTGTAGTTATATAATGTTAGAGTTTGCCCTGCTGTCTAAAATTCCTTAAATATTGTAAATTTGTGTCTATGAAACACTATAAGAATTTAGAAATACTTTAGCCATCTAATCCTTTGAGTGTTTCTAATTTTAAATTTCTCCTTAGTTTATACACAAAACAGACAAACTCGCATTTTGAAGTGAATCATCTATATAAAATGGAATGTACCTGCTATCTTATTGTTATCATCATAGATCTATGTTAGATATAAAAATTAACTTGTGCTTTTTAAGGAAGTTATCTCAATATAAAAAGTCAAGACACTTATTTATCTCTCATTTTTATTTTTAAACCTTTTCACAAGTTCCTCTTATATTTTACTCAAGTTCCTCTGAAGCATTTTGTTAATCCTACAATTGCATAGTAAACTATGGCAATTTAAATTCTTGTCATATTTTAGCTTGTTAAGAATTTTCATAATAATTACAATTAATATACACAATACTAGTGTGTGATCATCCATGCATTTTAAGTGGCTACTTAGTGTTTTTTTCTTACTCCTTTCAATATAATTTCCTTGTTTCTTTTCAATATAGTAAAATTATATAAGCAAATGAAACTTCCTGTTGGTTATGTTGTTTTTGTATTGTAAGTTTAGTGAACCATTTTACAAAATTTGTGTCCTACGTGACAAATCACTGTTCAATGTCTCATTGTCTTTGTCTGTGTTTTGTCAGGGATTGTGCACATATCAAATATAGTCAAAACTGAACATCATTTTTCAAGGAAATATTCTAAGGAAATATGCTCTTGATTTAGACACCATTTTATCATCAAGCATTCATTTTCTGTATTGATACTTCTCTTGATATGTGAGGCTAGGTACATAAAATATTTACACCGCAAGAGTTTAGTGAAACGAAAAGATAAATTTCAAAACAGCAACAATGACATCAAGTATATATATAGATCAGTACATATATGATATATATACACTACAGTTGTTTGTTTTTACTAGTTCTGTTACATTACAAAGCAGTCAGGGAGGCATTTATCCAACAGTAGCCCATTTGAGTCACTGCTATTAGGTATACTTGGGTTGATAATTAATAATGTGATGAAAAAATTACAGTTTGTAGTAGCTTCCTGGCAGTGTCAGCCTGATGTGGCTATGCCCTCTGGTAAAGTTGGATTTCATAAGAATCCTGATTGCGCTGGGTTATTCACCGACCATGATCCTGAGAAACAATTTAAAGACTTGAAAGAAATTGGACATGGAAGTTTTGGAGCTGTTTATTATGTGAGTTTCATGTGATTTAGTCCCATCCCATATGTAACCAAACTAGAAATTAATGTCAGTATTAAATGCTGAAGCTAATGAATTTTAACACATCAGTCATCAAAGTAAACTCACATAAAATTGTTTTATTTTCACAGGCAAAACATGTTAAGACAGGGGAGGTGGTGGCCATCAAAAAGATGTCATTTAGTGGCAAACAAAGTGCAGAAAAGTGGGCAGATATTGTTAGAGAAGTGAAGTTTTTGAAGCAATGTAAACACGAGAATACAATCAGTTACAAAAGCTGCTATCTTAAAGAGCACACGGCATGGGTAAGTTCACTCATTAACTGCCAGTATCACTCCAGTAGTATTAGACATTGTAAATTACTAAATTAGGACACATCTGGGTGCATTGCAAGCTAACAAACTGAAACCTGGATTCATCATATTGGTCAATATATAATTAGGTGGGGGGCACTGTACCACTTCAGCAGCCACTGCACCACTTGGTTACTCTGATGCATAACCATACCCATGACCAGCAAAGCATGCTTTTTCACCATGAATATTTTTATGTACCATGTCAAAGTAATTTCATCCATTTTTACAGCTTGTCATGGAGTATTGTGTTGGGTCCTGTTCCGATGTTTTGGAAGGTAATTTCTCTTCATTTTCTTCGCAACTTCATTAGATGACAAAATAAATTAATCTTTTTTTCCTCTCACAACAGTCCACAAGAAACCTCTTGCAGAGAATGAGATTGCAGCTGTTTGCAAGGGAGCTCTGAATGTATGTGAAGTTTCTTATAAAATACACATCTTATGTTAAGACTTTTCATGAAGTTCTGATTTGAATGATTACTTTTCTTACTAGGGATTATCATATTTACATTCCAATGATAAAATTCATCGTGACGTCAAAGGTAAGTCGATATTTTTATTATTCACTGTGAAGTTGTGATCGCCGCAGAATATTACATCTTATTCATCTTTTCTTAGCTGGTAATGTTCTACTCACTGAAGATGGTGTTGTAAAGTTAGGTTAGCAACATTCTTTTTTATAATATAAAGCTATAAAATTAATGATATTTCCAAAATTAAATCCTTTCAATTGTATTTTGCAGCTGATTTTGGCTCAGCATCCATTATTTCGCCTGCAAATTCTTTTGTTGGAACACCATACTGGTATGTGATATCCCTTCCTAGGATCCACTATTCCCGTGCCTAAACAATGGGGATAAGGCAGGGGCAGTGAACTATAGTTGATGGGACAGGGGTCATTGCAGGGGTAGATTCAATGAGGCTGTGGTATGGAGGGGGGGGGGCACACAGGGGTCATTGCAGGGGTGGATTCAATGGGGCTGTGGTATGGGGGAGGGGGGGGCACACACCTAAAAGCGTAGCCTGTAGAGGATACAGAAGTGATGTATATGTGGCGATCATGGGAAATTAGTTCTTAATTGTTGTACTTTCTGATATCCTGACTGCCTGCCTGCACCGGCTAAAGTTTGGATGATATGTTTGCCCACATAACATTTTATTTCAATTACTTTAGGATGGCTCCTGAAGTCATTCTGGCCATGGATGAAGGCCAGTATGATGGAAAGGTAGGATATCATTTAGAACTGTGTGTTAAAACAATGCTCTCTAGCTCTCTGTCTACTATAATTCGGACATCTGCATGTGGTAAAATATTTTTATTGTGACCATTTAGGTTGATATTTGGTCGTTGGGAATTACGTGTATTGAATTAGGTAAGTCCTAACTCATGATTGGTTGATTTGTCTGAGATATTTCATTTCATTGGTTCATCTTATCCCAAAGGACTTGTGATTGGCTAATCTGTTAAAGTTAATGCATTTGATGACATCATTTTGCTATCATTCGTAGCCGAACGTAAACCTCCGTTATTCAATATGAATGCAATGAGTGCGCTATATCACATCGCCCAGAATGATCCTCCGGCCCTCACGACGGACGGTTGGTAAGTAAAAACTGTTCCCGTAGTGCTCTGCCATCGTGACACCCAGCTGATGGTATTTTGTCGTCTTCTACCTACCAGGTCTGGGAGTTAAAGAGTTTATCAGTAAATGTCTGGAAAAGAATGTTCCTGACAGGCCAAACAGCCAGGAACTTGCGTCTGTAAGTATAAAGACAGAGTTACAGAGTGATAAATCCTTAGAGGAATGCACATTGAAGCAACCTTGAATAATCCAGGATTCTTCATGATTCCTCCACGGCGGTCAGTGGTAAAGGTTTGTGCTGTGTGAATTCAGGACTGAGTAATGATTCTTTATTGTTTTAGCACGAGTTCTTGAATAGAAGCCAACAAAAAAATATTTTAAAAGAACTGGTTCAAAGAACGAAGAGCCAAGTCCGTGCTTTAGATAATATGAATTATAAAAGAGTGAAAAAAATATTTATGAATGAAGGAAATTCAGGTCTTGAGGCTTCCAGTTCTTTTGATGATGACGCCAGTTCACAGGTACCTTAGATACTTCATGTTTCATTATTTCATCACCATATGTTTTGGTAGTTTTATTGTCATGCATCTTATCTCTGGTTCCATCTTAAAAAGAAGAATATCGTTAAATGGTTTAGTTTGTCTTTAAAAGAACTTAACTTCAGCTATTAAACGCTATATCTCTGTGAAAAATCCGTATTATGAAATGATCTTCCCTAAATCAACCTTCTTATCGTCATCTGTATTAAAAAGGTGATCATTGCACCAGAGATAACAAATGAAATAATATTACCTTATCTAGATGTCATCTTTCTCCAGCACAATGTCCTCGGTACAACTAAATGATGATACGAGTATTAAATCTGATAAAACAACTAAATATAACGGCGATTCTGAACATTCAGAGGTGCTTATTTACTTAAATATTAAGGAATATCTATTAAACAATAAAAAGAAATACAAGTAGTTTAATTGGTTTTAAATAGTTTCATTATTGCTAAATTATGTCGCTCGTTGTTTGTCTAAAATATAATTATTAACTGATAAGCTAAAGATTCAGTCATTTGTGGCATTTGACATCAATGTCTGTGTACGTTACTGAGGGACGTTCAAGACACTGGGGGACGTTGATGATACTGGGGAATGTTGGTGATACTGGGGGGCATTGATGACCTTTTCTTCTTCATTCATAGGTTGAAGTGACGAACAGGAAGACAGCGAGTGTTCAAAGTCATAACAGTTCGATATCTAGTAACCACAACAGCAGCACTGAGAGCTTACCTGGTGCTACAGCTGAGGCCAAGACTGACAAAGCAACAGAAAAGAATCATGATCAAGGCAAAGACGATGATGTCATTAGTCTCTTTACCCCGAAAAAGGTAAAAGTATGTAAAAGTCTTGAATGAATCTGTCTCAGGTAGATCAATACAAAAGGCAGTTAAATTTTTTTATGATTTTGTTTTTCTTGGGTGTGGAAGGCTGGTTGTGTTTTGTTTGGACCTTTAACCAGAAACATCTTCATTCAATACATCACATTGATTCATATTTTTCAGTAATACATGATCACAACAGCATCCATCATCATCATTCATCATCATGCGGAATGCTTGAACATGTTTTCTTGTTTAGGATGGAGAAGAAGATGAAAGATTTGCGACAATACGACCAATCAACGCTATTCTCAGACAGAGGGAACAACACCAGTCAAACGATGACTTCAGAGAACAGATGAATGTTTATAAACAAATGCGTCAGCAGCATCAGAAACAACTTTTACAACTAGAAAATAAACTGAAAAATGAAATGAACGAACATAAAAAGCAACTTGATCGTGAATACGAACAACAAGTTCATCAATTTGAAAGAGAAATGGAGAAACTGAAGGGCAAACACAAAACTGATTTTGATCAAAAGGTTTGTTAAGTAATCAATGTTTGTACGTACTCTAGGGTAAGCGTGGGACTTGTGTTGATAACTTGATAGTTGACCCTAGTAGGATTTTCCTACGGATAGAAATCCTGCGATAAAATGGTCGTAGTGAAAGAATATGAATTGCTTGTCCAGAGTTATATGATGCACATGTACCTCCTGCTGAATATTTGTTTCTTTTGAAGCTTCGTCAGTTCTCAACGGATGAAAGAAAACTAACGAAACAGATCAAAGAGCAGCAGGATAACGAGATGAAGGTTTGCACGACAAGACAGAAGACAGCTTACAAGAATAATAAAACAAGATTGAAAAAGGTAAGAACACTGTATGATTACAATGCATTATCCTTCAAGTTTTCGTCTTCTGTATATTCAACCACCATGTGATAGAGGCTTGCTTACACCAAGGTGAAGGACTTGAATTTATTTCTTTGATGAATAATTTCAGGAAGTACGTGAAGGCAAACTAGACATGTCTAAATATCGGGATGAGAAAGGCAAAGTTGCCGCAGATCAACAACATTTTACGCAGACAAAACTCAAGGAACATAAAGATTTCCTGGAGTCAGAAATAAGGAAGTTTCGACGTCAGCAAATTTTACATCGACACGAACTTGAGGGAAAATTACTTCGCGAGGTTGGTGAGAATACACTTAATGATGCAAATGGTTTAGAGTTTAGGGGATTACGACAAGGATTAGATTAGAGTTGAGTTGGATTAGACAAGAGTTGAGTTGGATTAGATTAGAGTTGAGTTGGATTAGATAAGAGTTTAAGTGATTACAAATTTTCTTCCTCAGGAAATGGATAAACTAGGAAGTCAGAAGGATCAAGCACACTCGATGTTAGTTCGTCATCATGAATGTACCCAGGAGATGGAATTTAGACATTTGGATATGATTCAGAAGATGAGACTGGACCATCAGAAAACTCAGCAGTCAACAGAATGGAGCAATCAAATGGAATACAACAAACGGGCAGAGTTGGATCTGAAACGACGGCATTTAATGGAACAGAAACAACAGCCAAAGACTCTAAAGGTTTGCAATGGCGTCGAAGACGATCGTGTTTTGATATTCTGGATTTCTGGATTTTAATTTCGGTTTAATATTTCATTCAGGCGCAAGAACTAAAAATCAAGAAACAGTTTCATGACACAGTGAAGATCCAATATCGACAATACAAAGCATATCAGAAACAAGTTCTGCAAACAGCGCCGAAGGAGAACCACAAGGAATTAATTGAATCGTTCAAGGAGGATAGAAATCGTAAAATGGCAGATCTTAAATTACAATATGATCAGAGCATTTACGACATGTTGCAACGTCAGTCAGTAAGTTACCTTGCTCATCTTTGCTTTCAACCATTTTCAATGAAAATAATATAATATATGTTCTTCAGTTAAGACTTGATGAAGAACAGTTGAAAGAACAGGAAAGTCTACGATCAAAACTTCAAAAAGAGCAAGATTTACTGAGCGCTTATCAAGCAAAACAAGCGGAACAATTGATGCGTCAACACGAAAGAGAGTTACGAGAACTACAGGACAGGGTCTCAGTTAGGAGAGCTGTTCTTGAACAAAAGGTAGGTATGAGCTATGTTTTCTATTCCTACAATGAGTCTCTTTAGCAGCCTCTAAAGTTGATTTCATGATCTTTAGATGGATGAAGAAACTAAAAATTTACGGAACCTGCGAAAGGAACGGGAACGAGAGCTGAATAATCGCCACGTGAGAGAACTTGAAGAATTTGATGTTGTTGAAGATGGTATGTCAGGCCCTTGGAAACATCGCTCTTCAAATCAGCGGTCTGCCAACACACAAGAGACGAACAATGGGACTGCTGCCTCCATCAATGGCCGTAAGTCTACAGCGTCATCACCCCCCGGAGCTACAGCGAGGTGATTGTACTTGATGTAGATGCAATTATTGGATCGTGTTGTATATAGTTGGAATTATCAATGAGTCAGCTAGGAAAATTCGATAAAGAATAACACAATAATCAAAAGATGCTTTGGATCTTTGTATTTTACTGGTGAACAAATTATAACAAAAATCCACATTACAAAGATAATGGCATGGTCACTTAGGTTCATGTCCAGGCTCTTCACTCTAAAGTAAAAGATCTTTAATGTAAAAATCATCATTTCTCAACTATAGAAGTGCTATTTTTTCTTAACTATAAGATAATTACTAATATATATATTATTATATTTATATATATATATATATCCATAACTATGAGTTGTATTTTTACTCAGAGACCTTTTTAAATAGAAAGTTTAAAATTATGTTGTGGGCTTTCAATATGTGTGATGATTGTTTTGCAGGAAATATTTCCACTAATAGGTTGATGCATCAATGAGACAATATAGACTATAGAGACAGTTTTGTAAGTACCTCTTAAGTCTAGCAACGGGGGATCTAAGACAAAGAAGTATGTGCGAAATCATTTATGTTAAAAATTTTCTCTGACGAAAAACGAGTTTGTAGCTATCACAAATTATCTGTATTTCTCGACCTTATTATCTTTTTTTCTATCATTTAAATCTTCGCCCCGGAAATATAATCGTAGAAACGACAAATCGTGTTCATAACAGACGAGTGTGAATTATAATGATGCTATTATTATGCAAATGCTTGTTTTTTAGGGTATATTGCTCATTGCTCAGCAAGATCTCTGCTTCGGAGTCCAGAGCTTATAGTGACGATGATGACGATGTCTTGCATAATAAAATAGCTGTCATTTCCGCTCTTCATTATTTGTTGTTCATACCTCTAAGTGTTGCATTTGATATTACGAAATACTCGGTAGAGAACCCGAAGACCATAATTTACTGGTAAGCTTCACTATAGACAAGTCTGTGACATTAAAATAGAGATACTAACGTTGATTGATGTTTGGCATTTATTCAATGTGTCTCAATTACACTGGTATTCATCGCGATGTTGTCCAACCATTCTAGATTCAAGATGAATTAGATTGAACTGCGAGACAATATCATCGCCACATCTTAGAGACATGAGTGATCAAATTTTAAAAGATATCAAAGTTATTGGTGTTGAGAAGCCACAAAAAGGGAAATTTCGAGAACATTTTGTAAGTTATATATCATTGATTCAATATATAACAATATTTCGACTGTGTCCGTATATATCTTCTACAGGAATATGGTCATGTTTTAATATATTGCCTCAAGTAATTGCCAAGTATATTTCTATATATTGCAGGAATATGTGATCAAAGTAACCTATGAAAATGGTTATGAACATCTTATCTTCAGGCGTTATTCCATGCTGTTTCATTTTCACGTAAGTATATACTAGGAAATAACTGAGATTTATTAAAACACGTTGAATACCTCAAATATCTCGTTCAATTAATTAAAATTAATACGAATGGAAAACAAGGGAATGTACTGTATTATCCCTGCTGGGATTTGCGTGAAAGATGAGTATATCAGAGCATATGATCAGAGTGAAGTATCAAATTGATATGTTGTTTCATGCCTGTATTTATTTATACAATTATCACTAATACTTTCGGAATTAAGGTCTAATGCATTGTGTTAAAGCAAGCTTGCAACACACTGTCAGCAACCTTATTATCACTGCCCTAAACGAGTTACCTTAACTAATTAGGCTGTTGCGTGCGTTCATAGCCCAATCTTGGCTCGATTGTGTCACAAAAATTTCCCTTGCAATCCACCATAATGACTTTTTAATACCCAGAGGGAAGTTTGTAACATGATCGGTCAGCTTATTTTATTAATTCTCTTTATTGACTCAGACACGAAGCATATTTTAAACCTTCACAATCTATCAGCGATAAGATGATAATCCCTTCTATTGACATATCTAAGATTATGAAATTTAATGTAGTTTGTATACAGCACCGCTAAGCACCGCTAGTTTACACAAGAATTATGATTTGAGATACACGATTTTTGCCCGAATTATTGTAAAAAATATTTTAATAGTTAGTTGCCCTGCTTATATAAGCTGTCGTGTCATTAAACGTACGTCGAAACTGTGAAGATTGTTTCATATTTTGTATGTTCTTTCGACTTAAAAAGCAGCGTTAATCATTGTTGAATCTTTTCCATTTGTAGTCCGTTTTGAAGGAAGTGGTAAAGGAGTGCTACAGCAGTGTAATCATACTTCCTGAACTGCCTGGTAAAGATGAAATATATTGTTTATATAATCTTATTTCCAGTTATGGAAACTTGCGGTTAGGAAAATATTAAATATTTTCAACAGATATTTCATCCTCACGCTTGATTTCTCAACTTCCGGTTCGAAACTATCGCAGAATTAAATGCGCATTGCATGGAATGAAAAGCAACGTGACTTCTAAAAAAAAGCCGATACAATTTAATTCCAAAGGCAGAGAAAAACGTCGCTTCATCGTGCTGGACTTCGCTGCTCCAAAAGTTGATGTTGCTGGTCTAATTTACATCACTGTTTATGTTTTCCTCTTCAAACAAGGAAGTTTGGCTATACCTTCGGACATCGCCGCCATGCAAAATACCGAAATGAATTGCAAACAATTCTTTCAAGTTCTTTGTTGTAGCAAAGCTTGAATATTCATGTCACTTTGGTCTTGTGATATCGTATAATATCTCACGAATAGATCCGCCTACCCGTCTCACACGTCACACCCTAAACCCACGTCAGAAGATTGTCATGGCAACACATTGACCACATTCTCTTCTTCCCCGTAAATTGTTTGTTTTTTGTAATCGTTACCATTGTTCCTGTTTAAAACATCACCACATAAACAAAGAAATCTTTCACGAATAACTTGAATAATTCACATTCGTCCTAACCACTTAAACATTTTGCCAAATCATGTGTTTTTGTCAAAACAATTTTATTCAAAACAGTCAAAGAATCTTTTTTAAAATCCTATTTACCCGAAAGTATATTCTTGAAAATTTTTTTTGTATTTTAGTTGCAAGATTTCAACATGTTGGCCGCAAGTTTTTTGGTCTTAATATGAACAAAGAATTGAAGCAAATGACGGAGTTTTGTCAGGTGAGTGCGCATGTCACGCCTTTGTCACGTGACGTTATAGCAAGTTTCGCCAAGCAAATGATGAAAATTGAAATGCAGAAATCGTCGTCCATTTTGACGAGTTTTGTAATATTGTTCACATTCTGTTGTCTTTGTTTGTAGAAAATTATAGTTCTGCCGAGGGTTCTTTCTGAAAAAGAAATAATTTTGAAATTTTTTGCTCAACTTGGTACAGATGTTGCTCACGCCGAAGCTTATCAAGAGGAGTAAGTTATCAAATGACGTATTTTAAAATTTTGAAGGTTTAATGTAATATGGTGCTATCCGTCCTACCTTACCAGGAATGCTTGCTCATGGTGTTTCCAAAAAAACCTTTTTCCAGTCTCGTTTGATTCTGCCAGTCCAGTAACTAATATTGAAGTCAGGAGACATTGAATAGTTCCTCTGACAGATTTTCCTTATCTTAACTTTGCAGTTCTCAAAAAAGTGACAATACAAAAGATCCTGTTGAAAGAGTTTCGTGTAAGTCGTTCAACCAGAGGCAAATTTATATTTTCTTTTTCCTCCTGTTTGATTGTATTCTCTTGTCTTTCAGCTAACAACATTTCAGACAATGCAGAAATGAGCAATGAAATTGATCAATATGTATCCATCGCGGCATTTGATGCTGGTGGAACAGGAGAACTCTCAGTTGTCGAGGGAGAGATTGTTACCGTTATTGAAAAGAATACGTCTGGTAAAACATCATGATTTAAACAATTAGACAACGAACTAAAGATTTAGCCTCTAATATCCATTTTACATCACAGGATGGTGGCTTGTCTCCAACCAACAAGGGAAGAGTGGTTTCACTCCAGCTACTTTCCTGCAGCCAGTTGAAGCAATGACCAACACAAGAGAAGAATGGCAAGATGTCGCTGGTCCTGATAGTATGTAAACCTTCAATTTTCCATATCTCACTTAGCAAACTTTTAAGGCCTGTTTACCTGCGATCCACGTGCGACTTTCTTCTTTTGGTGGATATGAATGAGTGGATAAGTTACTGAGTTCAGATAACGCCACACATAGACATCCCAGCATTGATAACTATGAACTTGTTCACATCTATTAAAAGAGGAAAATCGCACCGAAAGAAGCACCACGTGTAAAGAGTATATTCAATTAATCTTTATACCTCGACCAACAAAGAAGAGATTCTAAGGAATATTATCAAACCTAAAATCCGTGATTCTCCATTCAGATATTTATACTGCGGTCAAAGACTATGTAGCACAGTGTCCTGATGAAATGAGTTTTAAGTGCGGAGAGGAAGTGGAAGTCCTGGCAATGAGTAATTTCGGCTGGTGGCAAGTCAGGTACGTCCAAATATTTCTTGGATCGTGAATTTCTTCAACAGACAATTCATGGTCATCCTTGGCATCTCAGCTTCTGAGAGATACGAAAATTGTGTTCAATGATTTGCCGCTGGGGAGGGGAGGGGAGGGGAGGGAGCGTATCTTCATTACGGTTTACTGTGTGATTTGACATGATCTATAACTTCAAACTAAGTTCTCTCAATTTTTCTCGTATTTCAGGTCATTATACAGCGATAAAATTGGTCTTTGTCCCGCGTCAAGCTTGACCATAAAGAAAGCATCAGTTTATTACGAAGTATGATATCTGTCGTTCTTTAAAAAAGACGATCTGGAATCTCAATACAATTTTTTTTGTCATTGTCAACAATTTCAGGATCCGATGAACGAGTATCGTAAATCCATTATTCAATTTTCTAAGAAATATTCAGGAAGGGAAAGAGAGGCGCCCCCGAGAACGTAAGATTTCTTGTAATTTTCTAATCTTTTCATGGATTTTTGTAAACTTGCTAATGAAAGAACGTCTTTGAATGTTGCAGAAGTTCACAGAAGAGTTGCGACAGCGAATCCAGTGCTGACGGTAAGATGGCTTTGAGGTTGTTTATTTAACAGCATTTGAGCTATATATTGCATGGAACAATGAAAATTTCAAATTTGGAAGATTTATTGAAATATAATCTTGTCGATGTTTTCCAGGTTGTGGAAATATTCGCCAACCAGAGCGATTCAGCCCCCCGGATAGGTAAGATGTCACAGCCTCCGAGAGACTCAAAAATCTCGTATATCAAATGTAACAACAAGAACTTTTCTTGTCTTTGAACAGTTCTGTGGAATATACCAAAGTTATTCCAAAACATCTGAGGTGAGAATCACTTGAGACCTTTCAACTTCATTATAAGATATCTCGAAATATTGCTCACATGCAGCTTGTCTGTCGTTCTTTTTGCAGAAATGATGAGTCAAATAATAACACAACCGAGAAGGTATTTGTTTTAATAAATTATAAACAATTTCTTTGAAAGATCCAGATATCCTGATCGTGAATTCATTGATTGTAGATAAATTACGTCAATGTTCCTGTGATTAAGAATGGAACACCTCATTATCACGAAGGTCGGGACTCAGAGGTACGTCCTCTTCTTCTTCTCAACTAGTCAGTCACAAAACACGACAGTTCATGGTAGAACATTCCCCACACTTCACCACCATCTTTTTCAGGTAGTATAGATACAAACAAAGAAGGTTCACTGTTGAGTATTTCTGCACTAAAACACCCATATTTTCACCAATATTAGGCAATAAACGTTCACGTGATGAGAAAAGACTATCAGAAAAACGGTTTTATCCTTCGTGAAGGAGACATGGTTCAAGTCATCAAGGTCATGCCAGATGGTTGCTTTTGGAAAGTTGCGACAATGAACCCGCCATATGAAGAAGGATTAGTCCCCTCAGACCTGCTCTGCCCTGAACTGCCTCATCAGATAGACGATACTAATACAACAAGCAGAGTAACGAGGATTGAGGAATGTTCAAATAAAATAACTTGGAACCTTTGAAAGTTTTGCCCAGATTCACTACGCCTCCGTCAATGAGAAGACCAATACCGGCTCCCAGGAGCAATGCTCCAAAGTCTCCTACAGGTAAATTCTGATAAAAATTGTATATAACTCACGGAAGTTTGAATTTATCGGTCGATTCTCCGTTCCCTGCGTTGCATTGCCTTGTCAGGCTTCTTATTTTGCGCGCAAGTAAAGACTGATCGGAGAATGACCCTATTAATCCTTATGTGTACCTACTGTGTTCCATATTGCAGCACCGCGACACAGTAGTTCAGTTGTAGCCCTGATTGATTATAATCCTGGCCAGACTGATTTGCTGGCATTTCAAAAAGGCGACGTTGGACGTCTTATAAAGAAAGCAGGAACTGGATGGTGGTTTATCGAACTCAAGGGAATAGAGGGATGGGTTCCTGTTGTTTACTGGGGGGACCTGAAGGTGAGTGAAAGTATATTTCAAAGCGCAGATGATCTTTAATCATCATTGTGGTTTTTTTGTTTCTAAATGTTTATTTTTTCATGAAACAGGAAGCACGCAATGGCAAAATTCCCGAGCTATCTTTACAAGGTAATAAAAAACCTTTTGCCGTCAAAGTTAAAGATGTGTTTTATGTTAACGAGAGATTTTTTTTTTCTAGGTTTTGGTAATCAGTGGTTTGTTGGTAAAATGTCCAGAGACCAATGTGAAGACATGTTTGGAAAGGTAATTGAACTATCCTAAGGTGGCAGTAAAACTACTGTCTTATCAAACACCTTTAGGCCGTGTATTCTAAACCTCAACGAATCAAACTCTTATTTCTTCCCTTTAATTGCAACATCATTGTCTTTTTTTTAGCACGGAAAACATTTGGACTTTATCGTGAGAGAGAGTGTGCAAAGGGTAGGCGTATTTTTTTGTAAGTTTCCATGTCATTCATTAATGGACGTTCTCTAAACTTGGTTGTTTTTTTTTAGGTTGGATCTTATGCTCTTTCTATCAAGTTCAATGAAAAGTAATATGTTCTGTGCTAATATGTTTTTATAAAGCTTGTGTCTTTGACAATAGTACGAGATTGAGAAATTGGACGGTGATCTATATTAGAACTGTTTATACAGAAGAAGAAAAAATATATCGCATTGCTAAATGTTTTCAACAGACCTCGTCTTTTCTGATGTCCATTCTCTCCTTTATTTCAGTATAGTTTTACCAGTAAATCAGATGTTTATTATTTGTTGTGTTTTCGTTTTAGAATTCACCATTTTCCGATCGAGAAATCTTCATCAGGGAAACTCCAGATTGGAAAACTAAGTTTTGATCAACTTTCAGAGATCATCTCTCACTATAGAGTACATCCGTTGTTCTACACCGACAACAGACAACCAGTATCCGTTGGCAAACCTCTATCAAGGTAGAAAACACTCAAGTCCGCGGGGGATTGGCAACCAGCGCTATAAGTTCATATGAATTAAATACTCTGTTGGAAGTTATATTTTTTACTAACCATTACCATGGCATATTCCTGATACAGTAAAACTGACCTTAGACATGTCTGCATGACAAGAACTGACCCATGCATCCATACTGGAAGAAAGTGAATCTCATCACTGGACTCTTAAAACTTTTACGTGTACATAATATATGAGATAATTCTTACACAAGTTTTTTAAAATGTTGTCCTTTGCTCACCGGGCTAAATGTTCGGGGGATGGGCAAATTGAAATGATAATTTTGGTTGGACAGGTGAGACGATACTTTAGGAAGAAAAAAGTGGCCTCGGGCCAAGCAAGATTATCATTTCAATTTGACTTGGCTATTTCACAACACATCTTGCCCTAGTGATGACGGTAATGAGTTCTCAAGTGGTAAATCGATAATTTAAATCCCAGAAATATTTTTATTGTGTTCTAAACCTAATGGTGATCACAATCGTCTTCCTGGTCATTCATCCTTCGACACCCCCACCTAAATTTTTTTGTCCCCACGGCCCACATACCATAACCACACTTCAACACCTGTACATTTTTCAAGTAAGGCTACTTTTACAGAATTAAACCTGCAGATCTTTGCAATCGTTGCACCAAAGGTTTTTACGAGTGATAGCGTTAACGCCCGTTTACACTGTGTGAGCAAACCCCGCGTGATTTGACGTATGTAAATTAGCCAACCTATGACCACAGACGGTTATATGAAACTGGACACATACTTCTTAGTTGTTACACAACGTATCGAATCTTGATTTTGATCTCTTTTGAAGATGTCAACCAGGCGAGCATTGCATTTTGTCTTTAAAATCGGCAATCGCAAAGCTAATGCTAGGTTTTATAGAGACCTGCTTGGTTTAAAGGTAAGAAAACATATTCATATCATCATATGTATAGTTGTATACTTGTTGCACGCGAGATTCAAACTAATTTGTAACAATCAATGTGTGATGTATCTATCTTATTTGACAGGTTTTGCGACATGAGGAGTTTGAAGAAGGTTGCAAAGCTTCATGTAATGGGTATATATATAAATATCAGATAGAGATATGGTTTAATTCCATCATTTAGGGGTGGCAGCCTAAGAGGGCAGGGTGAGGGTGGTCTTAGCCCTCCAAAGTGCATGCTACATTATTTCATGTTATTTAGACCATATGATGGCAAGTGGAGCAAAACAATGGCAGGGTTTGGAGCTGAAGACAACCATTTTGTTGTTGAGTTAACATATAATTATGGCATTAAAAAATACGAGTTGGGCAATGATTTCCAGGTAGTGAATAAGTTCCATTCATGCATTATCATTCTCAAATATTGGATCCATCGAATAGCCATTGAATGGGGTTGTGATCTAAATCTAAACATGCATATAGGGTCTGACAGTTTTCTCAAGTGATGCTGTAAAGAGATTCAAGAATGATGCAAATTCGCCATTAGATGACATGGGTAATGGAACATACAAAACTCATTCACCAGATGGATATACATTTTACCTTGTTGATGAAAATAAAAAACAAGGTAAGACTACTTATGATGACTTATATTGGAGTAACTTGTATGCGTAACCACCTGATTTTACTTTAATTTTAGATCCTGTTGATAAAATTTCGTTGGGTGTATCAAATCTTGAAACATCAATGAAATACTGGCATGAGTTATTGGGAATGAAATTGTATAAACAGCAAAGTGACCGAGTATTACTTGGGTATGGTGATGACCAGTGTAAGTTAGAGTTAGTTAGCCTTGCAGGGCAAGTTGTGGATCATGCAACAGGGTTTGGTAGGATCGCATTCAGTTGCCCACGTGATGAACTACCTGAAATTCAGGCAAAGGTTAAAGAGGCAGGTCACGTCATCATCACCCCCCTGGTACGTCTGGATACTCCTGGCAAAGCAGCTGTTGAGGTCATCATTTTAGCTGATGTGGTGCGTCTTTAATAATTTTCATATATATGGAGATATAGAGTACACACAGCAGCTTCTTGACAAAAGTTATCTATTAAAATTATTATTAACAAATGATCTTATCACATTTATATACATGCATATAAATGAACCAAAAGAAACATTTAAATTTTTTGTGTACATGATTGCCTAACAATCTACTTATAGCCTGAAATATTTTATTAGGATGGCCATGAAATATGTTTTGTTGGTGATGAGGCATTCCGGGATCTTTCACAGGTTGATCCTACAGCAAAAAATTTATTGGAAGAGGTAATCAAATTAAGCATAGGGAAGCCTCTGAATTTCTTCCTATTTTATTTTCCATTTCTTTGTATCATTTTAGGCAATGGATAGAGACAAAAGTGATGAATGGTTTGCAAAAAGAGAAACGAAATAGATTGAAAAATAAAATAATGGACTTTACCGCTTCTGTATTCCACAGATTAATCAAAATACTTTCAGTACCAGCCAGGAATCACTTTTCAATTTCATAATGCACTAATTCTTAAAGAACTAGACAAGAAAAAGGAATGGCTTTTTAGTTGTCATTAGGTTAGGCATGCATGTCAAAAATAAAGCTTTAGTGATAAGAAGCTTAGAAGTTTAAAGGCATTATAGGCGTTTCATACACGTGCTCTCCTACGCATGTGATGATATCACACTTCATAGGAAGTCATAAACTCTCTAGTTCTATGTACTAGTTCAAGGGTTGTCAATAGTTGACCATATTTGCCATTGACTTTATGTGTTGTATTTTAATGGTAGGAATGCTTATTAGCCAGTGCGATTCTCAGCTCGATTTTTGCGCAATGATTTTCCAAAATTTCGCAATTACATCATTTACATGCCTTGGTAATATCATTAATTAACCAGACTATCAGAGATCATTAATTTGAGTACATTATTAAATCATTTAGAAAGACGCTCATTATGAAGTGACGTCAGATTATATTGCGTAATTAATTTGTTACATTCAATGTTCTGGTACTTTGCCCCGTAGTTATCGAAAGAGGAAAATGTTAACTCTTCGGAAAATTTGCCTGCATTAAACAAGATATTTCACCTCGTATTTGCAGAATAACGAAAGCTTTAAAGATTATAGAATATCCTGGTTTAATACAGTCGATCTAAATTTATTGACGATTGAAAATTATTCAACAACATGTCTGATCAAAGTGATAGCCGTCATGACACTGGAACAAGCGAGTATTCTTCTGCTTTACCAATTGGTTATGTTGATATTTTCGTATTTTCCTCGTTCCTGGGTCTCTTGTTGTATTGGTTTTTTGTAAGAAAGAAAAACCGTGAAGAAGCTGAGCTACCAGTTGTAAATGGGTAAAGTATCATGTCTATGTTTTGTGTATATATAATAGTGACTTGTCATCTTGCTCATTCATGTCCAATATTTATTAAAGTGACTCAAAATTATGGCGAGAAAGTTGATATAAATAGAACTTGTATTGCACTGCTTCACGTGTAAATATTACAAGTGGTGTAACAGATAATATATTACCATTATATTGGTTTAAGTACGTTGCCTTTTTATATTACCTCTCCCTCAGGGGCATCCCTGAGGCACAATGCTAATCTCAGTAGCCTGCCACACCAGAGAATGTTTTCTCCCATCACTGGCTGAAAACCTTGGATGGTTAATTGTAGAACTTTTAATCTGTTTTAGAAATATTAGTAAAAATGACTCCAGCTTTATTGACAAGATGAAGAAGGGGGTATGTCTTTAAAATATATCAATAAAATGCATTTTAATTTGCCTGCTAACTTTCTAATTTGTTAAGAAAACCAATTATTTTTTTTGTTTGTAGCAAAAGCAGATTGCAATATTTTATGGTTCCCAAACAGGCACTGCTGAAGAATTTGCAGGTCATTTAGCAAAGGATGCTGCAAAATATGGAATGAAAGCATCTATATTTGATCCTGAAGAATTTGAAATGGTATTCCTGAGTTTATTATAGCTTGGACATATATTACAATACACAGTTGTATGCATGGTTACAGTTTGATTTTTCACCTCAAGTTATTCCTCAATCATTTTTAGGAAGATCTTTCTCGAATGAGTGAGATAGAAAATTCATTTGCAATATTTGTCATGGCAACTTATGGTGAGGGCGATCCCACAGATAACGCTCGGGAATTTCACGAATGGTTGGAACAGGATCAAGAGGGCCTCGATTGTTTAAATTACACAGTAGGTGAATGCATGATTCGTAAATATCTTCAGCTCTTGGTTGTTACCTAGTTGTAGACACTGTGCATAACCATAACGAACAGATTACAAACAAATTACTACATTTTATTACTGGAAGAAGTATATGAGAATCATTACATTCAAACTGTTTTTGTATTCCTGCAGGTGTTTGGGTTAGGTAACAAGACATATGAAAATTACAACACTATGGGAAAATTTGTTGATAAACGTCTTGATGAGTTTGGTTGTACAAGATTATTTGAACGTGGAGAGGGTGATGATGATGCTGAGTGAGTAATTCCTGTCCCATTTACATTCAGTTTGACTTGAATTTCTGATGTTCAGGATTATAATTCTTCTATAAAATGATTTCATATGTTTGTTGTAGTATTGAGAATGATTTTCTAACATGGAAAGAAAAAATGTGGCCAGCTATTTTGGATCATTATGGCATTGATTTAGCCAGCCTAACGTGAGTTATCAATCATGTTGTATATTCTGTCTCCTGTTTTTTCACTCATCACAGCATTCCCATGTTTCAACAGGCTGTCCCAAGATCTCATTCGGCAGTATGACCTAAAGATTCACACTGATGTTCCAAAGGAAAAAATTTTCTCTGGAGAAATGGCCCGATTAAATTCGCTTCTTGATCAAAAGCCGTGAGTCAAAATCTTTTGCCGTTATAATTATATGTGTTCAGTGTGTTCTGTTTAGGTAATTCAAAAGGCCAGTTCCCATAGGTAATTTCAGGTGTGATTATATTCTTTGGGTAGATGTGTTTGAATGGATAAGTTATGGCTGTTGAGATAAAAATAGTTGTACACCCCAGCATTCATCACAAATCACTTGTTTGTATCTATCAAAAGAAAAAAATCATCCTGAAATTTAAGACAGAAATTGTGGGAAGGCTGAGAAATGTTTTTTCATTCAATTTGTAGACCATATGATCAGAAGAATCCGTACCTGGCACCAATTTCTGTTAATCGCGAGCTTCATAAAGGTGGAGAAAGATCTTGTATGCATATTGAACTAGACATCTCACAATCAAAATTAAGGTAGATATGAATCTTAGATGGTTTTTCAAACATGGGTCTTCTTGTCCTGCGTGTTTTAATCATGATAATATGATTTTTCATGTTGTTCTTGTCTTCGTTGTTTAATGATTGTAATATGATGATTCATGTTAGATACGATGCCGGCGATCACGTCGCGATTTATCCAACAAACGATCCGGAATTAGTTGAAAAAATTGGTCAACTTTTGAACATTGATTTGGATGTCGTCTTTTCTCTTGTTAATAAAGATGGTAGGTGATAATAGACTAGTTTACTATGTCTTAACATCTAGATACGGTTGGTTCGTGGAGAAAACCTCTATTAGTTATAACCATGGGCTGTTATCTTATAACCGTCCTGTTATAACGTGGACAATTCAGAAGACAAGATGTCTTAGACTGGATTGTTTATGGTTATAAACAGTCCTTTAGTCTTCCCACTAAATAGGGTCTAGTATTTCCACTGTCTCTGATTGATCAAATGTTGCTATGAGCCTATACGAACTTCGCTTGATGAACGAGTACTGACTAATGTATCAACCACACACAACAGTGTCCGTATTTTCATTTTCAGAGGAATCAAATAAAAAGAATCCATTTCCTTGTCCCACAACCTACAGAACCGCGTTACTTCACTATGTTGATATTACCAGCAAAGCGAAGGGAAATGTTCTTCAGGGATTAATAGAATATGCTGAAGACAGCAAGGAGAAAGAATTTCTTGAAAAACTAACTAAAAATGATGACGAAGGAAAGGTCTGTGCTAATCTATCAAATGAATAACATCAAACTGTCCAGAATCCTTTTAATCTTGAATTCCGCTCCAGGATGTTATTCATGCTATGTTAACAAAATTTCTTTCAATATACTCGATTTAGAAACTCCATCAAGAGTGGATAATGGACGACCACAGAACGATCATAGACGTCCTGCAAGATCTGCCCTCCCTTCGTCCTCCCGTTGATGTTTTACTTGAGTTCCTACCAAGATTACAATGTCGATATTATTCAATATCATCTTCCTCAAAAGTATGTCTCGCTGCATGTTAACCTTTTTACACTTTCGAATATATATCTGGTTACCTTAACCTACTCTTGAGCAAAGCTGAGCGACCTTATAACTTACTCTGGTTATCTTAACCTGCTCTAAAGCAACGGGTTGTTAGTCGACTGTTAGCGCTAATCCTCGGCGTTTTGCAACTGCCATCAGGACGCAAGGATGATCGTGCTCTTCACCTTTCTGTATTTTGTTTTGAATATAGCTGCATCGTTTTTCAATTCATATCACAGCCGTTGTGGTCGAATATAAGACTCGGTTAAACAGATGCATGAAGGGCGTTGCAACAACGTGGCTTGCTGATAAGAAACCAAACGGTATAGAACTGATTTAACACTGGCTAACGAGTAACTTTTTCAGTTGTAACCGAACTATAGTTTTCATTGAAATATGTTTATTTTATGTTTCATTTTTTCCAGACGAAGTTCTGCCGAAAGTTCCTCTTTTCGTTCGTAAAACTTTATTCAGACTTCCGTTCAAATCCACAACTCCTGTGATCATGATAGGGCCTGGTACTGGATACGCACCATTTCGAGGTTTCGTTCAAGAAAGACACGTCAAGAAATTGGAAGGTCAGTAAAATATTGACCTCAGATATGCGCTTTTCACACGATTTTCAAGCGTTGCAATGAAGACACAAGGTCTTGATTGTCAAATCAGGGATGAGATTTTGACAAGTATTAAAAAGAACATTTTTAGTATCATCATAACACGAAAAATATTCATGGTTCATTTTTCAAACGAGTAATTCAATTGACAGGCAAACCTGTTGGCGACACAGTGTTGTTTTTTGGCTGTCGACACAAAGCTGAAGATTACATTTATCAGGAAGAAATTGAACAGTATCATGCCGAAGGAACCATCTCGCATCTTTTTGTAGCGTTTTCAAGAGATCAGGTGTCTTTTCTCACAGTTTTGTTAATGTAGGATATTAATTTAGGTCTAATACTCGTGACTGCGTATTTATTTAGCCTGAGAAACGCTACGTTCAACATTTAATATCAGAAAACGGCGAAGTTGTGTGGAACGTTTTAAATAATCAAGGTCATGTTTATGTTTGTGGGTGAGTAATCGAGTAAATATTTATTAACTGTAACTTCGTTTATTGATCCAGTGTTACTGCAGGAGGAAACCTAAACTAAACTAACTTTATTTATACTGGATAGCTCTATCAGTTCTGAACTGTTCTTCCTAGAGGTCCAGTAAGGATCATCTCTTATTGATCCAGTGTTACTGCAGGAGGAAACCTAAACTAAACTAACTTTATTTATACTGGATAGCTCTATCAGTTCTAAACTGTTCTTCCTAGAGGTCCAGTAAGGATCATCTCTTATTGATCCAGTGTTACTTCAGGAGGAAACCTAAACTAAACTAACTTTATTTATACTGGATAGCTCTATCAGTTCTAAACTGTTCTTCCTAGAGGTCCAGTAAGGATCATCTCTTATTGATCCAGTGTTACTTCAGGAGGAAACCTAAACTAAACTAACTTTATTTACACTGGATAGCTCTATCAGTTCTAAACTGTTCTTCCTAGAGGTCCAGTAAGGATCATCTCTTATTGATCCAGTGTTACTTCAGGAGGAAACCTAAACTAAACTAACTTTATTTATACTGGATAGCTCTATCAGTTCTAAACTGTTCTTCCTAGAGGTCCAGTAAGGATCATCTCTTATTGATCCAGTGTTACTTCAGGAGGAAACCTAAACTAAACTAACTTTATTTACACTGGATAGCTCTATCAGTTCTAAACTGTTCTTCCTAGAGGTCCAGTAAGGATCATCTCTTATTGATCCAGTGTTACTTCAGGAGGAAACCTAAACTAAACTAACTTTATTTACACTGGTTGCTCTATATTAATAGTTCCAAGATATCTTTTTGGTGTAAACCATGCAAATACGTTGATATATATGTTCATATGATAGGGACGCTCGTCATATGGCCAAGGATGTTCACGACTCTTTGGTTGACGTTGTTCAAAAACAAGGAGAAATGAGCGAGAATGCCGCGGAAGATTTTATTAAGAAACTTCATAGTAAAGGAAAATATTCAGTTGATGTTTGGAGTTAGGAAAATATCGAATTGGTAAAATGGGAGGTAAAGCGAAAAATTAGGAATATTAGATCAGGAATCATCACATCCGCGATATGACGATATGGGATCTAACTTTGGTTCAAATGTTTTGATGGTCCGAGAAATCAGGGGGGGAGTTCATCTGTAACAATTGACTGGCTTTGGCATGGTTTTTAGCGGAATAAATTATCCAACCTACCAACCTTTAGCGATGGTCTTGTCACTAATGAATTTAATATATGACGATTTAAAACGTAGATTAATAAGAAGTTGTTACATATATAATATTACATGTATAACATACTTTGCGAATCATGCCATTGGACGTCACATGGGTCTAAATTCTTTTCGTTTCTGGTTTCTGGGAAAGGGGGGGGGAGACCTCTGTGCTAAAGGTGCCCGCTGTTCCAAGAATTTCACTGCAGGAAAGATATCACAGATCATAGTTATTGCAATTTGTGAAAGAAAAGCACAGCGCAACCAGTTGATATTGCTTTCAAGCGATAAACGGAGACAATTTCGTTTAAAAACAGGTAAAATTAAATTTTTATTGAACCGAATGAATACAGATTTATACATTCCCATTTGAGATCATTATATTCCACATAATATGCCATTACAAAATGTTACAATTTGCAAATTTTTAATAAATGCTAGGATTCAATGGCTGTTCCGGGATATCTAGATTATTTAGGTATAATATTGCTTTATAGATCTGCATTCACTTCTATCGGCAATCTGATTCAAAGTATACATATTTATTTTGCTACTTAGTTACGAGATGGTAACTAAGTTAGACCAACCTGACTGACAATAATGCTGTAATTTGACGATTGTTTTAGGATTCAAGGAAGACAAGCTATTGAAAACGTTTGTGAATTGTTGTTGGTCTCAATTATGGTTACAGCAGCTCCATTTCTGGTTAAGGTATTAGAAGAAAGCATGAAATATTTGAAAGAGAAAAATAATGTTCGTCAAAATGTCCTGCAAGTTTCAGGTGACATCATAGAGACATTCAAAATCAGAGTTGAGACACCAGAAGTATTGCTCTTGAAAATTCAAAAAACTGGTAAAATTAAGTTGTCACTTGTTCGTTCTGGGATATTTACAGCTCATATTGAGGGAACAGTCAGTCATTTAACAACGTGTGAAATGACTGAAGAGGTAGCCTATCAGAGGTCCTATCGATCTGATAAAGGTGGTTATGAGCATTCTCTAAATGTCAGCAAAGGTGATACCCTGCATATCAAAATGGAAGCTCATCATTTTGTTAGTGCAGTTGTTGGTCAAGGGTCAAGTGAAATGGAACTAAAATTGTCATATATTTAGCTAATCCTCCTGTTGTCAATTTGCAGAAAATTATTTTGATGTTCTGAACAAGGTGTGACATGATTAGTTGAGTGTGAAATTGGCTGTAAATTTTTTATCTTAATATTTCAATATATGGTCATATATTATATGTAAATATGCTTCATGGTATAAAATCATTCTTTATAGTCAATTCTTCTAACATATACAAGTTAATTGTTTGAACATTACTTCAATCATTACTTAAACACTCAATTGTAACATTGTTTGTTGATCTGTCATATTCACATTGTTTTTGTCCATCACTTTCTTGTTTGAAAGTTGTGGCCACCGGGGCATCAACAACGGAGCTGTTTTTCACCCCATCAAAGCTTGAAGCATCAAACTCTGCACTAACTCTTGTTGCTTCAAATTCTGTGCTAACTCTTGACTGAGCTACTTTCTCCTGGTTATATGGTGCTGAAGTGACCATTGTTGGAACACCTTCAGTTTCAATTCCATTAATACTTGAGGAATCATATTCCTGCTGTCTTGTTGGAAAACCACCATCATCTAAATCTTCAGAGCCATCAAATCTGATGTACTTTCCTGGACTCTCGTCAAAACCTGTTGACGATCCTCTTTTCATGCGCTGTTTACGGTTATTCACCCAGTTTCTCACTGCGGAAATAGTCAAGTTTTGTTCAGTTGCAAACTGCTCCAAAGTATCATGTGTTAGACGTGGGTTTTGTGAGAGAAATGATTCCAGTGCTTCTTTCTGTTCATCTGAGAATTTTGTTCGATTGCATTTTGGTGGAAGAGCTGGCACATCAAGACCTGTAATGAAACAAGTGCAGCTTAGCAACTGAACTGGATTATCCTTAATGCAATGCAAGCTTTTCGGTTGAACATAAACTTACCTTGTTTTATCCGAAGCAAAACTTGCAAGTTATGCTGAAGGTCACCCTCCAACCAAGCCTTCATCCGACGATATGGGACACGTCCCTCTTCGCTCATACGTTCCCATTGTTTTGGGCATCGCAAGAGATCACTGGTTGTTCCTTGGGATCGTTTGATTACATATTTTGAGAAAAGTGTTTGACTTATTTTATGTCTTTCAAGGACATCCCTCACACGTCTTGCAACATCAACTGTGTCAATTGGGTCTGATTCAGGGGGTGCTTCTATAAAAACTGATGGGGAGAGCAAAAGCTATCTACCATTGACAGGTCAGAATGTAATTTAGATGTATCGTGTTGCGGTAAAGTTGCAGGGGTAATTGGCATGCAATGTCCATTTTGATTTGCAGAAGTGCTTCTATATTCAAGCTGAGGTAAGCTGGTGTAATACACCTCTGAGCTTTCTCGTACATTTCCTTGTGTGTTGGTTATGGCATCACCACTTGCATACACAACACTCTCTTCTGTCAGGTGTTCAAAATCTTCAGCAATAAGTGGCCGTGCGTAAAGAAGCTGCTTGACTTCAGGCTTGTGTTTTTGAAAGTCACTGAGTAGATTATCAAAGCTCGATGTTGCTACTTCATACAACTTGCCCTCGTATTTGATTTTCACCATTTTGATGTTGTGAAGCTTGATACAAACTGGGGATGCCATGGGTAAAGACCTGCAAAAATGAAATTTCCATATCATTTTTATTGCACCTCTGAAGAATATTTTGCACAAGGTTCTCTAATCTTTAGTTTCCTCCATTAAATAAGAGAATATTAGGAAACCCTGCACTACCCTAAAGAGAACAATGAGAAGGAAAATTTCTAAGGGAAGTTTCAAACACCACAAATAATGATTTTGAAGTGGAAACCCAGCACACGTGTTTCCATAAAGCGAGAGCATGTTGCGTGTTGCAAATTATTGCTGATTGCGATCATCGCTTTAAATATTATTGTTTCTATTATTGAACTCGCTAAAATTTGCTCATATGCGTGTTCTAGAAATGCTAAAACGTATGCATATTAAAACCCTTCTTTCTCGTTCAAAATCTGAGAAGTTTAAAAGCAAATCGTTTGCTAGGATTTCTCATCGGTTTGAGACGGAAAGCAGCTTTTATAATCGATATAATTTTCAGTTCAAAATTTAATCATTTTATCAAATATTTCGATTATATTATATCAGGCATGCCTTTTTAAATACACTGGGAATAATCAATAACCATTAGCTTACCGATCGGTTGGAAAATATCGAACAGATTTTCGGCTAAAAACTCGATGAAGCGATCACAGATTTACGCCATTGATGATTGTAAATGATAACTATCAGATCATGTGACGTGTATTGATTGATTGCATCATTAATGATAAAAACCGCTGGATTTCTGCATCAGTGGTCCACGTGCAACTTTTATTATTTAATATTATTTTATTTTCAAATGATTTATTTGTTTATTTATTTATTTATGAGCACGCTACAGTTTACATCAATTACTTTTAGATTTCTAGTATTAATCTAGTACTAAATATTCACGTGGTTTACCTCCAAGCTAATTTACTTTTCGATTGTTAATGAAGGACAGTTTTAAACTTCTACAGCTATAAACTAACGTTTGAACGTAAAATTTGAAGTCAGGATTTTTCAGGAACATCACAGTAACTGGGATCATACACAAGATAGCTTCCACCATTTTTACTATTTTGGGTGTGGCGTTATTTAATGAGGAATAGAAAAGTTACTTTGTGTGGCATTCAAATGAAAACTTGTGCCCTTTGTAAAATTTCAATATGTAATAATTATTAGTATTATAATATAGAATTTCGCGCGTCTATTGTCATCACTATCTTCACTTCCGCATGTTATTCGATGGACAGTTGTAAAATCTGTCAAAATATTGACCAATGAGATCACTAATTTTATATACGTCACATCAACTCGGCTTCTGATTGGTAGTCTGAGACCTCGTGTAATGGAAACCCCGGGTTGGCCGCCATTATTGTTTTCGTACGCAGGAGGAGAAGTTGTGTTGTTTGCAGCATTTGAGGAATTAGGTGAGTTTTTATCCTCTTTGATGCCTTAATAAGTTAAAGTAGAAGCAGAAGCATTAAGTGTAGTTCATTTGCTCGTTATCTGAGCGTTTTTAAAGGCTAATATTGGAAAGGTTTATGCATGTACTAGCGCGATCAAATGGTCATTTAATATTGGTGCTTGAGGTCCGAGCATCATGACTAGCCCAGCATGATAGCTTCGTGAAGTTTACGTTAGGATCACAAATAAATACTCACACTTTCAGATACGCACATGTTGAAAATGTCTACCTAGCCATATTAGGTTTTGTATTGTAAGAAACCAAGCTAGGGGGACGGTTTAAAGCCTCCTATCGTGTCGGTAAAAATTGTGTTACCCTAGTGTCCAAAATACGAACGGAAATCAGTGAATTCCAACGGGGCACGATAGTTTTCAAACAGTTCTGTATTAAACCTAGATGCTTGTCTAATATCGTATGGGCTTTGCAGTGGTTTGTCTGTAATCTGTAAGTGTCCTGTGCTTTATTTTTTGTGAATCTTACTTTGGGATTCTTCCCCGAGTCCTGTTTGTTTGGAAGAGTGGAGGCCACATCCTTTCTGCATCTGCTTAGCCTTAATGAATTGACTCACCGAATTTTTGGTCGTTTTGTTCATGTCTTTCTGACCTTTTCCTGCTTTAAAAGACAGCTTTAAGTGAAGGAGTTTACCATGTTTTAAGCCCAACCCTTGGGTGCAGATTATTTGCTTTTGCTAACTGCTAAAAATATAAAAAACTGAATTCACTAACGGCCATATTGTGTTTCACGAGGTATTTCAAAGTTAGACACCCATTTTGAAATCAGACACTGTCGCTGGATATAGGATAGAAATATTAAATATTTAGAAAATTGTCAATATGTTTTTCATAATCATAGCTTTAGAGTTTATATGAATTAATTACAAACTTGTAATGACCTTTTTACCCTCAATTTGCATATCCTGGATAAAATATTACCATTTGATTTGTTGATGGTAACTGTTGATGGTCAATGCATGCATTTGAAATGAATTAAATGGTGACCTATCAGTTTTATCAAATTTGATTCAACATCTTCCTGTCAGACTTCTCTATGTATAAGAAAGCCAAACTGTAAACAGTAGATTTCTGGTTAGATTCAGCATTATCATTAGGGGCAGGCTTTTAGTTGATCATATAGTTAAGAAAGAGCCTCCCTTTACTTGTTCTCCATTTTCTAATGGAGTCCCAATCTTTTTTCAGTTAGATAAGGTTCATAAAATGACTGGAAGAGCCAGAGGTCGCTCGAGGGGTAGAGGACGTTCTGGGCCCCCATCGGAGGCACGCAGACCAGGCGGGGATGATTCTGGGGCAAGCCGTGGTAGGTCAAGAGGTGCTGCCCCTCCTGCACAAGCTACTGCACCCCCTCCGGCACAAGCTTCTGCACCCCCTCCAGCAGCAGCAGCAGCACCACCAACCCAAGCTATGGCCCAGATGACTGTAAGTGAAGGTGGTCGGCCAGAGAGAAGAAGAATGAACAGGTACCAAGAGATTGAATGTCGACCACAGTGGTGTTCAGATAAGCGTGGCACATCTGGAAAGCCACTTCAGCTGGTGTCCAATTATTTCAAGTTGAACAGTAGTAATCTAGGTAATGATTAAGTAATTTTGACGTAACTCGAATTTGACAAAAGAACTTTGAAATTACAAAGAATACACACATCAAATCCAAACAGGAACCAAAACACAACAAATTTTCCAATTTATAATAAAATTTATTTATATTGCCTCTAGATGGCATGGTGTACCAGTATAATGTCAGTTATAGCCCAGAAGTTGATAATAAGAAAGTGAGAGTTGCCATGATCAATGGACAAGGAGAATTGCTGGGCAAACCTCGTGCTTTTGATGGCATGGTGTTGTTTATGCCAAGAAAACTGCCTGAGACGGTCACTAAAGTTGTCACTCATCGCAAGAGTGATGATGCGCCTGTCGAGATCACAATTACATTGACCAATGAGATACCTCACAACAGTCCATCATGTCTGCAGCTTTACAACATTATTTTCCGAAGGTGAGTGTATTTGCTGGGTTGTTGCTGTGAAAGATGATAACTGGTAATAATTGCTATTGTGATAGTTGCTGATATGATATACTGATATTTGTATCTTTCAAGAATTCTTTCCATGATGGACATGAAACAAATCCAAAGACATTACTTCAAGCCTGATTCACCAATTCCCATTCCAAAACATCAGTAAGTTTACTTCAACTGTCATAAATGAGGTAAAAACCATATTCTTTTGTTTTATGCATAACCATGATGCTTTTGCATTTCAGTTTGGAATTGTGGCCAGGTTTTATCACCTCCATTCTCCAATATGAGCAGAATATCATGTTATGTTGTGAAGTCTCGCACAAGGTTCTACGAAAGGAAACTGTTCTGGAGTTCCTTTATGATCTACAAGAGAAACTGGACAAGAGAAGATTCTATGATGAAGCAACAAAGAAAGTTGTTGGAGAAATTGTCTTGACCAGGTAATGCCAACTGTAGGTTTTGTCTCGTATGACAGTTGAGTTATGGTTTAGCATGCATATGAATTTAGACTTTTATATATTCAGATACAACAACAAGACTTACCGTGTTGATGATATTAACTGGGATGGACACCCTAATGATTCATTTCAACTCTATGATGGATCTTCTATCACATATGCTGAGTATTACAAAAAGGTATGAAATTTTCCCTGCCTTGGTTTCAAGTACATTCTGTTTTAAAAGAAATGTTTTTTCTGCAGCAATACAACAAGGTTATTCAAGACCCCCATCAACCTTTGTTGGTAACAAAGCCAAAGAAGAAATTTGGACCAGGTGGACAAAAAATGGACGATAGGCCAATTCTTCTGTTGCCTGAGTTATGTTACATGACTGGTATGTTAAAATTAATATATATTATGCTTGCAATAGTGGGATGAATTGGGAAAGTCATGGATGTTGGCAAAACATTGTGTTGTTATTTTATATGTTTGTGAAACCTATGATTTGGAATTCTTTATGTTCATTATCTGTTGTGGTTTTGCCTGCTTCTTGTCCTGGATTTAATCATTTTTTTGTACTTTTAGGTCTGTCTGATGAAATGAGATCTGATTTCCATCTCATGAAAGATCTTGCAACTCACACCAGAGTTGGACCTCAGGAAAGAAACGACTCTTTGGCCAAATTCATGAGTGACATGAAGGCGTAAGTGGTTTTTGTGTAAAGATAATTGAAGGGGGTTGGCAGGTGAACTTTTGTCTTAAATTGATGCTGACCTAGCCTTTTTTGGTCTTATGTTTGACCATTTATTGGTCCATCCGTCTATTGTATATTTATACAAATGTATTCTCCTTATAGGAATACCCAATGTGAAGAGGAATTGAGTGGTTGGGGTCTTAAGGTAGTAATACTCTTGAGTTTGGAATAGTTTTAACTTGGTTGAATAATTTTTATCTTTTAATTGGCTACCGAAAGCAAACGAGTAATTGCGACTATCTTGTTTTAGTTTGATTCGCAACTATTGAATATGGACGGTCGTGTTTTGCCTCCCGAAGCGATCAAGCATAAGGAAGGTGGCAAAACTGTAAGTCAAGTCTTTATTATAACTGCTGTTTCCCATTTTTCAGAATTACAAAAGCAGCTATGTGATGTATTGTTTTACTTTGCAGTACAACTACAAGCCAGCCGAAGCAGAATGGAGTCGGGAGATGCGTGGAATGCCTCTTAGATCAACTGTTCCCTTGGATGTAAGTAAAGATGAACTTAGATGTAAACAATTTTACTTCAAAATTTTGCAACTGTATTTTGTTTGTTTCCAGACCTGGATGGTATTATTCACAACCCGTGACAGTGGGATAGCCCATGATTTTCTTCAGACTTTGCAACGTGTTTGTGGTCCAATGGGCATCAATGTCTCAAAGCCAATGATGTGAGTGTCTATAAAACAACTACTTAGGGATACTTGTTTAAATACACTTGACATTCTTGAGTTATTTCTTAAAAGGTGTGAGCTTCGTGATGATAAAACAGAGACCTACCTCAGAACTATGCAGGAGAAAATGACTGACAGTGTTCGTATGGTAAGTAATTTACTATGGCTTTGTAAAACTTGATTCTTTATTAGGGAAATAATAGTTTCTGTCTTTTGAAACAGGTGACTTGTATTCTGCCCACCAATCGTAAAGATCGTTACGATGCTATCAAGAAGTTCTGCTGTGTTTCCAGACCTGGTAAGTGCTATAGTTTTATGAAAATAACCAAATATTTCCATCACTCATTCTAATGTTGTCTTTTTTTCAGTTTCTTCCCAAGTGATTGTTGCCAGAACTCTCTCAAAGAAGCAGATGTTGATGTCTGTTTGTACCAAGATTGGCATTCAACTTAATTGCAAATTGGGTGGAGAAGTCTGGGCAGTAGATATCCCATTAAAGAATCTGATGGTCATAGGCATTGATTGTTACCATGATTCACTCAGCAAAGGCAAATCCATCAGTGGCTTTGTAGCAAGTATGAACCAAAGCTTGACCAAGTACGTTTTAACGGAACCTTTATTATATGGATGGTATTAATGCATCATTTCTAAAATGTTCTCTTACTGGTCTGAAAATAATAAAATGAACATGATTATCCTAGGTATTATTCACGATGCACTTCCCAGCATACTGGTCAAGAATTGGTTGATGGAATTAAAGTGTGTGTCACAGGTAGGAAATAAGGTTGTGTGCGTGATTAGGTATAGGTAAGGTGCAGATTTTCAAGAGTATGTGTTTATTCTCTAGGTGCTCTTCGTAAGTACAATGAAGTCAACAAAACCCTTCCAGATCGAATCATAGTTTTCAGGGATGGTGTTGGTGATGGTCAGTTAGCAGCTGTGTTTGAACATGAGGTCAAGCAATTCATGGAATGTTTCAAGACTGTCGGCTTCCAAGCACCACCAAAGTTTGGGTTTGTTGTGGTAAAGAAGCGAATCAACTCCAGATTTTTCATGAAGAATGGTCGCTTGCAGAACCCTCCTCCTGGTAATGAGTCCTAATTATTGTCCAAAATAGTTCAGTATCTAGAATTTTTAGATAGATTTCCTCTTTAAAAAATGATTTAGTATTTAGACATGCAAAAGTTCTAAACCATACTTTGAACTATTACTATGTAGGTTCTGTTGTTGATCAGTATGTTACCCGCAAGGAGTGGTATGATTTCTTCCTTGTCAGTCAGTCCGTACGCCAAGGGACAGTAACACCTACACATTATAATGTGATTCACGACACAACTGGCTTGAAGCCTGATCACATGCAGCGTTTAACATACAAACTGACCCACTTGTATTACAATTGGCCGGTAAGATGTCGCTTGTATTTATAATATATTACCTAAAGTGCTTCATTCCTCTAAAAGTGACTTTGATATCTTTGAATCAGAGTAAAAAAACAAGGACCAACATAGGCACTTCCTTTCTTTTAGGGTACAATCAGGGTTCCAGCACCATGTCAGTACGCTCACAAGTTGGCATATCTTGTTGGAACATCAGTCCATGATGAACCTGACATCAGTTTGGCTGACAGGCTGTACTATCTGTAGAAAGATGTTCCTTGGGCAAGCAGTTGGAAAGCAAAGTCCTATTCAAAGAGAGTCTTGGTGGAGTGGTGTTTAGGAGATCTATTTCTCATATATTTTGTTCTGTTAAAGTTGCTTTTGCACATTTGCAAAATGACCAAAGTCTCTTGAGAGAACTTGCAATAATGGTTTTGTGGAAGTTTGTAAACTCCAGGTTGTTGAATTATGGTTGGCTAAAGATTGTCTTTTTTAAGTAAAGTTTGTTATGATCGCCTTTCCTGATAAAATTCAGCCATTTATAAGAACATGTCATCCATATTGCATTTAACATGCCAGAAACCTTGCCACCGTTGGTTTGTGTGTCCTGGATTTTACATATATTCAAATACTTGCAGTAAATTTTATCTGGGTTTGAAAACAGCTACCATCTTGTTGTGCGAGAGCGATCTGTTGTGGTTTTTTAACGTTCTGTACAAATTAGATATTTTATGAAATATTTTCAATGCCTAGTTTACTTGGTGACATCCGACAATACCCGTTAGAAATACTACGGAACATTAGCATAATCAGCGGGTGTGTTCTTGGGAACCATTGCAAAATGAAACTAGGCTGAGAAAATTAAATTATTGTTCGCTCTCGAACGCGGTTTCATTGTATTTAGAGTATTTTTGTTAAAAAGTATTTGAAATTATTAAATTTCTAAGATGTTCTTTGGTCTATTAGCCTTTTTGATTTGGGATGATTAGTGAAAGCAGTCTCGCTACACGTTGATGCTTTTATATTTTGCATGTAATGAAAGATACAGTGGAGAGTGGTTCGTTACCAGAAAGTGCAGCAATCCCCGAGCGTTTTCTTTGCCATGTTTTTCAATTCCTCGTGTTTAAATTACAACATTCTTGTTAGTTTGCATGACAAACCAGCGTTGCCAGGTTACGGAATAAATAACTTATTATTCCTGTGAAGCTGGTAAAGAGGCCAACCGCGTGAAAAAAACCCTTAAATGATTCATTTTTAAAGTTTGTATACAAGGCTCCAGTGAAAACTTCAATTTTGCATGCTCCGAAAAAGATTGTTAAACATTTATATTTCAATGTGTTACCCTTAATTACGAACAAATTACCAGAAATTTCTGAAAAAATGCGCAGAAAATGCAACAACGCGTGGTTTCTTGAAAACATTACTTCCCAGGTCACGTGACAGGTATTCATGATAATCGGAAGTTCTACGCCATTATAACAAACATCTTACTTATTGCAAATCGAAGGCAAAGTCGCCAAAATGGCGGATTTGGAGGCCGTCTTGGCTGATGTATCGTACCTCATGGCCATGGAGAAATCAAAATCCACTCCGGCCGCCAGAGCGAGCAAAAAAATTGTTCTACCTGATCCGTCGTAAGTCGTAATATCGCCTTATTTCTACGTGCTATAAGCCTAGTCCTGTACTCTTGGGTATATTGTGTATATATCCGTAACACTAAAGGTTGTGTTTTGTTCCAGGGTTTATCATGTTATGCATAAGTATTTTGAGGATAATATGCAGTTAGAGTTTGACTATATATTCGAGCAAACGATAGGTGAGTCGATTTGTATTTGAGTATATCTATAACGAATATCTCTATCTGGTTTGTAAATCGTACGCCGGTGCTCAAATGTACTTAGGATCTTACTCTATTTCCTTGTTTAGAGCGCCTACAGCAACCTTTCATTTGCCTAGTTATACAAAACAGCTGCCATTATAAATATGGCTGCGTTTCTTCTAACACGGTCTCCTTCCTATTGACCCGTGTTATATTTCCCTCATGTTTAGGTTATCTGCTGTTTAAAGAATTCGGCGAAACTCAATGTGATGAGCCAGTTCCACAACTCGCATTTTACGAAGGGGTAAGCACTGCTTTAGGCGAGTTCTGTTGTAGAATAATAGCCTATAGGTTTTTATTGTCTATTGCACAGCAATGGAGCCATCTTGTACGATACATCATCATAATTTGACCGCCTTGTCAACGCAAATTGACAATGTGCATTATAAATTCGAGACCAATTTTATCTCATCTTTTTATAAACAGTGTTTTATTATACACAGACCCGATTAAGGTCGAATCCAATGCAGTGTCACAAGATATGAAAGTGTTTAGATACCGTATACCCAGTACTACTTTGCAGGAAGGAAGCAGGCCTGATAATTTGTACTTCAGAACACTTAAATCGCCCTTTCATAACAGTATTGTACGCGTTAATTTTGCTTCCTGGCGATTTAATCCGAGATTCTGAAAGAATTCTAGCATTCGAGATTGTTAATTTGCTGCATTCATGTTGCAATAATTTCTAGAAAGAATGGGAAATTTTAAAACAAAATTTATTTTGTATAGCCGTTTGTCTTTGGTGACAAAACACTGTTTACATTCTCACCCGACGTGACTTTTACAGTATAAAGATCACTTCCTAACTTGGAACAGGAAGTGTCTTAGAGTCCCTAAAATCGTCTGTATTTACTCACATGTTTGTAAATGACAAGTTTCGTGTGGAATATTCACATGCAACCCGTCAATTTGCTTTCACGAATAAATTAAGATCGTGAAAAGTTTTTAATGTTTGAGGCTGAAACGGCAATGTAATTTCGCATGCCTTTTGGCGGTGTTGCCTCATTTCAATAATAATCAGTTGTCATGTAATTGCCTTCTGCTTTTTTTTGCTTTTTAAGCTACTACGAGTCATTCGAATACAGGTTTTTAAATAATTTTTTTGTAACGCGAACTTGCAAACATTTTGCAGTGATATTTTCGACCTTCCATTTCGCATATAAACAAACAAAGTGATAGTTATTGAAGTGTTTGATTCTTTCATTTTTTCCGGTTCAAGGCAAAGTCTGGCATATACAATTATTACCAGTTTTGCCACCTTTTTAGCTGGCCTGAGAATCTTCAAATTAAACGTCGAAGTTCGGTCAATATTAGGACAGTTTTTACACCTTCGCTCAAAGCACACCGATCGTTTCATAAAAAAGCTTTCTATCAATTAATAATTCTGTCCTAATGGGCTTTTAGGCTAAATTAGTTTTCAGACTTTTTAATAATGCTGCAAGGTTTACTTTGTAAGCATGTATAAAAGACGTCCAGAAACCAGATAAAAGTTGCATTTTCTCCAACTTTTTAAATACTTTTAGAGGATTAAACCTCCCATGCTGTGTGTTTGTGATTTAAAAATTTACAGTCTACAATTTTAGGTCAAACATTTTCAAATTGAAGTTGTCAAAATTAAATTTTAACAAAAAGGTTAAATATCCAAAGACAAAATACTGATGGAGGTCTGATATTACTCTATTGTTTGAACATGGGTGTTTTCATTCATGTTAAAGTGTAAATGGCCTTGCTTGTCAATTAAAAAGTAAATTGTCTTCTATATTGACTGCCTTTTAACTAAGAAATGGAAGAGAAGCCTCCTGCTCCCTAAACCATTGAATGATACAATTCGCATCCTATAGAGTAGACAAAATGCTACTTTTAAACTATTTCCCTTAATTACTGTTGTCAAGACAGCTTAGGCTGTCCTCATACTTTCCTTAATACAATCTTGTTAGACCCCACCTCACACAATCCTGCCGGCATCAAGTAAATGAACAACTTTTTTATTCAGATCAAAGAATACATGAAATTGCAGACGGTTGAAGAAAGATTAACAAAAGCAAAAGAGATTTTTGATGATTTTATTATGAAAGAACTTCTCTCTTGTTCCCATGTAAGTCTGACTTCTTAGAGACCTCAAAATGAAACATTTAACTCATAAATTTTGCATATATTCCTTTGCATATAGCAATTTTTATTATGAGTTTCAATTGTTTGTCTTTCCAATAGAATTTCACTGTAAACTCACTGGAACATGTTAAGAACTTGTTGTCAAAAGGCCAAGCACCAGCCAACCTTTTTGAGGTAAGAATCCCATGATACATCATCATATTTAGAAATCATCTTGTAGACTCAGTGCTAAATATACAATGCTATCTCTTTGCAGCCATACACAATTGAAATAAAAAATAGCCTTCGTGGTTCAATTTTTAAGAAGTTCCTGAAGAGGTAATGTTAAAGTTCTTTAAACATTTTATTCTTCAGGAGCTCAGGACACACATTTGATGATGACAAATCTATTTTGTTGTATTTTAGTGACAGATTCATACGCTACACACAGTGGAAGAATGTGGAGTTTAATTTAAATGTATGCCAGTTTTATTGTCGCTTTACTTGTGAGGAATTAAAGCTCAAATTTTTAATCATATTTTTTTCTAACACAAGCTGACAATGAATGACTTCAGTGTGCACAGAATTATTGGCAGAGGTGGTTTTGGTGAAGTTTATGGCTGCCGGAAGGCTGACACAGGAAAAATGTAAGCCTGTTTTGACAGTAAAATACTAGAGTAGGGCATTTCTGGTTGCATTCCAAGCTAATGGGTGAATGTGCCATTTCTCATGTTTCCTTCTTTCTAATGCTTCCTATATATATTATATTTCGTAATCCAGGTATGCAATGAAATGCCTGGACAAGAAGCGAATTAAACTCAAACAAGGAGAGACACTTGCTTTGAATGAGAGAATAATGCTGTCACATGTAAGATTGTTAAATATTTATATGTACATATTATATGTTTGATATGCATAAACATTTGAAGTAATAGCTCACAATTATCAAGTCATTTATTTTCATGCTTTATATAACCATTCTTATCTTTCTGTTCAGGTAAACAGTCCGTTCATTGTATGCATGACCTATGCTTTTCATACCCCTGACAAGTTATGTTTTGTATTGGATTTAATGAATGGTAAGAATGAAAACTTTTTAAATTAAATTTATCATATTTTTTTTCCATTATTAATATTTTATTTGTTTAGGTGGAGATCTTCACTACCATTTGTCACAACACGGTATTTTCAAAGAAGAGGAGGTAAGAAGGGCACTCTTAGCCAAATATCTGCTATTGATTTGATAAACAGCAGTCTTATTCTTAGCTCTGAGATTAGTGTACTAATGATGCGTTAGTTATTTGCATCCATAAAGACAATAATATTATTTCATTTAATCTAATATTTGTACTTTTGTTTATTTAAACAGGTGCAGTTTTATGCATGTGAAATAGTTCTTGGTTTACAACATATGCATAGCAAGTGCATTTGTTATAGGGACTTGAAGGTTCAGCTTTTAATGAAGTTAATTTCTTCCTGCTTTTAATGCCTTCAATTAGTTTAGTATTCCTTCATGAACAAGATAGGAACAACTAGATCTCTTTAACAGATCTTTCAAAATATATTTTTAGCCTGCAAACATTCTCCTTGATGAGCATGGTCACGTAAGAATATCAGATTTAGGTTTAGCGTGTGATTTCAGCAAGAAGAAGCCTCACGCAAGCGTGTAAGTCAGGTCTACTTCCTCAATTTTAAAGATTTTACTTCGTCTAAAGCTGATTCATCGTTTTTTTAGCGGAACTCACGGTTACATGGCCCCAGAAGTTTTAAAAAAGGGCGTGGCATACGATTCGTCTGCTGATTGGTTCTCATTAGGGTGCATGTTGTATAAATTATTAGTTGGGTAAGTGCAACGTGGAAGTCATTGGTACCTAGCTGGTAACGTACCATCGTGATCGTCATCTTTCAATTCGCATTTGTTTTCTTCAGGCACAGTCCCTTTCGACAACACAAGATTAAAGATAAACACGAGATTGACAGATTAACACTGACGATGGTAAATTGATTGTTAAACCATCGATAGTTTAATATAATTGAAATTTTGCATGGTGAATCCAATGAATAAAGCATAAACTTGTAGAAAACACCAGTGTATTTGGTACATACATTGCTACAGAGTCCGTTAACCCAGGCTTTCCTAACCTATTGCCTTGTTAAAGATCTGGTTTAACAGATGTTGTGGGGGCTTCGTAGCTCTTTATACAGAGTAGTTATATCTCTTCACGGTTTTTCGTTGCAAACATAATTATTCTGCCCTTATTAGGATGTTGATTATCCTGACTCATTCTCAAGTAATATGAAGAATTTGCTGCGTGGCCTTCTTCAAAGAGATGTGTTCAGACGTCTTGGGTGCATGGCGAGAGGGTATGTTCAAGTATTCATCTACTGTTGATAGTCTGCCTTGAAGGAATCTCTGGTATAATTCAGAGGTCATTTCAATTTAGAGCGGAAGAAGTGAAGGATCACGACTTTTTTAAAAACATAGATTGGTTGACTGTTGAGCTACTGAAGGTAATGAACGATTCAGAGTTTTTTAAGGCATTTTCCTACTAATACACCATCGTGCAACCATCCTGCAGAACGTTTGCCAAAAGGGTGCTTGAATCATTGAGAATATTCGCAAAATATTTTTTTTGTTATTTTAGTTAAAGCCTCCATTAGTTCCTCCGCGGGGTGAGGTGAATGCTGCTGACGCCTTTGACATCGGCTCATTTGATGAAGATGACGTAAAGGGAATCAAGCTTTCAGAATCTGATCAGGAAATTTACACCGCGTTCAATCACGTGAACTCCGAAAGATGGCAGCAGGAAATAGCGGGTATAGTTTGTAATATTACCATGGTGTAGGAAGAATAGTGATTCTAGTATAAATAAAGTTAGTTTGTGTCCATTTTTCCTCCTGTAGTAACACTGGATCAATAAGAGATGATCTTTACTGGACTTCTAGGAAGAACAGTTTAGAACTGATAGGACTATTGAACTCACGTTGGATTTTTTTTAGAAACTGTATTCGAAGTTGTCAATCAGGAAAATGACAAATTAGACCAGAAGAGAAAAAGTAAACTAGCAAATATTAATGGACATGGTAAGGAAAGGCACTTCGCTATTTCGGGGCCGTATATTTGGGTATTCCGCAATGCAGGGTTGGGAGTCATGTGAAATAACGAACGATGTTGGACTCTGGGACAAGTCATCTGATTTCGGAAGCTGTTAAGATCGGTCTCGTATATAAAGCTCAATAAATCATCTTCTTTCTTCACAGAAAGTGCAGAAGGTAGTGATCGTATTTTGGAGGGTTATCTCTACAGGATGGGAGGACCTTTCTTACCTGGTTGGCAAAAGAGATATTTTCTACTCTATCCAAACAGAATAGAATGGCGGGGAGAACAGGTAAATGAAAAATATGATTTTAATCATGAGAACAACCTCCCACCAACACCCTCTCCCATTTTTATATGTGACCGCAGACGAACGCAACGAACTTGTTGTGCTGGGAAGATGTTACTTCGCTGGACGAAGCAAATGTTAAAGGATTTAAATGTGTAAAAATTGTAACTACCGATGCTAAAGAACATTTATTAAGAGCTGAGGTAAGTCGCATATACTTTCATTGAGGAAAATTATTATAAGCTTTCATATTTGAGCACACAACTCGTACAAGTTTTGTGTTATGGTTGGTGTAATTCAAGCATTTCCTTTACAGTCACAAACAGAGTATAATGAATGGATAAAGGAATTAAAGCGTAGTTTTAATGATGCAATTGAAATGATGCGTACTGGAGCAAAAATTATCGGGGGAAGATTATCAACACAGTCCAGCAAAGACGAGGCAGTGTAACACTTCATTCCTTCATATCCTACAGGGGGGATCTAGTCTGAAAAACTGGAAATAGATATACATCATTGAATGCTTGGGGAGTGCCACCCCCCCTGCACAAGGGCCAGCCATTCTCAAGGAAATAAAAGAGAAAGGATATACAAGCAGGAAAGTCTCAGCATGGCAATGTGAAGGGATAAAAATAATTTCTCCTGAACATATATTATTCTGGTATTCTTAGTACTAGAATAAATCTGGGTATTCATTACTGATAAATCACTAGTTTCATAGATGGATTATGACTTTTACTACTGAATAGTTAATCTCCTCATGTTTTGACTAACAGAACGGTTAATCTATCTCCTAGGGATATATTTATTTGTTTCAAATGCTAAGCTCTTGCCGGCAATAATCCTCACATGGTCACCTTCAACATGGTGACCGTTGGCATAACCAAAGGAGAAGGGGTGGGTGTTGGCTTTCTGGTGCACCTGTGATGGTGAACAAATGGCACCACAAGGTCCCTTATAGTGTAAAAAGGTATATAGTATTGGTTGCTAGAAATTTCTCAGGAAATCTATTAAATGTCGCAAATTTTGAAAACTGTAATATAGAAATATATTAGATGCATTAGATTTAAATTGTCAGAGATTTGATTGTGTGTGTCTTTGATTTATATGAGAAAGGATTGAAAACTCAACGGACCTAAACTGATTTTATACAGAATAGCTCTATCAAATTCTTTGCCATATTTCCTTATCTCAACCCCTATGAATAATTGTGGTTGCATGATGCATTAATGCTGGTGAAACGACAAACAAAACAATCGTGATATTTATAAAGATATATTCTTCATTCAGATTTGCGAAAGATGACCACATACTCTAGGTAGGCACTGACCTATACTGAAGGTCAGTGGCTCTGGGACATCAACTGTTAATAAATATATATGAAGCAACAAAGGCAGTGTAGCAAATGTCAGATCTAAATAAGATAGATAGCTTTCAGATCACAATCAATGTATGATTTCAAATTGCATTAATAACGATATTTTGTTGAATAATCCTTGGGTGAGATAACCAAACCACGACCTTTCCTAGCACCACGATATATTGTCTCGACGATATCAATCATTTCTTGTTTGTCTTCCAAAGCCCAGTTTATTTTATTGTTGTTACCAGTACCAAGATCGATCATAATGTGTTTATTTCTGTAGAAAAACATCACAGTACAAGGATCGTATAACTCGTACATTTTGTTAAAATCTGGGACTTCTGTTATGTCGACGACGTAGAAGACAGCGAAATTTTTAACTTTATCTGCTATGCCATACAAAATCTCGTCCATTTTCATACACTGTGGATCCCAGTCATGGCCAAAACGTATTACAACGACCTTATCTTCTTCTGCTAAAATTGCTTGATCGACTTGCCAACCATTGTGTAAATGTTGTAGAACGTAGGACATCTTGCACTGCGAAAAGTCGTTTAAATTTCTCTCTCGACAAAGCGTTTACAAATGTTTATTTGCCAAACAAGGTACAGAAATTATTACAAAATGTTCTCAGGTACTGCTTTAAGGTATTGAAAGTATCCTACAGCAAATAAATTGCTCAAAAATGAACGAAGTTGAACCTGATTTTCAACAAAAAAATTTCTGTTGTTGTTTGACTTGTTTCCCGAATAAAATAAATCGAACTGAGCATGCGTACTTGGTTGGTCAGGCCCAGCCTCCCACGGTTGATCAACCATCTATTGGTGTCTATTGGTTATTTAATGGTTAATCCAGTCTAGTCCTTTGACCATAAAAATAATCCAATATTGTTTTTATATATTTATATAATGTATTTTTGAATTCCTGTGATGTAAGTATGCAGATATGATTAACTTGTATGCCTTTTATCAATTTATTTAGCATGAAAATATTTTATTTGGTAGGAAAATCCAATGGTCCAAAAAGGCGGGAAAGTTTAAATGATCAGGGTATGGAGTTTCTTGCCAATGTGGTTACTGCAGATTTCTCATACAAGCAGTGTTTGTCATCTTTGGATGTTATACCAACAGGTATGGTATAGTCTTCCATGAAAAACTATTGACAGTTTGGTATCATGGTGGTAATATGTGGTCTCTTCTATTCTAGGTTGTTCAAAGTAAGTTCAGGGGATTGCATGTGCCTTGTATCCTTCAAAACAGAGTCAATAAATCTGAAATTTCTAGTTTAGACAATATTCTTGGTGGTGGACTATATTCTGGAAAGTTAACTGAAATCTATGGCTTACCTGGTGTTGGTAAGACCCAGGTGAAGATACTCATTTTTGTCTTTCTTATGTCCAATATTTTAAACCACTGAGTGATACAAAACATTTATTGGTTTCTAGAGCTGCCTAAGCATTGCATGTCATGTTGCTGGAACTCACCAAAAGAATGTTGTTTATATTGATTGTGATGCAAGTTTTTCTGCTCAACGTATTCATGAAATTTTCACCACAAGATATGATTCTAGTTCCATAATGGTCAGTTTAACAATTAGGTTTGCACTTTGATTACCGGTGATTTTAGCAATTAAAGATTAGTAATATCAACTATAAAGCAATTTTTTCATCTACTTCTGATATATTTTGCCTTGCAGAAGCACATGGCTAGAATACAATGTGTTAAAACATTTGAGATCTTTCATGCTCTCTTTGTTCTGGAAGAATTAATGAATTTTCTCTCAACAGAGGTACCTACATTAATGTTCAACTTTGAAGTATTAATTCTTTGCTTCAAAACTACATATCAGAAAAATTAAACTAATACATGTAGTAAGGAATGTGATGACATTATAGGGTGACTTAGGGGTGGATCCAGACTGATGCGACTTTTGTGATTGCATTAGTCAAAATTTTGACCATGGTCGAGTATACCATATTCCGACCGGTATATTCGACCATGGTCGAGTATAATAATAATAATTATATCTGTTTAATAACGAGTATACTGTTTTTCGGTCTATTCGACCATGATCAAGTATACAATTTTTCAGTCTATTCGACCATGGTCGAGTATATTTGACCTTCATAAGGTCCAATACACTGGAATATGGTATATTTGACTTTTGCATGGTTGAATATACCAAAATACGGACCCTATAGAGGTGTTGAAGTATGGTTCAAGATATTGCATCAGTCTGCAGGCAAAATGCTGGGTCTGCCCCTGCATGGTGACTAAATTAATAAATTTTTGTTCCAAATAGGAAGATGCTTTTTATAAAGATGTTGTGTTGGTTGTTTTTGAAAGTGTTGCTCCTCTTATTTCACCAATCAGAGGACCAGAAGATGGAGGACATGGTCAGTCTTTATGAAATCATAGGAGTGTTAATTGAATCCAAATTAATTCCAGTTGCTTGTTTATGTATTAAGACTATTTTAATCTGCTGCAGGCCATGGCTTGATGGTCAAATTTGGTCAGGCATTGAAAAAAATTGCATATGATTATAACGTGGCTGTTTTGGTAAGTTTCACAAAGTTTCACAGTATATACGGCTGTTACCATTAGTGGATTAGGAAAGCTTGGTACATAAAAATACTCTGTTATATAAAGACGATGAATACGACCTCGAGCTATAGCTGTGAAATCTTTAACCTTTCCTTCATCTTTTATCTCAATTTAGCTGACAAATCATGTCGTAGCTGACTCTGATCATTCCTACACCAGACCAGCGCTTGGTACAAACTGGTCTCGCATCCTTGACAACAGAATATTTCTACATGATTCTGAGGAAGACCCCACACAGAAGATGATGAAGTTGGTCAAAAGTATTCATTTGGTATGTATACCAAATACGCACGATCTAGTCTGTCAAACGAGTTCCAAGACCAGTTTCGCTGTGGAGGGGTGAACGGAAACTGGACGCGCCTAGAGCTATGCGTGGTTGTTAGATTGGACCAAAGATCAAATGATCATCCGACGAGATACCGAGGCTAAGTGTCAAAAATGTGGAAAAATATTCATCTTGGTCTTCCTTTTTTAGCCATTAAAAGATGGAGTACGAATAAAGATCACGAAATCTGGATTACGTGATGATTCATGAGCTTCCTCTATACAGGTGACAGTCAGTTTTTACCCGTGGGATTTTCAATTTAACTTCATTTAATTATACAACTGTCATTGGATGCATGTGAAGTGATATTGGAATGTTCTAAATTTGAATCATTACTGATCCTCGAAACTATTTTATATTTGTCGTGTAAACGGATACTATACTTCGTCATCGGGAAAGTACATTATCGTTTGGTCAAAACGGACAATTGTAAGCTTTCTTCGTAGAGTTTTATTGCTTTGGAAATTATCATTATTTTGGTTGGAAACAGATGAACCTTATTCTTTAATATTTCTTGTGTCAGTAGACACTTCATAAAGTATAGTTTCATTAAAAACATTTTGTTCAAATCTCGTCTTGAAGTGCCGTGAATGATTGACTTGTAATAAATTTAGATAAGAAGAGAACGATATTTCTAAATATATATTCATTACACGCATATTTTAAACACGTGTGTAACTTGATATCAAATTGATTGCTGATTTGCTTGCTTTCCTGAGGTTATCAAATTTCACTTTTACTAAAGATTATCATATTTTACTTCCAGGAAAACGCGTATTTTGGGGATTTCACTGTGGTATCCTTTGCCAAGGCATCTGTTTTTTATTTGGGACTTCGAAACAGGATATTGATAATGAATAGTGTCAGTAAATCATTTTTAGATGCGTTGTCAGCTATTGGAGAAAGACATCCGTTGATGTACATTAAATGTGATATGATTTGAAGGATTATTAGCTGTACAAAGTCTTAATGTTGCAAGGTGTTGATGAAGAGGCTCTAAAATCAACAGGGTACGTGCTTAATACTCAGCCAGGTTTAGTTTGGTTACATGAAGTGTTGTGGTTCACCATAATTGACCAACCTGTTGCAGTTATTAGGAGAAAATAATGACTGTAATTATGTTACAAGTTATCACTTCATTGTTAATTATAATTATTTTCATTTTTTGTCTTTGAAATAATGACTAGCACTAAAATATGTTATTTTTCCTGCACGTAAAAAAGCGAATGTTTTCACAAAGTTGACCACATCGGCTTCTCTGTGGCACTTTGACTGTAAAAAGAATCATGTCATGACACGTTGAACAGAAAAAGAAATGAATGAGTTAACTTGGTATTTGATTTTGGTAGGATCAAGGAAACATTGAAACCTGAGAGTTGCCACGCCATCTAAACCAGCGTTAGAACGCGGTGAAAAGGACAAGGAAGTGAGTTGGTTTCTTAATCTTAAAAAGGTATGTTTTAACGCGTTAAATACTTACTTCTGTTTTCAATTTAATTCTCAAATTACCTCATGTTATCTGAAGTAGTTCAGGTCTTCCTTTACATGTTTGGAATTAAGGGGGGAAGTTATCAAAGTTTTTTGGCGCATTTTTTATTTTTTATTTTTACACTAGTTGTCCTATATCTAATATGATAATGACCTAAGGCCTTCGTCAGGAGTGTTCATAATGGTAAGTTTTCTCAGGTGACTTGGTAACTGTCTAATTACGTCATCCACATGCCCGCCTACAAAGGAAGCAGGCTGTTGCAACGGGGTAAAACGCGCACCCACGTAGAGGATTTTTCAATATTGGCTAAAAATTTCAATGCGATAAAGTTCAGTCACAAGATTGCTTGTCTGTTGTTGTTGTGCGTGGCGTGAGGGTCAACAGGAAATAGACGAACACAACATTGTAATAAAAATTACGTCATTTTATCATCGCATAATGGTTAGATAATTCCTCATCAAATTAATATTCTCCGCTTTTAACTATTGGCCTTGTATTGGGACGACTACACACCACTCTCGTAATTTCTAAAGAGACTGTACGCGGGCTAATTTCAATATCTCAAAGTCATTTCACGCCTCGTCAGTTAATCTCGACTAAGCGGGGTCATGTAAACAGCCCTTAACAGCTCATTTACGTAAATATCAAAATACCATAATGATTTCAGCGGAATGGGGCGAAAACAAGGTACAAAATACCGGCAAAAAAACAATGCGTTTCCTTGCACGCCCCGGCTTATTTTTTTATTGTTTATGTAATGAAAACGTTCAGTTCCTTTTCTTTACTTCTTTTATTGGTTAACAGCTGAAGGAAGTTTCATTTACATACGTTAATGAACAAACAATACACATGAAATTGTTTTTAATACATGCGTAAGGAAAGACCTGCTACCTAGATACATGCATATATCATGATACACGCTTGTTTATTATTATCGAGCTTTCTAACCTAAACAATAATTTTTAATATGTCTGCATTATCTTCGCAGGAAAAGCAACCCGAGGAGGCATTGTTGTAAAGAAATGCACGGAGATAATGAACAGACATTAAAAAGGCGAAGAACGGACTCAAATTTACCAGACAATGAAGCAAAACTTATGGTAGAATCTAATGGCGTCCATAGTACGGCTACAACACAAATGGCCGACTTGAAAAAATCTCTCGAGGACGTCAATAACAATACGGAATCGACTGAAGAGGACGTTTATACCCAACTCAAAAACGCTGAGAGTGATTTGGCTCTTGCTAAAGATATCGGTGAAGCTTTATTGGCAGAAAATATTGAATTAAGAGAGAAATATGAATGTCTGCTGGAAGAACACGCTAGTCAAGTTGAGGTAAGCTTTGTGACCTGCTGTGGTGTGTCTTTTAAACTACATAAAAAGATGAATATGATCTTTCTGAAATCACAACATCTCGGCGTTTCATTCATTTCGTTAATGCCTTATTCGCAAGTTTTCCTTTCTCCTCGTAAAACGAGACTTTATCGAAAGATGGGACGCCTCTATTTCCTAAGGAAACCTTGTTTAAAACATTTTATTTATTTATCGATACGGTTGATAGAAGATCTAGCATTTCTACGAAGAGGTTAACGGTTGTTAAACCTTTGAGTATGTGATTGTTGATCATGTTTTGTGCCCTGAACGTAGAGAATTTCATCATGCGCTGCGTGGAGTTTGTTATTTTTGTTTTACGAGGGAATAAAGGATTATAAAGGATTAAGTTAACGCACAAATTATAATATTTAATGAAAATGAGAAGGCAGGTGGGCGGTTGTGTCATGAATGATATGAAAACTTCGTGACCAAGGCCTCAGCTTCCACTTCGCGTTCCTCATTTGCGCGTGCACGCCAGGAAATATCTAAATCACTGACCTATAGTATAGGTCAAACACGTGTTTGATGGCTTCATCATGACGTGTCCTTTAAATTTCCCTCCATCTCTTTTTGTTCCAGTGTTACTACAGGATGAAACCTAAACTAAACTAACTTTATTTATACTGGATAACTCTATCAGTTCTAAACTGTTCTTCCTAGAGATCCAGTAAGGATCATCTCTTATTGATCCAGTGTTACCACAGGAGGAAACCTAAACTAAACTAACTTTATTTATACTGGATAACTCTATCAGTTCTAAACTGTTCTTCCTAGAGGTCCAGCAAGGATCATCTCTTATTGATCCAGTGTTACTACAGGAGGAAACCTAAACTAAACTAACTTTATTTATTCTGGATAGCTCTATCAGTTCTAAACTGTTCTTCCTAGAGGTCCAGCAAGGATCATCTCTTATTGATCCAGTGTTACTACAGGAGGAAACCTAAACTAAACTAACTTTGTTTATATCGACTTATATATTTTGTTTATGATTTTTCCAAGGTGTTACAACAAGAGAAACACGATCTTCAGCTCAAGCGAAAGAGAGTGGAAAGTATCCAGGAAGAAAGGATCAGAGAATTAAATGTCGACTTACAAAACCTTCAAAATAAACTGGACGTATTTCAAGAAAACTCGCTGGATGATAAAGAGGCAAGGAGAGAAAGTGTTTATGAACTGACCGAAGAGAATTCAAAACTCAATTCTGAGTTGAATAAGGTATAAATAGTTCATTTTCATCAAAATATAAACACGATGTTTAACAAAATGATTTCGCTTAAACTACACAATGCAAATAGTCTCGGAATCAAAAACTTTACGCAACTTTTCATCTTCTTTACGAACACACGAAGATTTGCCAGAATAAGAAGATCGATAAACGACGGGGAGCCTCGGGGAACACCCGGAAATTTTCGCAGGAGCATCGGCCAAGCGCCGGAACTAGAAACCTCGAGAAATCACCTGTACTGAAACATTAATGAATCTGAATTCAGTCTGAATTTCCTGGTAACCAATTATGTTTTCAAGGAAATTTCATTAAGAAATACCTGCAAAAATTCCCTCATTTCGCTTATTTGCCAAAAATATTCCAATGATGTCCTGAATTTTACAATTTTTTAAAATAATTCGAATAACCGTAACCGGATGTTTACAATTTCAGAAGTATATAAATATTTTGACCGGATTCTAAAGTTTATTTTACAAAGTGTCTTTGACTACATTTCATCGAAGTGCCAGTGAGTGAGAAAACACTTACAAAAGCTTTTAACATGTTTCGTCATACTGAAGATCTGTTTATTTTAAAAGTAAGTTGGGATATTTTTTCATTAGGAAAAAATTATTTTTTGACAAGTCAATTTTTTGCGCCGAAAAATTAATCGTCTGGTAGTTGGAAAGACAGACATTACCGGTGCTGGGTCGAATCTATTTATAGTCAGCTTTTTTGTCGAAAGAATTTCTTTAACATTCACAAATGTATTAAAATTGATCGGCTGTTTAGCAAAATGTTAAAAAAACTGAATTTCAATATCATATCTGTGTTTCAAAGATGTTTTAAGGAGCACAAAAGATTACCTTTTTCTGTCATAGTTTATAAAAACAGCAGGAAACTGTCTTCAGATTAAGTTTTAAAGAAGCAATATTGACGAAGCAATTTGTTTGCGGTGACATTGCGTAAAAACACGACACTACACGTAATCTTGTGTTGGGAAAACATTGACTCACGGGGCTAATAAACGAACACACCGCGTCAGTGTTGCAAAACTTGTCTAGAAATTTGGAAGCGTTTCATGTCAGGATATATCAGGTTGCAGGTAGCGGGTACTGAGGTACAGTAATCTATGATAATCAGAGTTTGCACAGTTGTCTCTGGACAGTGATCTTGCTAAATTGGTATATTTCAGTATATTTTGGAGCACGAATTAATATGCTCTTGGTAATAAATTATAGTGTTTGTGATCTGGTTTTTTATACTGGCCACGCTTTTGTCTCGCCGGAGAAAGTATTGTGAAACAATATCATTAGATCGAGACTATTGCAGAACGATCTTTGGTGAAACAATGAATTTATAAAAATTTGAAACTTTGGAGAACAACGAACCACTGGCGTTTTTCTACGTGGAGAAGTTTGTCAAATTGGTTTTGTCAGTGTCACTTCCGAGCATGCATGGTTGCATTGTTTTATATTCAAACACTGGCTATCACGATTTAAATTTTAATGTTGCTATGGGATTGATATCACAGCCTTAACTGAAAGTCTGTTGTAGCTGCTGTTTAGGCTGTGTAGTTCCTCATTTCATACTAGACTTTTTAGCTCAAATGGCAACAATGAGCCTTATGTAAACGTAGACGTTCTACCTTCATTTTAAACGTCGAATTTGTTGATTTAAAAACATTTTTGTACAGACTTCTTCAAAACTTTTATTGTTCCGCCATCTAAAGTTGATGTTTCGCAAAAGAACTTTGTTAAGATTGATTTCAAGTAGTTACTTGTGTTTCTTTCGTCAGGTAAACACTTCAAATAAAGAATTATTGCAAGAGATCAACAGACTGCAAGGAATGCAGCGAGGCAGAAGTTTAAATGAAAGTTTTGATTCTGAAGGTTTTAATGAAGCAGATGCTCTTCAACAAAGGGTATGAATTAATTTAATTTGTTCTCGTTTTTAAAGGCTAATTAACTGTCTCAAAAATTAAATAACTTTTTAATAATTTAATCAGTGCAGTTCCCTCTTTTTTGTCTTGTACGATCCGCGAATTCAATATGAACTAGTATTCCTTACACAATTTATACAATAAAGCTTTCTTAGACGTCTAATAAGAACCATCAATTATTATATAATCAGTGTTACTTTATTGGAGACGGGAATGAAATAGACTGATTTTATTTGTACTAAATTAACGCTATGTGTTTTCCTGTTCGCAGTTGTTGATCCTAGAAGACGAACGTAGTTCATTAAACGCGAGTGTTCATCAACTTGTGTCTGAGAAGAATGAAGCTGGAAAAGAAGTTAATCTTCTCACACAGAAAGTTATAACACTCACCGAGGAACTGGCTGATAGCAAGAGCGAGGTAAGTGTGTTAAAATCTATTCAAATAATAAAATTAGGGGATTTATACGGGAGAGAAGTGTTTCAACGAGAGATGATATTCACTCTTCTTTATGAGGAAACTGAGGGGTTTTTCAATTTTTCTAGTTATCTTTATGTGAAGAAGAATTGAATACTTGCAAGAAAGAAAATATTAAACTTCATCAACAACTTGATGAATTTAAATTACAAGTACGTCACGTCATTGTGAAAATATAAATATGACGTCGTGTTATTCCTGTCAGGATTTGTTTTAGTGACTTGTGAACTTGCGTTATATTTTATATAGACGTCTCAACAAATGGCTTTGAATGGTTCAATTTTTTCTGAAATATCCGTATTGGAGAACGAGTCTGATTTTAGTTTGAAGTTAGCTGCCTCACCAAGCTGTAAGGTGAGAGATGATTCGAATATCTTCAGGAAGAAATTTCTGCTGCATCATGAAATGACCAAAATATGCCGCTTGTACTTTAGAAATTGATGGGAGTAGGAAGTTTACACGGGACACCCAAGCCACTGGCAACATCGTCCTCAACAAATCTTTTGAACAGACAACACGATCTTCAACCATTGAGACTGGATATATCAAGCGACAGTAGCGTAGGGGATGAAGATAATGGTGATTTTAGTTTGGATGAAGATGATTGTTCCATCCTCAAAGAACAAGGATATTTCGCACAGTTTGAGGAAGAACAAAAGATTAATGTCGAGGTAGAGTCTTCAAACTTCTTGCTTGTCATTTACTGTATCTTGGGTTTGGACCTGGCAAATAATCCAGGCGACATCTTCAAATACTTGCTAATGTCAGGCAGTACGTCATGTTGTAGGATACCATGGCTCGCGTAATATCTGAATGTTTTTATTTTTATTTAGCTGCGTAAAGAGATGTGTGCTGTTTGTCATCAGCTACTTCAAGCTTGCAGATTATTAACCAACAACAAATACGAATCAAAACAGACCTGGGAGATGGATGTGGATGAACTGTTTGAGAAAGACGAGACAGGAGCTGGAACACTGACCATGATTTCTGCTGAAGTGATTGGGTTGCTGAAGGAATATCTGGAAAAACAGCAAAATGAGGTGATTTTATCTGTTGTGTTTTATTTTTCGTTTCAGAGATCCAGAAAGGATCATCTCGTATTAATTCAACGCAATCACTTTCCGACTAATGCCGTTCTTGTTCCACAGGTCGACACTTTGTCAAAGGAGGAACAAGAATATATGGAAGAAAAAATGCTTTCACTGGAGAGTCAAGTTGAAGATCTTACAACGGAATGTTTTGAAGCGAAAAAACAACTCTCGTCTTTGGCTGTTCAGCTGGAAGAATCAAGAACGAAAATCAGCGAGAATGATGAAGAAAAAACAAATCTTTCAAACAAGATAACTGACCTGGAAAGCGAAATTACGACGATGAAGAATAAGTACGGCCATATCAAGGCCTGTCGATCAAAAAGGTATGAATATTAACATGTTTCTATCACTAATACTTTAGAGTTTTCTCTGATTATAAATATCTTACTTTCTTTTGTCTTTCATCCTTAGCGTTGTGGAAGAGTTAGAAAAGGCGAGGCGTGATGTGCAAAAATTAGACAATCAACTTATCATGGCCGTTAACCAGAAAGTAAAGCTTTCTGAACAACTCGAGCAATGGCAGGTACAGAGGGTTTATTGCTGATGGAAAGATTTGTTTATTTTCGTTTAAAAATTAGGTTTGAAAATTCATTGTTCTAAACTTCTCTTTCTTAGTACGATATGGCTAATGTTATCGAAGAACAAGTTCAGAAACAATTGAGTGCAAATAACGACCGAGAAAAGAAGAAGAAATCAAGATTGCCTTTTTTAAAGAAAGGAGGATGGGCGTGGACATAGAATGTGATACCCATGTATACCTTTATTATCCTTAGTATCATGCAAGAAAACACGTCATCCATTCACTTATCTTCGCCGGTTCTCTGGGCAATTTTTCTTGTAGTATTAGTGGTATTTTAGGAAAAGGATATTTGTAAAAAAGAGAGCCCAATTTCTATAAAAAAAGATTTCTAAAAACAAAGATTATCATGGGAAATAATATATACAATTACTGAATGTAGTTTATTTATTGAAAACAGAAATTAATGATTAAACCTTTCATGTACAGTTGGAAATAATTAGGAGGAAGTAGACTTGAATTTAAATTTTTAATTTATAACATATTGTATTATAATAATACGACTTAATTCCACTATGTGAGAATTTACCTAAAAATACATTTCTTTTCTGATAATGTTTGACGATCTTTGGTGTATAACGAAATTTGAGCAAGTTTTCAAATTTCTCTGCTTTAGTCTGTCTGGTTTTGAGGACCCAATCACCATCAGTGACGTATTAAACCACCAACAGTGGCAAGCAATGTGTTCATCAGCTGTGACACTGACGGTAACAATTCGAAGTAAAATGAAGTATTTCACTTCACGTACCAAAATTTAAAATAGGAAATTGCAAATTTAAAACAAATCTCTATCTGTAAAGGTAAGGGCGACTGCTTTGGTTTATATTTACTGTTTTGCATTTGTGTTTATTGAAAATCCCACCTCGGAAACAGTTGGAAACAGTCTGGCCACTTTGTAACATGATTTATATTTTATATGAACATCAGCCATGACTATTATTTTATAGTTTATACTAGCTAGGTTGTAAGAAGTACATATATTAAATGCAATAATGTGTAGACCTCTTGATGTCCTTTTTAGATGTAACTATCGGCTAAACACAGATGGTTGCTGCATTATGACTGAAAAACCAAAAGACAGCAATGAAGAAGCAATTTCCATAGAAACTATTGAGAAATTACCAATCCAGATCTCAGCAGACAAGAGCAGAAAACGATTTACTGGGGGTCAGGGAAAAGATAGTCATTTAAGTAAAACTTCCGCTTCTTCTTATCTCCTGCTCTGCAAACCTTGCCAGTATGAATAATAATTGTTTTTACACAATTTCTAGGAACAAGAATTGCCAGTCAGATACCTGATGATATACTAAACAATGTTGAATTGAATGATGCAATAAGCCAGGTTAATTAGTTACAGAAGTATTTTAACACATCACCAGAGAAATACCCAGATAGGATAGGATATATGAAAGGCCTCTTGCAGAACAGCAGGCAACTAATGGGAGGAAGTTTGCCCCAGATCCTAGGCTTACGGGGGTTTTAAAATGATGAAGGTACAAGAGGGCAGAGGAGCAAAAAACAGTGCCACTGGAGAAGGAAAAGTTTTTACCTTGGGGCCCAATATGCCTTGGATCTCTTGGATCTATATACCTTCCCCTCCACTACCTCTGCTTAATGATCAGTTATATAGTCATACATGTGTAAATAATCTCATTTACATTACTTTTTTTTCTTAAGCTTCCTTCAAACTATAATTTTGAAATTCATAAGACAATATGGAGACTAAAGAAAGGCAATGCAGCACAAGGTATAATTAAACATTATCTAGTGCTTAAGAAATGATAGCACCTGTTAGTAATTAATTACTAAGTACTTTTGTATTAATTGATTTACTTTCTTCAGTCGCTTTGCAGTTTCCAGAAGGTTTGCTGATATATGCTTGCACTATTGCAGACATCCTTGAAAGGTAAAAATATAATAACACAGTACGAGATCTATATCTCTCTGTGCTGATGGATTTCTAGGTTACTTTAATGGCTGAATATTGGTTCACTTCTGTTTAGGTTTGCTGATGTTGAGACAGTAATCATGGGTGATGTAACATATGGTGCTTGTTGTGTTGATGATTTCACAGCAAGAGCCATGGGCTGTGATTTCATGGTTCATTATGGACATAGTTGTTTAGGTACGTCTACCAAACAACTAATAAACTGAAAGACTGATCACTCAAGTCTTGCTTTATTTCATCACACAAACATTTATTCATATTTTGTTGTAGTTCCTGTTGATGTCATGGAAGGTCTTAAAATGCTCTACGTCTTTGTGGACATAAAGATTGATACAGCGCATTTCATAGATACAGTCAAATATAATTTCCCTGCTGGATCAAAACTGGCCTTTGTTAGTACCATCCAGTTTGTGGCTGCATTACAGGTCAGTATTACAGGTTTGTTTACAAGAAAGTGGTTGAAGCCCGGTCCCTCGAGAGTTGATGTGCTGGTACCTTAGAAATTAAATAATCTATTTCATGTTCTTAATCATTTAGTCTTCCCTGCAAGAGAATTATCCTCTGAATACACTGTGGATATCCCTCAATGTAAACCATTATCCCCAGGGGAGATCCTGGGATGTACCTCGCCCACCCTCAAAGAAAACGACGTACTGATGTAAGTAATACCCAGATGATCCTACACAGGAACTAGAACTAGAACGTTTCTTTCCATAAATGTCCATCAACGTGATAGTCCTAACTCTCCAAACGAAGAATCATTGTCGTATTTTTCAGTTAAACGACGCAAGATTAATTTCTCTACTTCCTATAAAAATTGTGATACGGTAATTCACATTTTTTAATATGATATCTTCATTATCACTCCGTTAGATATCTTGGAGATGGTCGTTTTCACCTGGAGTCAGCGATGATAGCAAACCCAACACTTCCAGCGTACAGGTGAGACATTGAACCATGCATTATGATGGGATCATTCCTGCATCAGTTCATTCAAGACTCGCTATATTTCATGATTCTTTAGATACGATCCTTACAGCAAAGTGTTCTCACGTGAGTATTACGACACGGCTAAAATGCACGAAAACAGACAAACAGCCATAACTCAAGCATCAGACAGCAAGACGTTTGGCTTGATTCTTGGCACGCTTGGGAGGCAAGGAAGCCCAAAGATTTTAGAGGTACGCTCCTGTGATTTTTCTTCTCTTGATACTGGATCAAAAAACGCAATCGTTATTGTCAGAATTCTAGGAAGAACAGTTTAGAACTGATAGAGCTATCCAGTATAAATAAAGTTAGTTTAGTTTAGGTTTCCTCCTGTAGTAACACTGGATCAATAAGAGATGATCCTTACTGGACCTCTAGGAAGAACAGTTTAGAACTGATAGAGCTATCCAGTATAAATAAAGTTAGTTTAGTTTAGGTTTCCTCCTGTAGTAACACTGGATCAATAAGGGATGATCGTTACTTGTGGACCTCTAGGAAAAACTGACAGGGCGAATATATTAAACTAAAATGGATGTGTTTTTCTGCCAGAACCTAGAAGAACGTCTTGGTCTTTGTAACAAGAAAGTTGTGAGAGTTTTGTTGTCCGAGATATTCCCATTTAAATTGAATCTTTTTAACCACATTGACGCGTAAGTATGAATGTCTTTATGTCAAGATGAATTGGATGGTCCAAGCAGTGTCTGATATATATCCTTTATCACTTTCAGATGGGTGCAAGTGACGTGTCCCAGGTTGTCCATAGATTGGGGCACAGCGTTTCCTAAACCTCTTTTGACACCATACGAGGTAAGACACGTTAAGGCCGCACTCTCTGCTGAGTTTGAAGCAAATTACCATTCAATTAAGATCTGTTCAGGGTAAGATGAGAGTACACGTAATACAAATGAAAAAACCGGATGAATTATGTACGCCATTGAATTCTGTTCCCAAGCGACGAGTTTCATTAAAAGAACGTCTTGAAATCTCGTACTTGAAACTGAAGTGTTTTCTACTCAGGAAATTTGTCCTCAAGACCGGGAAGGAAAGCCTTCTTTGTGTTAAAACCATTAGGAACTCGAAAATAGCCGAGAGGAAAACTTTTTTGACTTTAAGTCAGTCATGAATCCTTTGATCTCAGCCACTGATCTACGTAATTATCTTGTTTTACCCAGGCAATGGTCGCGGTAAATATTATCGAATGGCAAACCAACTATCCGATGGATTTTTATGCGAACTCCAGTCTTGGGCCCTGGACACCAAATCATGAACAATGTAAGCTTGGTAAGAGACGAGGCAAGTCTAAGAAAACTGGAGTTACCGAGGTAAAGGAAGGGGATAATAAACAGTGCGCATGTGCGAAAGAGGAGACAGGGAGAACAGAGATAGAACAGAGGTAAACATGAATTTTATATTTATATATAGGAAATAAACCACAGAAGATAGAAAACTAAATTTATTACTAAATTTCACACTACAAAAAAATCCTAAATACAAAAAACTAGGGTATGAATCTGTTTTACACAAGCATGAAAAAATATCAATCTAGTTAAAACATTTGTGAATCCCTTGACGCCTTATTCCGAGGAATTATATTTTATAAACTACTGCTATAGAATCGTACAGTCTGGCTAGCGAACAGCAAATGACGAGAAACTTAATACAAGCATAATATAATGATGTCTTATCTATGAAACTTTTATTATATTTTCCCTTTTTCTTTTTACCTTTTTGTGTATTTTTATATACATTTAACACAAATAAACAAGCTATATAAACCATTTCAGAAAACTAATATATCATTTAAAAATTGCATAACTCAACCTAATTTACGTCGCTTCATATCATAATTCCCCTAATTTATCACCTGGCATGAACCATTGTGGTCGATCTTTAAGACAGCACATTGAAGATATCAGCGCTATTTTCTAGCACTATCTTATATAAATCTACGAAATATTTTCTTTAAGAAGGGTTGAAGTGTTTGTATATTGACGAGACATATGTCATAACACTCTTAGGCTCTGGACTTGAACATGACATCATATCATCAACTTCAAGCAACTCAGCTATACCGGCGTCACTAGGAAAAAAACCCCAAAACAAATCAGATTTATTTTGTTTCCGACCGTCTAAAAGGTGGTGGTTCTAGGACAAGTATGTTGCGCTTACGTAACCTCACTTTGAGATAATAAAGGAATAAGTTCAACCAAATACTCACCTCGCAGCACCAAAAGCGACTTCGAAGTTCCGCCTTTTGTCACCCGCGGCGAGTAATTCTTCGTAGGGTACTTTATCCGGTAGATAGAGATGTATCAAAGCACAGAATGCGAGACCATCAGCCCAGCTTGACGAGAAATTTGTCAGTTTCACTCCCTAGGTATATAAATGATATATTTCGTTACCACACACGCAGGAATCAGGCCTTTTTGATAATAAATTTATATTCTGTCAGGAGAAATATTATTCATGCTATGAAGACAAATAAGACTTGCCTCATAACTGCGTAATTTGAAACGACACCATGCCAGAAGTTTATCAACGTTTGATCCAGACCGTTTTATATTCGAAGGCGCTCTGAAAGAAATTTAACGAAAGTAGATTTAGTACTTTGTTCTTCCTAGTTTATCTCATCAAACCTTCCTTCATTCTTCCTAATCAATATCTAAATCTGACTTGGAACTTCATCATATGTCTGTCTTCTTACTTTTGAGCAGGACTATTCGCTTCAAGTTTTTGCATAAAAGCCATTCGTTTGTTCTTCGCTGAAGAAGCTTGCTCACGTTTTGCCATCACTCTTTCCTTTTGTCTTTGTGCCATTCTCTTGTGCATTTCAGGATCTGAAATATGATCATGAATTTCATAGAAAAACATCCTCGTCGTTTAAACGAAATTTATCAAGAACAACGGAATTAAACTCACCCACGAAGGATTTTTTTGTGGTTGTTTTGGTCTCCGTAGTTTTCGTCGTCAAGTTCCCTCCATCTGTAGTCTTTGTTGTTGTTGTCACTTCTTTCTTTTCTTCAACAATGTCGCCATCTTGTTTCGTTGTCTTCTCCTCAACCACTTTGCTTTGTGTCTCGCCATCATCTTCAACGTGTTCTGTCACTTCAATCTGAACTGGCGACTCCGGTTCCTTGGATGTTAATGAAGTGTTTTCAACTTTTACCGCGATGCCATTCACAGTCGCTTTCTCTGCTGGAGCGGTCTCCTTTTTTTGGCTGCTGCTTCTGTGGAAATAAATGAACTTCGATCAGTTCTTAACTGCCCTTGAAGATCTAAGATCTATACATTAGACAACCAGAAGGGTGCATATATATTAAAGTTTATTAGCGGTTAAAAGGGTTTTTAAAAAGTAGTTAAGTGTTCAAGACAACAAATTCAATAAGTCTCTTACTGGGTGCCACTGTGCACCACTGAGTTATATAAACAAGTTTATTTTACAACATATATTGCATTTCTTTTGAATTTCTGCAGCAACCGTGATTTGCAAATATATTTTCACTACGAAACCCTAGAACATCGTAATACGCAGTACATCCTAATTAGAAACATTTGCGCAAATTAATTTATTAAGTCTTGAAGACCCATTGCAAGTTGTTAGACCTGTTGACAAAATACGATGTATATGAATGTTAGCTATGCGAATAAAACTACTTAGCATCGTGGTTGCCTAAGTACACTAAACTCTTATATTTAAAAGGGGAAGTTATAAAATATGAGTAAGATAATAATTATAATATATTTTATAGCGACAGTAGACTGGCTCTGATGTATCTGGTTTGATAAGAATGCAATGATATATACATTTTTTCAGACCTAAAGGTGTAGGAGTTGAATACTAAAGAGCCATAACGCCTCTCTGTGTATGAGGTCCTTCAACAGAAATGAAACCTCCGGGATTACAATTCCGGGTCTCCGCTCTGCCACTGATCAAAAGAGTCTAGAGTCATGCACCTTTATGTCAATCAATTAAAACGCAGAAAAAGCGTCTTTCCTCTTAACCTTGAGTGAAATCAATCTTAACAACCTAATCCAACACTAGCAAGTTGACGCGATGAGTAGGTTGATAGATTTTTACTACAATGTAATTTATGATTCTTTTTCAAACTAATACTAATAGTAACAGCAAGCAATCTTTATTAGGGAATTACCATGCCGGGTAAACATGAACATTAGTTCAACTTTTGTCGAGCCATTTCACGTAACGTTTTAATCCTAAAATATTTTTTTGTTTTCAATGATTATAAACACACAAACCTAACTGTGATCCGTGTGGACATTTTACCATCAACCAGAGATATCCTTAGCTGCGCACAACAGACCGCCTTCAATAGAACACCTTCAACTCTGAATGCTAATCACTTTACAATGTATAGGTATGCAACGTACGCATTATAAACACACAGCCTTATCAACTTCCAGTATGCAAAATATTTTACACAGTTAATGTGTATTAGCATAACCGGTAGACACGGGTGTATACAAATCATTACTTCCTATATTGATACTGCATACATATCATGGGAATAAGGTTAAGACGTTTTGTTTGAACCAAGATTAACACAATGCCAATTATATAGCGTTTGAATTGTTGAAAAGTAATTGTATTGTATATACCCCAAAAAGACATAATGCTTTATATGTCGTTAATTAAAAAGTCATAGGGTGATCTGAGTTTAGATTGTTTTTCATACAAACGTTGAACATTCTGCGGTCTCAATGCGAGATCAAGGTTTAATTTTTTTTCTGGTACAAATAAGCATACTTTGTCTTCAACACAGTAATCAATTTAGGATTTTTATCTCGATCGTAAATGCCAAACCTTGTATGTTGACCTTTTGTTGACTTTGATGTTTCATAGTACAAGCCAAACATGCACATGAAGCATGCATATATTCTCCACTGCCACATCAACTGATGTGTTTAATAAACTGATTTTAATTTGCATTATAGTTAAACAATTTTTTAAGACTAAACTGCTCTGCTGGTAGCATCTGAACAGACGGATTATTTATTATTTTCTACGAGAGTTAATCATTATCATCATTATCTTTATCTAAGAGTTAATTACTAGTAATTTATTCACCGTATCAATTTACGATAAAAATGTGTTGTATCGCACATATGTCTTCAAATTTTCAATATTTTAGCCTCGTTTGACGTTATAAAGTTTTTGTTTATGTCATTTATCTGCAAAGAAAGGACGAGCTATGTTTTGTTTCAACAACTACATTGTTGTTGACTCTCGTTGTAAAACAGAAGTATTTTCTATAATGAGGAATTATTAAAAGGTTAAATTATGCAATTTTAAGGCAGCCGTAATAATCATAGTAGAACTGGAAACGACACTGGCAAGATACAACGTTAAATATTTCTGGGGCTGTTCCTTCCAAACGTTTATTGTAGATTGTATATACTGATCTAGTTGACCTTAAGAGGAAACCTTAGCTTGTTCTGGAGGTTTATGAACGATATTCTCTCATTGATCCCGTGTTACTGTAGAAAACCTCAGTCAAAAATAATGCTGACTACAAGCAAGAGACACAGCAAGCGTACACAACACTGAACTTACCTTGTACCAGGAATATATCCTTTTGGTTTCACAGTTGTTTCATCTTTAGCTTGGAACTTTGACATCTTATCAAATAATTTATTTTTTCCTCCACTGACAATTTTCACATCTTCTCTTTTCTTATAACTGTCTCTTGGTTTGTACTTTGATTCAAACTTTCCTTTTACCCCGTGGGTGTCTTTAGGTGCTGTGGTGGTCTCTTTGGGTGCTGGGGTGGTCTCTTTGGGTACTGAGGTAGTCTCTTTCGGTGCTGGGGCAACCTCATCTGCTTTGGGTTCTGGACTAACCTCTTTCACTTCAGGTACAGGGGTTACCTCTTTCGGTGTGGGTGCCGGAGTTACTTCTTTATCATTTACAGCTGGTCTGGTCTTGCCATCCAGTTTTAGATCGAACTTGAGATCAACCTGCGCCGGCAATTCCTCTTTCTCACTGTCTTTCTCAGACGTGTTTCTTCCAGTCTCCTTCGTGCTTCCTGCGGGGCCTTTCTCCTTTCGCGCAGAAATTTTTTCGTTTTTACTCGGGATTGGTTTTGGTTGTTTCACAGGCGACGTCTTTGCAGCAGGTGCTGGAATTGTGACCTTCACTGGAGCTGGGGAAGTGTCCTGTTTCTCTGAAGATTCCTTCTCGTCCGACCCACCTGTGTCAATTTCAGAATTCCCCGCGGTTTCCTCTGCCGGCTCTATTTCTTCAGCAGCTTCTTCTTCAGGTTCCTGACGAACTTTCTCAGGTTTCTCAGACTTCAAACTGCCTTTCCTCTCGTCTGGTGTTGAAGGTTTCACACTAGGACTCCCTCCTTTTTTCAACGTGCCTCTGAAATCAACTTGAGCACCGGTTGTATTTGTCTTTCGTTCTAAATGTACAACTCCTGCAGCAAGCTTTCCAGACGGCTTCAAACTACTACCACGGAAGTCAACCTGCGCGCCTTGTGTCGAGATCTTATTTTCCAAATTCACAGTTCCACCTCCTGCTATACGACCAGATTTCTTGAGATTTCTAAAGTCGACCTGAGCACCAGCTGTGTTGGGTTTCTTCTCAAGATGCACCACTCCCTTGCTCTGTCCAATCTTTCCAGATTTCTTCAAGTTTGTTCTAAAATCAACTTGGTTAATACGACCGTGTTTCTTCTTCTCGTCATTCTGTGGAGGCCATCGTGAGCCTTCCTTTGGCGTGTCTTTACCTTTGTCTGAAACGTTGGAAACATTGCTTTTTTTATCTTTTGAGATTTCTCCACCATCAGCTGTGTCTGCCACTGGTGTGTCTTCTTCCTTTGCTTCATCTTCTTCTTTCGTTTCCTCATCATTTCTATCAATGTCTAAATTGACTTCTTCACCGATTTTTAGTTCAACGGAAATTCCTTCACCAACATTTACTGGTTCATCTTCTGTTTCACTTTTGAGTTTCTCATCAGGCTCTCCACGATTGTCATTCATGATTTCATCATCTATCAGATCTTCCACAGCTTCTTTGACTTGATCTTCTGTTTCATCTTCCAAACCGTCAATAACAGGTTGGTCTTTATCAATCTCCGCTTGAACTGGTTCCTCATCTGGGACCTCGTGAGCATGATCCATCTCAACATCAAGTGGTGATTGTTCCACAGTTTCTTCAACGTCCTCTTTCATGTGAACATCCTTGGATTGTCGAAGTGTTAACTTAAATTTAACATCACTCTCATTTTCTACATCTTTGGCACTTGATGTTTCTATTGTTACAGCTTCAGGTTCATCAGCATGTGTAGCTATGGAGACACCAGATGTCTCGTCAGAGGTCGTTACTGATGGTTCACCAGATAGTTCATTAGTGAGTTCATTAACACCCTCATCAGCGTTTCCAGTTTCATCAGTAGTAACAGTATCATCAACATTAGGGATTTCATCAGTGTTAACAGGTTCATCACCATTAGTAAGTTCATGACTATTGGTGAGCTCATCAACACGTTCATCACTTTTAGTTTCCATGGAAACAGGTGGGGCATCATCAGGTATCACATCATCAGATATCACATCATCAATGGATGTAGTTTCCATAGTAACGCTGGAAGATTCGTTGCTTTCTGTTTCATCGCATCTCCTTTTGTAATGTGCTGAATCTTCTGTTTCTGTCGTCTCTCTGGTTCGTCTTCCACGTCGTGAACTGGATACCTCTCCTGAAACAGAAATATGTGATTTTCTTACAACCAGGCAGTCAAGTAATGTCATATGTGGAAACAATTTTTATACCTTCAGTTCTTTTTCGTTTCACCTCCCTTATTCTTGCACGTATTCTCCTTCGGTCTTCAATCTGGGATGTTGGGATTTCATTGAGCTAGAATGAAAATAATATCTTTCATAATTTGGTGTACAGAGAGTAAATATTGAACTAAATTGTTCTGATTGTAGCTGTATGTATTGCAAACATTTTCTTCTGAAAACAAACAACACTTACCAAGGTCTGTAGTGTCTCTTCATCATCAAGTTCTGCCAGTAGTTTATCAGTTATCACAGGTCCTGTGTGGTTGCTGGTATCATCCTCGGCCTTGCGAGCTCTTGCACGCTCAGCTCTACGTGCTGCTCGTTCATTGGATTCAGCTTCTGCATTATCTAACATCTTCTTACGCACAGCACGCAGATCTGCTCTGATCTTTCTCCTTTCATCAAAATCTTCAGTTTGTTCAAGCTAAACATGATGAACAATGTATGCATCAGAGCTAGGCAGTTTCTATAGCCAGTTTTTATTTTTATAAAACAAAGTATGAACAAGTACTTCAGAAAGATACTGATTATTTCATTTTCTCCAAGAAATCAATCACTGATTAATTTAACAGACTGTTTGTTGAGTGAGGTCTGTCTATTTTTGTCTGGGACCTATCTATGATATCTGATTTTACATGGGAATCTTCGAACATTTTTGACATATTTTGTAGTGATAATCAGTTTTATTAAGATTAATTATGGTTCTAAACACACCCAAATTTGTCTCTTTAACTCTTTAAGACTTTTAGCAAGAAACTCAACACGACAGCAAACGCGATTATTTACTTTCATCGTGTATTTTCTGGTGCACACAACTATAAACAATTGCAAGGAAAAACACGAGGGGAGGGATATGGCATGCAATTACTTAACCACAAATAAACTTCATGGTATTTCCGACATAAACTGTGCAGTTTTCGTTTAGATCGAACTCGAGAAAAGTTGATTAGGTTTATAACATATTCTTTAGAACATATGGTATTAAGCTTTTTTAAATTTCTTGCATATTTTAGGGTTTAAGGGAACAATAATTTCTGAACGGTGTGAACACTAACGACATGTTTTTATTAAATATTTAATTATAAACGTACACATCGCTATTAAACATGAAACCCCCACGGACTCTTAAACTATGTGAACTTTCAAGGCAAAATAAAAGTTGAATATGTATTATAAATTTCGGGTCATTAGCTACAGTTACTATACCCGATAACGGGAAAACATTGTAGGACATTGCCCAAGGTAATCGCAGCAATTAATACTTAACATCGCAATACAAACGAGTCTTGTTTGCTTTTAAAATCGATGGGATAAAAGGTTGGTTTATACATTTAACATATTGCAAAGAAACGCAGCACGATATTTTAAAACGTGGAAAGGTATTCATCCCGTTAACAGCAGGGGTAAAGGTATTGTCTAGATAACTCCGTAGATTGAACCTGGCCATGTGAAAAGGTAGAGTAATATTTTATTATGCACGCTTTATTATACTGAAAGTGATTTAATATTAGCGCAGAAACCAATGCGTAGTAAAATAAGAATTGGCAAAATGACAGAGCAGACGATCTGAGAAACAGAGGAGGGAATACTCGTGATGATATGAGAACATTTCTCGTGCATAATAACAAACCCTTATGATATTGTTTACTTGTAACTAAATTTAAATATACAACTTGACTGACCAGAGCTTTTAATCTTGCTTCTTCTTCTTCCATTTTGAAAAGACGTCTTAAATGATTTCGACTGAGGAACGAGACGGTTCGAATTTAGCCAGGAGAGCGATGTCTGAACGCTGGGTTTTACGAAAGGTATAAAGAATGTAGAATGGTATGCGTTGCTTTAAAAAAACCTTACTTCCTGTAGATCACATCCGGCAAGGCTGTAACCATTTATGGCTAAAATTTACCAAATGTTTTTAACTCAAACTTCTGTTTTCATTCCCTCATATTTGAAGATGTTTTTCTCGCTTTTCAAGATAATTTTATGGCCTGTGCGTTTGATGTAAATATTTCCGAAATGTTTTATTTATGGACTTGCACGAATATTGTCCCGCTATGTGCGCCAATGAAACCCCGCCATTTTACGCTTCACAATAAACAGGAAATTCACAAAAAAACACATGTTTTACTAAACAGTCCTCATAAAATAAGTTTCTTTATTCGTGTTTTCATTGAACCATGAGGAAAGTACTTGTACCCCAATTATTTCATCAAAAGCCATTGTTGTAATTTAGATTGTAAAATATGCACCTCTTTGTTGAGATAATCTAAAAAAAATTTTTTTTTTCGCAAATTTTTCAAAAATGTCATCTTCACCAGCAAATAAAAAATATACAACAAATGAAGTGTATTTAGATTTATCCCCTGACAGTTTGTTCTGAATTGTTCATCGGGTTGCAAATTGTGCGCACAACGGTAATTGGAACTTCAATCATTTCAATACTCAAGAAATCTTTAAAGGTACGTTCGGAAATACACGTAAGATGTTCGGTCGACCATCGTCACGAAGTGGAAGAAGAAAAATTGTGAAGTAATATGGGAGCAATTATTAAAAAATAGTCTCGAAAATCTTGAAAAAATGAGCAAAGTTTGCAAACTTTGGATTCATCAGACCAATTTTAGCGAAGAAGATCTGGTCTTAAACCCAAAAGACTTTCAAAATGGTTTGAAGGAAAATGATGTTATCCAAATTTACCAATGTTTTGAGAATGATACTGGAACATGCAAACTACTTCTGCAGATTAAAAGTCTTCAGACAGATTTCCAGCAGAAAGAGACAATAAGTCTCGAACAGTCAGTTGCAAATAAATTTAAGTTTCGTGCCTATTGGGATGTTCATGTTGAGAAGGTTGACCCAGCTGCATTCACCTTATCCTTGGTTGAACTGAAATTTAAAGATCAATGGCTTGGACGTGCTGATATGTGGAGGTTTGGAGAGACTTTGATAGACTCTGCTGTTTATACATCAAAGAAATTATGTTTAGCTGGGGCAAGAACAGAAGTTCACGAAATGTGGGCAGGTGGTGGGAGAACACAAAAAGTCATGTGTGGTGTTGTTGGCAAAGATACAAGGGTAGGGTTAAAGGAGGGAATGGGGTAAGATGAGGGTATTAAGGGTTAGGCCTATGAGAGATAGAAGAGGATATGAGGAGGATAAGAGATTATAAGCAAGGGTGACAAGGTGGAATAAGGAATTTTTTCCTGGTTATCAACCTAGGAACAGCTGCATTACAATTAGGAAAGTCACAGTTGTTTCATTATGTCTAGATTTGTTTGATGCAGGTCATTAGACGGCTTATTCTATTGTTTTCCTAGGTTGTATTTAGATCTGGGAGTGCAGCTGTTTTTATCTTCATTCAAATGAGTAAAGAGATGTGGGAATTTGACATCAATGGAGATCTTTACTTTGAGAAGACAGTCAATGGATTTTTTGTTGAACTTTTTGAGAAGTGGAAAGAAATGAAATGCACTCATTCTGTAACCATTGTTTATTTCTCCAGATTATTTTACAATGAAAATATGCTTAGTAAGTATCATAGTCACAAATTGACACAAAATACTATTCTCTATTCTGATCTCCTTCATTCAATCAGAGAGTACGATCTTTTGAGTTTGATGGACAATTTACACTTATTAATCCAACATGTTTGTTCAAAATAGACAATATATCAGAAAAGAGAAGGATCAGCCTTGGTTGTGATTACCAAGGCAGACTCTATGAGGATATCTATCAAGTGGTGGTTCACGAAGAACGAAGAGAAGATTGGTTTGCAATTATTGTGAAGCTAAAAAAACATTTCATTCAATATCCTGAGAGTTTGAAAAAGGAAGGCTTTTCTGAAGGATACTTGTCTTCAGCATCAGAAGGAAATTTTCTTGAAGTTTTGAATTTAGGGGCAAATGGTGAGGATTTGCTTGTTTCTTTATCATTTCCTGCACATTTTCCTTTTAATTTTGACCATTTGTAATACCTTTAATACAGGATGGTTCAATAAGGTGAATTCTGAAGAGAAAATGTTGCATGCACTATTTCTATGTTGACCAATGCTGCACTTATTTTCTTTCAGTGTTTGAAAAAGCATACATTGATCGAAGTCTAGAAGTGACAGGTCAGCAAATGGTTGTTATTACACCAGGTGCTGGAATGTTTGAAGTTGATCGAGAAATGGCCACTATGACTAAACGAAGAATAGTTGACAATGGTAATTAGTTGATTAAATAATCTGTTGACAAATGCATTCTGTAAAAAGATGTTCACTCAAGATCAATTTATCTCAGATCTCAAACATCATTTGTTTTCCAGGAATGTCTGCAGACTTGGTATGTATGGCAGAACAACCTCTTCACTCAGTCCCTTTGCTTAAGTTTCATGGAAAGTCTGATTCCTCAACATTGATTGGCGATGACTATGGAATACCTCATTGGATCAATCATAGTTTCTACACCTCAAAATCTCAGGAAAATCAGAGAAATTCATTTGTTCCAAGAATTACAGTTCCTGATCTCATATTGCAACACCGCGGAGATGAAAATAATAGAAATTCACAGACATGTAAGCTCTGCATTTCTGAGAATTATTCTAGATTTGACATCATAGCGTTAAGGATAAGCTGCAATCACATTATATTTAAAATTTTCTGTCTAGTTTTAAGCGGAAATCATTTGAATGAAGTGGAAGAGAACAAACTGCCAGACTTCGTCGATTATGAGGCGTACGATGCCGAAGTCTTCAAATGCGCACACACAAAGCCTCGTCCTCAGACCCTCACGCCTGGCTACAATCCTTATACTAGAAGCCGAGGGATCGAGATTGATGATTGTAGGATAGAAAGATTTTTAAAAAAGGAGAAGATGGTTAATTATGGTGACGATAATTCAGCTGAAACCCACAAAAAAATAATCAAAGTAAGCATGATTGCTTCAACTTAGGTATTTAAACAAGCTTGTCGTGGTTTGGGTCTGAAATACACGTAAAAATTAAAGTGTGCGGATGTGATTATTTCAGAGGCCAGATAGCGGAGGTCTTGCTCGGAGTCTTGGAGTTGTAAAGTCATTTGATTTTATGCTGCCATGCTGTAAGTACATACAAGATTTAGGTTTTTTCCTGTAGTGAATTAAAATGAGTCGATCAATACGAACAGTTTTGTACAGATTAGGACAATTATTTTTTGTATATTTTTCATCAGCTGGTGAAGAAGATAGCATTGATGATGGTTCAAAGGATTTCTTATCTTCCTACTCACCGCCTCCTGCTTCAAGTCGCGCCGTCGTAGGGAGTGCAGATACCTCGTTTTTCTATCAAAATGTAGGACGTCCTCAAAGGTCCCTAGTTAACCCGTTTAGACCAAACTATCTCCCTTGCAAGATGACGTGTAATAGACATCGCTGGAGACATACTTTCCCTAAGGGGCCTGGAGGTGAGATGTGGCAGGAACATCATCATAAGGCGTCGGATCATGTGACAAATCAGGTGGATGATGATGCTCTTCTCAGGTCTCTGGTTAGTGCACATTCCATCATATCATACCTGCTACAAATTTGATTTGATTTTCATCTCAAGCGTTAAGTCTGATATATTCAATAGGATCCAGGTTACCAAGTGGAACTGGGTGGTCTGCCGAAAGGATTTGAAGAGGATGAAACAGACGGACCTGATTTTAAGCCTGATGACAAGTCAACATCGCTGACCGCTCTAAGCCAATTAAGGGCCTCGTTCAGTTCAAAACATGCAGGAATTAGCTTACAGAGCCTCGGTTGGGTGCAGAATCTTCACGCACCGTCCGAGAAGGACTGGACTGCAGCGATGAAAACAAGCGTGGATTGGAAGTCCCTAACCATCCCTGCTTGTCTCCCTTTGACCACAGACTACCACTTGGATCAACGTCTTCTTGACAGTCGCTATAGTATCTATGCATACAACTTGTATTTAGGGGTTGAAGAAAGGTGAGTTTTGGGCTCGTTTTCTTTCCCATGACCAGTGTTACTCAACTTTTTGTGTTTTTTTGGTTTCAGCTCATCAAACCAAGATGATGTTGACTGTGTTGTGATGAGACCAGAAAACCAGTTAAAAGAGTTTATTTTGCAAAGAATTGGACAGGTTTGTCTAGTTCCCTCTAAAGGAACTAAACTTATACATGTGTACCCTAACTGCACGTCTGTACCCCAAACTGCACATTTGTATCCCTAACTGCACATTCAAATTCTAGGGATTCCAACTGGTGTGCTCAGATATTCCGAAGGAGCGCACCGACTTATTTTCTCCATTGAACCACCCTCGATCCGCGGTTATCCCACAAGGTACCCAAGATGAGGTGTACAACTTTATGATGGGGCGTAATTTTCACAGGTTGACCTACACGCCTTCGGAAAATAAGGTTGGGATTTCTTGTGGCAGTTAATATCACACATTGTCCTAATTAAGTAACAAGTATCCTCTGTTATGTTATTCTTTTCTTATAGGTGTCATTCACCCGGTACCATCCTACCCACGTTATAGACGAATGCATGGTTTCATACCCGTACTGGTTATGGTCTGATTGTACTCAGGAGTATGTGAGAATGGACACAACTTTCGTTCACGATGACCTGACCCATTATAACTGGAACTATATGGATCAATATATAGTGCGTGATTCAGAGTTCTCATCGCTAATAAAAGTAAGTCAAAAGAGAAACATTATTTTAAAAACAAGATTTGCTCACAGAAGGAAACGAAATCATGAAACATTTCATAAAAATATTGTCAAACATTGGCAGTAAACAGTGTTTCCTAGTTTTGCGCACAGATTTTCAGCAATCTTGTGTAGTTTATATTCTATACTATTTTGTCTCTTTCTAGTCCCTTCACTATTGGAGGATTCGCCTGGCTTTGCTACCCTTGAAACAACCAACTTGTGAAGGATCGTTGAGCAGTGATGGTCAAAAGAAAGAGAATGAAGTTCAGTTCAAATATTTTCAAGGTTTTCTAAGATTTCTAGAAACTGTCAATCGTATTCGAAGACCTCCTGTCACCAAAGTCGAGGTTGGTTCCTAGAAATGTATTAGAGATATCATGTCTGGATAACACCAAGGAAACTTAGGACCAAGCGTTATCATTTGTGTCGATCTATCAAGAGCAGTCTGACTCGGTAGAAATATCTCTCTCATGTAATAGGCTGAGGTATATTGACTTTCGTTAATCCTCCTTTATCCCAGGCTAAGAAAACGCCGAGCAAGTCACGACGCCCGAGCGCGCCTGCGATGTTGAAAAGTCCAGCATCCGCTGTTCGCAGTCATCGACGTAGCAGGAGTGGCGGGGGTGGCAAGGATCTGGAAACTTTGAATGAAGATGGTGTGGTTATCCTTGATGCTAGCTCTCCAGGTCATGACATGAGTAGGTAAGGTGCATGGGCTGCTTCTGGTGAGATTGTAACTGCAACGCAAATATGACCAGGAACTATTTCAATATATTTAGTACTCCACCAAGACGAAGATCATCAAGTAGTGAAAATGAAGATACAGTAAACTCCATACCGTCCTTGGAAGAGATCGTTAAAGAAATGACAGCGAAAGAGTGAGTGGTGATTCAACTTCAATAAGCTGTGAAAGGCGTTAAATCAGGATATATTATTACTTTTACCTTTTTAGAACCGGTTTGAACTTCCTTTCTGAGATGCGAGGACTCCCTCCCAAATCCTTTCTAGGAACTGATGCTACATCATGGGTTATTCGCCATATTTCTGTGAAATCACGTGCTGAAGCAGTGACGTTATGCCAGGTAAGAGTTTGCGACATCATACACGAAGTTTGTGCGGTTGAGTTTAATCTTTTTTAATGAATTTAAAACTTTATTTTCTTGTAGAAAATGTTAGACGAAGGTTTTATACGGCACGCATCTGGTTCTATTCTTCAACCGTTTGTGGATGGATTTTACCTGTATTATATCCTCAAGACTGCTGATAAAAAGTCTGGTAAATATTGTAATAACAACTATAATCATTTAACTGAAGTAAACCTTATTGAGTCAGTGAAGTATATCCTTCTGAACCGTTCTTCCAGAGGTCCAGTAAGGATCCAGTGTTGCTGGTATCCTGTATTTTATTATTCTCAAACTAACTGCATTACTACCAATTTTCCAAGCAGCTTTATTAAAACGACCTGATAAGCACTCAGACGGTCTTGCTTACAAGAAATGGATGAAAGCACAAGATGATAAGTTGTTCCAGTTTGAGACGAAATGGTTTGAAGTTGTATTGAAAGAGCGAGGCTCTGAATCATCTAATTCTCCTGTTGGTGTTTTTGAATCGGACGAAAAAGGACAACCTCAGCGTAAGAACTCTTCAATCTTTGACTTACAAGTTACAACATACAGATTGTATTCTGTTTTACTGAAAAAATCATCTTCCCCTCAAACAGGTTCGAAAAGGATTCCAGCATATCGAGATGCGGAGATTAACTTGGATTCAACCAGCATAAACCTGAATTCAAGCAGAAAGGATCGTCCGGAGTGGTGTACAGTGAGGTATCCTGGAGTATTCTGTCCTGATAATGTATACCTGGTACACCTACACTGGTTGGTGGCCTCTGGATCTGTTATCAATCAATTGGTTCAGAGTTGGGCTCGCAAAGTCACCTTATATGGGTTTCATTTGGTACCAGTCCCAACTTTCCAACCAGACGGTCAACTGGCTCGGAGTGATCCATTCACAAGCGCACATCATATTCCACTTGATGTCACGTGGTTGAGAGAACATGCCTCGTTCCAAGGTGAATACTGATCTCTTTATGATATATTGGATAAATATTACCGATATGTTAATCAACGTTTCCGTAACTTTTAGACATTTCAAAGCAAGAGTTCAAAACAAGAGTATTCCTATTTCAAGAAGCCATTTTAAAAAGGTAATAGGCACCATCCAGTGGCCTGTATTTTTTATTTATAAACTCCGTTCGCCATCATATGAAAAGCATGACAGTATTTCTCAATTCATTTTTTTCTTTTTCCAGGTTTGGTTTCATTAAAGATTTTCCTTATAATGATGGTATTTACTCTTGTTACAAAGATGGTCACAATTCTGTGTTCCGCTATATCCACTACACTGGGGGATTATTTATGACTTTAGTAAATGATGACAGCGACTCGTTTGGATATGTATGGACACTAAACTATACCATCACAAAGCGCTGGAAGTCCTCAGTTACCCTGGACCAAGACGCGATAAGGACACTCGTGAAAGATTTGCGTACATTTTGTGAAAATGAAGAGGGAAAATTAGAGAAATACTTAGAGTCATTCACGGTGAAGTCTCAGATTAATTTTGATCAGACACAAGGTAGCTTGGGCAATGACGTATTTGAACGGGTCTTAGAAGCTTGTCCTGATGATTAATTGCGTCTAATGACGTTGCTATATACACGTCAGAGGTGATCTTCATCATTTTAAATGAAGTGAAATTAATTCATTAACACGGAGTTTTCAAGTCAAGAATTCACAAATTAAAACTTCATGTAAGTTGAATGATAAAGGCTGGTGAATACAATAAAATGGCTTACCATCGAATGGTCCCAAATATATTTTTCAAAAATCACACATTTTTTCCTCGCTTGGTTTCTGCTTTAACGAAAAATAGGATAAATACTCGAGCTCTTTCAAACGAGAAAGGGTTTTGGAGTTCAATTGTTGCTGGCGGAGCTGAATCCAGAAGCGAAGCTCACTCAAAGATTTTAGCAAATAATATCCTCTACGAATTTCAGTGTATGTCAGCTGTTCATGATATATTTTATGCTAGTTTTGTTTCGAAATAGTTGGGTGGAGATTTTTCATCGTTTTTTATAATTTTATATTCCACGTCTTACGCAAGAGTGCATAGCATAGTATAATTATCCAAAGAACGGCCGTGATACTGATACACCAGATAACTAAAGAAATGAAAATGCGGCACAATGTATTATTATTTCATATTTTTATGTCAGTTTTTTTCTTACAAAAATTTGTATCATCCAATTGTGTTGTTAATTTGCAAAGTCATATCTGGATTATTTCAGTAATGTAACAAACACATGTAACTGTGTCAGTGTAACAATATAACAAATTACAAATTCCTATATAGTGATATTCTGGTAGTTATGTCTGACCCAACAAACTTTATTTAATTCACTGCTACCAAAGCCAAATTTTCGTTTGATTTATAGTTCATCATTTAAAGCCAGAAAGAGTTGGTGATTATTCAAATTTAGTGTAAGTATTATGGGTCAAGTATGTCTAAAATTATTACAAGACAAAATATAGAACTGGCTTATTTCAATATGGTTTAGGGCCTCAGAATTACCTCGTATAAGTGAGGATCCAGATTTTCCAGGCACACTTCTTGGTAGTTGGACAACATTATATGGGCCCTTAGATAGTGCAGGTGAATGAATAATGTATATTGACTCTCTAATATTGCATTATTAGATGGAACAAATTATGATCAATAATTTTTATCAAATTTTAAGTTCATTTATGGGTGTATAAAGCTGGTTTTGAAGATGTGACAAAAGCAAAACATTATCTCCATACAAATGAGGTATATACTACAGTATTTTCATCTTTTTTTAAAATGCTTTTTGATAACTTTGTACTTCAACTTCTGTTTTTAGAAATTTGTGAAGTTTGCAGAGGAGAGAGCACCAATGCTTCACAAACGCTACAATCAACTTATATGTGGCTTTGATTTTTGGGGTGAACCACAACTACGTGATACAAAAAATCTTTATGAATTAAGAACATATCATTTAAAGGTTCATATTTTAGTTGTATTTAAGTTTTTAGCAGAAATTGTAATTTATGCTGAATTTGTATTTATTTGTTCCTTTTATTAGCCAGGTTGTCTCATTGAGTGGAAAAATAACTGGATGAATGCAATAGTTCATCGTCAACAAATGAACGAAGATGTTGGAGGATTTTTTACTCAGATTGGAGAATTATATGTAGTGCATCATCTGTGGGGTAGGAAAATTGTTGCATTATTAGCATGTTACAGTTGATAAAATGACAAGAAACTTTTGTGCATTTTAATGTGATAATTGGAACATATTACATGTGCTTTAATTCTCTTGCAGCATACAGCAATCTCACTGTTAGGAAACAAACCAGAGAAGCAGCCTGGAATAGTCCTAACTGGGCTGACTGTGTGGCAAACACTGGTTAGCATTCTGCAAATATTCGCTATTTTTATCATCAGTCAATCACCACAAAAATTTCTGGAATCTCTTTTGTTTAGTTCCTTTGGTCAGAAAAATGGAATCTAGAATCATGCTTCCTACCAGCTTTTCACCTCTAACATGAACGTCTATTTAAGAAAAAACCTGCAAGTTCGATTCCACAAATGTTGGTCAGTCGTAACCTATAAGGTATCCAATCTGGCCCGCATGTCAGAGATTTTGCTGCAGTAATTTTGGTGTTTGATGAAACCATATGGTGATATAAAGAAATTTTGCATAATTAGCAATGATCTGGGTTGGGTTTCCATTCTGCTCTCTCTTTACATAATTCCAAATCAACAGACATTTCAGTACCACTGCTAAAACTGAAACTTGTATATATTTAAACTGAGCTAGAATAAAAATATTACTTTAACATGGTTGGTCTTAAATTAAAATGCAAAATTGAAGAAGATGTTTGTTGGATTTCATAAACCTGGATTAGAGAAGAAAAAATCATGATTTCCTTAAAAGAATCAGACCAAGATGTAAAACAAAGTCGAAGCAATGCAGATTGCTGATGATTTAAAAAAAACACACAAGATTCTGGTTTCATTGTGCAAGGTATTATATTCATCAAAACTCAAAGGGTAAATATAATAATTATTTATAACTACATTTGATGGATTAAGATTATCCTAACGTGCCAATTCAGCTACACATACAACTGTTCAAACTTGTGAACCATAAACCAAATTAGCACTCAATGTGGCTTGTGTAATTCAAAAATACTAAATTATGAACAAACTACTACCATAGCCTTTCATTCCATACAAATGATGATTAATTTCAGTGGCAACTAAGACTTATAAAATATATCTTGCCACTTCTGTTTATCATCATTGAAAACTACCATTTAAAATAGATAAGGTTCCTTTATATTATATATTTTGTTTATTAAAAATAGATTGTGTATGTTCATTACAGAATGCTATACATCTTCGACTTTGCTAACAGTTATGACGGATTGCTTCTTCCATCAACGCGAGGATACTCGATCTTCAAGACGTTCAGCACCATCGTCTCTATTCTTCGCCGTATCAGATTTGGAAGTTTCAGTCAGACTGAAGACATCAGAGATCACGCATATTCCAGAGTCGTCCTGGTCTCTATCGTCGTTACTCCTTCCTTCAAGCAACGGTTCGCATATTTTCTGGATTCCTTCAAGAGGAGACAGGCTTGCCTCGGTCAGGTCCGATGGGATATCAGGAGGAATCTCAGGAAGATTTTCAGGTGGAACAACAGCAGGATGGACTTGGGTTAAAACAGGATAGATATGAACACTCGATGTACGTTTAGGGGCAGTTACAGTTGCTATATGCTTGGGAAGTATTGGAAAGGGGGCATTTCTATGAAACTGGTAATCTTTGTGCGGTGTTTCTAAATGTTCCAGACGCTTCGTCGGGCGGTGATTTTGCTGTTGAATTCGTTTTAACGGCTTCATGTTATAAATTTTGTTTCCAGTGATGCTTCCAAGCTTGTTTAGGGTGACGTTAATACTAGACGACGTTGGTATGACGGGAAATTCTTTATCTGGTTCTTTGTTCGTCATATCCACGAAGCTTGATTTACGGGGTGTTTTGTGATTGATTCGTTTCATTTGTTCCGATACCGCAATCCCGCTATTTCTTTTCACGTTGCTTCCAATTTGGACGCCAGCATTCCCGCAAATAATTTTAGCAGCTGTCGTCATCGTAGGGACTTTAATTGGTCGGGATATCGTTGCAAAACTAATCACAGGAGTTTCTGAAGTAATAATCGATCCTGGTGCTGGCAGAGTATTGATTTTCTGAACAACCTTCGCTGTTGTCGGTTGTTTCATTGCTACGGATGAATTCACAGCTTGAACGGGAGACGACTGTGTAACTGGCTTGCATTCAGGTGCGGTGGAGTTCTGGATTATACCAACAGCAGATGACCATTGAGTTGGTAACACTGGAGTATTCACGTGGCCTGTTGTGGTAACCAAGCCGCTGGTTGTTGGTCCGATGGTTGCGACTTGGCTTGTACCTGCAGTTGTTGTGGAAATCTCGGATGGTTGGCATTTGGGAAACTGTGCAGCGATTTTCATACGAGAATCCGTACTCAGTTTTTTCAATGATGAAAGTTTACTAAGTAACGCCAGACCATTTGCTGTCTTCGGGATCCTGAAAGTTGTTTTTTCGCTGTCCACAACCATCGTAATACTCACACATTCTTTATTTGAATGAAGCGTTGGTTTAGAAGGAGAATGATTTGGTTTAGAAGAAATTGGCGTTGGAAACATTGTACTTGGGTTAACCAGTATAGGGATAGATGGGGACTGCATGGAAGTGGTAGAGCAAAGGAGGTCACTGCTTTGGGAAGAAGCCGTGGGCGTTGAAGATTCTTTCAAAAGGGTTATTGGGATTTTTGTTCCTGCAGTTGGATCTTGTACTTGGTTGGATTTTGTAGACAAACTTGTTGGTTGATTTTGTTTGTATTTTATTGAGGATTCTGATTGGTCGGCAGCTGAGCTCTTTGACTCAGTTGTTAAATCTATTTTTGAAATAATCGGTGCACCGAGTGACTGGGAACTAGTGGATTGGGATCTTCGTACAATTTTATGTGATTCTATGGATTCTGGCTTCACTACTGTAACTTTTAAATGATTCTCAACTTGAGAATCCATTGGCAGACTGTTCTTTGACTTGGAACTTGAGCAGAACAGGAAGTTTGGAGGATTGTCTTTCACATGAGTGTACCCTGTTGTAGCATCATTTGTGGTGATGACAGACGCCCCAAAACTTTCAGCCATGTTTCTTTTGTGGACACCACACAGAGCATCCAACTTGGCTTTGTAATGACTTTTATCATTCAATAATCTCTCTTGTTCTTTGCTTGAATCCACAGACTCTTTTGGCACACTCTTCAACTCTTCTTGCTCACATTTCGAGTCCTCTGGCATGGTTTTCAATTCCTTTCTCTCCTGTCTAAATACTTTGTACAGTTCTAGAAGTTTAGACTTGCTTTTCCCTTTATTGTTACTTTCTTTGGGTGTGACATATGGCTTTCCTGCTAATTTTTCCCACTCCATTCTCTTTTTTTCATTCTTTATTTTCTCCAAATTCATTTCTTCTGTCAAAAGTGCATCCTGAGCCTTCAGGTTCTCCACTTCTTTGAGGGCATTCTCCAGGATCCACTGTTTGCTAGCCTTGTTCTTCGAGATAGAAAGCGTATCTGCAAGTTGACAGTATAAACCATGTAACTCACTCCTACGCTTTTGTTCCAACATTCGATGACTCTCATTGCATCTTGTGTTTCCAGTTACAAGATTGTCTGACGGCTTTAGGTCATCATCATCATAAAGAGCAGGCTGACAGGAAAGGATGGAAATGATACGGTAGGGAAACCGTTTCGCAAAATCCAGGTGCATTTTTATATCTGTTGAAGTAGTTTGAATGCATGTATTAACTTTATTACCACTTGAGTTATTAATTATTAAATCTCCAGGAGTATGCACTTGACATCTTGATGTAAATGATATATTAAACGTTGGGAACTGGCTCTTGCCAGATTTGATACGTTTTGCTTCAACAATTCGACATGGGTAAGCACAACAAACTCTGCATGGTTTTCTTTTCCGTTTGGCCTGTGGTTTGTTCTCGGGATGACTTGTGTCTAGTTTGTTCATTTTCTCAAGAGAAAAGTTGATAAATTGTGATGATGAATTCTCATCAACGCTACAAACATCCAATTCTAAACTTTCCTCATCATCTGACAGACCAGTTGGGCTATCTTCATGGCAACCATAAAATCTGTCTGCCCCACCAGATGTTGGCAACCCATGGATCTGAACATTAACAACATCTGATGTATCCTGCTTGTTTTTCTTAGGCTGGTTATTGGAGCTTGCTGGTCTGGTGGTTTTATGTCTGGATGCCTTTGTTGTTGTTTTCCCACTATTTTTGGAACTGTTGCTCTGGTTAGGTTTTTTGTAACTAGCCACATCACTGACTTGCTGTTTTTGTGGACTTTTAAGCTTACTTACATTGAGCTTCTTCAAGGGAACAAATGCTGACTTTGTTAATGGTGACTTGTTCTTTAATGGTGATACATTCTCAGTTTTACCATAGTGTAAACTCGACTCATTTGGTACATTCTCAGCCTTTAAAACGTCTTGTAAAAAATCACCCTTTGGCTTTGCAATATCTTCACCACCTGATATTCCTAGATCTGCAACCATTCTTGGTCTTTTCTTAGAAGATATGGATCTTAAATTAGAAGAAGACTTCCGTTTGGTTGGTGCTAATGGTTGTTTCACAGGATTCTTGTCATATTCATCAAAATCATTCAAGGTGAAGGCAGAAACAAAAGTAAATCCATCTACTTTGTCCACGACGAATTTCTTGTCGTCTTTACGCTTTCTTTTCTTCATTTGTTTTGCCGTATCCTTGGTTAAGGACAAGGTGGTTATCCCAAAATTCGCGAAAGATCGTTTAGCAACACGTTTCCGTTGAGTTTTTGCAAATAAATTCATTTGCTCTTCTTTTTGAAATGGAAGCAGCTTAATTTCATCAAGTTCTTCAGCCTCCGGCGTCGTTAGGTTTCCCACCGGCTGCAACGTTTCTTCATCCGCCATCTTGTTTTTCATTAACTCACTTTGACGCAATAAAAAATAAGAAATTGAACGTTAAAACAAAATTCAACGCACCTGAAATAAATAAGAATGCGTCATTTAACTATTCGCAGTACTTACGACTCATTTCAGGTTGATTTTAAGTGGTTTTTGATGATATTTATCTTAAATATAGTAGAACGCATGGTAAAGTTCACTTTCCCTCCTAAAATGCCGACACGTGGTCATTGGAAATTCGTCCCCGGAACTTTTTTCCGGACGAGAAAAATATGTCGGAGATTTCGATGAATTCGTACTCTAAAAACTAGGGGAATATCCACTTTTAAATTAAATAATGTGTTCTTATTGGATGTGAAATGTACATACTTGCAATATAAAGCATTTACGGCTAATTTTATACCTCAAATTTGCAAATATCAAAGTGTTTACAAAATGAAATTTTGTTTACTGAGATTTATTTGTCGAAAAGAAATACGGGATTTATGAGAGATTGGCTCCCAGGCTCTCGTGCGCATTTGTTTATAACAGCCTAGCCACGTGTTTTGGACATTCATTCCTATTTCCTAATGGTTCATTTTAATTTTAATAACTTGTAGAAGAAGTTGGAGAAAGGGAATTATTTTCCTGGCCAAAATGGACGGAATCGATTCAGTTGAAGAGGAGTTATTTACTAGAGCTGCCTATGATGTGAGTTTAAATGTAAATACATCAAGAATATTTTAAACACGTGTCAAAGTATATATAGTCATGGTAGATCAATGAATACTTTCTTTTAATACTCAGAGACCAAATGTAATCCTGAAAGATGGCTTTCAAACCAGTGAGATTGAAAGTGGCATTGACTTTGAGGTTAAAGAAAAATACAAAGAAGATGGTAATAAGATTGTGATCAACACTGATCATGCTGAATAAAAGTTATAAAACGTCCAGCCACCATGCAGTCCTATTAACAGACAAAATATTTTTATTTTATTTTCCAACAGTTGAAGATGATGCATCTCAAGTTTTTTTTGATACTGAAGAATTATTTCCATTGTTAAATGCTGAGGTTATTGATGGAGCAACTGATGCTGATGAAGACCAGGACAAGGTAGATATGTACTCTGTAAAACACCATAATGATCATCATCAATGTTCATCTCATTTAAGACTATCTTAACTAACTAAAATGTAATCAATTTCTAGTCACCATTTGCCCTTCTTAAAGAGAAGATGGTTCCAATAACAAATGATGAAGGTGTTTACAAAAAGGTTGTCAAGAAAGGAACTGGTGCAGTTGTCTCACCTGGTGCAATTTGTCGTCTTCACTATAACAGTTATTTGGAATACCAGGATGAACCTTTTGACTCAACTAGACTAAGAAATAGACAACAGCAAATGAAACTTGGAGAAAGTAAGTTAAATAGTCAAACCATTTCTGTTTCAGTTACTTGCTAAAAATAAATATAGAAAATTGTCAAATTCTTCTAATGCAATTTATCTTGTCTAGGCGTGATTGCCGGATTCGATATTGCCTTGAGAACAATGAGAAAAGGCGAAATTTCACAGTATTTATTCTCTCCAAATTATGCTTTCAAAGAAATGGGTTGCCCACCCAGAATCCCTCCAAATACAAGTGGTAATGAACACCAATTACAATCTCTTTATCCTAGATTTTGTAACATCATTTAATTTTTTTATTTACTTATTTAAATTGATTTATTTCTAGTGTTGTTTGAAATTGAGCTTGTCAGTTTTGTGGACCAGGCTGCATCAGATGAGTTTTCCGAATTTCCACCTGTAAGCTTGAGGATGAATTATTATTTAATTGTTTTGATATTAATTAAAGTACTCTGTCCATCATAATCTTTGTAATTTAGGAAGAAAGAAATAAAGCCTCTTTTGAAAGTATTCATGAGGTAGCACAGTCTTTTAAAGAAGTATGTAAAAATATTGTTTTATTTTTAAAAAACATGTATTTTCTTTGGGTTTATCTTCCCAGGTAACTGATTCTTCTTGCTCTTAAAATATTTTAATTGCAGACTGGAAATGATTTATTCCTGCGTAACGAGTTTTACCAATCTATCAAGAAATATGACAAGGTTGCTAATAATTTACCTTATGACTATACGTAGGTCATTTTTTGGCTATGTTTAATACAGTGATAAATGATGAATGAACTGTCATTTTTTGCCTAAATTTGTTTTTGACATTGACAATCTCTGTATGAGGCACATTTTATATTCCAGGGAATCCAACTTCTGGAAATGTGTCGTGTTAAAGATGAAAGGGAAGAGAGGGAAATGAACATTTCTTTGTTAGCGCTGTATATTAATGCTTCATTGTGCGCTCTGAAACTAGGTCAGGGTGCTCGTGCAAAAAAGTTTGGAAGAAAAGTAAGAAAGTTTTTTATTCAATTTTGTCAGTTTAGTTTACTAGATTTCCTCCTATAGTAAGAGATAATATCCCAATTGATCAATAGGAGATGATCTTTACAAGTACAATGCAGTTTTGAACTGGTAGAACTGCTCAGCACAAATATACTACTCAATTTAGCCCATATTTACCTGCCTGTTTCTAGGCTCTAGACATTGATCCAAAGAACATCAAAGCTATTTACAGAGTTGCCCAAGGTTTTCAAAAAGAAGGGGACTTTGGCAAGGCACGTGAGTGGTTTTTACGAGCCCAGAGGCAAGAACCAAACAACCCGGATATCAGAGATGCAATGCAAAAGTTAGACAGGTAAGAGAAAATCTCAAAATGCTCTTTATACACTTGTTCATTCTATTTGTTACTCTGTTATGTTCTTTAAAAAGGGATGTGCAAAGGTGGAAAAGAACTGAACAACAAATGTGCAGGAGGATGTTTCCTGCAACCAAGCCAGGAACCCCAGGTATGATTCAAGTTATATTACATGTTTCCAGGTATACCAATATATTGGCTGACATTTGCCTCTTATTTGAATCATGTAACAATATAGCCGTCTGATAATCCTAAATCATTGTTTAAAACCTCAGAGAGCTCAGTGAAAGAAAATATTGATCCTAAACCAGATGAAAAACCTCCAACCCAAATTTCAGACGAAGTTAAATCTCTCATGATGAAGAGATTGCAGTATGTTTTTATTCTAAAGACTTCATCCCTTCATATTTCTAAGTAAACTCTGTATATGAAGAACCCTTTATAATTGCTGATTATTTATCTTTCCAGTGATTTCCTAGCAGATAACCAACAGAGTGAAATTGTGTTTCCTTCATCATTAACTGAGAATGAGGTCAATTTCTTGGTTGAAGAAGCCAAAAATAGTGATTTGCATTGCATCCTACCTTCTAAAAAGGTATGTTTGTTGTATATCTGTGAATTTTTCATTTGCATCTAACTAATAGCTAATTTTCTCTATGATTTCAGATGGCATACTTGAAAATAACTAAGGATAAAGCTGAATGAGAAAGCCAAGATTCAAATTTAGCAATATAAACTTCAACAAGAAACACAGACTTACACTGTATATAGTTTAGTGTATATTTGTAAAAGATATTGTATTGGTGAATAGTTCTGTTATTAGTTATGTTATTGCTCATGTTATTGCTCATGTTATGCTTGTGTTAAGCTCATGAAAGACAATATAAAGTAACCTTAATATATATTTCTATAAAAAAATCAGTAATTTTGTTGAGTTATTTAACTAAAGGCTACAAACATATTTAACATATCTTGACTTTCCACTAGACCTAACTTTACAGTCTTTACTGAAATGCTGAATGGAAAAGAGAATGGTCATGCAGAAGGCAACCTGAAGTGAAAATATTGTTGGGATTAGAGGAGATTATTATATTATATTTGAATCCTTGGAATGAGACAATGGAGACATGATTCTGGGAATAGATCATAGCTGGTATCATGTGAGGGTCAAACATGACTTCAGTCACGCGTGGATCACATGCAGGCTTTCTCAGATTATTCTTTTCTCTGAAACCACGTTCCAGCTAATCCAGCAGGATCAGAACAGTCAACAGTGACACACGACACCCTCACTTCCAGGGGTTGTTCTGCAAACCTGAATGTTATGTCTCGCGTTTTGAGACCGATTTACCCAAATTTGTCACAAAACATTTCTGCAAACCAATGTTATAATCAATTTTATTGTTTACTTTGCAATGTTTCAGGGCAAATCAATGCTTATATTTGTTTAGGTTTCTGACGTATAACCGTATCCTACAGAATTTTCACGAGCAATATACAAGACTCCCTGAAATGAAACTAGACCAGGTAGGAAAGCGAATTATCTCTGTTTAGAATCAGATTTACAAGCGATGACTTGTCTCTGTATGTTCGCACGTGCACGTGTAGTATAATTGTCACAATTTATCATTTGAATCTACTAATTAAGCTGAGTTATTTCATCATTTCCCCCTAAAATTTGCAATTAATTATTAACATTCATGTTGTTCGCGGAATTCAAGTAGTTCCAACAGCTGCTGAAAATGCTGTAGTTCTCGTAATTTCTATTCCTGCAGTTGATAATTTGATATTCTTGTTCCTGTGGTAACGTTTCCAACGAAACAGGTTCCCCTGACTGACTGACACACCCTCTGGACTGCCCCCCAAAGCCCAAAGGTTCACTTCGTTGTTGGACTTGGTTCAGGTCGGTCGCATAATTTTTTGTTCTGTCGATTTCGTTTGTTTCAAGAGCAATTACACGACTTTGCTCTAAAAAATTCTGAAAGACAATGGTAAGTTGTTTTAATTACTTCAATCGTGTTGCTTGCAAAGATTTAAAGTGATAATGGCCGTTTTCTTTCATTTTAGACGACGTACACCGATAAAGGACCAAAGGTATGAAATGGATACATTGCATAAATAGGAATTTGTATTTTCCAAGGCCATTATTAGTGAAAATGAGGACTTAATCTTCAAATAAAAGACGTTTTGAAATATTGTTTTTTATGGTTTGTGTATTGTGTAAATGGATCTTTGTTAAAAGTGAAACATCAAAAAAAGAAAATAGCTGAATCTCAGAAATTTTTCATGTCCACGTTTCATATTTATAATAATGTAATATACTTATGATATTCATTGGATTTGACTTGTAGTGAAATTGAGTTCTGTACGTGATTTTAGTGACTATATTGCCTTTACAGGCAGCTACGATCCTGTTGTTTAGATTGTCGATATTCCAAACCCATTTTTCCTGGAACATTTTAATCAAACAAGAAGGACATTCCACTACACTTAGAGTGATGAAACTGTACATTTTTAGCATGATGGAACTATACAATTCGAATGCAAAGTAGCTACATTGACTAATATGGTCTGAATCATTCATTTTCCAACAATTTTTTAGTAAATTTAACAAAGCAATTTGCTGTGCTTTAATTCCAAGGAGCTGTTTGAGCAGAATTAATCCACATAGCTTACACGATATCTCGTTTCGTGGTAACGTCAATACCAAGAACCACGAAAAATAGAAAAGTTTGTTTTCATAAATTTCAATCACAATAGAAGCTGTTTCATTTTATAGCCGGATGTTGGGAGATTCCTGGCATTTGACCATGTCACATTTTGGGTTGGAAATGCAAAGCAGGTAATTTTGTGTTTGCCAGACAATTTTCTTGCCAAGCAAAATTGCTTATTGTGGTTGTTTATAATGTAATATTTCACTTATTTTTTCACTACAACTTATCATCAGGCAGCTTCATTTTACACCACACGATTTGGATTTAAAACAATTGGCTACAAAGGCTTGGAAACAGGATCAAGGGAGATTGTATCATATGCTTTACAACTGAACAAGGTGTGAACATTGAAAATTGTTTCAAAATCCTTCAAGTTGATGTTTTTATTAACAAGAAAATTTTTGTAGGTTGTATTTGTTCTGCAGTCTCCTCTAAATCCCACAGGAGTCACATCAGAAGGTAATTAATTTGAATGTATTTGATTTATTTTGTCAAAGAATATATACAAAAAATATAATAAATATTTTAGTTATGGGTGCCCATTTGACAAAACATGGTGATGGTGTAAAAGATGTTGCATTCAATGTTGAAAATTGTGTTGGGATTTTTGAAGTAAGAATTTAATTTAATTTTCTTGAATGATGAAGTTAGACTTTTTTGTTACATAATTGGCATGTATTTTGTTGTTTGCATTCATGCATGGCTATGATTCTTCCATCTTTCTCTAAGGCGGCTGTGAATCGTGGAGCTAAAGTTGTCAAGGAACCATGGGAGGAGGAAGACGAGAATGGCAAAGTGATCTTTGCATCCATACAGACAGTATGTCCATGTTTATAATATAATGTGTTATGTCAAAGTTGTTAAAATAAGAGAGAGAGAGAAAATTTAGACTGTTTCTTAGAGTTCATTCAAGCATATTGAAAGAGGTATATTACAGCAGAATCAATGAAGCTTGGCATAAGCATGTAAACTCATATATTTTCTGTTTTTTTTAGTATGGAGAAGTGTGTCACACATTTGTTGAGAGAAAGGATTACAAGGGTCTCTTTTTGCCTGGTTACAAGGAACCAACATTTGAAGATCCACTTCTTAAAACATTGTAAGTTGGATTTCTCATTTTGGGAAATCTAGAGTTTTCAAAATTTTCAAAATATAATATAAAATAAGAGACTTTATGTTACAGGCCTCCCATTGAACTCAATTTCATTGATCATATTGTTGGAAATGTTCCTGACAGAGAGATGGTCCCAGTTACTGAATGGTAACTCTATCATTGTTGTATTTTATTTGTTGAATGGCGCTAAACTAAGTCGGTGATTTATTCTAATCTTAGGTATACAAAGACACTGCAATTCCATAGATTCTGGTCTGTTGATGACTCCCAGGTAAGAGAGTTTGACTTTCTAGACGTACGATTTCAACCAACTTGGTACTGATCGATCGTTGTTTGAATTATCTTTTTGAATGCGCAATATTATTTGGCAGTTATTAAACCAATTGGTTCACTCGTTTTGAGTGTATACGGTCTGCCTGACTCTACCTACGACAAATCATTGACCTAAAGTTAACAGACAAACGTTCCAAGACCAAGTGTTAATATAGTTAGTTGTGTCTAAGACTAGACCTTAGTTTATAGCAAGCCAGGAAGACACGGCGTTGTACCCTCAAAAGACAGGGAAAGCCAACCAGACGGTTGAGACCCATCTTATACATTAAGCCAGGTCTACGTATCCAAACGTAAAAACCCACAAACTGCTGTTTCTTTTTTCAAGTCGACAACTTCACTGCACTATCCGAGTTTCGCTTTTTTCTATAGATCCACACTGGCTACAGCTCTCTGAGATCAACTGTGATTGCGAATTACGAAGAAACAGTAAAAATGCCAATCAACGAACCAGCTGATGGAAAAAGAAAAAGTCAAATCCAGGAATTTGTTGATTATTATGGCAGTGCAGGAGTTCAACACATCGCACTTAATACGAGTGACATACTCACTACCGTAAGTCACTAGAAATCTTTGTGAATTTCCCGTCTTTGCCGATAACTTTATGCAGTAAGGAATCGATATAGAAATTAATCTTAGCGATGTTTCTGTACTAGCTCTGTAACAGCGAACGCAAACTTTTTACTTTCTTTCACTCAGATTGTAAACTTGAAGGAAAGAGGAATGCGGTTTCTGTCCATTCCAAAATCTTACTATGCCATCTTGAAGGAACGACTCAAATCCTCCCGGACCAAAATCCAGGAGAACATGGAGACGATTGAGAAACTGAACGTTCTCATTGATTTCGATGAGAATGGCTATCTTCTTCAGATCTTCTCAAAACCTGTTGAGGACCGACCAACATTGTTTTTGGAGGTTATTCAAAGACATAATCACCAGGTATCATGTCTTTATTTCTTCAAAATTAACCATGCTTGCCTATTTGGTGTTATACATCTTATAGTGTTTAGCCTCGAAGTAATGGCTTAATCCAGTCATGCAGTCTGACACTGACACAGAGCCCGTAAATCTGTTTACACGATCCAATTTTGTTGGATCAAATTCACTTCTGACGTATGAAATGTCGACTGTTGTCGAAGCTTTTATATTACTATAAGGGACTGTTTACATGCAGCGAGTTATCCCGGCTAGGCGAGGTAAAAAACGCATATAATGAAAAACTAATCAGGTTACGCCTTTGTTGTGATGCGCTTTTTTCCTTGCCTAGCTTGGATAACTCGCTCCTTGTAAACAGTCCCTAAATAACCTAATTCTGTTCAGGGATTTGGAGCTGGCAACTTCAAGAGTTTGTTTGAAGCAATAGAGCTGGAACAAGCTGAACGGGGAAACCTGTAAAAGATCTTTCTGTGGACACAAAATATACTTTAATTATATTACTTAAATTACAAAGCTCTTATAAGCCAAGTATAAGGTCGTTGATTTAAGCTTTAGATTATGAGGTAGCTACAAAGCGTTCACCATTGAAATTGGTGTCATAGCTTTAAAATAACTTAAATATGAAATATAATAACTTTATAGTATTCAATAAAAGTCAACTGCATTTCATTTCCTTTGCTTATTACAAGCTGACCAATACAAATCATGAATCAGAACTTACTTTTATTAATCCAGCTGATATATTTTAGTCATACCAGGACAGTTTAGTGCAGACGACAAAACACGCGGAATTAAAGATGAACTTTCACTCTGTCATGATAAGGTTATTAGAGGTCAGATCTCTTGGTGAAAACATACAATACCAGCGTGTCCTATTACATTCTTCATTGCATTCTCCGCAGGTGAACGGGACGGAGCGCCTGCTGTTTATCTTGATGATTTAAGGAAATCTGCACCCAGCAAAGCACAGTAAAATAAAGATCTCTTTGAAATTTTCATCACCCCTAGGAACTGACCGCTAGGACTGGACTTGTGTCTTTCAGAAGAACCCGGTGTATTCGCGATTCTCTGGTAAACACTGAATGTTACATTTCACAGGTTAGTGCCTCAATTAATCTATTTAATTAGACTTTTGTGATAATGTAAGTAAACCACTGTTTGATTAATTGCTGAGGCGTATGTAGATTCACGATATTGTGGAAGATAGAGCAGGGATTGTTGATATTTTATTTGAATAATTATGGGGAATATATCTTTGTCGTTTCAAGTGAAAGCCATGCATTGACCACTCCACGAGTTTTTGAGTTGGTATATTTAGAGGCTTTCTATAGGTTCATACATTTCCTGCCAGCGCGCAGTAAATGATAATTATTTATGTAACAGCTTCGACATGCCTAGACCTGAAAGGTTGGGCAATTTTTGTGAACCTTTTTAAATCGTACTTTTTTAAGACCTGTGCGAAGATTCGAATTAAGCAATGCAGAGATTTGTTGCAAGGTTTTGGAATATATCAGTTTATCGTGTTTCCCAAACCTCGTAACGTGAGAGGTTTTATGCCTTGAGGGTCGTTTATTTTGGCAGTCCAAGGTCAGAACAACACCACTTGTTATAAAATTATCACTCTTGAGTACCTCGTCTGGTTTAAGGTCCGAAACTCTATTGCAATTCAATCTTCGGACGTGTGCAACTCGCTTAGATGCAATAAAATGTCAGTTATATTTCTACTATAACCAGCAACTGACCATTTAATGTTCTTTTATGTTCTGATCATGACCTAAGCCACCCTTAAATTTAAAGCACCTTCAAATGATCTTCATTCAAGCCGATTGCTATGACATCACGCCCTGTAATAAGGTACACATTAATGATGACAGCTCATTTTAATACTAAAATTCTATAGTAATTGTTCTAACCTTGAACTTTTAAATTATCTTTCTGGCAAACATCCCTAAACGCCCTTAAAAATGTTGCATATCAATTTATCCTGGTGTCGTAACATGTGACCATCACGTGGTATACTCACGCAACATTTTCATGTCGTATGATGCCTGATCTCTGAGGGAGGGAAATTAAAACAATCTGCGTTCGTATTGTTTAAAATGAGTTAAATAACTACATGTTGTCAGCTGGGAGAAATGGTATAAGGCACCTGTTTGAACATGATTTCTGATTGATGATTTTTGAAGATGAACTGATTTCTGATTGCAGATTTATTACAATGTATATCCGTGGTAAAAGTTAGTATGAATTATTGTACAGTTTCCATGTTTCAGTCCAAAATAGATCACCATCGAGGGACGTGTATTTGCAATCTTGACCGATCTATATCTGCAACTTATTCTTCACAAGTCATAATTATATTTCTTCAAGGTAATTGAATTGGTGACCAGGAAACTTGATGATGAATGTCTACAAGATCTTAACACAAGATTTACAGTCGACAATAATCCACTCTGCATTGTGTATCCTTGCAATCATTCTTTCTCTACCTGTTGCTTCAGTTGCTTTACCAATATGGTTGGTTTTTCTATTCTCCCAATGGGCAGCGGCGATTTGGATCCTGTTTTGGAAAATGGGCCAAATCCTTTCTACGAAAGACGTGCCGTTTGCACAGGAAAGGGACGCTCGTAACTTCATAACTTGTCTGTTCACTGTCAAGGGGAATCTAAGCGTACGTGTTTTGCGGAAAGCGTTCTGCAAGAAAATTTTGCAAGGCACCGAAGAAAGCTACATACGTTTAAAGCAATGCGTGCATTACAAAATGGGGCGATATATTCGACGAGACGAAGAGAATTTTGACGTACGAAAGCATATATTTATGTATAAGGGGAAGACACCAGTCAACGATGAAGAATTGGCTGGATGTTACAGTGAACTTGTCAACCAGAGTATGCCAAATCACATCTCACCTTGGCAGTTAATTATCATACCGCACGGGAAGAAATCAGGCGCAAAAACGTTTGCAATGTGCGTCAGAATTCATCACACGATCGGCGATGGATTTTCTCTGGTAGCTCTGTTCGCCAAAGTGGTTGATAACAAACCAGTCCTCGTAACCCCGAGTGTTAAAAGGCCCGTCGTGAGCAGTTCTTGGCGGATTCTTCGGGCCATTTACACAGGACCATTAGTTTTGCTTGCTTTAATTTTTTCGTCGACTGAAAACCCATTTCGACGTCGCAAAGACTCGTTTGGAAAAGTTAAAGTCGCGTGGACAAAACCATTCCACATGGATGACATTAAAAGATGCAAGAATAAATTTGGTAAGTTTTGAGTTATTAGTGCAGTGGCAACTGGCAAGTGCTTTACTATTTCACCTCAATCAAGTCAAAGACAACAGTTTTCCTCATGTAGTAACAATTAAAAGATCGAGTTATCCAGTGTAAATAAAGTTTCCTCCTGTAGTAACACTGGATCAATAAGAGATGATCCTTACTTGACCTCTAGGAAGAACAGTTTAGAACTGATAGAACTATCCAGTATAAATAAAGTTAGTTTAGTTTAGGTTTTCTCCTGTAGTAACACTAGATCAATAAGAGATGATCCTTACTGGACCTATAGGAAGAGCAGTTTAGAACTGATACAGTTATCCAGAATAAATAAAGTTAGTTTAGTTTAGGTTTCCTCCTGTAGTAACACTGCATCAATAAGAGATGATCCTTAATTTCTTTCGTAATTTTTAGGCGCAACGGTTAATGACGTGCTAACTGGTTGTCTGGCTGGAGCAATGCGACGTTACCTGACTAACGCAGGAATGAATACTCATTCGGATTTACAGATTGCACTCACGATAAACAGCCGATCAATAACGAGCATCACCGAGGGTCAAGTGCCTCTGGAAAACAATAGTTCTGGTGTGTTCTTTAGTTTACCTGTATCTACGCCTACTCTGCCTGAACGCATTAAGGCCACTAAACATCGCATGGATTTTATCAAGAGTTCAACAGAGCACATCGTGTTTGCCTTTCTCTTTAAATATGCAATTGCGTTCGTCCCCGCCTTCCTAGGGCGAATTGCAAACCTTTTTATCAACCGATGTTGTTGTTTGGTGATGAGTAATGTTCCAGGACCGCTCAACCAGTTGGAACTAGTAGGTAAGGAAACGTATAGTGGTGCCATGTAGGTAGTATATTAAAGCTGTGGTGGTTTGTGTCTGAACTACCTGAGAAAGATATCTCAAACGTGGTAGTCTAGTGTAGGTAGTCTTCCACAATTAGCTGTCCAGGTTTGTGTCTGAACTGTCTGAGAAAGATATCTCAAACGTGGTGGTCCAGTGTGGGTGGTAATTTAATTCAAATTCTTGTATTTGTGATATCGGAGCGGATTTTTTTACAACTTGCAGGAAACGTCGTAGAATCTGCAATGGTGTGGCCGCCTCTCATCAGTGATACCGGGATATCTGTCGCCGTATTTAGCTACGCTGGTAAGGTTAGAGTCTCTGTGAAAGTCGACACCGCTGTCATCTCAGATCCAATGATTCTTATGGATCATTTTACCAAAGAGATGGAAGATCTCGTTGCTATGACAACTGCTGACGAAGGTTTGTCGTGATCCAATTATGCGTACTTACGTTAGTCAATTTTTAATTTCTTGTATGGACAAATGCCAGAACATGGTTGTTTCAAGCTCTAATTAACGCTTCGTTTTTCTCCCTTTTTGCACGGTGGTTCATTAAAAACTTTAGACAAGAAAACACCTGCTTTCAATATCCATACAAAAATGAAATGATAAAAAAATGATTTTTTTATATTTCGAAGTCCCATTCGTATATTAGTTATTTATTCCTATGGAATGGACAAATGAATAACCAGGGTTGAAATTTTAGTAAATTATATTTAGAAAGATAAAAACGATAGGAAAGAATAAAATTATTGCTTATATATAATGACATCTGTGATGTATTGTATTCGACGTCATTGTCGATAGATAAGGTTTGAAACTCATGAGGAAAACGCCGAGGGTTCGAGAAACGTCGTCTTATTCAGAACACTTCATTGCTGCAGATCTTTCCAAGTTCCAACTTTATCTTGCTTCTAAACGACTAGTAATATTTCATGACATCACGACATGATTTCACGACATTGAATGATTGCTTGATTGCGCAAAAAAGTGTTATTTTTTCTCGTGCATGGGCGTGTGTCTTTACATAAATAAACATGAGCAAAAGATTGAGCAACAAATGAACAAATGCTGTGTCTTCAAACGTCAGACATATCTTTTTGGATGTTTAATGTATCCCGTTTCTACTCTCTTCAGTAAAACAGTCCTGATCTTAACCTGAGCTGCTATAGTTGATCTAATCACATCCATGAAGTGTTTTTCAATAGACGGCTTGCAAAAGCGTTGTAATGCTTATGCATACCTCTCGAACAATGTGCTGTTGTACGTAGCTTTATTTATGTGGTCATTTTCTAAACTCGTTACGAAACCACGAAGTAGTGAGTAGTCTAACGTAGAGCATTTGAATAAATACTTATCAAGCATACTGATCGTACGTAATCCTGGAAGACGGAACAGTGGAATATTTACAAGTAGAATTTTATAGTAATATTTAGTATTTGGCATTTTTATCACAAAATATAATATTTTGGTAATATATTTTGTTAACTTTGCATCGTCAACCGCGCCTGTCTTTCTGCACGTCCATCCCTACCTTCTTTTACAGGAGGGAATATACCGGATACTTAGAGCCCGACGGGGGGGATTACCAGGGTGTATTTTGATGACTTTTATAATATGCAAGTAATGAAAGTAATGTCAAAAAATATTGTGTAGTAATGGACAGGTTGTGGCTTGTATGTTTGACAAAACAATAAACAGCATTGTGCTAAAAGTATTGAAATAGTTTAAGTTAAAACAAACGGCAAATCAGAAACAAACTTTGCAAAGGAATAATTAGTATATTGGATGATTGAACTTTGTCCCGTCGTCTTTTCTGGTAGATGCTCCCAAGAAACGGAGGTGTTTATAGTGGAGGTGTTTTTGACGTGTACTATATCATTTGCAATTCATATTTTTTAATCCATCCACGTAAATTTCACAATCGAGCGAACACGTTTACCGCGGAAACGGATTGTTTAGTTTCGTCGCGTCATAATTTGGGATTATACGTGCAGTGTCAGTGTGTCGCCAACGGATCTGTGGAAGGAGGTTTATTAAAAAAATAGAATATTCGACGAGAGATTGACCACGTTGTTTTCGCAGTACCCTAAGATTGGGTAAGTCATTGTTATAAGTACATTGTTTTTCAGTCACAGAAAGCCCTCTAAATTGTGTTTGAATTAAACATTGAGACATAATATTTTATATTAATAAGAACATGTGTGTCTGTCGATGTTATTGAAAGATGGCCCAAGGCAATATGTTTTTCCCAGTTTGTGGTGCCTTCTTTAGCCTAAGTATTCTTAAGATTTGTCTTTTCCCCATCAATTTGTTAATTCTTGTAACGTCGTGTCTTTATGCTACGATTCGTACATATACTATGAATTACCCAAAGTTGAGTTTTTTGTTTTCATTAATATTCCATTGGAATTTACTACGTTATGTTGTAATCAATGAGTTTCTTTTATTGTTTAAAAGTGGCTTTAATATTCGTTTGAGTTCGATTATTCAATAAATTTGAGCAAAATCTAGGCTGAAATCACGGGCCTCATACAGCTTGATTTGATGAGATTTCGCAGTGCTGTCAACAAGGACAGTTGATACACAACTGAAAGTTGTAAGGTCAGATAGCACGTTTAGTAAGAACTCAATTAATCACAGCTGGTTACCTAATAATGTATGAAATATAATATTTATATAGTATATTGTTACATGTGTCCTGATGCCACCCATATTGGCTGTAAAATAACCGGAAGATTTCCCTAGTGCAAAATGTTCTAATTTTTTTTTATTTTTTTAGGCTCTGTTGAACAATACAAAGGTTGAAATGAATTTATACCAAAAGTACAATGAGCAATCTCCCCCAACTATACTCCATATATTTTTTTGTATAATAGCATTAGCATTCTGGCTTGTCTTTGCCTCAATTGCTTTGCCTTTTTTATTTGTATTCAATGTATTTAAATGGGCAGTCGCAGCTTGGATTTTGTATAATCGCATTGGAAAACTATTGGCAAGTGAGGATGTACCCTTTATGCATGAATCTGAACATAACAGGAACTATAGCATTTGTCTGTTCATGGTCAAAGGGAAACCAGATGTTGAAAAACTTAGGGAATTATTTCATGATCGTGTTATAATGAATGATGGCCATCCAAGCTACAAGAGACTAAGGCAAAAGATTGTTAAAAAATATGGCAGGTATGTTTGGGCTGATGAGGATAATTTTGATCTCAGCCATCACATTATCACCTATGAGGGTGACCGTCCTGCTGATGAGGAGGAGCTTGCAAAATTATTTGGAGAAATTGCAAGTAAGCCACTTCCAAGAGACATATCTCCTTGGCAAGTTGTGGTCATCCCAATGAAAATTGATGGCCTTTTTGCATTTTACACTTGTGGCCACCATATTATTGGAGATGGTATTTCTTTGGTTGGTGTGTTTAGTAAAATAATGGATGATAAACCAGTGTTACTTAAACCAAGTGAGAAGTCCATTAAGAAGTATGAAAGTAGTGCATTTAAACGTGTCCTTCATGGAATATTTACTGGTCCATTAAGTCTATTGACTGTTGCATTATCATCTGCAAAAAACCCGTTTCCAAGATCAGTCAACATTGTGGGAGAACAGAAGGTGGCATGGACTGCAGCAATCAGTTTGCCAAAGATTAAAGAGGTCAAAACAAGGATAGGTAAGAGTCAGATTCTGGACCAAATCCATTATACCAACATAAATTAATTGTACTGAAACCCAGTATATCTTATGATGTTTCAGGTGCAACTATAAATGATGTTGTAACAGGTTGCCTGGCTGGAGCTGTACGAAGATACATAAAAACAACTACAGGCCAGTGCTCTGAAGATGTCCAAATAGCAGTGAGTATTAATACTCGTCCACCATCTTTGCTTTTGAAAGAAAACATTCCCCTGGAGAACAACAGCACTGGTGTCATATTTAACCTGCCTGTGAGCAAGGAGTCTGTACATGAACGAATTCATGAATCAATGAAAAGAATGGATGCAATTAAAAACAGTTCAGATTTTCTGGTATTTGGTTTTATATTCAACACTGTGTTGGCAAACCTACCAGAGTTTCTGGGAAGATTTACTGTGAATTCTTTAAATCGTCACTGTTGCCTGATTATGTCTAATGTACCTGGGCCACTCAACAAGATGGTGATTGGGGGTAATGAAGTTGTAAGCCTGATGGTATGGCCTCCTTTGATTGGTGGTACTGGTGTTTCTACTGCCATATTTAGTTATGCTGATACAATTAGGCTGAATATCAAAGCTGACACCTCAGTTTTTCCAGAACCCAAACTACTAGCAGATTATTTTGAAAAGGAAGTTGAAGAACTGTTTAAGACTTATGCCAAGAAAGATGATTAGTGTCTCCCATTTTACTGCTAGCCTGCATGGTCAACTTGAATACAATACATTAATTGCTCAATGCAAAGTTCTTAACTTTTCACTTAGGGTTATATTAAATTGGTAGAGATGAAACAGTCAATAGTCTTTTTGACTATTGCAGATTGATTACTATGGGCATCATAGCAAAATTGACTCAAATACATTATACCTTTGAAGACCATGTGAAATCACTAGCACATGTTGCAGGACAATTATGTGTCATTGAAAAGTTGGACTACTAAAATTGTCATGTCACTCTGAAATAATTAGCACTGCATTGATAATTAAATACACCGTCTTTTTGGTTTGTATAGTGTGAGGCAACTTTTGAGTTTATCAGGTTGAAGGGTAGGGAGGTTAGGACAGTGAATAATCATATCCATCCATTTCTATTCAGATCATCAAAGATTCAGTATGTATTTTTACCAAATGCTATTTATTCATTGCCCAAAAGCAATGCTTGGGTGTTACTAATGTGTCCCCTATGTCCCATGGTTTATATCAACAGGGATATATACCCCCTCAATGGTATTAAAATCTGGCCTCACTTTGACAAAACTAATGTTTCCTTCGTTCGCAGTAAATAAGTGTTACAGTAACTATCCCACTCAAAAACAGGTTAGTCCAGATCATTGAACTATATAAGATATCTTATATAGTTCAATGGTCCAGATAAAGAATTGAATTCACTGGTCCATAATAAATACAGGTCAGTGGTCTATTGCATTGTGGGCAATGTGGTGTGACCAAATTAGCCAATCACAAGTTGCAGTTTTGGTCATGTGACAGTTTTTGACAGATTGAGTGATTGACAGTCAGTTTTCAAGACCATGTGGACGATGCAGTGGCAAGGAAATTCGCTCTTCGTTGCAAGAAAAGAAAACCAGGTGTGTATATCTCTGAATACTCTGCATAAAAAGAACGAAGTTATTATTCAAACACTGTTTTAAATACTTAAATAGTTATTAAACACTTTTTTGTCTATTTCATTTTAGGCCGAAATCCGTTGACGAAAGCTGGATTCAATGTTCGTGAGTTGTACAGTATGTATTATTGTGTTTTATCTGTTAATTATATAACTAAAACGTTTATCAGCAAAGCTAGAATTGTTCTGCCTTTAGTATTCGTACCAATAAGTGTCAATTATTAAGTCAATAAGTGTCAATAATAAGTCTAATTTTTGAGCGTATTGTGCGTTCCGCTTGCACGTGTTTTCACACTAGGCGCCGCCGTTTAGAGCATTTTGTTTTGATTTTTTAAGTTTCCTTTGTTGTAAGCAAAGCTAGAATAGCTTCAGCATAGTATTCGTAACGATTTCTACTAATTTGCAGAAGAATTAGGTCCAAAGTTTCAGTTTTTCTATCGAGTTTCCATGTTGCGACGCCGTTGTTTTTTTCAACTGTTGTAGTCGCCGCCGTTTAACTTTTAGAGCATATTGTTTAGTTTTTGAAACTTTCTTGTATTGTAAGCAAAGATAAATTAGTTCTGTCTGAGTATTCGTATAAATTTGCAGAAGAATTACGTCCAAATTTTCAGTGTTCTAGCGAGTTTCCGTGCGTGTTTGCAACGCCGGTGTTTTTCAACTTTGTAGTCGCCGCCGTTCAACTTTTAGATCATATTGTTTAGTTTTTAAAGCTTTCTTATATTGTAAGCAAAGATAAATTAGTTCTGTCTGAGTATTCGTATAAATTTGCAGAAGAATTAGGTCCAAATTTTCAGCGTTTCTAGCGAGTTTCCGTACGTGTTTGCAACGCCGGTGTTTTTCAACTTTGTAGTCGCCGCCGTTCAACTTTTAGATCATATTGTTTAGTTTTTAAAGCTTTCTTATATTGTAAACAAAGATAAAGTAGTTCTGTCTGAGTATTCGTATAAATTTGCAGAAGAATTAGGTCCAAATTTTCAGCGTTTCTAGCGAGTTTCCGTGCGTGTTTGCAACGCCGGTGTTTTTCAACTTTGTAGTCGCCGCCGTTCAACTTTTAGATCATATTGTTTAGTTTTTAAAGCTTTCTTATATTGTAAGCAAAGATAAAGTAGTTCTGTCTGTGAATTCGTATAAATCTGCAGAAGAATTAGGTCCAAATTTTCAGCGTTTCTAGCGAGTTACCGTGCGTGTTTTTGCACGCCGGTTGTTTTTCAAACTTTGTAGTCGCCACCGTTTAACTTTTAGATCATATTGTTTAGTTTTTCAAGCTTTCTTATATTGTAAGCAAAGATAAAGTAGTTCTGTCTGTGAATTCGTATAAATCTGCAGAAGAATTAGGTCCAAATTTTCAGCGTTTCTAGCGAAGTTACTTGTGCGTGTTTTTGCGACGCCGCGGTGCTGGTGTTCTTTTTTAAACTGTTGTAGACTTGTAGTCGCCACCGTTTAACTTTTAGATCATATTGTTTAGTTTTTCAAGCTTTCTTATATTGTAAGCAAAGATAAAGTAGTTCTGTCTGAGTATTCGTACCAATTTACAGAAGAATTAGGTCCACATTTTCAGCGTTTTTAATTTTAGCGAGTTTCCGTACGTGTTTGCAACGCCGGTGTTTTTCAACTTTGTGGTCGCCGCCGTTCAACTTTTAGGACATTTTGTTTAGTTTTTAAAGCTTTCTTATATTGTAAGCAAGGATAAATTAGTTCTGTCTGAGTATTCGTATAAATTTGCAGAAGAATTAGGTCCAAATTTTCAGCGTTTCTAGCGAGTTTCCATGCATGTGCGTGTTTGCAACGCCGGTGTCTTTTTCAACTGTTGTATAGTCGCCGCCGTTTAACTTTTAGTTTTAGATCATATTGTTCAGTTTTTGAAGCTTTCTTATATTGTAAGCAAACATAAAGTAGTTCTGCCTGAGTATTCGTATCAATTTGCAGAAGTATTAGGTATTTTTTGGTGTATTGGGGCCGCCGTGCGGGGCTTCAATCTCGCCGCTCGCCGTCTTCTTTTTAAAAGAAGGCCTTGAAGCACGCGGCATTTATATCTATACGATAGATAATGGACGTTTGCAAGTGATATCACTGCAATAAGGAATTGATATATTATGTTAATTCATTTAAATGCGTTTGATTTAAATCACGCCTTCTGCTATTTGATCCCGTAAAAATGTGAATTCGCATGTGCTTCGTTCCATTTGCCGGTGTTCATTCAGGCAAATTAGATTAAGAATATTTAACTAAAATTTACTTGGTGTGTTAAAAAGATGAAAAAGTGGCGTTTAAAAACCCCAAATGACATTATATAAACAAGGCCAAATGACAGCACCCTATAAATCGTTTTTTACCCACACAAAGCCAGTTAATAATCAGCAAGTGTGTAATAGACCTTTTCGGTAATAACGTCACAACATTATCGTTTTAACTTTTAAATTTTTAAAAACTGATTTGTATTTTACAAAACTTGTATTTTTCATTTGTATTTTACATTTTCTCTACCTTGTTTTTTACTGAGTGTTTTTTTCATTTGAAATGAACACAATAAAGCAACATAAGAGACACCTATTTTTGGTTACTTATTAGAACACCCTGAATAATTCTGTATATTCCTATTTCCTATGGTATATTAACATATACTACCATCAGAAGTATGGATAGATAGGTACGTAGATATTGTGCTTATACAGTACTTATTATCACTCTTTCATTTATTCATTTTAGTTGTGATGATGGAGAAATGCTACCATTTTGCATGCAAATACAAAATCTAAAATTAAATTCAAACCAGACATTTTATGAAATCAAAATCAAACCAAACATTTTATGATATTTCCAGACATTTGAGGCTCCTCTGTTTTTAATTTTCAATTTTTGGATTGCATGCAGTTCAGATCCCAACCCTTGGTTATATCTTGCATGTTTTGTCAGGAGTAATGAGTAAGTATAAGTGATCAGGGGCCCGGGTCATTTATACTTTCTGTATGCTCGACTGACCTAGTCTGGCATAGGCAAAATATTGCTCTTGGAGCACACAAAAAAAGAGATGCATGTTGTGATTAAAAAGGGGGTATAATGGTCGAGTGTTAAATGTCTATCCCATTTTTGAATGAATGCATGCGTTAAATCTTGCTAAATTTGCATGTAATTTCGAAAATGCATGAAAATTTTGTATTCGCATGTACAATGAGCATCGTGGTGAAGATGATGTTGGTGGAGCTCATGCAGGTAACATACCATAGGTGAGCTTGTTTCATGTCATTTCAGATGTTAAGAAATGAATCATTTCAGATGATGATGGACCAGCCGACGATGACAGATGATGATGGACCACCCGATGACGATGACCAGCAGACGATGACAGATGATGATGGACCAGCCGACGATGACAGATGATGATGGACCAGCCGACGATGACAGATGATGATGGACCACCCGATGATGATGACCAGCAGATGATAACAGATGATGATGGACTGCTCGATGACAGAAGATGATGGACTGAAGACTAGTTCGATGGGTGGTATTATTCAGTTTTCTTGCATTCTATCCTGTGCATGCTTGTTTTCCTGGTGGTCTGCACTGAATGTGTTATACATTAAGTGAAATTCCTATTTTCCATTTTGACATTGATGACAAATACAATTTCCGGATTGCATGCGGAACAATTAAATTAATGTATACAGCATGTTTGATTCTTTGAAAATGCATGTTCCTGTTTTATCACTTAATGTGTAATGCAATTGGTGAAATTAATGCATGATATTACTGAAGTATCCAATGGTGTGGCTAAAAATGATGAAGCATGAACTCAACTTGAAGAATGGAATTCTTACAAAGGTAACTGTGAACAAGAACCAGGTACGCATATGATTGTATTTGTTTGTTGGCACATAAGGCATTGGCATAAAAAATTTGCAACAAAATATTACAGCTAGTAATGCGCCACAAGACTGATTTCTGTAAGTGCATGTGCGGATGAAAATAGCCAAAATAATAGCATGAATTATAGGTGGTTGATGAATTTTAACAGGTATCAGATCCAAAATTAGCTGTGAAATATTTCGGTTATGCATGCCACAATTTAACATAAACTACATTGTTCTAATTAGGGTAATTGGCTTTCTAAGTGCATGTGATGGTAAAAATATTTGCCAGAGTAATTTATAATAGCATGATTATAGACGACCGTATTCTTACATGTATAAGATCAACAATTAGGTGTAAAAATATTTTGTTTATGCATGCTACAGCATAAAATACATTGCTCCAATTAGGGTAATTCAATTTCTAAGTGCATGTGATGGTAAAAATAATTGCATAACATGTATAAGATCAAAAATTAGCTGAAAAATATTTTGTTTATGCATGCCACAACATAAAATACATTCGTCTAATTAGGGAAATTGACTTTTTAGTTCTTGCAAAACCAGTTGAGTAAATTATAAATGCAATATATTATAATATTTTTTTATTTATTTTTATTTATCAAGTAAAAATAGTTGCCAAATAGTTAGCAAGTTTAGTTAAATATTACCGGCCGGTATAGACAGCAGATAGTTTAGTTTGGATAGGATAGTGAATGGTAATAGTTTAGTTTACCTATGCTCTATAAGGATTTTTTTACTTCTAATCTGTCAGAGTGTACATTGAAACCTGGAACTTTAATAAATTTAATAAATTTTTATTTATCAGTTTTTATTTTCGAAGTTCGTGGGAAAGCATGAAAATAGCATATAGAAATAGAAATAGATGATATTTTGATGGTTAGAATAAATTCGAATCTTGAATAGAATAAAGTTTATTAATTAAGGGTGAAGGTTAATTAGAATAAATTTGTGAATGGAATAATGATCTATTATTATTTATTATTATATATAATATGTTGAAATATCACCGTAATTCTTCTAAATTGGATTTCTGGAACTTCAAGAAATTTGTTCTGGTTTTTGAAAGGAGTTGTCTCTAGTGTTTTTTTGATTACTTGTATATGAAATGTTGCTTGCAAAATAATCGACACAATAGAGAGTAATTTGACTTCGTCTACAATTGTACTGATCTCTATGTAGTATTATCATGTTTGTCAAGTCTTTGCAACTGATCTCTAACAGCTCATTCATTTGAATAGTGAGGGCTACGCGCGCTCGATTTTTTTGCCACTGATCTCTATACAGCCACTGGATGACATGCTTATATTTCTGCATCTGATCTTTATGTAGTTATGTAGTAACTGAACAACGCTATTGCAACTGATCTAAATAGATTACAGGAATATCGATTTGACCAGGTTAAATAACGATAGTCGTCGATTATAAGATGGATTTATGATGATATAGATTTTAATAATGTTATATTGAATTACTAAAAGCCTCATCAAAATCCCCATTACCCATAGGTATATTTTTTATGCCATTGCCTTAAGTGCATGTTTGTGCATGTTTCAGACCACCAGGATCATTTGAAGAACCCTTAAAAATTGCGTGGCAATTTTTAAAGATTGGTCAGATGAAAAACATTGATAATGTATAATGTAATGCCGTGAAAAATAGTCCATATGGTTGCCAGATTATCTCTAAAAATTGAAAAAATACAAGTAGAAAAATAACTGGCAAACCTGCCCCAATTAATTATTGCGGAATTTCCAACTAAAAATACCAAAATGTCGGACCAGACCAGTAACCTGAGATCCAGATTTCATGTTGTGGTCAGGAGGGTTTTTCTCCGGGCACTCCGGTTTCCCTCCATTTCATGTTTGGCAAAAAACAGTGTCCATGTCTGGGGCCAAACAAAGATCTATAGTGAATTATATTTTTTATTAAAAAGTGCTTTTATGTTTGGCCTCTGGGTTAAAATCCCAGAACACTGCCTTATTGTGTTAAAATGCAGGGGCAACTGCTCTCTGTCCTTTTACTCACAGGTGCAAGGGGGGATAAAAGATGCACAACTGTGCAATTTTTTACGATTTTCAGGAGGAAGCTTATTCTATCACCATTATTAGATGATCAACGAAGAAACTACACATAATATATAATTTATATATAGTATTATATACAATATATAATATATATAATTTTATATTATATAAAATATGTATTCTATATAGATATATAGAGCTCCCACTGGGTTAGGATGGTCATGCGAAAAAGGTGTGTTCGGAGTGGAAACACGGTGTAATTTTAGAACCAAGATGGCCGCTTTGTATACAACAAAAATATGAAAACAAATTTTGCATGTTTCTGCAGCTTTTTGCTCCACGAAAATTCAACAAGAAAAGATTTAAAGACATGTCTAAAGGTCACCCTTACAGGTAGGTCTAGAGATAGGTTTTAAAGCTACAATATTTATGTCGATTATAGTGCGTTAACAAAAGGTTTTTCATTTGTATGTCTTCGACTAGTGGTTCATATCAATCAATAAGTTTCGAAAATGTACATTAAATATGTTCTCTATTTGATAGTTGCTTCTAATAAACTGATTGTTTTATTATTAAAGAAAATGTTACTTTAGTTTAAATTGTTGGTTGTTGTTTATATGAAGTTAATATTTAATATTTGACATAAAATTCACAAAGACCAGATGTTTTTATAAAAACATTAAAAAAATTTAATATACAGTTTTAGATGAAACTTGTATTGTTCATAAATACATTTATTATATATTTTAACATAGTAAAACATGATATTTGTGTAATAAGAAAGATTTAAAAATCCACCTGAATTTTAAGATGATTGAGCATTATTTGAATTTTTTTTATTTTGTATCACAGTGCAGGTGTGAAAGTTTAATTTCTCGCTGTTTGTGATTTTATATTATTGCTGTGACTAATTAGAGCATGAAGCTTTGAAGAACAAGTAGTATTTTATTATTTCTGGGTGGAAAATTTTATAAAAAATACAATCATTGCGCTTGGGTTCACTTCCGCTCTATTTTTCAGATATGATCAAGGTCACTATGACAGAAACAGGTCCAGATTTGGACAAGATGGGAGGTGAAGTTCAATATAATTTTTGAGATTAGTCTGAGGCATCCAGTGAAGACCCTGTTGTGAATTTTTTTTTTAATTGTAATAAAAGACGAGATTTGGTCCCTCCATATAAAAGACAAAGACGATCAAGTGGAAATGATTTTACAACATTCAGCTATGATGATTGCAATCAGGAAGTTGGTCTGGGGAGTTTCAATGATTTTAGTGCAATAAAGAGAGAAACCATCTTACCTAGGTAGTATTATATTTATCATGTGGCAGGTTTTGTAACTCTCTGGTATCTTTATTGTCCTAACCTATCAGCGGGCTTCAATATTGTTAAAGAAAAGGAAGGTTTAATCTCAAATCAGTAATTTCAACCAATTTACTATTTCAGAGACAGGCGCCATGAAAGCAAGCCGCCTTCATCTCAATCCACTCTCACAGTTCAAACAACTCGCTCAAATACTGCAAGTAAATCTCCATCAAAAATTTCTCCATTATCTGTGAACATTTCCCCCTCAAGTCATGGGAGTAGTAAGTTGCAAACAAGCATCACACCATCATCAGCAAGCAGCTCATTATTGAGCTCATTTCAGCGTCCAAGTCCTCAGCTGACAACTCGGTCACAACCTACCTCTCCATACCAACCAGCAACTATATCACAGCATAACTCAAGAGTTGAACCTAATCAGAGCCCAGGTCATTCTCTTCCTTCAGTTTACCTTGGGACAAAACCTGATCAGCCTGGTACAGGATTGCTCATGCAGGCATCTTGCAGCGATGTGAACTCACCAAATCATGTCAAAAGTAATACTGATACATCTAAGAAGGTAGGTGAATACATAACTAATATACAGGCTAAAAAGAGAGTGTCATTCTTATGAATAAGTTAATACAGGAGAAAATCTTAACTAAATTATGGGCAGAACTTAAGTAATTTGTTTTAATTTCTTCTCTGATTAGGAAGAAGTTTACCAGCCAAAAGTTGAAGCTGTTTCACCAACTAACTCTGGTGAGTTCTAGTATTCTTTTTGTCAGTTAGTTGCATGAAATATGCTGCTGTTATGTGGCCGTTTGAAATATTGAGACTAATATATGCAAGAAATAACTTCATAAATTAATGGATGATCTGATTTTGTGTATCATTTTCAGAAGCTGAGGTTGAGAAAGCAAGTGTTGAACCAATGGAAGAGGTAGATCAAAAGAAAAGGTCTGATGAGTTGTTGAAACAAATGGAGAAGGTTGATAAAGAAATTTCTGAAGTTGAGAAAAAGATCAATGATTTGAAAGATAAACAGGTAAGACACCCAGAACCTCACTTCAACTGAAGTGACTGGTTTTTCTGGTTAACTATTCTAACCCAAGCTAGATGATGCATAATAACAATATTTCTTGAAAAAAATCATTGATGATAGTAATTTTAATATTTTTTTAGTTTTCATGACAGTCTGATTGCTTAGTCATGGAAAATATGCTATTGAGGTTTTAATTGAGTGATATTGATTGCTTGCTTCTCTTTTGCGTAGAAAACCTTGGAAGATGAACTATCCCAAGATGCATTGCAGGTCGAAGAGGAAGAGGAGGAGGAAAAGGAAAATGAAAATACAACACTAGACAATGGAATTGAAGAGAAAATGGAAGTGGAAACTCCACCACCAGAACCAAAGGAGAAAGCCTTAATTGAAAGAATTTATGAAGAAAATAGGGTATAGTTGCTCAATCCAAGTGCAGAGCTAATTGTCTCAATCATGATTTAATTATAATTCTAATTTTTTGCAGAAAAAAGCAGCGGCTGCTCATGAAAGATTTGCAAAAATTGGAATACCTTTGCCGACTGCTCTGGTAAGATTATCAGGCTCCATTTTAGCATTTTACATTACTAAGGGTTTGCCAAAGGATGTGAATTGTGGGTACTCCGTTGAATAGGTTTAGATAACCTCTAAACAAACACTTGTTCACACATCCTAACTGCTCCTGCTATTGCAAATAATGGCAGCTAGAGATGGCACAAATAATTCCTTAACTAGAATAAACTGAGCCGTGTCCTTCGTAATTTATTTCACCTCCATATAAAGATAACCATCGTTTCAATATTCCATTCAGCGCAGTTTGAAGGCAAAGTGTCCTTCAGAGATTGTAATTGTCGTTTGTTGTTTTATTTTGACAGCCGTTATACAATCAGCCATCTGATTTGCCTTTTTACGAAGAAAATCGTAAGAAGTGAGTTTTCCAAAAGCGGTCAGCGCAATGTAGCTACCACTATAATAGATGTGGATGTAGCTACATGTAAATTGTTTTTTATGTTTTTTTTAGAGCCAGGGCAGTGCAGTTGAAACTTGTCAAATATTTCCAACGAAAACGTAAAGACAAGCAAATTAAGGTTAGGCTGCCAATGTTACTTCAGAGGAAGTTTCTGCTGGTGTAACCTGTCAAGATTGTCCTATAAATCTTTATTCATTTATGACTAAGATACATTTCTATTTAATTCAAGCAACGAGCTCTTCTGGAACAGTACAGAGTTCTACACAAGAAGTGGATGGAAAAAGTCGAGAAAATTCAAAATAACCAGAAACGAAAGTAAGCGGATAAACATTTGAAAATCATTTTTCATGTTCGCATTTCTGCAACAAGTATTGCTGCTCTGAAATTACTAACCTTATTCACTTCTCGTTTTTAGGAACCGGGAAGGAAAAATCAGAGATTCTTATGAAAAGATATTTCCCGAAATCAAGAGACATAGAGAACAGACTGAACGATTTTCAAGGTAGAGTTTCATGTCATCTTACCCACTAACAGATTGTTGTTAACTACGAAAGAAAAATGGATAAATTGTTTCCAACTGTAAGATCAACGTGAGAAACAATCAATACGACTAAAATTCGAAGAATCATGAACAATTACAGTTCAGCTGAATGCTTTTTTACGTCTAGGATTGGTTCTCGTAATTGGGGAATGTCAGCGCGTAGTGACGCAGAATACGAAGAAATTCTCAAAGATCTGGAAGAAAAAGAGGTATGGTTTCATTGTAATGTCTGCTCTAAACGTTGTCCTTTCAAAATCTTGTATGGTATCAACATATTGCTAGATTTGCGTGTAAATAATGACAGTGTCAGTTTCAATAATTTCTGTTTTGATAGAGACACGAAAAACACATGAGACTGTTGGCTGTTGACCCCCCTCCACTTCTGGACGAGGATCAAAGAAGAGTCAAATATATCAATAGAAATGGTTTGTCAATGCTTTAAAAATATGTTGCTCAAGCGACTTGATGTACTGTAGCTTGTTTGCTAATTTAATACGTGTGTGTTCTTAAAATGCAGGTTTAATAAAGGACCTTCAAGTTTACGTTGAGCAGCACAAAATGCTGAATATTTGGACAGAGAGGGAAAAGGAAATTTTCAAAGAAAAGTTAGTTTTAATACAACATTGTGTTACAGTGTCATTCGACATTGTTAAAAGAGATTAAACTAGATTCACTTACACTTTATTTGTGTAATTATCTACAGATATATTGTGGCTCCCAAAGACTTCGAGTTTATTGCTAAGTTTATACCAAACAAGGTACGTCTTGCAAGCACGTACAATTTTAGAGTTGGAGTCTGTAGTATTTGTTTATTCAATGTGTTTTCTTTGATCACCAGAACGTGAAAGACTGCATACTACACTATTATCTCACAAAGAGAAAGACTGGAAACTATAAAAAACTTGCGAAGAAACAGTCACTGAAAAGAAAACGTCTGACGGTAAACCTTGAGGAGCAATTCTGTTTTATTCAATTTCTTTTATACTTTTCTTATAATTTCTTTTTCTTTCGTTAGCATTCCACTATAAAAGACGAGACTTCAAAGTCTAAAATCCTCAAACCACGGCAAGTATTAAACAATCTTATGTTTAACAAAGAATTAATGTAGATACTGTCGAAGGGAGGTTATGTGCGAGGTTATGTTTTGTTAAAGTACGAATGTTTATTGAATCCTTCTAGAACTGAGGGTTCACGGTCAGAGAGTGACGTGGAGGAAGAAGAGGGGTTTGATATTGATAGTGATGGATCAGAGGAGAGTTCTTCACGTCTCCCCATAACCAGTTCTAATACTCCTGCTAAGATCACAACACCACAGACGGCGAACAAAACAGCAGGAACAGGTAGGAATTTCACTATTAGAAATTCTTCAGTAAATAACATCACGCTGAAAATGATTTTTCGTTATCTTCAGAACCGGCAAGTGTAGAAACTCCACGTTGGTCGAAAAGCGAGCGTGAAATTGCCATAGAAGGTATGCAACTATTTTTAAAAGTACTCAGCCCTATATATATTCTGAAGTGAGAGATTTAGTCTTTTAAAGAAAGTACGAACCAGATAATTGACTTAAATGGCATGCTTGTCCTCGGTAAAATATGAACATTTAATACAATCTAGGATTACGACGTCATGGCCGCAACTGGACAGCGATATCTCAAATGGTGAAAACCAAAACGGAAGCACAATGCAAGAATTTCTATTTTAATTATAAACGAAAACTTGACTTGGAAAATGTCATAGCAGAACACAATGCCGCCAAGGTGCGAACATTACGATTTTCATCAACATACGAAACCTGAACTAAAGTATATTAGCTATATTGCATGCCTTTATAATTTCAATAATTTATGTTCTTCCTCGAGGGTCAGTGAAGATCATCTCTTCCGGAGCTTTCTCGCAGGTCCCTGGAGTAAAAGATCGTTTTATTATTCTGTAGGTCGTCCAACGTAGAGAATCCGAGGAAACCATTTCTGCGTCGGAGGCTCCGACGACAACTACGAAGTCGAAGAGCGACCGAGTATTGTACGAAGCAAACCGAATACAAGAGAAACTCGTTCTCAAGCTGCTGAGCGACGCGCAGAGTCCGGACCCACTCTCCGCATTTCGCGCAGCTCACGAAATTCTCGTAACCAATCCTCCGAAAGGAAACCTTCACGAGGCTCTACAGAAGATCTGTCAAATATCAAATTTCATGAGGCGGAAAACCAAGAAACGTCTGATAAATCAAAGATGAGCACGCCGGCAGCTGATGAGGCGCAAATTATTGTGTGGATACGGTGGAACCTCAGGGACAGAGCGAGGTAGTCAGGGGTATAATTAGCCCACGAGCATTCGCGCTCACAGATATCACCAATAGAAAACTACATGCGAGCTCCGTATCTTCATCAATGATCTTCGTCTCAGAAGGAATGCAATGACAGGTAATGGATTCTCTCTTTCCTCCTCAGGAGTTTTAATACTAATAATACGACTGAAAAGACCAGAACAGTTTAGAACTGATAAAGCCTCCCAATAGTAAAGTTAGTTTAGTTTAGGTTTTCAACAGTACGCTGTAATACAAGATCAAAGAGAGATAATCATTATTGGATTTCTAGGAAGCACAATTTCCACTACTCTTGCTACGCCATCTCAAGCCGTTACCAAGGTGACAAACACGTCAAGACCGACAGCTTATCCAGTCCTCGACCAAGATGGAAATTCAACGCACCTCTAACCCCCATGTACTACCGACTCCCCAAAGGTCAAAGTTGACTCCCCTAGTAATACAATGTACTCAAATATCCCGTATAAACCCCTCACACCAGCTGGCAGACATTCTGAGGCCTTGCAGAACTTGGCTCGAAGAAATGCTGCAGCAGAAGGTAGAAATAAATCTTCATTACTACAAACTCGTGCTGCTGTTCACCTCAGGTTATCACAAATTTTGTGCGGAAATATTTGACGCTTTTTTCCTCCAGGTCGCGTGGAAAGCTCTGGGGAAGAGTTTGGGGACAAGGATGAGAAAGAAAAATTGAAGAGGATTCGCGTTCCTGATCCAGAATTACATAAAGTTGAACGAGATGAAGCTATAGGAAAATTCACCTATTATTCACCATGTATACCTCCAGATACCACCAGTATACAACAGGTAATGGCCTATTTTGTTCTATACTCTGCAAAGTATTCAGACAAATTATAAGAAAATATTCTTGGAGCCTTTTGTACACCATGTTGCTCGAGGACTCTCAAAGTGCACCCCACTCACACACTACCCACCCCGTATGCTCAAATGCATCGCCATCATACAGTACACAAAGGTTACATGTTTAACGTAAATATTTTCAGGTGCGAAACCAGAGGTTTCCCCCTCAATTCCATCATCCCCCAGCTATGCCGATCCCATTTGTGCCTCATTTGGGACCACATGCTGCCACCTTCTTCCCACCAGATATTTTTCCTGTACCTTTTCCTCACGGTCCTGGCTTTGAGCCTATGTATCCAGTGGAGTATCTTCACCCAGGTATGTTAATACCTATTGATTGAAAATATTTCATTGTCTCTGTATTGGGGATCGCAGTTTTCTGATGTCGTAATTTTGACTTGTTTTCCAGGTATGGAGCATCATAACCTGTACTCCGCCCGTCTGCGAGAGGAGGCAGCCCGTGCAAACCCGGCGATGTGGCCACCCATCGAACACCAGCTTCTCTTAACCCCACACGGTCCATATGTGGTCCCATTGGAAACTTTACCGCCCGGTGAAGCTTTAATGCCAAGACGAAGAGAAGGTGGACATGAGATGATTTCTCCCGTTCCCTCAACCAGATGTCGATCTGTTGAAAACCCAGCTATGCACTCTCGGACACCAGAACAAGTAAGTATCCCCACCACAAAGATCACTAACAAACCGCGCTCGACGTCTTTGACCGACGTCCACTCACGATCCGCTCCGATTGAACGTCCTACGGCATCGCCCGGTCGACCTCAACTAAACCGAGCTCTAAAGAACCAACTGATCAGGTCAAGTCATATGAACCATTTACGGCGCTCATGAATGCTGCTGCAGGGGCTAGACCAATTTCTTCGTCATCAGGTGAGTTCTTCTTCTCCCCTCAATTTACCACAGATTTCATGAAATCTCGTTCACGCAAGTTGGATGATTAATAACAGAGATGAAACAAAGTATTAATTATTTTTGGGTTTCTAGCAGAAAGTGTTCGAGAGCTGCAGCGTTCAAGAGAACAGCCTAAACCAAACGAAGTTGATCGATCACACCCTCAGTTTACCCGCCAGTCATGTGTTGTTACAAATACTTCGGTAGTTCATGTCATGTCCGGGCCAAAAGAGTCATCTGGTTCGCAGGCTCATGGTATCTCATCAGGACTCGCTCCTCGTCAACCACCCCCCTTGCTATCAATTACTGGCTCTCACCCTCTGCCCCAAAGAAGTGAGGGAATATCGAATTCTAGATTGGTCGAAAAACATAATATAGGTCGTGTACTGTCACGTGAGACACACGATTCCCTCGCCGACCCCAATCCTACCCATGGCCAGCCTCACACCCGTGGCCATCCTCAATCTTTTTCCCCAAGCCCAAAAGAACAGCATCCACCACCCTTGGTAAGGGACACCCTTGGAATGAGATGTACCCCACCGATTGTCCCTAGAGATATCGGACTGGTTGGTCCCCACAACCCAGATATTCTGCCGTGTGGGTGTAGGAGCACTGATCCATGTAAACATCAGTTGTACTCGCAAGAAGTTCCATATGTTCAGCGGATGGACGAGAAGAACAGATCTGACGTCGAGGCAAAGCAACATGGATTAGATAACAACCCAACAATATTTCGACCTTGGTCTGACATGGGAACAGGGAAATCGTCTTCACCATTAAAGAAAGTGTCCCCTCCTGTACAATTCAAGCAGAACATGTTCTCACAGCAACTGCAAACTAGATTATCTATCTCTACAGATGGCCGTATTATCACTCCTTCGAATGTACTATACCACCACCAACAACCTGGGATGGTGATATCTCACCCTCGCCCTTCTTTTGGGCAACCAGGTGAAGTTGTCCTTCGACCTGAGACACGTGACAGTCCTTACCCTCAATTATCAAGACGATTCATTGTCAAAACTTCAAGAACATGGTCCAAGGTCTATATCATCCCGCCCTTCTCTTCTAGAACCTACACCCAGACCTTCTATGATCCAAAGCCAGTCAACCCACCTACCAAAGGACTCCTCTTCACATCATCGGCAACAAACACTTAAAAGCAGATCACCTCTCCCTCCACAATCCATCTCTGGTCCCACATCATCTCAACGAACAAACCGTGAATCATCTATAATCAATTCTCAAGTTCCCCCACCACTAATGTGTGGAGTGAATCCTGGTACACCACCTCGTCATATACTAAGTCCAATGCCACAACTGCCCTATCACCAAGATCTACTAAACAGCACATCCAGGTCCTCCCCTCCTCTTCATGTGGAAATGTCATATCCTCTCTCTCGACCATCTTGTAGCAACACATCTCATGTTGGTGGTATTATCACGCCATCGCATACTATGGTTAGTCGACCCACATCTCAAGAAACAAAAGGCCACCAAACACCATTTCTACCTCGGGTAACATCGTCCTTCCCAACTTCTCAACACACCTCTCTTTCTCCTGACCCAACTCAATTAACCCGTGATGAGAGAAAACTTTCTTTACCTTCATTTGAAATATCTCGTTCTTCTTCGGAACAGCATCGATCACTCTCGGAGCCAGCACGTCGTGCCTCGGAGTCTTCACGTTTTCTTTCAGAGCAATCTGCCGCCCTCTCGGAACGATCTCGTGTCGTATCGCAGCAATCTCGGACTTTATCAGCGCCGTCTCTTGTCGCGTCGGCCGCTCATCGTGGTTTCTCGAAGGACTCTCGTACCTCATCTGAACGGTCAACATCTGCCAGCCCAAAACCAAAGTCTGTAAGTCCAGGACCATTGGTTAAAAAGGAGGTTTCAACTTCTTCGTTTATTGAACAAGTCGAGTTTCATCAACGTAATTTGATGCCCAGTAGATATCAAACGACACATCAATCCTTCGTATGCTGAGAAAAATAGTGTTAATCATCCTAGCGCTGTCTCAGCTGAGGATGGTAATGAAATCTCAACATCGCCAGCTGATAAGCAAGGTAATTAAAAATATCGTGACAATGATGGTGGTCAACCAGTAATAAATTAGACAATAATGTTTCTTTTTTATTACATCTTGTTTTTATGTTGAAACCCATCTGCTGTTACCATTTTTTGCTTTTGCTATTGTAAATGCAATAGACAGAGCATAAGTTTGTATTACTGTGTGGCGATTGCTCAATAAAAGTTAAGATGTCCATTTGTTCATTCTAGACACTAGAAAATTGTCGCCAGCGAACGACGTCATCGCTGCAAGTGTTGAAACAAGCCAGGAACTGAGCCCTGCCTTGATGGACACCCACCCAGAGGATATAGACTCCAGTCCAAGCGAAACATACCACACCCTAAGTCCGAGAGAGATGGAGTCCAATACCAGTCTAAAAAGGATGGATTCCATATCTAAAGATGTTGTGTCCAGTCAAAGAGAAAAAGTCTCTAATCCTATTTTAGAAAAGACGGATTCTAACCTCAGCCCAAGCGAAATTGAATCCAGTTCAACGGAGTTAGATACAAATACCAGTCCAAAAGAAGTGGACTCCGGCCTAAGTCCAGGAAAAGGGAAATCCATCAAAGGACCAGAAGAAGAGGACTCTAATTTTAGTCCAGGAATGATAGACTCCAACTTTAGTCCAGAAATGGAGGAATCTGACCGTACTTCAGAAAGGATAGACTCCATCCTCAGTTTGACAGAGATGGACACAAACTCTAGGGAAGGAACGTTTGCAAGTCACGAAGATATTAGGTCCAATGCTGGAAGTTCAAGTGTTGGTTTTGAAAGTCCCGACGACGAAGACCACGAGTTGAGAATGAGATATTTCCCTCCAGGAGATTATAATGACAGAGCAGAGGATAGTTTATACGATCCTCAGGACTCAAGCCAGCCAGTTGAGAGTGATAATGGTAGGGCTACTTTATGCCTTACCTCTGATCAACTGGCTAGTGGTGACGAGTTTTCCAACACTGATGGTACATTCATACCGACTGATAGCACATACCTTGAGTACGCTGGCCATTCTTCTGACGATCTTCGAGGTAACCATGGTTTCGATTCGTCAGATATGGTTGTGTCTGATTTGTCAGAGTCGGAGAATGGGAAAATTAGTCAGAAGTGACGTTGACACAAGATTCGGTGACTACGGTGCTCAGAGTCAGAGAAATATGAGTCAGAAAGAGAGTGATATGTTATCGCAGGATGAGACGAACAAAGATGAAACTGCGAGTGGTATTGAGGGTGATGATGATGCAAGTGATGAGGACGAAACAGAATACTCGGGGATAGAGAGGAGTAGTGGTCGTATGACTACCGTCCAAGAGAGAAACGCTAACATTGAAGATGATAGGTTTTTTGATGAAATTGTTGATGATGATGACGATGATGATGGGATAGCGAGGAATATCGAAGATCATAATGAAGTCAATGTTGTTGACAGGGATATTGTTGATACCGAAGGTGGAATTGATAATGCAGAGAATAAAGGTACAAATATACCACATGGTGGGATATCTGGTGATGTGCACGGTATTGTTGACGATGAACAAGATCATGCAACGGAACCAGCTGACTCGATTGTTTCGCGGGAGTTTGAAGGAGACGGAGTAGATCGCTATGAGAGTATTTCGATATCAGACAAAGATGAACGTTTGAACTCATCTGAAGACATATCAAACTACGATGAAAATAATCGAGGAAATAATGAATAGATGACAGTAGAATACGTCAACCAGTGGCAAATACAAGTAATTTCACCGACCATCAAACTAGCCAAGACACAACTTTGAAAGGTTTAACAACTAGTGAAGATATTTCCAGTTGTATGTCGAGAAATGACGAGGAAAACATCGAGCGTAAAGAAAACAATTTTGTTATCACTGAAGGTACTTCGTCAACAACATCTGTTCTAGTCTCCGGTCGTGAAAATTCAAACGGTTCTAAGGAAGTCTCAAGCTCGTCAGATCCCAGTGAACCTAAATACATTCTTGATCAATCGGACGATGAAACGGTGGAAAGTCATGAGAATCGTGACACGAGTGGGAATGAAATTGCACGAGATGTAGCTGGTGTTACTGACAGTGTTGATAGCAGTACGGACCCAGATGATGTTGAAACAAAAGCATTACATGACGATGAACCTGAAATGAACAAATCTACTCCTGGTAGATTAAAAAATGCAGCTGACATGGTCAATGTACGTCATGATCATGCTGAGTTGGGGACAGATTCAGCTGGACCTGTTTCACGTGATCTAACAAACAGCGAAGCACACGTGACAAGCAGCATTGAGCATGTAATACATCATGATAATCTCGATTTAGATGAGGATGAACAAGTGGTAAGCAGCGATGGACGTGGTGATAGAAAAAGTACTGAACATGATTATACCGAAAATGAAAGTCGTGGAATGAACACTCCGGAAAGCAGGGAGAACGAAGCTCGGAAAGACGAGATCATTAATCTTCCCATGGAGACGAACGATGCTCTGGTAACGAGTGCCCAAGGTATATTGAAGGATAGCGTTGAAACGTCTGTGGATAGCGAGGGTAGTGATGTAACTAGGAATCTGAACGAAGAGAGAAGTGATACATATCACACTACTTATGATGAGAATACTTTAAGAACAGACAACTCAGAAAATATGATAGAGAGTACATGGAACAACCCCTCCGGAATACTGGTTGACAAACCAGATCATGAAACTGGCAATGGTATAAGTTCTACGGTTGGAGAACTAGACTCACGAAACAGTTCTACTGGCATAACATCATCAAGTAACCTTGAAACGAGTAAAGAGCAACTAGAATTTTCTCTTCCCGAAGAAAGTCAACGTGCGTCTTCATCTGAAAATTTGTCCTACGTCGTGTCGACTAGTAGCCAACGCGTTGAAATGAATACTAGCAGTGTTCCTAAGCAACAAGATCACGTTAATACAAGAAGTGTTGCTAGGCAACACGATGACATAGCTACAAGCAGTGGAATTCCTAATATTTCTGATGTCAGTTCTTCTGATACAAGTGAATGCGCGGAAAATGCTTATGAACCCGAATCGCGCAGTTCCCAAATTAATCTTCCTGATAGCGGAGATAATGTAAATAAAGGTACTGGAAGTTCTGGAGTGGAATTTCCTGATAGCGTTCCTATCGTGGATGGAAGGAACCGTCCATCCATTGCTCGAAGGTCATCCGAAAATTCCCCGGGTTGTTCCGTGGAGGAACCGTCCACCACAAATTTCGACGAACCGACAATTTCCGGTACTTTTACGGATGATCACGAGAGCGTAAGTGGAAATGAAGCGGAGTCAATGACTAATGAAGAAGGTGAATTTAGGTGTGAAGGGAACTTCAAAGGATACTCATTGACTGAGAGGGATAATATTGTTGATTCGTCTACGGTATCCCCTGTTAGTGTTACTGATGACATAGATCGTGATAATGCAAGTGATGAAAACATGGAACATTTGAGGGAGGATATGGATGGTAGTGACTATAGTACTCAAGTTGATATAGGTGGATACTTGGGATCAAGCGTGCGTGGTGTGAGAAAGACATGTGATACTTCGTCAGATATTAACAGGAATATTAGAGCCAACTTGTCCGAGAGAATTATCGATACAACGGGATTTTTAGGAATGAATGAAGATAACAATGCATCCCAAAATACTGCAGGGACTAGTGCAGATACAACTGGTTATTTAGGCCATAGCGAGGATAGCGCTGGATCTCTGATTGCACCTGAAGATAGTATAGGAACAACTATGGGGATCACATCAAGTACAAAATATGATATTGCAGTGGAAGCTATATCCAGTGATGAAGAGGAGTTAGAGGAAGGAGAGATCGCTGAAACAATAGATGATGTCACCAGAAATGACGTGACAACCTCACCGTGTGACGTCACACCAGAACACGTAATTACCTCGTCATCTGAGTCATACTATACCCCCGACACTATTCCAATATCACCACCAGCTGACTCTGATGAACCTTCCACTTCGTCCAGTTTCCTTGATTTCGGAGCATACACCTACCCGTCCACGCAACTCGCAGGATCGTCGACGCAACTCGCGGGCTCCTCACATGTGCCTCACTCAGTATTCCCCTTCTCTGCTCTAAACCTGCGTTCCGCACCCAGCAGTAATTGTTCATCACCGGTTCAAGTGGTCTCTGGGGCTAATACGCCAATCAGATATCAGCAAGCAGATTCTACACCAATCATATTTCAGCCTGCGGATTCAAGTAATATGCTGACACCACAGTATGAACCGTTAAGCGATGACGATAGTTCCGAGTCTCATGATAAATGATGTCGTTGGATGAGATCCACACTGACCGTTGTTAAAGATCTTGGAATTATTAAATGCACTATTTCAAGCTAAACTATCATATCACCTCAATTATGTTTGCGCCGTATTATAGTCAAAACGTTTAAATTTTAGTTTGTATATATATGTAAAGTTAGGAATTAAATTTTAACATTTTGTCGTGAAAAAGGGAGATCTAAGGTTGGTAATAGTGCTGTGAGAAATATTGGCTTTGTGGAGTAGTTGTATAAAACTTGGTCAGCAAGAAGCTCAGCTTAAACACTTTGCAATCAGACGACACACTGTGCTCAACCTTTGGTTTCTGTTATTATATGGAGGCGAGTACGCAGAGTTGAAAGAGGCAGTTCTTGATTTATCTTCACCAAACGCGCAAGTGTCAGTATTTCTAGGATTACTGCAATCTATTTTTCTGAAAGATTTAATAATCTTGCCAATATAAACTCTTTATAATGGGCTTATTAGATATTCATTATGGTTTGTGTGGCACCTGCTGAACAGGTTTAATTGCAGTGTTCTTCATAAACCATCTGTTCAACCCGAATGTGCTCTACTTATTAGAATTTATGCCATCGCTATTGTAAATTAATCTGTTTATATTGGCTTTACTAACGACAGAACAGCATCTCTTGACAGAGTGAGAAACTTGAGAGAGATAACACTTCACTGATTATGGTCTAGATGAAGAAAGCATTCCGAATGATTTCATCGCAAACAAAGATTCTTCTCTCACGTATTCTGGCTTTTCTTGTTGTTATGTTGATTGGAGCATTGCTTTTCATGGCAACAGAAGGACGTCACGAGCAATCTAAACCAAAAGACGTCGATTTTCAGGAAGTATACAATATCTCAAAGCAGGATTATCAACTGCTCTTGGAAAGCTTGCGAAATGACACTTCACGACATTCAAGAGCAGGTGGTACTCAGCTGCCGTGGACATTTGGAAATTCCTTTTATTTCGTTATTGTTTTGATCACAACGATAGGTGAGCTTGTTTTTTTATAAAGACAGCAAAAGTCATCAAAATTACAATGAGGTGCATGAATTGAAAGAAATGAAGTACCATGTCCTAGTTTGAATACAAACCACGACATCTCGTTGTGGATTACTACCTCTACTGGACAACCACGTTTAAAATGTCTTCCTCTTGTTAAAGACGAAGTGTTTAAATATAAAATTTTTATAGAGAAATATTCATTTTTTTCATTCTATTTTATAGGATCGGCCACCTTACTCCCGAGACTTGGCAAGGTCAAGTATTTTGTATTTTCTTCAGCCTCATAGGAATTCCTGTTACTGCACTTATGCTGAAATCAGTGGGAGAATTCATAGCAAAAGCCATCACAAGAGTTCTGTATGCATTTGAGACACGGCTCCTGAAACGAGAGCCAATAAATTTAGGACGAAAATGTTTTATAGCGACTGTGTTTCTGATGATCTTTATGTTACTTGCTGGAGCATTCGTTACCAAGATGTCTGAAGGTAAAATGCATTGAAATACCTATTCAGAAGCAGGGGCGGATCCAACCTCATGCGATTGCATCAGTCAAAATTTCAGACCTTGATATGGTCTAATCCATTTCTAGGATAGTCTATAGATCATCTTCTGTGAATGAATTTGTTCCTAGTGTAGATTATTGTCTTCTATAACTGTTTCAACATGACCCACCAATTGTCAGTATGAAGTAACTATTTTGTGTAAACACTAAACACGTTTATGATTTTCTTTTCCAGGTTGGTCTTTGATGGAAGGCGTGTATTTCACCTTTGTGACGCTCACAACTATTGGCTTTGGTGATTATGTTGTGAATGATGGTGCTTATGAGCATAAAGATATGACAAGAACAGTGATCACCCAGATGAACCGTGTTCCTACTGCTGGGTTTGGGTGTAGTTTCCAGTGTGTTGTGTTCCATCAGTCAACTGCTGGAAGATGGAGGTTTAGGTTGTTGTAAGAGGGTGAAGAAGGAACAGATGTGGATGAAGAAGAACAAAGAACGAACGGATTTGAATCAAGAGAAGAATGCGGAGTTTCCTGATCCTTAGAAAACGGAATTTGAAGACACTGACGAGAGCTGTCTTGTACCGTGGTGTATAAGCAGTACAAACAGTTGTGATGACAAAGGAGGTAGATTCTGAAAACAACAATGATTAGATTGTTTTGTCGTAGCTTTATTGACCGTCATTATGCAATGACTAGGATGAATTGTTTAAATCTTGTATTTAAATGAATTTGCAAGCACCATTGTTGTTCGGTCGAACGTTCGATTACTGGAACCCACTGGTAAATCTTACTATTCCATCATTGGTGTATCAACTTGCATTCGTGAACCGATAAAACTTCTGTGTTAAGATCTATTTATAAATAATTTGTAAAAATTACGTAATTACTGTCGAAGACAAGATTCCGAGCATAATTCAGACCCACTAATGATAAAACCGAGACTTATTGAAAACAAACTAATGTACTTAAGACTGGCATATCTTGGCCTAAACATAACTATTTGTCTAACACTTTGTTATTCTTAATGTTTAAATTTTAAAAAATGATAAATATAACTCTTTATTCGTAAGTCTAATATCCAAGCTTTCGCCTGCCTTTTTAACACAAACCACCCTTGTTGAGTGAAGCCCTCAATTTCCGGCGATATGCCTCGTTGATTCTATTCAAATCTTTGGCGAAATTTGAAACCACCTAGTGATGATGTAAACAGGGAGACCGACTTAATGTTTAAATCTGAAAGAGTCATGAGCGCTTTAGAAGGTAAACGACCCAATGTCTCCATTGAATTTCCGTAGTCAACAAACGTATAATTTGTGTATTCGTTTTCCTAGTTGTTAACTGTAGTGGCTGTAAGTTCCCGATTAAAAAGGATGCTCATACAGCGTTGGGGCTAAAATGGCATCGGAATTGTTTTAGGTTTGTTTAAATTTGACGTTATTTGTGTTGGTTTAGGCTATCCTTCTTAATTCTGTGGTTTTATCTTTTATTTATTCATGATATTTGCTCGTGCAGATGTTCAGAATGCCTCAGCACTATTCCGCTTCATTATATGCCGCGAGATAATGTCCTGTATTGCAAGAAAGATTATATCCTGAAGTTTGGTGAACATTGTCAAAGATGTACAAAACAAATCACTGGACCAGTCATGGTATGTTGTCATAACCATTTTAATCTGATCACAAAGTCAAGCGATAACTCTGACTCAATTCGCTGACGGATTTCATACATGCGTGGTGTCTTGCATGCGATTTGGCAATTTGTCATGGAAGAAATCACGTTATTTTTGTGATTTTTCGATAAACATTGCCCCAACTCTTGTACTTAAGTGTCTTTTAACCAAAATTTAAAGAGACGGTTTGAGACATTTATATTGACACACTAAAGAACATGACTTTGCAACGTTTTGTAACAAACTACACACTGGAATGTTGATTACAAGTAAAAATGTTACATCGCTGAAGCAGTTTAATACATCTCGTAAAGCCTGCAAGCCTAGATTATTTTGATACATGTCTGGACAGCTTTTAGCTTTCAGACGAACGTATACAATATTCCAGTAGACCAGATTTTTATACATTTTTGAATATTTTCAACAAAAAATGCAAATGTTAGCTCCCGAAATATCTTACGACAAATTCTCGGTTCTACCGCATACTATAAACAAAAATTCGCGTCTAGTAGTTTCCATTTGAAATACGAGTCTAACAACTTGTCTAATCTATCTGCGAAACAGGATATTTATTCTTAGACGAAATAAATAGCCCAAAAATTAATGTCTTGTCTCGAATTCATAGATAAAACCCTTTCACTCTGCCCTCAAATGACATTTTTTAAGAATGATCAAGACCTTAATACGCATACTTTTCTTCAATTACCCAGTGGTAGGCGAGAAAATCTCGTGAGTTTGTGCTATAAATTTCATCGTTAAGACTTTAGACACCGGCTAGTGAGTGAAACAAACATCAAACAAACATCACCACGAATTATATATTATTCCAATGTAGGTAGCTGGAGAGCAAAAGTATCATACTGAATGCTTCGTATGTACAAAGTGTTTGAAGTTTATTGGCTATGGAGATGAATATATGTTAGTTGAAAGACACAACTTATATTGGTAAGAAAACTTATTGTTTATTTCACAATATTATTTTGGCTGCCTGTCGCATGTGTTGGAACAAGCCAATATCACAATGGACATTTCGCAAAAGGTTTAGTTGTTTTAAGCCCATTATGTCGTCGATCTAATCATATGCTATACTGTATAAGCTATAACGTCGTATCATGTTCTTGACTCAAACAGTTTTGAAAGATTTCTTTGTCAGTTTTGTGGGAATGGATTAAAACGTAATCGTTTGTGATGGAACTGTCTTGAGAGTATTTTGTTTTCGCTTAGATAATTTTGCTTTATAACTTGCATTGTGTATTATGTCAGTGGGGCGCCATCAACTTCCATACTGCACCTCTTTTCAAAATAATTGACCTCGTAATTTTTTGATGTAAAACGTACGCGGATATGCGGCAATCTTGACACAATATCTGATAGGAAAAAAACAAAATATCACCAGAATCGCGTTAATTCGTACGAGTCCTTTGTCCTTTAAATTTTGTACCTTGAGGATGTGAATTCGAGAACAGACTTATCGACTAATCTTGTTTCCTATATAAGCAGTTTGATACCAAATAAATATGATACAAAGTAGCATTAAGGCAATCTGGATTCTAAGCATAGCTTTCTGAATCTATGGTTTAATATCAGTTGTTAGTCTACAATCAGAGATAAAAATCATTTTCCCGCATTAATATAATAAGTCAATTAATTTTAATATAATAACCAAATCTCTCAAATTTCAAGATTGCCATTTAACAAAAAACTGACAGCTAAATATGTAAAAAACAATGAAACTTTCTCTTTGAAAACTGCCCATGCACTGCTCATTGGTACTGTGTCGCGCCCAGGTTTGAATTTTTGGGGGTTGCAACTTTAGATTGCCCACTCATTCCACTTGCTAAGTCGTAAGCTCTTCCAGATAAAAAGTGTATATTCATCATTTTCCATATTTAGCAATGATTGTTATAAGAACTCGATATTACCAGCAATAAGTACGCCAGTCAGTAAACTAGGACGCTGTCATACCATCCAGCATATCAACCTGGCACCAACACCTGTTGGAAGACGTAAATTTTCCGTTCTTATCGAGAAGGCGAGCAGCATCAATAAACTGTTACATTCTGCGAATGCGGACTTTTCTCGAGATGGTGAAAGACGAAGCTTCATTGCAATCGAAAAGTACGTCGAATCATTGATTTTTTAGAACTAGCTTAGTATGCAAAGTTGTTTACAGTCCTTGTTCCGCTATATTTCTTTTAGTGTTGACGCAAGCAGTGAGTTAAAAGCGAGAGGAGTTCAAAGCGGAGATAAAGTACTTGAAGTCAATGACATCATGGTTACTGATGCCACTGTCGACAAGGTAATTACGTCTTTTATAATGTCAACATTAGTGGTCCAGTGCTATAGTGTAGTGCAGTGCACAATAGCTGCAGTGATAATATGTAGTCAGTAACTCTTGTAGTTTGCAACTACAGCCTGAAAATAGTTTAATGAAGTAGTGTTGCGTATCGATTTGTCAATTTCGTGAATTGTGCAACAACTATTAATAGTTCATCGTGAATTTAAGGTGGCTCCCTACAATTTTTTGAAATATTGAAAACTTGTGGTTTTGATTTAAAATTTTAGCACGAGATTTCTTGGTAAGGAAGAGAAATTTCTCAGATATATTAACCAACACTCTAACAGTCAGAAATTGCCAATAAGCATGACGTCATTACCGTTGTTATGGTAACAATGGCGATTCAATATGGCCGACATTTTACCTATTCATGCATTTTACTCGAAAACAAGTTCGGTTACCCCAATTTTTTATTTTGTAAAAAGTTTTCTTACAAAAAAATGGAAAACATGAACCAGTTAAAAAAAATTCTATGGAGCCAAAATTATTAAAAATGAAAAAACGTAATTTTTCGTTATAGAAATTTTTTGGCTCCATAGAATTTTTTTAAACTTGCTCAAATTTCCCATTTTTTTGTAAGAAAACTTTTTATAAAATAAAAAATTGGGGTAACCGAACTTGTTTTCGAGTAAAATGCATGAATAGGTAAAATGTCGGCCATATTGAATCGCCATTGTTACCATAACAACGGTAATGACGTCATGCTTATGGGTAATTTCTGACTGTTAGAATGTTGGTTAATATATATGGGAAATTTCTTATCCCTACCAAGAAATCTCGTGCTAAAATTTTAAATCAAAACAACAAGATTTCAATATTCTTAAAACTGTAGGGAGCCTCCTTAACATCCAAAAAAAAACAATTTTCTTGCAGCTCTCTCATATCATTTCAAACCCTCAACGAGTGCAGACTCTTACCATCGAACGAAACACCGGCAATCCGCCTCCGCCGTTGGAGTTGAAACCAACCAAACCAGAAAGTATAAAATCATTATTACCTCGATCACCACTGGCAAAACAAGCCTCTCTGGATCTCATTGCCAGTCCAAATTATGACCAAAAGTTCAAGAAACAAAGTATGCCCTGGGAAGAAAACGGTTTTAAGGAAGATGCGAATTCCACGGATAGAAAAACTCGCAAGAAACCAGAACGAGCGAATTCTTTACCTCGAAGGTAATAAGCACAACAAATTAGTTCCTGTGGTTTGGCAGTGCTAAAGGTAGTGCCAAATGATGGATCATAGTTTAGCCACGGAGAAAAACTAGAGTACTCAGAAAGAGTATTGCAGAAGGAAAACAAAGCCATCTGAGCTTACTTGAGCTAAACATATCGTAACACTTTGTATTTCTAGTAATTCAGTAGACACCAATAATGTGATGAAATGTAACTCTCCTCTTCATCGCTCACAGTCTATGAAGATGGAAGCAGGACAGTGAGTATCCAAAATATTTTCTCTTGTCTTTGTTTTTCTTCTGAATGAAGTTCTTCTCATTCTGTATCGTTGAAAAAAACATGTTGAACATTTAATGTCACTCATCTTCAGGGTATTTCGTCTGTCAGATCTTATTGTTGGGGAGGTTATTGGCAAAGGCTTCTTTGGCCAAGTCAGCAAGGTATGAGACAGCCTGCTGTGTCAATATTAACGACGTATTCCTTTTTGATGACGATTTTCTTGTTACCTTAGGTGATTCATCGTGGAACAGGAAAAGTCATGGTCCTTAAGGAATTGATAAGATGCGATGTCACTGCTCAAAAACAGTTTATTAAGGAGGTATGTCTGTCCATCTGCTCCAAGCAATTACCATTTTACTTTAGTTGTGACAGAACCGTCCATTTTTTAGGTTACTTTGCTAAAAACTCTGGATCATCCAAATGTCCTAAAGTTTATTGGTATTTTATACAAGAACAAAGTACTGAGCTTTATTGCAGGTAAATAAGATGTCTTTATTTTTGTTTTCTCTCAATTAAATCATGTCAATCTTGCTTCTCTCGTCTTCTCCACAATGACTACCAGCTTACAAACTTCCCTTCATTTAATAATATCTCTGACCACATCTCCTTCGTGACGTCTGTTATTGCAAGTCCATATCATTCCCACCATAGAATATATACCAGGAGGTACATTGAGAGGAATTTTGAAGGACCAGACACGTGACTTGTCCTGGTCTCAAAGAGTGAAATTCGCTAAAGATATCGCGCTTGGGATGGTAAGCATTCCATTTATGAAACATTTTCATTGCATCCAACCTGACGCTTCTTTACCAAATATATCTTCTGTTCTTTCTTTATAGGATTATCTTCATAAAATGAACGTCATTCATCGAGATCTTAAATCCAAAAATTGTCTGGCCAGAAAAGACGAGGTATGAGGCGTTCCTGGTGCATCGTTTTAGCCTAGTGTTGCAGTAGATGTGTGTTCCATCTCTATTTCATCCATCCATTTTGCCATTGTACGTAAGTTTACTTAACCTTCCTGCGATCATTTTAGGGTATGACAATTGTTGTGGCAGATTTTGGTCTGGCGGGAATTCTGAGCATCAATGAAGAGCATTCAAATGGTCAGGATCGGAATAACAACGGAAATAAAGGTTTACATTCAAATCTTTTATCAACACGTCCTCCGCCACCGAAGAAAAGGTAAATGTCTTAAATGTGCAATACTGAGCTTGGAGTTCGTATGATTCATCCAATGTAATAACCTTGTAGGGATGGGGGAGGGATTGTAGTCCTCTTAACCCCTAACCCCTCTTCCATCATTATTGAATATCGATGTTTACTTGTCTTTAGAACAACTGTAGTTGGTTCACCTTACTGGATGGCTCCTGAGATGTTGAACGGTAATATTCTCGGGTTGTCATGTTTTTTTTCAAGCTCTCAATTCTTACTAATTTCAATTTTATTATTCCCAAGGAAACGCTTATGATGAACGTGTGGACGTCTTTTCATTTGGAATAATCGTTTGTGAGGTGGACAAATTATATTTAATGTCTTCCTTTTTGTCATATAAGAATGACCGTAATTCTGTATTATGTATTTTTTATAACTATAGATTATAAGTAGAGTAAAAGCAAGTCCAGATTTTATTCCTCGTACGAAAGTAAGTATTAATGTCCTTTCTTTCTCAATTCCCTGAGGTTTCTTATTGGAAACCAGTTTGTTCGTTACCATCGTCTCTAAACCTTTTGACCAAATCTCAACATGAAATTTTCTCTCTGCAATGTTCTTTATAGAAATTTGGTTTGGACGAGCCTTCGTTTGAAGAGAAGTTTTGTGAGAGCTGTCCTAAACCATTTTATCAAATTGCTTGTTTATGTTGTGATCTTGATCCAACTTCAAGGTGAATGTTTTGAATGAAAACTTGTAGAGTAAATCAGTGGTTTCACACATGCATTAATTTTCTTCAATTATTTACTTGTTTTTAGGCCAACTTTTTCTTCGCTCAGTCATTGGCTCGAGGCTCTTTTAGTTCATCTGGAGGTCGGTATGCCTTTACCAAGTGACGTTTCATATTCACTGCTTCCAAGAAACCTGAAGTCTTCAGTCATCACAGACGCGAAAGAGACTCAGCTATCACGGTGAAATATTATATTATTATTTCAGTTATTGTGTTATGGGAAGAAAAGAATACTTTAACTTTGTTAAATACTGGTTCATAACCATATCTGCCATACAGTAGCGCCAGTAAAAACTGGGACATTTTAAACTCCTTTATATGTGTTAATGAATAGTATTCGGACGGTAAGAACATCAGATATCCTTCATATATATTAATTTAAATTGTACATATATTTGTATATATCTAAGACTAATTAGCTGGCCAATTCAACCAGGCTATTCTGATGCAAGAGTTGAATTGTGTAGGTTTTTATTTTAACATAGAAAATCGTGGTATGGTAGTGATATAAGACTGTTTAAATACTAATAAAATTCTCTACCTGCCGGTCAGGGAGGAACGTAAAATATGTTTGCTTTGAAACGCATTCAAAGGAAAGATTGTCAACTAATAAACATTGCTTCACATGCAGCCATGTTTCCCAAAGATTCATGAACAGACCATTGGTCCCTATCATGTTTCCCAGAAGTAGACAAACGAGAAAATGTTGTTTTCAAGCCATGTATCTCGAAGGTTGATTGATAACCAGGCATGAAACATTGTTTCCTAGCCGTGTTTCCTAAGGAAACGTATTTTATTTGAAAAGATGTAAGGAACCTTGTATATTTCGTGGTCGTTTTCCAGTTTTCCCGGGTATTTTGATCTCAAAAGTTGCTGCAGGTGGTACATGTTGTGATAAATGACAACCCGTACGACAGGACGTCATGCATGCGAAATGATATCTTCAGTAATTTATGAAATACCTTTGCGTTTTATTAATGTTTTTGTGATTTTTCCTTCAAAAATGTATGTATTAGCGTCCTCGTTTGTTTGAGAATGCCAGTATTTGTACGAATATGTCATAGAGAAGTGTTGGTATTACGGATGACTAAGGATTTTCTGTACGTCAGGATACAGGTTAGTAATTCTTCTTTATCTTCGACTTCAATCTTATCAAAACACCTCTTCATAATTTACTTGAATTTACTTCAACTTTCATGAATTTTACTAAAATGTTAATTCATGTCGTCTGTCGAAATTTCTTTCCATGGAGGCACGAACGAAATGTCGTAGACAAGGTTTTCATACAAATCCGTTAACCGTTCAATCCATCCGATTCAATTCTTCACATAAGGATTCATAGCGTTGGCTGTGGTTAAATTCGCCCCATTTGTGTAACCTATGTCACATATCAGAGAAGTAATTACATTCAATCAACAATCCATTCTTTTTCCTAGGATCACGGTGAAAGAACATTACCTTGAATCAAGATGAGTGAATCAAAAGCAATTACGAAAATTTTTTATCTATTTTTGTTTGTCTCATTCTCCAGCGGGTTTGCCATAATATGTTTTACAGATTTACGAACATCTCCAGCAGGAAAAATCATGCAGTTCAAAGCCAGAGTTTATCCATACAGATGGCAGTTGCGAACGGGTCTACTTTTATTGCTGTTACTTCTGACTGTCATGGCATTTGTTGCTGCAGTTAAAGAAATACACAGACTAAATATCGTGCTAGTTGCTTTCGTATTTATTGTACTGATTGTGGAAATATCTCTGGCAGGAAAATGGTTAACTTGGCGTAATGAACAAACTGAGATTACGAAAGAACAAGGAGATGGTAATACAATGTTACAACAGTATGGTATAAACCCGGAAACTACAAAGATTATGGATTATGTTCAAGCCTCGTACTCATGCTGTGGTGTGACAGATTATCGTGATTGGGCAAACACGAACTGGGCAGCGCAAGTTGTAAGTATTCCAACTAGATCATTCTATCATTTCCTTTCAATGGTTCATTTGAAATCTCGAGCTCGCTGCTCTCCGTGTCATCCATCATGATCCACTCTCTGGTGATCAATATGATCCACTCTCTGGTGATCAATATGATCAACTCTCTGGTGATCAATATGATCCACTCTCTGGTGATCAATATGATCAACTCTCTGGTGATCAATATGATCCACTCTCTGGTGATCAATATGATCAACTCTCTGGTGATCAATATGATCCACTCTCTGATGATCAATATGATCCATTAATATGATCAATATGATGATTGATATGACCTATCGACCTTTCAGTTGAGATGCTATGATTGGATATTTTAGTGATTTATTTTTTGTAACATCTCGTCTTCCTTTTAGCAAAAAATGAATGCCGTCCCTACGTCGTGTTGCAAAATGCCTGGACCAGGTTGTGGTGATGATCTAGACATTAAAGATCCATTTGAAAACATTTTTGTGCAAGGTTGTACAACACTTTTATACTTCAGTAAAACTAGTGTTCATGATCATGGAGGAGTTGGAATGGCCGTTCTCTTCCTTCATCTTTGTTCTGTGGTTGCTTGTGTTGTATTAGCGTGTGCGTTTACCTGTACCAGCGGTCTTACTCCCCTCCAGGCTCTTGCCGGCGAGGAACCAGAAAAGAAACCTGTTGGTGGCGGAGGTAAAACAGGTAGCCCGAGCAGAAGCCCTAAAAAGCAGGCAAAGTCTGGAAATAAGAAAAGAAGTGGGGACGAGTTAGATTTCGAAGAAGAGAACAAAGCTCCAAAAGGAGCAAAAAATTTATTGATCGATAAATCAGAACTTGAGAATGACTTGGAAACATTGGATACAAGTGAACCATAGATGATATGTGGTGTCTTGCTTTGGGGATATCCGCTTCAAATATACGATTGAGCGTACTGTTTTCCTTTGAGAAGTTTTTTTTAATTAGGGCGGGTAACTTTAGTCTTTAAACATCGTGTTTTCTCGTGTGCTGGATGCATTGACAATATCCGAGACATCTCAAATGTACGATTTGCCTTCGACAGACGAGAAGTACGATGTTTACGATAATATAAAGTGGAGTGAAGTACTTCATTTCAGTTTATAGCACATCAATTTATTACCATCTGTACACTTGTAAAATACTTTATACACTCGTACAAACTATATTATAGGCAGGGGTCGGTCTTTTAACGAGCTCCAGGCATGAAAACGTCCTCGTCATTTCTCTCTTGCCAACTGATAACGTAATACGTATCCTCAACTGTTCCGTTGTATCCTCACTCCTCCTCCTCTGGTTGCATTATGTCTTCATATTTCACCACAGGTCCTCTGTAAGCCTATCAAAGCACCATATAAAATAATTTAAATTATTTTTTAACGTCTTTTGTGAATTTTTTCTTTGAGTAGACAACTGACACATTTCCACTTTGCCGTGGTATGCAGAGGTGAAAGAATACCACGGCATTCCGGGGAGGATGTCATCTAGGAATCCTAGGATACTAAAGAGCAATAGTAAAACAATTCCCTCGCGGCGTATTTGCATGTAAGCCGCACAAAATAGTAAATCTTTCTAAGCGTATGATTAGTGCTTATTCCTTGATAAAGTATAAATCTAATCCACAAGCCAGGCAGTGGAAAACTAACCTGTGAATTACAGAAGAACTCTTGTGGACATGGAATCTCTTTCAAATATATTACATTGCTCTGTTTATCCACAATATCCTCGCGATGACATTCTTTGTAGTACAAGCAATCCCGTCCCTAGCAATGGAAAATTATTTCAACACATTTCCAAATAAACATCCTCAGACCTCATCTCATCAAAATGTAAATTGTTGAAACAAGAAAGGAACCTTCTCGTTGAATATGGTGGTCCTAAAATGTCCAGGAAGGCTGCTGGCCTATTAGAAAGTAAAGATATTGACATCTCAGTACACATGGAGTTATCAAAGAGAAGCAGTAAGTTAGAGTGATATTATTGTGTTGGATGGATCTAAGATTATGAAACAAAGATAGATCTTAGAGGATAGTATAATCATTTTCATTCTCACCCATTTATTGCATGTATTGAATGCAAATTTCCATGACTAGGGCTAACCACACAAACACCATTGTCACTGTCAAATATGTGTTTTCCTTGGTATAAGAATTTGCGAGGTTCCACTATAAATGGTAAGTTAGACATGTTTTTAGAAAGGAGAACTTTGAAAGGTTAGCTTCAAGTCGAAAAAAAGGCTGCAGAAGGTTGTTAAAAAGATGTTATTCATTTTTGTTGAGTATTTTTGTATACATGGTGAATGAAAAAGTATATTTTAATCTACAATGAATATCTCTAATGACTTCCATACTTTCATTATGGTTGGCCACAGCTCCATTTGTATTTTCATGTTCACTGTTGAAGTAAAGATAATTTGAGAATAATGGATGACATGAAATTCCCCCAGGCTATGATATTTGCCTCTTTGTCAAGGGGAACAGGAAGGAATGACATTAGGAAAATTACTGGCCTATTATGTCAAGCACAACATAAGTTTGAATGACATTGCCACTTTTACTGACCAATCAGATCCAATATAAGATTATCTGATTATAATTTCATCCAAGTGGCAAGTGACAACTTTCTTGCAGATAACATGTGGTACATTTTACACTTGTAGATCAACTTAAACCAAACTAACCTATCAATCGTTCCATACATATTAACTTGAATGGAGCCATATAAGACTTTACTAGAAATGCATAAACATATAAAGATGTATACAGATTATATTACTGTTATAATACAGAGATTATTGTAAAGTTATCAGTATTAGAAAATAATCTCCTTTTCATAAAACACATTTTCACTTTTGCATTGAAGTATTTGAGGTTGATTCAATAAGTAGCAATACTTCACCACCATCTGGTGATTATAAATAATGTAATGTTTAGGATGAGACAATATGACATAATGTAATGTGATATGTGAAAACAATCTTAAATATGCCTCACCAAAATCCATACATTCCAGGGTGATCATGAAGAGGAAGTTTTCTACCCTTGCTCACGATAAACACTGCCATTGAAAAGTATGGGCATTCTAGTATGTCTACATGTGAGACAGGGGCTTCCCCTGGGTAACTCAACCTCCTTTCCCTAGTAGGAGGGGTCAGGTTTACATCTTCTGCAGTAATCGCACCCATCTAAAAATAACAAAGTAATTATAGTATCAATTAGCGTTATACTGTTGTTTCATTTACGTCTTTAAGCGCATGATATGAAGTTTATGTTGATGTCTATTTGTAGAATAACGTTTATCGATGCTAAAATTTTGAATCAAACGGGTTAAAGTATGAAATTCGGGGCAAAAAATTAGTTGAAACTATTAAATTAGTTGGGTCAGATGATTGAACGAAGTGAGAATATACACGTTTTTACAACTTTCTAACTCTTCTTTCTAAAGTGTTTTATACACACTGTCATTCTTGTTCGTGGTTTGCGGCAATGACAATTTTTGTTTAAGTATATTAAAAGAAAAATTTAACGCGAAATGAAGAGTAAAATATGGGCTAACCTACCATCGACATTAACAAGTCCAAATTTTCTTTTAAGGGCAATCCACTGGCAGTCTTGAATGTCTTTAAAGCTTGTCTAGCTAGTTTCTGAATATTTGCCATACCTTCCATTACTTCAGTGCTAAAACACTGTGCTTCTTCTCACATTTTAACAACGCAATGTTTGGATGTGAAGCCATAAAATATCCGGAAATGATGGAGCGGAAGTTAACATAAGGCGAGCTTCTTCTTAATATATCACCTGCAAAATCTGCATTCTGATTTTTATAGAGCTCAGTGGAGCTAAGTGAGCAATTCAAAATGGCGGCCGAGGCTTCAAAGGTAAACGTGTTAATTCTGTAAAATTTACAAATGATTTCATGTGGCTCTAATTTTTTTATTGTAAACCTATAGCGGTAATTTAATGAATTGTATTCTTCACTACTATAGCTTGGAGACCTCTTAGTACGTTGTATTTCCGAAGTCAACAGTCCTAAACTAGAACAACGAAGAATTGTATTTGAAGAGTTACTGTTTCCAAGTATAAAATGGAAAGGTATTTTGTAAATTATTATCACAATTTATTATCAAAAGCTGTAAAAGGTATATCAGTAGATTGTTACCCTCCTATGCTCCAGTCTTGAGAATTTCTCTGAAAGTGAACCAACTGGTAGTCTAGCACCACCTCATTAGCCCACAACCAGTCTGGTTGCACCAATTATGGTAAAAAAATTAAATTGATAAGCAACTAAGTTATTGCTTTTGGCACATGCATGCCCTTGACATTAACCTTTTAACTCAAATTGTATCATTTCAGCTTTGTAGTGATCTGGGCATTTCAAGAGTAGTTACACAAGCAATTAATAATTATTACTTTTAGAATTTTCCCAACTTGGAGTAAAAGCCTTTGCAAAAATAATTGCATCAACATTGTACACCTACAAGTAAGAATTATAGCAATAATGATTAGAATTACAACAATAATTAGAATTAGAACAATAATTAACAATTATTACTCTCATACTAACTCCTGAAGAAGGTCCTAATAATCTTCAAATACTGACAAATTCTAGTGACAATTATTCAAGATCACTGGTGCTAAAAGCTGTGAAGACAACCCTGATGAATCATGGTAATATATTTTTGCATTTCAAGCACAAAATTATTCCTTAAAGTGTGAGACAATGTATCTAATTTCCTCTGGCAGCTGAAGCTTCAAAAGAACCACTTGTTAACATGTTGTCAAATATTACAAGAGGACTTAAACATGGTCAAAGGTTAGCTTGATTTAAACAATAAGGATTTTGATCATGATCAAGGTTTGATGTACATTTAAAATAAGATCTAATGCATTTTTTTACAGTGTTCCAGGTTCACTCCTGCCACCATTTAAATGGTCGTGTCTCATTATCACACATGGTTTCAACAATGCTGATGAACGCCAGGGAGTTCTCTGGAACAAGATTGTCCAGTCTCAGTGTTCATTAATGTCTGTTGTTTGTTCTGGAGCCAAGAAAATTCAAATGTCTGCTAAGAATCATTTCCGCAGAATTCTTCATAATGTAAGTACTGATCTTGGTTGAGCACCCTTTAGATATCTGGAATAAAAACATTTTAAGCCAAACATTTGGTCGTCTTTTTTATTCCCTAAAGAATTGTTTTTTCCTTTTCCAATGCACTTCTGACCATTGATCATCTCATCTTCGTTCGATGTTAATTAATTGGTAATCCAAATATAATTGAAAAGTACTGAGCTTATTAAAGTTCTTAATTATTATTTAGAATCCAGAAATTATATCCAGTTATTTTGAAGCAATATTCTCTTTTCCTACCTCACTTGTAAGTATTCATTGTTACATGTTTCTGTGAATTAAATAAATAAATGTCTGCCTATACATTAATGAAGAATTCACCTTTAGGTTTATTTGCGTACTGTAAGTGAACTCCTGGCATTCTGCTCTAAGATGAAACACAATAAAACTCAAGAAAAGGAGACTATGGTTTGTTGTCATAGTGTTTGGTAATTTGAATCTCTTTTACTTAGTAGTTTAGGTAATAAGTGACTTATTTTTCTTTTAGAAAAATGTTATTGATCTGTATGTGAAGACAATATTTATGGTAAAGGTCAAAGCAGAGACAACCTATTTGGTAAGTGATGGATTGATGTAACAGATGATTTGAATTGAACCCTATACCATGATCATTTGAACGATTCTGTGTTGTTACTTGTTAGTTGATGTTAGAAATCTCGTAGATGTGAATGCTGTTTTTTCATTGCCTGGTTATTATGATAACTTTTTCAGTTATGAAGGCAAATGTAACAACTATTTTATAAATTTTTTAGGAGGCAAGCTCAACATTACTTCAGCACATTGGTCATGAAGAATTTAAGGAAACCATCTTACCTCTAGTACAGAAATCCCTTCTTCGTAACCCTGAACTGGTCATCGAAGGTTTGTCAAAATTTTCTTGTGAAGTTATATCTCACCTGGTGATGAGGTTTTAAATTAATTGTCATTTAACATTAACATGATGTCATCTTGGTTCATTTTTAGCTCTTTCACATCTTTTAAAAGATGTTTCAATTGATCTGTCACAACATGCTATAGTTCTTTGTAAAAGTTTGTCAGGTAAATTGTATGATTGTTTTTTTATTACTTTACATGGTTTTCAGTGA